CCCACACCTTTCTTTCTCTATGCAAAATGTACTTTTATTGAGGACTTTTCAAGTTATACCCAGTGTAAATTTATTTGCTATCATGCTATACTTCAGGCATTGTTTAAAAGACATCCTGAGTCTCCATATATCAATTCAAAAGGATGGTAGCATTTTTTCTTCTCGCAGAAAAGAAGGACCAATGTTGTAGATACTTGTTTACTTCCAGAAAAACTCTGGGAATTAGCTTCTACAGACATCATGCAATGTTCATTTTAACATTTCTACCTACCTTTCTATTATACACACTACAAACAACAATAGGGAGTCATTTTACCTCATTGCAACAAATATATTGAGTGAAAAATACATAAAATGGAGAATAAGTTCAAATTTACCTTTTAGAGGAGGATGTAATTTTTTCTAGCCCAGAGACTTTATGAAACTCATAACAATAGCAGGGAGATCCAGTTTTAAAAATATCTCTTCCTCAAGTTGTGAATTGCTTTCAGTAGATTGCAGTCATTCAGAATTTCCCAATTTATTACATCCCATTTTTGGCACTTGTCACAGTCAATTCCCTGCCTTATCCTGAGTTTTCAATTGTTCATCCCCAGACTTGGTATATACAATCTACACCTCCTTAGCTATATTTTATACACTAGAGCTTAGTTCTCAAAATGATTGATTCTTGTGTTATAGCACCAACTTTGTCCAAAAAATGATCAGACAATCTTTTTGCCCAGTTAGTGTAAATGATATAGAATGACATTCATGTGTATTTTCTTTCATAGCACTGCTCAGAACTTTGTTTATGGTGAGCAGCCTAGGTTTGAGGCCATGCGTGATGCACATGTGACATTGGGTCACTGTTTTGGGGGAAATCAGTCACAGTGCGTTGCGTCACGCTCCCAAATGCAACAGCGGGATTGCCCACCCCCACAGTAATTCGTGTAGGATACTTTTGGTGGATGTACTTGTAATCGTAGAAAGTTTCGAGGTAAATTTTCATCTGTATGGCATCTGACCGTGTACTAGAGGCACCTTGCCTTCAACCTTGAGACGATGAGCCTCCTTTAAAAATGTTGAGGGGACCCGGAGGGGGTTCAGTACTAGTAGAAACATGATTAAATGCGATTTAGCACTGTAACACGGTGTCGTCTGCGCTGCTCTCAAGAATGGGCGAGTTTACGCCATATACTAACTAACACCCAGACATGGAAGATTTAGTGTTCAGCCCCTGCCAAAGGGTAGACGGAGTCGTTTATTCATCTACCTTGTAGCCACCACAGAGCTTGCACAAAGCGAGCAAACTTAGAACTCGTACGCACTCGCAATTACATAACATTTACATATTATCTTATGTTAACTCTCTACTTCGATAGCATCATCTGGAAAAGGGTCGTTAGGTAGCACAGGTGACGTAACGAAGACGAGATGTACCTTGACGAATTCTATGGCGGAGATCACTGATTAGCAAGAGAGATTGGAGAGCTGAGAGACGGTCTCATCACCTTCATAGTTAATCTGGCCATCACCATCAACGTCTGCTTCTCGAATCATCTCATCGACCTCAGAGTCCGATAGTTTCTCGCCTAATCGTGGTAAAAAAGGGCGGGTCAATCGCGTTCGGACGCCATGAAAACAACAAAAAAGTCAATGCGCACCAAGGTTGGTCATGACATGCCTCAACTCAGCAGCGCTGATATACCCATTCCCATCCTTATCGAAAACCTTGAACGCCTCCTTGATCTCCTCCTCGCTGTCGGTATCGCGCATCTTCCGAGCCATCATCGTGAGGAACTCGGGGAAGTCGATGGTGCCATTCCCGTCAGCGTCGACTTCGTTGATCATGTCCTGCAGTTCGGCCTCGGTGGGGTTCTGTCCTAGAGAACGCATCACGGTTCCGAGCTCCTTGGTTGTGATCGTGCCATCGCCGTCTGTGGATAAGCGTGAGTTTATGAAGAGACGGATAGATAGAGTGGTCTTGCGTACCTTTGTCAAATAGGGAGAAAGCTTCCTTGAATTCTGGATGGTGAATAGTGGTAAGCACGCGCAGATCGCGTATGATTGCACTGTCGCGTACCTGAGATTTGCTCTGTACACCGTCGAGGTTAGGCAATAGGGGGATAAAAGGCTTCATTCGTCAGGGTTCTCCACGATTCTGATTGAGTTCGTACCTTCAGACTGCAATGCTTGAATGTGAGAGGGTCAACGTCAGCATATTGTGAGAGTTACGCACCAATTGGTCGGCCATTGTTAGGTTTGAGTAGTGCCTAGGGTTCGGGAGGTGCAACGATGGAGGTAATTTGGAGCTTCTAGTTACAAGTCCGTTACGGGCCTAATCAGGTCAAGGTGCCCGGCAATCGCCGTGTGTTTAGGAGTTTCACTTGTGAAATGTTCACGGGATATGCACATACACTGGCATGGGCACTCAGCTATCGGGTTGCGTCGACTAAAAAACATGGATGGTTCTCAGAAAATTACATATCTACGATCAGTGCCAAAAATATGATATTCAACCAGTTCTGGCATGCATTAAGAGGGAATCGAACCCCCGGCGGGTCGACAAAGCACTTCATGGCAACGACCCAGGTTACCACTACCCCATTAATGCACATTAAGCGAGTGTAATCATGTTTATTATATTACTTGAGCAAGTCCAGGAGTAAGCAGCTACTAATACGGAAAACGGCGCGGCGCCGTTGGCGCCCCGTATACTTTCGTCTTTGAATCCCGCAGTCAGTGCCATAACCGACATAACCACGCAGGCAGAAAAAAGGGTTGAATGGGGCGTGTGTGCCTGTCAGTTCTTATCTAGCATCTTTTCCATTTGACTTCTCCTCGTGTTAGAACGCGAGTCATCCTCGAGTTTTCGTCCTGGAAAGATGGATATACCTACCACCACGACCACTGACGACGTTTTAGCTCAACTGACGACCCGTCGACCAATGGACGACGCTTTTCTCGAAGGCTATGTCGCAACTAAGGAATTAGGCGACTACGTTCCCCTCATGAATGATATTTTCAAGACAGACGACAAAGTTGAGGCCGAATCTCCTGATGCACGACGCGAGGTTCGCTCCACTCTCCTGGCCGTGCTGGTTTTTATATTCGAATTTAAAGCCAGAGCCACCATGGACATCGAACGAGGATAAAACCAAATACCATTATCCTGCTCCGAACTTCGGTGAACCAGCTGGAAAATGCTTCGAGGTTGTACAAAAGTGGGATCGTGGGATGTGCGAGGCGTGGAGGGATGAAATTGACAAACTCTTAATTTTTGTGAGCGAATTCAAGTCCTCATCCTTTGAAGTTCCTACTCATGGTTATAGGCTGGTCTTTTTTCAGCAGTCGTAACGTCATTTGCAGTCGACTCCTACAGATCGTTGACTCCAGATCCAACTGATGTTACAGTCCTCTACTTGGCGCGAATTTCTCTCCAACTGGGCAACGGAAGCGCACCGGCCCTTGAACCTCCATCATTCACACCCCCACCATGGAGTGTCCGCGTCAACATCCTGTACTTCCTCAGTTTGTTCTTATCCCTCACGACCGCCCTTCTCGGGATCCTGTGCATGCAATGGATCCGAGAATACCAACGAGAATCCAACTTTTCACACAAAGACGCCTTCGCATTGCGTCAGATGCGATATGAAGGTTTCCGGCAATGGGGCGTCTGGACGATCATGACCTTGCTTCCTCTCCTCCTTCAATCGGCTCTGGTGCTTTTCTTCATTGGCTTGCTAGACTTTCTTTGGAATCTGAATGACCTAGTGGCTGCGGTGCTCTCCGGATTCATTGGCCTCGCGCTGTTTTTCGTGTTGGCGACGACTGTCCTGCCGGCCTTTCAGTTCTTGTTTCATGGGGGACGAAGGCTCTTGACACCCCAGTGCCCGTATAAATCGCCGCAAGCATGGGCGTTTTACCGGCTTTTGGCGGCTGTGATACGCCTCCCTTTGCGGCTCAAGCTAATCACTGATTATTCCGACGGATTTGGCGACCGTTGGTTCAAGGCACACAAGTATTCCTGGAGGTAGGCGTTATTTTGATCACACATTGGTTGAGGCTCATGATGTGATTGCAGAACACCTTTTGCCCGTGCTAGAGCTTCCTTGAAGTTGCGGGACTGGACTCGATTCGATGGCTACTGGCGCGCGGCGCGAGACGTTCGCGTAAGTTGGGACGAGGATCCCTCCTCGACGAATGATTGTATGAAAGGGCTGGAATGGCTCGGACGGACTCTCCCTTCAGGCTCAGAAGTATTCTTCTATATATATCAATCTATTCTACAGTGGGGTGCGTCCTCGGTGGAGGAATGCCCTCCGGTCCTGGAGCGGATGTCACCAGGATCGTCCAACTTTCTCGTCCAGGTGCTCGGAGACGTGAGGCACCAAAATAACCCTATCTTCGATAACAGGGACGTCATCCAACTCTTGAGCCTTGAACACCTCCGTCGTGACCGTGGCTCCCAGGTGGAACCTGCACTTCGCAATCATGCTCTGGAACTCAATATTCGAATCATCAACTCTATTAACTCTCTCCCTGAAGCTCTTATCGGAACAAAAAGAGTGACTACTGTTTCTTGCATCTCACTGGTGAACATTCTACATGCAGGTTCGGGGAATTGGGCAGAAGGTGCGTTATTTTCAATGAATGGCCGATTCTCAGTCTTTGACCCTTCTCCACCCAGTCCCACCAGACATCACAGACCAACTGCTACTTCTCAGCACGTCCTTTGCATCCCTCGTGCTCTTAGATCAGTGCTCTTACCCGCTAATGCTCTTTCAACGTATGGTTCTGCATTTAGACCGCGGCCCCATTCAAGAACCTCCCCCGCTCTCCCTTTTCATCGCATGTAAGGCGCTCGAAACCTGGATGTCCACCCAACCCTTCTCCAACCACATTCGTGTCAAACAAGTCATGGAATGCGCTGGTTGGGTCATGGGAACATTTCTGAACAGATCGCCGCCTGAGAGCCCTACAAGTTGGCATTGGAGCAACCTTGCTGAACACCCCAGCGTCGCTTCTTTGATCCGAAAATCCACTGCACTGGTGAAGTTGGGCATAGCAAACGAGGCCTTCGCGTCATCGTTTGGACGACCGAGGATGTATATCCTCGACTCCTCCTGGTCAGACTTTTCGTTCAAGGGCGTGGACATTGAGGATGGGGACATCGCAGTGCTAGCGGAGAGCTAGTAGGTTACAAGTATTTAGGGTGCCGAGGTATGTACGGCCTGTATTTGGTATTAATTAATGCTAGGCAGGATGATTAACCATAATCAGGTCTCTAGCTGTTCAGCTCTGCACTCCTTGCTTGAAGTTCTTCGTGACTCTGTGGCAACGTTACAATTTACACCTTTCAAGGAAAGCAATGCATACCAAAGGCTCTGGTAAACTGTTCTTGATTTGATCACTGGGAACGTATGGATCGCGGGCATGGTGTACAGCCATCGCATCCCCGCTTTTCAGTCCGCCATTGGATGGCTGTAAATCCGCAGGATCGTTTGTTTTCTACCTCTCACGATCAGGATATCCCCTCAGAGCCAATGGTGGAGATATGACGTACGGCAGGGTGTGGTTGAATGGTGTACGACGTTTCAGCTGGGGGTGCTGTTGCTTCCGTTTGGGCACTCGCTTTGGTCGGCGAGGCCTCTTTCTTCGAATGGGAAAACTTGGACTTCAGATTGGTGAGGAATTTGGACATTATGGGAGTGACGGTGAGGGGCATTGAAGGGGGAACTGAAGCTGCTGCGTCTTACTTATAGAACCTCGACAAGTCACTTGACTCAAATCGGATCGGAAGCAAATGTGAATGATGATGTCATATCCTCAGAAATCAAGGAAAAGGAGGTATAATAAGGATTTGGGGCAGGGGAATCAGATAGAAGTGAAGATTGGGAGCCGTAAGGGAACAAAAATCAAGGCAGTGATCATCCAGCCGCTTTACTTTCCGAGCATCATCTAAGTCAAAACGAAGGGTGAGTTCATGACGCTCAACGGAGATTAACGATGCTTACCCTCTGGAACTCTGAACATGGAATGGTCATTGAGAGACTGATGACAAGATAAGGAGAGAGAGCGCGTACCCTGGAAGTCAATTTCGCCATCACCATCACCGTCTGCCTCCCTGATCATTTCTTCGACCTCTTGATCAGTCAAGTATTCCCCTGCGTCGAACGTGGCATTAGTTGTGTCAGACCACAAGGGATAGCTCAATGTACCGAGACTGCGCATGACCTGTTTCAACTCAGATTTACTGATCTGCCCACTTCCGTCCTTGTCAAAGACCAGGAACGCCTGGCGCATTTCCTCCTCTGCATTCTCGTCCACAGCATTGCGCGACATCATATCCAAAAACTCTTCGAAATCGATCGTTCCATTTCCGTCCTTGTCTACTTCATTGACCATATCCTGTAGCTCAGCCTCGGTGGGGTTCTGGCCCAGCGAACGCATGACGATGCCTAATTCCTTGGCGGTGATCGTGCCATCGCCATCTACGAAAGGGAGTCGAGAGTCAAATGTCAATATGAATCATGATTCTTCGATTTTAATATATGATCGTCGCACCTTTGTCAAATAGAGAGAATGCTTCTCTGTATGCTGGAAACACAGAAAGAACATAGATCTGAGAAAACTGGAGGGATGAGGCCAAAGCGAAGAACGTTTACGCACAGTCGATTTGTTCTGTGCATGCGATGATCAGCCGATCGCTTAGATAGAGATAAAAGCTGGAGAACATACCCTTGGACTACGAGCAATCGAAAAGCAATGTATAAAGACGCCTTTCTAGACAAGATTAAGGATTATACATACGAGTTGATCCATTTCCGATGGTTTGAGAGATCGGGATGTACAGCGTCAAATGGGTGGTTGTTGGGGCAGAGGGCACTCCGTGCTATGCGGATATAAATATATCGGCGTCAAATTGGGACACTGGGTCATAAACAGACCTGATGAGCACACAACGGCGGCTCCGCATCCTACCAGCCCTGGCAGATGACTGGTCTAGTAGAGGGATAGGCGGGGAGGAAATGGCGAACCCACAGAACCTAATTATATATCCAGTCGATCGCGCACAGCCTTGCTGCCTCGCCGTGATCGTCATTACATATAGGTTCGCATACCTTGATTACATTTTTCTATTTCTAAGATCCAACTTCAAGTACTCTACCGCAAAAACAAACTCCTTTGCCCATTCTCTCAGTCCGAAATGATAGATCAAAGTACGCAGAGATTTCATGCCCGTCTCAGTGTCACTTGTCTGGTGCTGTGGCCGACCCCAGGCGTCTGGAAGATAGTGCCCGACTTTGTACCCAAGTGTCGTCGATTTCTGGAGGACGGTCCCGGTCATAAAGATGAAGAGCGACGTTTTGATAAGCTTATGCTCAGGGGCTTCGTCGTTGGTCCATTCAGAGACGACTCCATCGCTTTCTTTCGCGAGGGGGGAAATGTAAGCAAATGCTCCAAGCACCCAGGCGACACACTCAAGCAATGTCTCGAATCCTTCAGAATCCCCCTTGGTCAGGCCTTGCATCTTTTCCGTCATCCAACCTTCGAGGTGCTGGCTAGCAGACATTATCGCCTTGCTGAGTTCCATAGCGTCCTCGTCCTTCAGTTTCTTAATGGCAACTTGCCTGACCGCCCAAAAGAATAATTCAAAGGCCAGGTTTAGTTTTTTCGTGGTGTGGTCCAGTATGGGTCTACTTGTGACGAGATGAATGAGTTGTTCGAGCACATTTGAATGAACTGGAAGGAGGTTGTTCAGTATGCGAGTGAGAGAGAGGGTAGGATGCGCTCACTAAGGTCAAATCTTTCAGTATGCGGTCGAAATGTGTGATCGAAATACGAAAACAGATTGCAGGCCTCGGTATCTGGGTCATGAACGTCATGAACGTCCCACAACCCAAGAGCCACAGGGGCGTTCAAAACTCGTATGCACAGCTCCAGGAAAGAATTGATGAAAACTTCCTTGGTCTCGTTGTCTTGTGGAAAGTACATCATACTACATGCGAGAATCATGTCGGACTTGAGAGTAGGAAGGTTGACATTGGCTAGAGTAGGATCCGTAGGGTCCACCTCTCTCGATAGGTGTTTGAGAAGGCCAATCAAACAAGGTACTATCACCTCCTTCTCCGGTACATGACGGTTCCGCAAGTGCTCAAGAACGGGAATCGCGGCATCAGGATCTGACAGGGAGGCGGTATACAACGCGAAGATGACGAAGCGAATGTCGTAAGCATGTGGGGATTGCGCGCTGATGATCCAGTTGAGCGTTTTCGCCAAGTCGCGAAATTCGTTAGCCGAGTTGTGATCATGTCGATACCGACGCCACTGGGTGTCGTACTCGTTCCAGGACTGGATGGTTTGACCTTCTAGGTAACGTCTGTGCAGATACTTGATGAATACGAGATGCAAGATCCGAATAGGAAAGAAATTTACCGTGGCTTGAGCGTTGAACTCCTGCCCTGCGAGTTGGTAACATTTTGTACAGCCAAGGTCGTCGGTGAATTGTTCTGAGACACTCCCGTTTGAGGTACTTGAACGTTGGTTGGTAGTGAGGCGTCGGCATTGGGCTGAGATTTCGTGGGGTCGGCTGAACTAAGATTATTCCCTTGGGCAACCACACTTTTGGCTGGAGAGGTGGTTACACTGGCGGTTGTCGAAGGTATAGCCATGTGAACAGCACTGTTTGAAATGACAGGTGTACCTGAAGTTGGCGAAGCAGCGTGCAAGGAAAAGTGGGAAGAGTGGAAAGCGCTCAAATCGGACGCCTTTCTATCAGGAGTGTCAACCAAGGAGCTGGGGTTCGCCAATACCTTTGATGTGGCTTCCTGGGCCTGGTTGGAGTCTTCCGATAGGGACGGTCTATCTGATACGTCTCCAACAGAGCTGGCAGCAGTTGTATATGATGCTGTGCTTGGACTGCCGGAAGAGGGGGGATAGACCGTAATAGCTGGTATAGACTGACTCCTGTCGGGCTGTTGGACCACTGCAGCTGCCGGCACGCCAAATACAGGCGTCACCGCTGTCGCTGCTGTGTCAACCTTCCCCTGGGGGTCCACTGCATGTAATCCTTGTTCTGGATCGACAGGGATTCCAACGCCAAAGCGTTTCTCTCTCAAGAGACTAGCACCACGTCTACAAACCCGAACACATGCAACAACGAATGCAGCGAAATACACTGTGCATTTTAAGGCCACCCAAGCTTGAGGCGATTTGTATGGGCATTGAGGGCCCATGAACCATTGTTTGCCATACCAAAACTGAGCCGCTGGCGCGAAAGTACTTGCAAAGTAGAACACGATGACAGGCCCAAGGACAACGAGGAGGGAGATGGCAAGGCCTACATGGAGATTCCACATGAACTGGAGCAGGCCCGCGAAGAAGAGCAAGAGAGCAAGTTGAAGCATGACAGGGAGCGCTGTCATAATGGTTGGGACGTGCCAACGTTGCAAGCCATCGTAACGCAACTGGCGCAATGACAGCTTATCTTTGGCAGACAGGTTCGTTTCACGCCGGAATTCACGGATCCATTGCATGCACAGAATCCCGGCTAGGGCAGCTATGAGGGATAAGGAAACGCTTATAACCCAGACTATGTTCACGATCACAGCCCAGCGTGGAGGAGAGAATGGTGGGGATATTTGTAGTGGGGTAAGAGCTTGCGCGGAAGGGTTACCGAGTTGGGTCGCTATCTGTGTAAGCATGCGTGCTGAAACCTCGTTCGGATCCTCCTGAAGAATTTGATAGGATTGGATCACAAATGCAGTGACGACGCCAGAAAAAAGACCAGCCTTATCGAGAAAATCTTTATGAGTGGTCGGGTCGAGAAGAAAAAGTAAAAACTCACGAAAATCAGCAGTTTCTCGAGTTCGTCGATCCACGCTGCACAGAGGTTTGTATCTTCCCATGCCGTTATACGATGCACCCCATCATATGGCCTTCCCCCCATTGAAACCGGGTTGTAATGCCCCTCCAAGTTGGAGTTCCATGCAAAAGACCATTCCTTCTAGATGATAAATGTTTTCAACACAGGTAGATTCAGCGATAAGATCTGGCAAAGCAAACCTCATGAGAGGAATCGGCAGGGTCTAATTTGTACTCTCGTATGTAAGTGAGGCAAGCCTCAAAGTCATCGAATACCGGAGGTATGGCTGAGATCGGCTTTTGTGGTTCTTGGATTGGCTGGTTGGCTGGGTTTTCTGCTGCTGGCGAGGGTTGAGAGGCGGTCGTGGAAGGTGGCCTAAGTGTGTGTAGGGATTGGCGTGATGTGGGTCCAGGAGTACTCTGACGATCGGATTTGAAAAAGCTTGAAAGTAGTGAGGCCATGAAGTTGAGAGGTAGTGAAGCAGCATGGTTGCATAAGAAGATGTCCAGTAGATCCCCGTAGGCACTTGTGGGTCCACAAATACAAGGTGGCCTGGCATCGGAAAGGCGACTTAAATCCCGTCAAAAGGGTTGCGTATGATGCGGTACAATAACGGAACAACGCACCTTGGGAACGTTGGGAACTGTCATCCCACTGACATCGGTTGAGATTGCTTAAATAGTCAGTTGTTCAACCTCGCCGTGGGATAGAAAAGCGAGGCTTTTGTCCAGCTTTTGTTTATGGTTGCCAGTTGGTTCGTGGCAATGGTACTACATTAGTACATAACAAGCTGTGATCAGTGCTGGAGGAACGGCCGAGCGCAGCGAGTGCCGTGCCGTAGGCACGTTGTTAGTACATACATAATTTCAAGCTGACTACGTTACATAATAACTCAGGTAAACAAGTTACCTCGCCAGCTCGTGCTTAGAGTGCGTTACGAGGTACTACAAGGGGGACGTTGGCCGGACTAGCACTCCCCAACTGCAAAAGCTACCACCAGTGGCATGAGAATTATTTATTAGCTAACTACGCTGCATAAGCAACTTAGGTAACTACCGAAATAGCGACCTCGCTAGCTAGGTACTAATTGTGGCAGGGTACTGGTGTTTGTAGTTGCTACAGAAGAAAATAAAATAAAATAAAATAAAAAGAGGGAAAAAGCGAAAAAAAAAGAGGAATATTTCTTATCTTATCTTATCTTACAATCATGAGCTATAAACTACTGACCCATTGTTCCATCTCCACCTACAACTGGCCTTTTGGATACCTGCTATCCCCCCCATCACAATCTACTCTGTTTGGAATTTTCCAGTAAATTTTATCTGCCCTACTGCCCTCAAATTCTGGCCTAGAGCATCATTTCCTGCTCTGATTCTCTTTGGAGGTAATTAGGGAGCTGAAATTGCTAGGACATCTTGTGCAGGCCTTTTATTAGCTAATTAAACTGTATTTTGTAATGGGCTAGCAGTGATATTGTGTGGGCTGAATTAATGCTCTCCTGTGATGATTCAAGAAAATGACTATCCACATCCAAATGATAAAGCCCTGGATTACTTTAAAAAATTTGGGTGGGAGCAATTGATCCTTTGCTTGATGGGCTGTATGTGAAGCACCTCCATTTTGATGTTCACAGGCCATACTACAGAATATATTTTGTAGAAGATATCATTTTCATTTCCCTTTGCATGATTACAATTCTGTACAATTACAGCTTTTTTTTGCAGTCAGGATCTCCCTGATTAATGCTAGATACTCACACATAAGCTTTAAAAACAACTGTTTCTCTGCAACAGTAGGATGGACATAACAGCATATTTTGTACCTTGACACAATCCCAAGTATCAGTTCCATTTTTTTACCCAAGGCTCAGGCATCAATAGTTGTTGCATAGCTGACTTGAATCTAATTTCTTCAGGAATGGGAAGAACCCCAGAAACCTCTTTTGTTTAGGCATACATTGAATGATTTACCCATCCTCTGATTTCAAATGACTGTGGCACTTCATCTCACATTTTTTCAGCTAATATTCAAAGCTGATCAATTATCCAAATGTCAAATTGACAATCACATTCTTTCCCTGTTGAATTTCTTATCCCAACAGTTATATTGTGATGTAGTTGAAAATTGAACAGTAAAATACATAGAAATTTTGTAATAGCTTGTATTTGCACAATAATCTCAATGTATCTTCTATTTTACATGATATAAAAATGTGGTGGAAGGCCGCAGAGAGGGCAAAAGTATATGAGCAAGCCAGAGATTACACAGCCACTTGCTATCACATAAGCATAGCTATCACATAAGCATAGCTATCACATAAGCATAGCTATTATGTAATAGCAACTACAAACACCAGTAGTCTGCCCTAATTGTAAGCAACTTTTCGTAGACAATGCGTTGCAACAGGTCAGAACGTTGAACCTGCTGGGGCCACGAGAATCTGAGAACCACGGCTTACCCCGAATAGCGTTGGCGGGAACTATATGGCAGAATTTTGATTTCCGACGCACGCATTTCACCAATGAGAATTCAATTTCCGCTGCTGGGATCTGCCGAATCTTATTTCTCTTGCTCAGGATTCGATAATATTTCAACCACCAAGGCTGTTCAAAGACAGTAAAAATGGTTTTTAGTAGTATGGATAAGTAAACTTGCAGGTGAACCTCCAAACTAATAATGATAATACTTAATTGGACAGTCTCATACTTACACGCTAATATGCTATGGAAACTATGTATGCTCCTTTAAATTTTATCATGTTTGGTAATAGAATCCGAAGGCTATGCTCTGCGACAAAAGCAACGACTTAGCATAAAAACAAGTCAATGAAGATTTCTTCAGTAGTCTTTTTTTTTACGGTGGACGCAAGGTGGATGCTACCAATGGCAGACAGCTTGGAACATAAAAATCCAGAAAAAAAAATGTCAATATAGAAGCATTGTTTTTATTTACAGGGTGCCAGCCTCCAAAGACCAAAGCCTACTAAATATCATAAATACATATATTCTGGTACTGTTCTGTGTCGGATATAATAATATAAGGCCCTCAACCATGCGAGTTCAGCTGATTTTTCTGATCTCCAGCGGACCGAATCTTGTACTCCCATTCACTTGCCCATTCACTGGCAGTTGACCAGGAGTCACAAATATGGTCTATTTTGGTTTTTATTTTCTGAGAAGGATCTGGAAAATTCTATACATCCAAGAATGTCGAAGTTGAAGGAAACTAATCAGCCATATATCTCTACCTTGTATCTACGTGTGGAACCTACGCCAACGCTGCAAGTGCTGTCGTAGCGCCGAGGCTTTGTGTGTACATGTTTGATTCATTGACTGAGGGCGCTGTCCCTCGTTTTCAAAGACTGTCGCCCTCTAATTCCACTCTTTTTACAATCCTTTCCATGTTATTTCTTGTGATCCACTCTACTTGCATTTTTGTATCACATCTGTGCTATATTTCAAGCATCGTCAGGTTCTGGAGAGTGGAGATTACCTAATGGTAGTGGTCCCAAAATAGTCTTGAGAAGCAATTGGATCAATCATGAATTCAAATCCTGCCATATAGTTCCCGCCTACCTTACCCGAAGGCTCCAATGCCAAACAACCCACACTACATACACACTACCTTGTCACTAACAACAACCCATTCCCCCTCCCACCCTCGTATTCCGAAAGTGCGTACTTTGTCCGACAATGGTGGCCCAGCCTACTGAACATCCCACGTGTAAGGTCCACAGTCATCTTATTGGCGGAACACGACCAAGTGAGCCATCGTCTGCACTTCGTGCTCACACAACATTCTTTTCGGGTGCCGGTCAATCACGATAACTACAATTCGTACAGGACTGCTTCTGGGCTTGGGGTGAACTGCGTGACCCCTCCTCCTCTTCGCCCTTTCTCTTCCTCCTCTTCCGGATCTCAACCTCAGCCCCCCACCACATCCACATCTACATCCACCACATCATTGAGCACCCCCACGCAAATAGAGCAAGACGACGGACTGATGCACCTCTGGTACGTCAGGTGTTCAACGCGATCTTTGAAGAAGACTACAAGGATAGAGGGACGCCTGATCGGCCTAGACCGTTGGTGGCTGTTGATTTTGGACATGCCGTTTGGATTGAGTATGTTGGTGGGAGTGTAAGAGGGATTTGAGGGTGAGTTGGGCAAGTGGGGAAGGGGAAGAAGGAAAATTCAGGGAGTGGTTATTCTTTCGGATAAGGATGGGAGGATCTTTATTTTGTGTTATGAGTGTGCTTTTCAGTTATTCCGGAAGATGTCGATCGACGCGGCTGACCATCCAATTCGACAATGGCCAGCTGCCCAGTCCTCAACTACCTAGAATTAACATTATCTGTCTGTAACACCTGCCTCAGATTATAACCCTTCCATCTCACAGAAAGTGACACCTTGAATCATTGATCAAGGTTCCCCTCCGAAATTTCGCATTTTTCTGTTCCTCAGGACACCGCCATTTGTAAATTTAATGTAGATTGACTTAAAACGATGCTTAGTTGCGTAAAATACATTTTTGACAGTTTCTAGCTTTTTCCCCTGTGGTACAGGGGGTGAACTATGTTTTTGCTGAGTTTGTTTACTAGTATTGAACAACAACTTCCACAACCCAGCCACAACCGGCCAATTGCGGGTCATCAGGTGATTATTCTCATGAGAATATTCTCTCCCAGTTAGTGTTGCCGCGAAGCGAATCGAATCGAATCGAAGTGGTGAAATGTGTTGACTTCGCCCCACTTCGTGATGTCGAATCGAATCGAATCGAAGTTGGTTGTCGCCGGATATTGATCAGCCAATCAAATCATCAGCAATTGTCAAGCCTCTCGCACCAAGATAGTGTAGTACTAGTAGAGTATCTAAGCTTTAGACCGTGATACAATAGAAAGTTTTAAACATCTGTACTGTCATCTTCAGAGTTCCGTGGTGAAACCACAAAATTCATCCATCTTTAGATACTCAAGTTGCATTTTATTAGAGGGAACAGTCAAAACCATGTTTTGAATTGAAGTCTCGAACATTTTGCCTTCATTCTTCTCGAGTTCATCACGCAGCGCAATGCTCTAATCTTCACGTTCCTCTGCTTGTTTTTCTTTCACTGTCATGACTCATTTCACGCGGAATTGGTGTTGAGATTACTTCTGCGGCGGTCGGCGTTGACAACAATGGAGTGACGAGGGAGCGGCGCACGTTGACATCAATATAAAAGAGTCATCGAGCCCCACAGTTCAAGAAAGAGGTGGGACTGAAGACGCGACGGAGGACGCGACAATGATAAACTCGCCTCACGTGCGGAAAACTTCCATTTCTGGCGATTTTTGATGGCCATCACGAAAGGACTTCGACTCACTTCGGTAGCTCGAAGTGCATCGAAGTGGTGTGATTTTCGAATCGAATCGAACTCACCTCGAAGTCACTTCGATTCGACGGCAACACTACTCCCAGTCGATTCAACGCCCTCCAACAGGTGCAAGGCACGTGATCTGTGTGATTCTATAAATAGCTATGAATCCCGAAGTCTCACTGGGTTGACCTAAAAATAGACGTGAAACATCATAACTTCCTCCAAATTTCGAAGAGGAAACAAGAAATCATGTCGCATCAAGCTAATGACCATCATGATACTAGGGGAAGGAATTTGGCGAATCTAAGTCATACAGGAGCAGTGAGTTGCAGCGCACACTCAACTAACGTAAAGAAACGAGGTTGCAAAAACAGGAAATCAGCAACAGACTTCATGCATCTATCGTTCAGGTCCCAGACGTCCTATGTTATGGAAAGGAAGGCAACCGGTACGAGGCAGATTCGACACGAACTTCGGGGAATGTCGTTCGTATAGCGTGCCACCAGACTTCTTGACTAAGTATTGGCTGACATTGTCCACAGGAAAGCAAAGAATCAGCATCATACGAACCTGTAAAAGAAACATCAAGCGCCAGTAACCAAAAAGTCGAGAGCAAATTACACCCCTCCGCTACACGGCCCAGAAGTAAATCTGTCAAAGAGCATATCTCTACTTGGAAACCAGAGACGAGGTTCCAAGTTCATAGGGGAGAAGCAGTAGGGCGAGTGAGTAATCCAGATGTAGAGGACAGCTTTTGAATAAACGAGGCGTGTCGCTCAGCAAACTTAGGTCACATCGAAATTGGTGATATCGAGTCGGGCCTCGGCTTAACGACAATCCTCACGCGCTCTTTGTGTTAATGGCGCATTCTGGACCAATTGTTGACGGGGAGATAACGAACTTGAAATCACCAGATGGAGTCCATATGTCAAACTCATGCGTATTGTTGCCTCATACTCTTGAAGTACCGAGGAGGGCAGACACGAAACTGGAGAACATCTGGGCGATCGGATACCAGGTCAAGCCACGAGAGCCAAGAGTGTTTGCCCTGTAATGTATACAACTTATTGATCATGAGTCATCACGACTCGACAAGGATGGCTGTGATCGAATGCTACGTGTACTACTCACCTTAAATTCCACCTTAGCCTACAAATTGAAGTCGGAGGCATCATGCGACACTGGTTTACGCACGAATAAGCAATGGTATAATGTTTTTCATCGCCCGCTTAGCTCAGTCGTAGAGCGCGCCACTCGTAATGGTGAGGTCGGTTGTTCAATCCAGCCAGCGGGCACTCCGTACGACATCCCCTCCGAATATTTTTCTCTTTCCACTACTCGCAGTGGCACGGTTTTTCTAACTTTTTCCTCATGACTCGAATCCAACCACTATTCGCAACTCACGCCAATCCTTCGCTCGATACGCAACGTGGTGCCGAGACAATGCTAGTATGCTCTACCTGGCCCCGGCTGCTTATCCGTCTGAGTCCGTGGCAAGTGGACAACCCTCTTCCTCCTCTGAGGTCTTCTCGTGCATCTCTTCTTCTCCCGAACCAGCGCTCCATGTTTTTCGTAGCGGGGAAAGTTCAGTTGTCCTGGATAACTCGATGCCACAACACCTGCACGAAAAAACTGTTACTGCCATACTTCAGTCTTCCACCATCTCCCAACTTTGTCCGCTCACAACACATTCAAAGTGTCCTTCATGCCCTCGGTTGTACTCCGGTGCTTTGGCTGGTATGCGGTCGGTATCTCGGGTGGGCGGTTACATATCGCACTGGCATGTTCCATCTCGTCCCTGTACTTGGATTCGGGTGGTATTCTCCTTACGACAATCTATATATCCCTGTTGGCCCTACGCAAGGTCGTCAAGGTCTTCCATTCAAATAACCAAGAATCGATGTACCTTCACACCATCCCTTTCGGATACTTGTCGGCTCTCAGCTTGGGCTTACCTGCCTGACGACGAAAATGAGCAGATATCGCTTCCAACTTCCAGGCGAGGAAATCATCTTCCCGCAGTCATCGTAACCTTTGCAAATCGCGCCCTCTGTGCGAAACAGGGGCGACGGCTCGGTATCAGATGTTGCCATATGGTTCTTTGCTCTATCCGGTCGATATCCCGCAATGAGTGGATCTCGAAACCAATAAATAGCACCAGGCAGCATTGAGTTGTGCACAAGACTCTTCTCTGCTGGATAATTTCCTCTCTTTCAAACTATGCACTCCTTCAAGACCACACTCCTTTCCGCCTTCCTCCTCCTCTGCTCAAGCACCCACGTGCACGCCGGCGCGCTCGACACTTCTTCCCACTGTGGTAACCATCCCTTTCGCCATTTCTCTCACCCGTGTATTTATTATTAAAACACTCCCACAGGCGATTACGACAGCGTCACTGCAGGCCAGTACGTCCTGGGTCTCGACCAGTGGGGTAAATCAGATGCCAGCTCTGGATCAAGCTGCGCTGCCATTACGTCCTTCGACGGAACCACCATCGCGTGGAAGAACCCGTGGAAATGGGCTGGTGGTTATAACGTCAAGAGTTATACGAATATCCAACTCAACAATGGGTTGAATAAGCCGCTTCAAACTATCTCCAGTATTCCTGTGAGTTTTTTTTAAAAATGGCCGTTCTATTGCGAATGCTTAATTTGAATTCGCTGTAGACTACGTGGAAGTGGTCGCAAAGCACGTCGGGAAGCGTCGTTGCGGATGTCGCTTTTGATCTTTTCACTTCAGCGACTCCAGGAGGGAGCAATCATAATGAAATTATGATCTGGCTCGCGAATTTCAGTTCAGGTCCTATATCCTACTCGTACAGCGCCTCTGGAAACGCTGTAGCCTTTGCGAACAGTATCCCCCTTGCTGGATATACCTGGTATGCCCAAGACACTCGTGATTGTCCTTGCATTTTCTGACGACCTCTCCTGCAAGGAACCTGTATGTTGGCACGAACGGCTATAACAATGTGTATTCCTTCCTTCCGTCCAACGGCACCATTATTACGAAGTTCGGTGGTGATCTCAACGTCTTTATCAAGGTTGACGATGTCAGAATTCCCTACTTCTGAAAGAGACTGATTTATTTTTGTGATAGTATCTGACGGGCAGTGGAAGTATTAGCTCTTCAGAGTACTTAACGACGCTTCAGGCGGGCACTGAAGCAACCTCCGGGACAGCTACTTTCAGAACGTGCGTCTATCCATTTGTTCTTTCTCCGAGTTAGTCTTGCTCAAAGGGTCAATTCGTTAGATCCGCGTATAGCGTCGTCATCAACTGAGAAGTTGCGAACTCTATCAATTGTCTCTTTTCTATTTAGCACCCGGTACGAGAATTTAACGGCGTACCTCAGGGGTAACTACACTAACTCCTTGGCGCTACAGATCGCGATACAAAAATAATCTTGTTAAGGCCCAAGCTGGTCACTTGGTAGATGGATCATGGAAATTTGTGTTTGGGTGATTGTTACCATGCAAACGACATAGTGCAGATTGCGGGAGCGCCCATATGTAGAGTAGAGGGTTTGGGTTCCAGGCAGGCCTTGGAAAGGCTCTGCAGAAGCGATGTTATTCTACGGTTACTACTCAAACACAAAAATCCTTCGTTCAGCGCCTCTCATGGCTTCTCGCCACTGCGTTCTGTTCCGGGCCTTTACCAAATTAAATGCTCTCAACCGTGGCATGAAGTTTGGCTTCAAGTTGAATCACACGCTAGCGCTTTTACATGTCCTTGACCATCTAACCCTCTAATCCGAACTTCAAGATGCCGATGCATAGTCTTCAGCAAGGGCTTGGCCGTCTAGTCTTTCGACCGGTTTCAGTCTTCAGATCCAGGGTCTCCTCATGTGGCGTTTGCAGCCTGTGAACCACTAGAATTGAGAATGTCCCAGCAACTCGCGACTGGTAGGAAGGTTAGCAGAGTGAAGTTCTTGGGGTCCGGGACTTGTTGTCCGGGACTTCCTCCAAAGGAAATATGATCATCAGAACAAAACCGACTTACAAGCGACTTTCCCATATTTTCTCCAAGGGAATTTCAAGTACGTAAATGATGAATTTTGGAGATGTTTGGAATCGGATGTCGGCACACACTCATCTAAGTTTGAAGAGCCTAGTAAGCTCGTGAAATAAAACTCCTAATAGTATACTAGTCCAACCACCATACGGAGGCGTTGGCGTTAATTCAGGGAATCACATCACAAGCCTATTTTCCCGGTGCAGTAATTGTATAATAAGTCTTTTTTTTTTACGATCCTGTGTGTAGTACCTCCAATGTTGTACAGAAGCTAAAGCAATATTTAATTCCCCTTCAAGTTCTCCCGGCTATTTTCCCCCAACTTGATACTTCTCCCACCCCACCTCCTCCAACCTCCCCACCTTGTCCAAAACCTCGCCCTCCATCTTCCTCATGTACTCAGCCATCTTCCCAATCAACTCCGGCATCCCGGCGGATAGGATGCGGACGGCTAAGAGCCCTGCGTTTGTGCTGTTGTTGATTGCTACGGTTGCTACTGGTATGCCGCGCTATTAAAAAAAGAAGACGGGTTATTAATACAGGCGATGAAAAGAACGATCAGGGGGAAGAGGAGAGGAGAGGGGGGATGGAAAAGAAAGAAAGAAAAAAACACATACAGGCATCTGAACAATACTATAAAGCGAATCAACACCATCCAACGTACTCCCTTTAACCGGCACACCAACCACTGGAAGGGGGGTAATAGCAGCCACCATTCCCGGCAAATGAGCCGCGCCCCCCGCCCCAGCCACGATAACCCTCACACCCCTCCCCGCCGCGGACCTAGCGTACTCTACCAGCCTATCAGGAGTCCGGTGCGCAGAGACGATGGTCAGCTCATAAGGGATGGAGAATGCATCCAGGATACGGGCAGCAGGGAGCATCACGGGGAGGTCGGAGTCTGAACCCATTATTATACCCACAAGGGGAGAGGGGGAGGGGAACCCTGAGCCCGCGGTGGGTGGGAGCGGCGCGTAGAGCGCCACTTCGTCTGCAGTTGAGTTTGGTAGAGACTCGAGGAGTGGACGGAGTCGCGCGCGGAGCTCAGCGTCATTTGGTGCTGTTATTGTTATGTGTCCCATTTTTCTGCCTTTCCTGCATTCGGATTTGCCGTATAGATGGACGGACGTTCCGGGGAGGGAGAGGGCTACTGAGGTGGTTTGTTGGATTTCGGAGAGGGAGGTGGAGGCGCCGATGAGGTTGAGCATTGCTGCTGAGGGGACTTTTAGGGCGGTTGAGCCGAGGGGGAGGGAGAGGATTGCGCGGAGGTGGTTCTCGTATTGGGAGGTCTCGCAGGCTTCGATGGTGTAGTGTCCTGAGTTGTGTGGTCTGGGGGCGATTTCGTTGATGTATACCGTGCCTAACGTGGATCAACTTATTGAAAATTGGGAAGAGGACTCAAGAAAACAAGTACCATTTTCCATAAGGAACATTTCCACACCAAAAACGCCGGCTCCTGAGAGCGATTGTACCGCCGCCTCTGCGATACCTTGTGCACGTTTTATAAGCCCTGGATCGCGCGTGCGTAGTGGGGCGAAAACGAGGTGACATATATTGTCTTTATGCACCGTCTCCACCACGGGGTACGAGCTTACTTCACCCGTGGTGGTGCGTACCACCATAACCGCAATCTCCTGGGTGAATGGAACCCATTTTTCCGCGTACAAGGGTCGGCCCCCCAGAGCGGCCAGCGCGTCGTGGGATTGCGCCAGGTCGCGCAGGACGTAGTTTCCTCGGCCGTCGTATGCCAGGGTACGGCTTTTCAGCATTAGTGGGAGACCGAGGGTGGCTGCGGCGCTGCTGATACCTTCCACGCTCGACTCGACAGATATGAAATCGGACACGGGTAGGTTATTTCGTGCCAGATGTTCCTTTTGACTATACTTGTCCTGTATAATCCTAATAGTCCCGGGGGCTGGATGGATCTGCACATTCTTAAATGTCGATTCGACCTCATCGAGGGCATTCACGTCGACATGTTCAATCTCCACCGTTAATACATCGACTTTCGCCGCCAACTCTTTGATTTTTATGGGATCTGAGAATGAGCCGTCGATGTGGGTATGATAGGGGGATGCAAGGATCTGCTTTGCGGGTGTGTTGGGCCCACCGTCGAGGATGATGACGGGGATGTTGAGTAGTGATGCAGAGGCTGCTAGCATGCGCCCCAGCTGGCCGCCTCCTGTTGAATTGAAAAATAGTAGGTTGGATGGGTATTATGTGTAGAGGACTGCGCGCACCGAGAATGCCGACTACCTTGTTGCTGGCCATGGCGGGCAGATAAGAAACGATGGAGAGATAAAACTTTTTAACACCTAACCCTAAATTCGGGCTTGCGGATAACAATGCTGAGCATCGTTCCAAACGGGCTAGCGCAACGTCCAGCGAGATAGCTTCAATTTTCAAAAGTATGTACAGTCATCCACCCCTTAATGATACACCACCCCCATTTGATACACTTTTGACTAGCAAATATCTCGCTCAATACTAGGCCGATTTTTACAAAACAAGTTGTAACAAGTAGTGTAAACTCATATCTACCACCGTACATAATTTGGATACATTTGAGGCAGAATTGGCAAAGCTGTGGAGCATACAAAATGGACTGTTTTTCAGAAATAGCCAAATACAGTCAAACCACTCAATGATACACCCATAATCTTAGTTTTTCTCTGTGAAGTGTGGGTCAAATATTCTTTGAATATTCTGAAATTTGGTATGGTCATAGAAGGGCATTTATCTGAGATCTTCATGTAGTTTTTGTAGAGAAATGTTGTGCTCAAATTTGTTGAAGTTAATTTCTCATTTTGGGTGTATCATTAGCAGGTGGATGACTGTACGTTGGAAGAGAAAATACATGCAAGTTTGGCTGGGCGTCGATGTACCCTAGCACTTATAGAACACTCAGTCGTAAAACTTCCCTGTTCAGAAGTCATCAGGCAATCCTAGATGCTCGACGGCTCCAATGGAGGTAGCGGGCCAAGCCAATAATTTGCGTCCAAGTTCCGCAGGGCTCCATCATTGATGTCGATCGACGGCCATTACCATTGTTGGTCGGTTGCAGCCGCAGTGGTGGATGATTCATGAGGCTAATCCTCCGACGGTAAATGGCCCTACTTGTTACCTTATGAGCCATATTTCAGTGATCATTCGAGTTGACCTAGCCATCGAATCTGGCGATAGATGGGTAGAAACTTGTTGACGGTGGGCGGCGTGACCGATGATGTCGCAGGACAGCCACTGACAGCCATGACAAACAAAATAAAATACTTGCCATTGTGCTTGACCGCTGCGGCCACCTGTGTTTGACAACGGCGCCTTAGCTTATATCCCATTCTGACTCGGTTTTCTCTGTTTCCCTTCTTACCCGCCCAGTTCACCTGTAAAGTCTAACAAACCTCTCCCGCTCCATATCATGCCTGCAACGTCGACCCTCGACGCCGACGACAAGTCCAAGGTCAAAGCTGCAGTCCCCATATCGTCCAACAAAATCATCTTTGCCGCCCTCTCGCGCATCTACTACGCCTATCCACAACCTGACAAATGGTCGTATGCAGGCCTGCAGGGCGGACTCGTCTTTGCAAGGGACACACATAAGAACATCTTGTATTTCCGGCTGGTAGACTTGGATGGGACCAGGGGCGTGATTTGGGAACATGAGCTTTATGAGGGGCTGGAATATAGCCAAGATCGGGGCTTCTTTCATTCCTTTGCGGGCGATGTGAGTTGCAATCATTCCTTCTCCTATCTCTTTCCCGACTGACTGGTGCCCCCTCAGAAATGTATGATTGGGTTCGTTTTTGCGGAGGAACATGAGGCAAAGATATTTTACAAAAAAGTCATGATGAAGAAGGATGCTAAGGGTACGTTAGCATCCCTTCTTCTCAAAAGAGCCTCAACGCTGAAGATTGACAATCTCATCCCAGCGAAAAAAAACACAAGCAAGCCCAAGAAACTGTCAATCTCAAAAGGCGGCAGGGTTGATAAATCCATGATATCAGGCCCACAAGCTGGGTCATTCAAACACATAGCGCACATGGGGTATGACGCAGAAGCAGGGTTCACATCCAAGGGCGTCGACCCCTCCTGGACCACGTTCCTTGGCAACCTCGAGAATTCTGGTGTAGACAAAGCGATTATCGAAGAAAACATGGAATTCATAAAGAACTTTGTCCGAGAACACGAACAGAGCAAGCCCGCGCCAAAGAAGACGAAGCCGCCCCCACCTCCAGCCCCGAGAAAGCATCAGGGATCACATGGTGCGAATGGGAGCGTCTCCTCTTCGCCTCTTTCTCCGAAACAGCAACGGCCCCCACCGCCACCTGTACGTCCTGCACAGAAGCCACCGACACTCCCAGACCGCACGGAATCACCACCCGCCAGAAAACCACCACCTGCCAGAGAGCCTCCTCCCAGAAAACCACCAGCTGCCAGAGAGCCTCCTCCAGCTACAGCCCCGATACAGCCACCACCACCACCACGCCGCCCAGCGCCCCCACAAACACAAGCCAACAACACGCCACCACCTCCCCCTGCCAGGCCTTCAGGCGGACTCACCAACGGGCCCCCTCCGCCCCCTGCACGTCCCGCCCTACCATCCCCTACAAAACCAGCAGTACCTCCCCCAGCACGTCCAGCCGTACCGCCCCCCGCACGCCCAGCCGTCCCTGCACGTGGTCCTCCCCCGCCTGCGCGTCCGCCCTCCCATCTTCCACCTCGCAGTGCGACTCCTTCCTCTGAGTCACCTACTACTTCAGATGGTCCACCACCACCGCCGCCGCCTCCTCCTCCGCCGCCTCCGATGGGAGGTGGTGCGCCGATCCCATTGGCTAATGGCGATACGAGCGTTCCACCGCCTACGTTGGCTTCTCTCCCCCCTGCACAGCCTGGTCGAGGGGATTTGTTAGCGTCTATTAAAGGCGCGGGGATACATCAGCTTAAGAAGGCTGATCCTAATGCTAATGCTAATGCTGGCCCTCCTTCTGCTGGTGGTGGTGGGAGAGCGGTACCAAGTAGGATTGCACCGCTTGAGCCGCAGGATACGGGGACTACTACGGCTACGGGGACTACGGGGAGTGGTAGTGGGGGAGGGGATTTGACGAGTGCGCTTGCTGCTGCGCTTTTGGAGAGGAATAAGAGGTTGGGGGATAGTGATGATGATGAGGATGATGATGATGAGGATTGGGATTAGGAGGGTTGGAGTGGACGGCACCTACTTATTTATGTATTTGAAGGAGGAGGAGGATCATGCACTGTACTTACTATTACTATAGGAGACTCTCTTTTTTATGTAAATATATTTTTCTCTCTGCGTGTATAAAATGGATTACGACAAAGCCCTTAAGGTGCCATAATGCTGAAATAGCAAAACGTCGTTTCTAATGTTCTGGCAGTACCTCGCTGTGGCTTGAATGTCGACTGGACGGAATATCTGATATATTTTTTGCACTGGGGTCGCTTTTACACTGACTCAGTGACTGATCTTCCTGGACTCGCGTTCAAAATTTACATAAAGGCCGCACGTCACGTTCTGTCTCGCACTCCTACTCTCTTGACCACCAGCCATTCTAATCTCGTTTTTTCAAGCTAGCGGGGTGCATTTAAATCGCGACAAGATGGTCCCGGTTGCTATTTTTTTTTTTTGCCAGGCCATAATTTCTTTGAATGTTCGAAGTTGGTTCGAAGATTTCGTTTCTTGGCGTCGCTCTAGTGGCGTTGATTGTCAATGCACGTCAATGTACTAAGTGTTGCCTGATGGCGATGTCTTGACTCTTCCGTCCTACCTCCAGCCTCTAGTAGACGCCAATGAATCGCAGGCCTTCCTGAGCGTTCTCCCCGGTCCTCTTCCAATCCCCTACCCACCCTCCTCAATCCGGTGATCAAAACTTCGGACCCGTCATACAGCACCACGTGATGCTATTCACCTTCCCACCAGTATGATGAGCCTCAAGGTGCCCACTGCCGAGTCACTCATCAATCTCTCCCTCCACCCATACTGTCCCCATTTGTCGACGTGAACAGGCGATATGGTGTTGCAAGACTTGGACAGGGACGTCTTGCGACAGATATCACAGTATCTACCTGAATACGCTCTCTGGAAGGTTCACGACATCCACCCCATCTTTTTCGAGTCATGGATGAAGGCCCGCTACAGCTCGGTGAATTTTGAACGATCGGACAAGCAAATGAAGAGGCTTTGGGCTCATCTTCGGTTTATCTCTCATTGTTTCTTCAGAATCTATGTAAGCTAACCTCAGGTTTACGGCAGGGAGGACTACGTTGCCGAACGGGTCAGCCGAGTTCGGATTCAGCCTTGGCTCATTCAGCCCCGCAACCGGACGGAGAATCTCTGGAATCGATTTTGCCTGGTGCTAGATCCTGATCATTTAAAGAAGCAGGCAGAGAGGCGGTTGGAAAGGCGTATGAGGAAGGATATTGACCGTGTCAGGAGTGCTCTTGGGGCGATGAAGCGTGTGGAGGAGTATGAGATTACATGGAACGAGGAACGACGGTACCATCGTCAACTCTTCGATGCTTTCCTCCAACCCGTGCTGCGTGACTGGGCACACACTTTGGTGACGTTGTCCATTAAACTCCCCCCGGAGCTTCTTTCCTTGCTTGTTCGGGTGAATCTTCCTCGGCTTGAAAATCTGGAGGTTACGTTTCATATGGCTGGGCTGCAAGAAAGGGACATTCACATTGCACTGGACGGATTCATCGTATTCGTTCACAACACCAAGGACTCTTTACGATCGCTTTCAATCCTATCCACTTGCTCTTCCGAGAACCTTGACCTCTCTCGGTTGTTCAAATTACTCAAGAGATTCCCCCGACTTTGTTCGGTGTCGCTCTCTATCCCTTTCGATGGGGGACACCTCTCCAACCCAGCCAGCTTCTCCAGTTTTCTGGAGATGCACCGAGAAACACTTCAGCGTCTTTCCCTCAACGCCAGCAGGTGCACCCCAGTCCATACTGGCAAGTACGACCCCGATTGTATCAACTGGATCCAGAGAATCATGCTGTCAGTCCATGTGCCCTTCCCGCAGCTTCGCAGTCTGGAGTTGGCTTTGAGACCTTTACGCGCGCCATTACACATTTTGTCCGACTTCCTCACCAAACATTGCCCTACCCTCGAATCCCTCATCCTCAACGATCGCATTCTTACTTTTGCTGATGTAGAGTGCATCCTTGAGCCATTCGAATCCATTCAACCAGAGGCGCTTACTCTCAAGCACCTTCAGTTCCGCGTGTCATACCTCAGCCCTGAACTCCTTTTCTTGCTGGCCTCACGACTTCCCCGTCTCCGGTCTCTAAGCGTGTACTTCACCGATGTCCTTCGTGATCAAACTAGGAAGAGGTCGTCATACAAGTCCGAGGAGCTGGTGAGTAGTAACACTCAACACTTTTGATGCCGATTGCTCACGTTGCTACAGCGTATGTTTTGCCGCGCCATGCGCCAACGACGGATCGATTTCAGGTCTTGGGAACTACGGCACATTGCCATTCCACCGGACCCCCACAACCCAAGGTGGCTTTCCACTCTTGAAGAACTCCTTGTGGAGTGTATACCGGCGCTTTCTAGTGTCACGGAATTAGTTTCTGGTTCATGACCACGTCATCTATACCAAAGCCAGCTATGCATTCTCATTTCTCATCCTCTCATCTGACATTGTTGTACTCTCATCTCACTGTGCTACTACCACGGACTGTTTCCTATCATTATCCCATAACATTGTACTGACACTCACGACATTCACGACATATCCTTACCAGGGCTATACCTATGCTAATCTCTATTGTATGATTACCTTGCTATTCTATGCTATCGGTCACAAATATTGTACTATCTTTCCTGCTCATGCCCGCCCGACTTAACTTTCCAGAACGTTGAAAATTGGTTCAGTCCGGAAGCCCCGTTGTTCCATGCCTTTTCTTTGAATGCAAAACAGGAGATAGTATAAGTATACATCAAAGGTCCTTTTACAAGTCGTCAAAAAACAATCGTGAAGCAAGCTATATACATGACAGATAACAAACACGTCGAATGTTCCCGCCAAGCCTCCATCTAAGCAACAACCAACCGCATCTGCTCATATGAGTCCCCAATCCTCAACAACCCCTTGAAATGAACCTTATCCAACAAAAAATCAACCTTCTTCACCCCCTGCGCCCTAAGCATCATCTCCTGAGTCGCAGCAGTCCTACACCTCCTCGTATAAGCCCTCGCCACCTGCGTCTCCTCCCCCATACTCAACTTTGCCCAATCAACATGCGAGATCCCGACTTGCAAGTTCTGCCATACGGCCAACATGACATCGTACACCGTAATAGGGGGCGGAAGCCCGTTGGTTGGGGCGTTGTATTCGAGGTTAATGGGCCACTGCGGGATGAGGTCGCATATGATTTGTAAACGGTTAATGGGCGGGTGCGTGGCGGGTTGGTTGAGCTCGTCCGCGGAGAGCAAGGCGGATTGGCCTGGGCCCAAGTATCGGATTGGGGCGAATGTGGCTAGGGAGAGGTCGAACATCAGATCTCCGCGTGGGGATTCGCCGTTTAGGTATGGATGGATTTGGAGGCGCGGGGAGGAGATGGAGGGGTAGACTGGGTAGTAGGGAGATGAAGGCGAGGCGGCGGGCCAGAAGGAGCCCTGGCCTACGGGTGGTTGTTGGTTGAACCCGGGGAAGCCGGCGTGGTCGCCGAATGAGCGGGTTCGCTGGTGACCCATCGGAGGAGCTGATAGCCAGCCTGGGTTCACGTTGTCCACATTACCGTGCCAGGAAGGGCGGCGTGCACGGTAAGGAGCATTCCATGGTGAACCGGGTGAGCCGAATGGGTCGTTACTAGGAAAATTGACTTGAAAAGGACTGGGGACTGGGTTTGGGTTTGGGAGGGCTGATGGGCCGTGGTTGGGTGATGCAGGGAGAGAGCTGGGGTTACTGTACGGAGAAGGGGGGTATAGATTCGCGTCGGGAATGAATGGAGAATATTGGGCGTAGCTGTTCATGTAGGGGGTAGGTAGGTTGGACGGATGGGGTGTGTAGACGTATGGTGCGGACATTGTGATAGTAGTAAAGAGCGACGGCTAGTGAGATGAGAATAGTCCGCTAGTTATTGGCTGACTGATTATAGCACTGTACACGATGACTCACACGTCGTCGTTAATGTAGCGGTTCTGCTCTAATCCTCAGAACTCCTATTCCGGTAAAGCTGTGCTCTCACGCCCAGCAGGGAGTGAAAATGCGCAACTGAAGTAGCCTTGGGTATGATTCCTGAGAGCGCTCGGATAGTTTTGTTACAACAACCTAAAATGGCGATTAAGTTGCTCAGAGAGAGAGCGCCCGTAGGAGGATAGGAGAAACACACCAGAGTTGTAGGACACTTCTACCAATGGTTCTAAAGCTTTCTTCGTCGTTTATAGCTTTGCTGCGCTTTAGGGTATCAAGGAAGAAGACTCGGGGGTGAAGCACAGACGAGATGGTGGTAGATCAGATTAGAAAGAAAGATTGACTGCGATCCTGGGTTGGGCGTGATTTTTAGGCGCTCAACGTGAGCGCTGATTTTCCGGTTTGTAAGCCCTGCATAAAAGAGCACGTCAGACTTAAAGCTTAATATCTGACGGAGGAACTCACAGTGGAACGGGTATCGATGCAACGCCGAGGTCATGACCGAAATATTGCTGAATCCCGTTTGTTTTTATTCAACCCGCATTAGGTTACATTCGTTACCACGGAGACTTGTCATCACAGTCGAATTTTGCATCCGAGTCCTGCGTTGAGCAACCTTGGACGTTTGAACGTTCGAACGAGATTAGTTTGTTGATGACTCTGGTGATATATGCTGCAGGGACCACGAAAGCCTTCCGAAAAACGCCGAACCTAGCATTGAAAGAACAAGAGCATAAGCCTCGAATATGGATCAAACACGACATATACACCTTTGCGCAATGTTCAACTTGAATTCCCCTACTCAGACCTTGGAGAACCATGTCCCTGGCCGCCATCATCTTCCCGAGCAAAACCTTGCCTGAGGTAGGGTAGCTGTACAACCACGCAGCCCTTGCGCAGCACAAGCTTCACACCCCGCTCAAAAGCCGTTCTCGGGAGTCGGAACATAAAGACCTCCGCTTGGACTCGGATGATGCCTCTGGTTATTCGGGAGAAGAGGGCCAGTCGGCGACTAACGCATCGCGTGCCAGTCAGTTGAGATAAGTATTCTGAGAAAAAAATCGTATCGACTTGGCGCACCGCTTACCGTAGCAAGGGAAATTTTTGGGGCCCTCTCGAGACAACCGCAGTCGTACGTACCGGTACTAGTAGTACAAGTCAAAGAATCATAGCCAGAAGGGGACAATCAAGGAAGCGCCTGTCCCAATGCCGGACTTTGCCAGTAACGCACATCTAATTTTACGCTTCTTCCGACAGTTCCAGGCATTCGCATCGAAGGGGCCAAAGAAAAGCGTTTGTATCAGCGTCAAAATTTCATAGACGTCTACGCGCAAGCTGGTACGTATGGTTTACAAAAAATCAGGGGATGGCCGTCAAGTAAGAAGTCGGCCGTTCACTTCGTCCACACCTGGTTATTATTCCCATTGCTGCACTGCCAAGTCTGCACCTTGCCCCCATTCTTCGTGTTCCCACTTTCCAAGTCCAGACATTGTCCTAGAATGCATCGCGAAAAAATGAATATGTGTCTCCTCCAAAAACAAAAACAAAAAAATAGGAAGAAGAGAAACGAACCTTTCCCCTCCAAAGTAATCTTATTATCATTCCCATACATCCACTGTTGAGCCGCAAGGTTATCATAGCACTGCCATATTTTCATGGCGACGCCGTTCGCGGGGGCTAAGTAGTCGCGCGCACGCATTTATCAGATTCAATTTACTTCAAGGCAACAAAGCAACGTACCAGACCCAGCATCAAGACAATAATTTGTACCCGCGACTAGGATCTTCGTGCTGCCCTTGCTGAGAACCCATTTCTGCGCTCCGGTGCCGTTACAGTCGTATCTGCACAAAATGTGTTCACGTCAGGGGGGATGGCATAATTAAAAGAAGAGACGGAACGGACATCTGAACAGGGGTTCCGTTCGCATACACAGCGGCTTGAACGTCCAAGCATTTGTTAAGGTTTCCATTGGGATGGAGGGCGCTGCCGGTGGGGGGGAACGTCCCTCCTGGACAGAATCTGACGATCGAGTTAAGAGTCAGTTGATCAGGAAAGAAAGGAAGGAAGGGATGCGAACGAACGTGATATCGTATATAATATTAGTGTATGGGCAGGAATATACCGGAGCTGCTGGTGGGACGCCACATTGGGGCGCTGGGAACGCTGTGGGTGGCTGGGAGAACGCGGTTGAGCAGGAGGAAGTGTCGCATGTTGCTTTCACGCAGAACCCGTTGTTCTTGTGTCAGTCAGATTTTATTAAATAACTAAGAAGGATGGGTACGTACAGCGGTAAATCTTGGGGAGATGGTTATGGCGGTGTTGAAGTGGTTCGGGTCTTTGACAATGTAGTAGTAATATTTCTATGGAACAAATCCAGTCAGTAATCATCAATTCCAACGAAAAATCCCCCATGGTCAACTTGAAAGAACGCACATCGCCATAAAATCCCGCCCTAGTTGACCCAACGCCATTCTGACTCCCGCCATTGGCGTCCGTGTAAAAGAGTCCTGCGTCCGCACCCCCCAGAATCTTCGTCGTACTAATCCCCGTGGCCAAAGTGCTGTCGAGATTCCCATTGATGTATAGATTGATGGAACTGGGACATTTATTGGTCACGACGTATTGGGTTTGGGCCAACGCGAGGTGGGTGTAGGCGAGTAGTGAGAGAATGAGGAGCATATTCTGGAGAAGTGATAGGATCGTTGAGAGAAGGAGGAATACCAGTGACAGGAGGGTAGAAGAGGTGGTATGCCAAGGATTTCGTTATGTATGGGGCGCATTTCGTTGAACGAACGAATGAATGCTTCGCATTCCTAGAGGTTTGAATAAGGGGCTTGGCTGCAGTTAATTAAATATTTCTAGACTCGAGCTTACCGTCAACGCTTTCAAATCTATCAGGTGGGTTTTGTCCAACATTTTCCGAAAAGTCCGGAACCACAGGATTCTTCTGGTGTATCTGGACAGGCCGTTCAAATGTTCGCGCTCTTTAAGAGCGGTAGTTGTCATTAGATGTAGGCGCTGGCAGATAGGAGAAAAGGATTGTAGGAGCCCGTGCGTGTACTGAACCGCTACTCTCCAGTTGAACCAAAGACGCGAAAATTGGGGCTTTGCCCCCGGCCCCTCGTAAATCCCATTAAAGCACGCAATTGACGATTATTGAAGCGACACAAGTACTTCGGTGTAAGCTAGCTTCGCGTTGACCAGATCCGACGCGGTCTTCGCACAGTTCCTGCAGCCAAGCCTGGCTGCGCAAAAAACGAGGGAGCAACAGCTGTATAGTGCGTGTTAACTAATACCTTCCTTCTCAGAACCAAAAACTGCGTGATTGGTTAGCATTTGAGTCGCCCCGAATGGTAAAAACGCGTTGTGGACCCGGGCAAGGTGTGGGCCAAGGTAACAGATTGAAGTGACACGTGACCAGATTACTCTTGCCACCGACCACTGCAGCACGACACACGACATGGACGTGCTGCTAACACCTCTGAGCACAGCGCTCACGACGATGAACTCGATACTAACTACGATGAACACGACACTCGTTCATCCAGTCTATTTTCCATACCCTCTCGCGCCTGCACTACATGCAGCCCGCATCTCTATTGCTTTCCAGATAGCACAGCGTAAATCTCCTGCATCTCCGTCGTGGGGGACGTATATCTTTGGCTATCTCATTACGGTGTGGTCCACTTGCTTTACTTTTTTGCTTTCACTCTTATGATTTATATATATAGTGCTGGGCAGGTGGATTATTGTCACATTTCCTCCTCGGCCTACCCCCGCCCATGCTCTATTCATTCCACCCATATATCATTTACATCACCGTACATCTTGTCTCGACGCTCTTATTTAGCCTCTTTCCATTTGTACGTCTCCCCCACTCTCATATTTTCCTTCATTCAAATAATCACAGCTCCTGTCCGCCCCCGCACTTATCGACACCCTTCTCTTCCCCCTTGACGCCCTTCTTCGTGCGAACACAGTCGCACTAAACCTCGCTCACCTCTCCCTCCCCCTCTCTCCCTCTTCACGGACTCCCTTGCAATACGCCCTCTCGCCCTTCTCACATCTTCTCTTTGGAAGCATCGCAGTCGCCTCGGGGGGTATAGCGCTATCCACCTTCTCACTTGCTTCCAATCAGTGGAGTTTGTCAACTCCACATGTGTTAAGGTCTACTGCGGGACTGTGGGATAACACGGACGTTTGGGCGGGTGCGTTAGCTGGTGGGTCCTTACTCTTTTCTTCTCTCTTGCCCATTATTTACTCATTTTTTATCGACAGCATACATATACAGCAGCACGACACATCATCCCGCATTCACATTCGACTCGAGATCCAAATTTCAATACCCATTGGTGAATTTGGAAGGCCGCCTTCCCTTCGACGCACAAACGGCGAAGTCCCTCTCGGCCTTTGTGTTGGTGGCGATCTACGCTACGCGCGTAGTTGCGGTGCATTATCTGCCGTCGTGGAAGTCTTCGACGAAGACTCAAACGAAAAATAGTCCTTCGGCGAAAAAGAAGACGCAGTGATTCCACCCGGATTGTTCATAACGTCGCAATTTTGGATTCATCAACTGGATTTGATACACAGTTTATATACGGGATGCAACACCAGCAGGCTATTGTACCTGTAAGTAATTATTTGAGTAGCGTGTAATGTACTTCGTACTTGACTTCATACTAATGTGCCATTCCGTAAAGCTGCCGTCGAGAAAAATCAAAGATGGTAGTTCAAATAAATTTGTTCAACTCTCAGTAATTATGCACATGTCACCGCCTCCTAACCATTTGTTGCGCCGTGGTTGAGCGAACGTTGGGCCATCCAAGAGGTTGCCAAGAGTAGACGTGATTTTTTATCTGCCACAGAGCGGAGTCTTAAAACGCCTCTATTCACCGTCGTGAACACTCTGAACCGTGACATACCCAGGAAATTATGTTCAACAGATTTTCGACCACGAAATGTCCTACGTCTCCCCCCGTCTCACACATGTGATGTGCTGGCAATCACCGGCGACCCATATATGGCAATCCTCTGACTTAGGGCAATGTGCCATTGCCCTAAGTCGGCTCGAGAACGCGCTACCGCGCGTTCTCGAGCGCCTAACCTACCCTAACCACCTAACCATTAACCCTAACCACCTAACCACCTAACCTTACCAAGAACGCGCTACCGCGCGGAGAGAAAAATATCCCTATCCCTAACCATGAACCCTAACAACTAACCTAACAAGAACGCGCTACCGCGCGTGGAGAAAAATATCCCCCATCCCTAACCTTAACTAACCCCTAACCTAACCGATAAGTAATTGTTTGATACATTAAAAAAGAAATGGAGCATATAGAATTGAACACAAGACACTTTGGTCAGAGTACAAAATTCAGTGCAATTAACCACTCCGCCAAACTGGCATTTGTTTTTTGTGTTCGTCATGCACTATATGCTAGTGTACCTTCCCACAGCCTTATCATCTTTCCTTTTAAGGAATGTGAGACGGGGGGAGAGCTGGGCCATTTATCCACACACCCCCACGACCAATTGCAACTCTTTGGTCTTTCATCCTACCTTGCCGCATCCGACACTCAAACTACTCCGACGTTCTTAGTAGGAGGCAGCGCACTTCTGCTACTAAGATGTGTTGAACGTGGAGGAGTAGAATACTTCAACGCGTCGAGAAAGCACCTCTTGCCTTGTCGTGATGTGTGCCTCGTAGGCACTCGTTTTTAGGTTCTGCAAATTTGACGACTGTCGGTAGAGATTCGGACGACTAGGGAACCTAAGTTGGATGGGAGAGGGCCAACACAGTTTCAATAAGTAGCGACGGGGTACGTGAAGGATGAAGATGATGACACTTGGGGACTCGGGGCGCCTTCGCCTTGCTTTGACTGAGCTCAAACTGAAGTTGACACCGCGGCAGTCGACGCTACCTCAGATCTTATGGGACGATGTAGGGAAACACTGTACTGGGTAAGCCGTTTATAGTGATCTCTCCGGCTACCCTGCTGTGACTTAGAGCAGGCGATGCGAAGATAATATAAATGTACTTATGTTTTCAGTCGTTTCAGGTCCCTCCCGGCCAGAACCTGTACTTTCCCCGACTCAGATCGAGTCCTTATGGCACCTTCGGCCAGTTTCTCAACATATGGCCTCATACTTAGGGTTTTCTCCACCTTTTTGGGCGACTCTCAGTGCTTTCTGCCCATCCGGACTCCTCAAGTTTTAAGCGCTTATGGGACCGACAAGGCCCAGGGGCGAAGATAGCTGCGCTTTTTACTTCACCACTTCACACTGTTTGTAAGCGCCACTTTCAATTATCGTCCGGGACATCGGGTGTCTACTTAGGTTTATCAGAGTTTCAATTCTTTAATCACAAAAATTCTCAGACAGCCACGGACAGGCATGAATAAAAGGGTTGTCAGCCCGCTTTGGACAAGTTCCTGAATCACTTCTAGAGTCTACGACTAAGCTCAACATCATATGGCCTCATACTTAGGGTTTTATCCACCTTTTTGGGCAACTTTTGGTGCTTTCTGCCCATCCGGACTCCGCAAGTTTTCAGCGCTTATGGGACCGACAAGGACCAGGGACGAACATGACTGCGGTCTTTACTTCACCACTTCACACTGTTTGTAAGCGCCGCTTTATCAATTGTCGTCAGTGTCATTCGGGTGTCTACTTAGGTTCATCAGAATCACACATGTTGTTTCATTTTTTATCTCAAAAAATGTCGGACAGTCACGGACAGGCATGTATAAAAGCGGTTGTCGGCTGGCAGCCTGCCATGTTTAGAGTCTACGACTAAGTGAGTATCATAGAACTTTTCTGTTGAGCGCGTTCTCAAACCCAATCAGGTTTTCGCTATGCGTAAGCTCTTCGTTCTCCTGTCCGTCCCCATATTGCTGCCAGCCGTTATCGCTGCAGTCAACCTTCCCCCTCCAGACAACCCTCACCCTCCAAACAACCCTCCCCCTCCAAACAACCCTCCCCCGCCAAACTGCCTGGACAGCATTCGAAGTGGAGCATTCGGGACCGCAGGCGGTAGAGACAACCATGGGAACCCTGCGGACATATCAACCGCCACTGCCATCACATACGAATTATGCCTAGCAGCCTGTGGGGCCGGTCCAGGGCCTTTCCAATGGTCTCCTTTCTCCCAGCAGTTTAGCTCATGGCTTTTGCCATGGTTGGCTTTGGTGAGCCAACTCCCGTTTGGATCAAACGACAAACTCGATAATTTGGATTCTATGCTGCTGACCATCGGCTCACCGGCCCTGGCGGCCTATTCCCTTGCCCTGACAGCACTGAATAAACGTTGGATAGCGCGTCGCTTTGCACGACTCACATACCCGAACATCCGACACGCCATCCGCATTTTCAACAATTTACAACAGGTACCATTGAGGATTGTGAAGGATGATGCACTCCTCGCTTCCCTTGTTGTCCTTTGGCAAAATGATGAATGGTGGGCTGAACTCGATGAGTGTCTCAACGATACACATTCCTGGTCCATTTCCACGGTTACTTCAATTGCCTGGGTTGTAATCGCATACGTTTTCACTGTGCTGGACTCTTTCACCACAGATCTCGGGCCATGCAGTCAAGCGATTGGACAGGCAGTCGCGTCACTTTGGTTATGGCTCCTGCCTATCATCATCGGTTGGATGATGATATCACCGAAATGCGACTCTCTCAGATTGAGCAGCACGATAGAGCGTGCAAATAGAATTGCCTACGTTGCTACAGACGACGGCAGCATCATCCCTACAAGCCATTCTGGCTCCGAAAAACACGCTGTCGAACTCACAATCTCGGAAGGGGATACACTCACTTGCGATGAGAAGCGCACGGCGGCCGTTTACCATTACGCAAAGTTCCTGTCCTGGGTGATGGCAGTGGAGGAGGTGTGGGAGGCGTTTCATGGCGCATCAGATCACTATTACAGCCACCTTCCTGTGGATCCGACCATCAATTGGGAAACAGTTGATAGGAACCAGCGACCCCCTGAGCGCAATCGCGTCGGCAATCGGCGTCAATTGGAGGAGTACTGCAGACCCCTCCGTGCCCGGACAACTCGCAGCTGTTGGGGGCCAAATGTGATCTCGAGAATGGTCATCGCCTCATTTCTTGCCATGGTGTTGCAGTGGGGAACGGCAGGTTCAGCCATTATTGTAATTTGGTTCACTCCCACCATCGGTAAGCTTGAACATCGCCGTAGGTGTCTGTTGATTCTCTGACCGATTCGATGATTAGGTTTGAGCTGTCGTTCAGCTTCGTTTATCGTCTACGCAGTCCTATCTACCATCGTTTGGATTCTTCTCGTTTCCTCCAGCATCCTGACACATTATGCCACCATGCAACCCCTCGATTTCAGACACTGGCATCAGCCTTTCAACGACTGGTCCATAAGGGCCGCCAGATTGACCTCCATCTTCCTTCGGTGTATCGGGAAGTTGATCGCCACGCTCAACGCCATCTGGATCCTTGTTTCATGCATGCTCCAGCTCAGCAACTTCTATGATACGTGCTACTGCAATAGCAATGTTTTCTCATTACAGGGTCGTGCGTACACCGTCATTCAGTTAGTGGTTGGTGATCTTGCAGGCATGATGGGTGCGCGGATAGGTGGTGTGTGCCTGGCGGCAGGAGTCGTGGTGATATTCGTTGGGTTCGTCGTCTTGCATCAGTAAGATCAGGTTTCAAGATTAGAATGCTGGACCGGAGGTGAGGAAGGTCCGGCCATCAGACCTGAAAAACAAAAAGGGCCCACCTAAAAAAGAAGTTGGAGGTTCTAAGTCCTACAACATAGTGACGTAGTGAGTTCGTAGATGTAATCTGTGTCGAGAAAAATCAAAGACGGTGGTTATAGAATATCGTTCCTGACTTAGTTCAAGTTCAACTCGAAATTCAATTTAGCATGTACTCCACTTCAGAGCAATAAAAAAACACTTCTAAATGCCCGCGGGCTCATGCGCCAGGCATTTGAATCCACGAGTCGTCAGTCCGACTCAAACGGACTCGGATAAAATCTGGCACCCACAGCTATTCACACCCAATTGCAACTCAAGAGGCCCTCATCCTTCCTTCCCGCCTATGAACTCAAGTCACTCTGGATAACTTCAAAAATCCGCAAACCCCTCAACCAACAACTTAATCATTCATCACTTATGCATGAACGCCAATCTTTCAGTAAACATGAGATCGAAAGGGATGCAATTTGGGAGGGGCGCGCAGCTGTTGTGAGTAGGAGGCTAAAAGGTGTTCAACGTGGAGGAAGTATGCTTCGACGGAGTGTCGACAAAGGACCTCTTGCGTCGTGCCATGTCAACAGTGCGCCTCGCGGGGATTCGTGTTTAGGTTCTGCAAATTTCGAGACGGTGTCCGGAAAGATTCGGAGAGCTAAGCGGGATAGGAGAGGGGGTCAACCAAGGGTCAACGCAATTTCAACGATTAGCAACGGGGTAAGTGAAGCTTGAACTTGATGATGACTGTCACTTGGTGTGCACATGGCATTCAAAGACTTCCCTCATTTTCCTTGGTTATCGGCAACAACTTGCCCCAGTGAAGTACTTTTACAATTTATTTGTGAGTGGAATAATCAAGAAAACACGCCGAAGGTCAACGTTCAAATTTAGGACATTTACTTACCCTCGCAATCGTCGTGGCATCGCTGACCACGCGCTTGTAGTTGCTCAATGGTTCTTTTTTTCTCACTTCTGGACACCAATGACGTGCAAAATCTACGAACGTGCCATGTCGACTTGTTGCTTCCGAGAAGCACATGCGGGTGTTACATACAAAGGAGACGGACGATATGCTGATAAAGTAAGCCAGTCCCATATATGCGAGATGCTGCCAGCCTGTCCCCTCTGACCTTACGATCTTGGCCGCACTTAGCTGTAGAGCGAAATGCGTTTCCTTCTAGTTTCCGCCGCGTCAGTGCTTCACTTTTCCGTCAGCGTTTCAGCGACTGTAACGGCCCTCTTCAACCGCAACATTGCTTATCATTCTCCTTTTGAGAGAACCCCCGAGGCAAGGATGGGTTCTATACTCTTGTGATTTTCTTCTAACAATAAAACAGCTATCTCACAACACCCTCTCGATTCACAAGAGAAATGTCGATGAATATCTGGCGCGAAGACAGACAACAGACGCAACCAAATTCGACGATGCCCATTACCCTGGCTTCTATACATCTGACTTCAGTAACGTACGTACCATCTCCTCTCTGATTTCGCTCAATACCTCATCCTACACAGAGCCCATTCATTTGGAGCGGTGGCCTGACTTTCACGCACTCAGTAGCAAGTGGAGACCCCTTCGACTCATCCGTCATCCTCTGGACACGTGCCGTGCCCAAATCTCTCGACGGAACGACCTTGCTACCTGATCAAAGCGTCCCCGCGTGTGTCTCTTACAGGGTATATACATTCCCCACGCTCTCAGGTAAACCTGTAAGCTCGGGTGAGGCCTTCACGAGCTACGACGTCGATTGGACGGTCAAGGTAGAGGCTACGGGCCTGAAACCAGACACCAAGTATTTCTTTCAATTCGCAGATTGTGCAAATGTGCAGACGGTTAGCCCAGTCGGGATGACAAGGACTATCGCTAGTCCCCACAGTAAGGACTGGTTCCCTTCGTTCTGTTGCGAATTTCGATTTACTCAATCTTCCCAGCTGCTGCGAAGCATGTTAACGGTGGCGATCCGCTGACCTTTGCTGTATTCTCTTGCTCTCAATATCAGTCTGGTCAGTCTAGGTCATTCCCATCCGTAACTGAAGCTCGACTCACAACTTCGACTTGAACTTTCTGTAAGGTTGGTTCAATGCTTATGGCTTTGCGGCACGCAACACCAGTGCTGATATCTTCGTCCATCTCGGAGACTACGTGAGCCCTTTCATTCTTCTCTTTTTCTCTATCAAATATAAATTGCTGTGGTGGCAGATATACGAATATGTTCAGGGAGGGTACGTACTCTTTTGAAGAACTGGATTTTACACAGCAGTACTTACCATTTCGCGTTGTGGACAGTGCTTCGATTGGTCGCACCGTCCTAGGGCGGGAATTAGCAACTATCCATGATTACCGTCAGAGGTTGAACCAGTACAGGACCGATGCGAGCCTCGTGGCTGCGCATGCCAAAGCTCCTTGGATTACTGTCTGGTGAGCTCCGAATATCAACCAATGAACGTAGCATAGCTGAACATTGTCAGGGCACGTTCCAAATCCCTTTCGCTCTCCAAATGCATTAACATTGAGCACAGGACGACCATGAAGTTGCAGACAACACCTGGAAAGCTGGTTCCGCAAATTCCAACGACTCTGCATCAGGATGCACCTGGTCCCCCTCAGGGGCATGCTTCACAGATAGAAAGTTCGCTGCCATTCGCGCGTACCACGAATGGATGCCCATTCGCCAGGTGGATGCGAGCGATAAATTGAGAATTTGGAGGAATTTTAAGATTGGGAAATTGTTGGATTTGACGATGCTGGATACGCGTGAGTTGACTGATTTATTGTCCCAGATGCATGGGTTGCCGATCTGATGTATGTTATAGGTGTGTATGACAGGGATCTGACGGATGTTTACTATAACACTGGTAAGTTTGCCTGTAAGCCTAACGACGAACACTTTGATCACACTTCATTTCAAAGAACGTAAGCGCTCCATGCTATGTGCTCAACGCCGCAGCAATTGAATCACTGTGATGTAGTCGTCAATAGTATTGCGGCTTTCCCTAACCGTTCCATTATGGGATTGGCACAAGAAAAATGTACACATGCGACTCTGACTACGCAAATGATGTCCAGACTTGACAAACGTCCGTTCTAGGGCTCTATGACACAATATCTCGTTCACAAGAACGGGGCGCTGTCTGGCGCGTGATAGGGTATGTTATAATCAACAGAAAATCTATCTGCGAGCTGGGTTTCACGCCGCATAGTCAACAGATCGTCTTTTCCCAATTAAACTTTGGAGGATCTTGTAAGCTCCAGACATCTTGAGAGGACGTTAGCACGCTCACGCTGATTCCTTTTTTTTAGTCGACTTGGTGAGACCCTCAGCCGTTAATTAATATACGCAATATAACAATTAAATCAGGATGCATGGGACGGCTACCGTGCAAATCGCGGACGTGTTTTGGACCATCTTTACCGGAACAAAATAAAGAACACCGTCATTTTGTCAGGGGACAGCCACGCCAACTGGGTTTCTGACCTCGCTCGTACGGTTATTTCAGCTCTTCATATCATGGGTTTCAATGACAAGAGGCCTAATTCGCAGATCCAAACGACACAGTGACGTAAGTCGCGATTCCCCATTATAGAGAGGGTCTCTGACAATTAAACAGCTACAACCCCAAGACGGGTGCTGGCTCCATTGGTGTCGAATTCGCGGGCACAGCAGTGACCTCCCCGTCCGCTTTTGGCGCATGGATCACACCAGCAGCAGCTAACAACATTTCCCGACAACTCGTAGCCATCAACTCCGATCTTCAGTGGAGCGAAGCATCTTACAGGGGCTTTTTCACGTTGACGATTGATAGCGAGACGTTGAATGCGACATATTATGCGATGAATAATATCAGTGAGAGCGTCCTTTGTGTTTGGCGTCACGTCGTTGATAAGCTGGTGACTGTAGGTTTCGCAAACTTGGACGGTTTCGCAAGCGCCAATTTTGTTGTGAGCAATGGAGAGAATAAACTTTCGAGGCCTGTTGCTGGGGGCGTTGTTAAAGCTAGTGTTTTGAAGGACGTGTAGAAATTCATGTTGTTTAGTTGGCAAAATATTCATTCATTTCGATTCGGATCATGTCGCGGCATATAGTTAGATTATTATTCGATTATACGATGGGTGCAAGTCGGACATCATTGCACGACTTTGTCGAAGTTGAGAAACACAGCATTTCATCTTCAACGATTTAGCGAGAGAGCCAAACTGTTTTTAATTGACAACCAGAACAGTAAAATATCATGTTTTTCTCTTCTAACTTCATCGCGCTTTCTGTAGGTGATCATCAATTTTTAGGTTCATTCAGAAACTACTCTGACAAAATATCGACCACATTTTGTTCAGGCCTTTCCAAATGACGGATCTTTGGAAAGAAGAGATGACAAGTTCGTAAACTCAGGTCTCCATCTGTCTCCATATCCAACCTTGATGAACAACTTCTGTAATGACATTCCCCCCTTAGATGTGAAGCCCTCTCAAATCGACAATCCTTCTCCATTGATCAGCGGTACCAATCTTAATCCAGGGCAGTGATGGAGGGTAAGCTACAGAATGCACGCAGAATAATCCGCTTTCGTTCAGATGCGTAATCTCGAGAGGCCAAGCCTGGGCGTGGATCAGCTTAAGTACACGAGAAAGATCCATCCGCGGGACGATCTCGAGGTATTGCGGACGTGGATTTGCCAAATTTCGGTGCTGGGTAATGGATGATCACTTTCAGGAAAGAAGAATCGAACCATGTCGACGCGGTCCTTGGTTGGTGCGTCGGAATCTCGCTTTACCATTTCAGCTGTCGCCTTAAGCACCGTAGCAGTCTAAGCAGCACGGTGTAAACCACCAAGTTGGGCTTGACCCCCATGGGGAGGCGGGTACATGAGCACCATTCTGCCACTCCTAGTCTAAAAGCGGACGAGTCAGCTGGAAGCTGGAAAAAGCTCATTTGTTTTGTATGCGCGCTTACATTTAATCGGGCGTCAACGCCAGAGTGGGCTCTGAGCATAGCTCGTGAAGAGCATCGAGTTTTTGCATTTTAGGGAGTTTCTGCAGGGGAGCACCAGTGTCAAGGGCTTTCCTGGACCTCTGTGATGAGAGTTTGAGGTTGGTCCTTAGCATGTTGAAGAGGAGGATGTTAATGGATGGTGGCACAACTCCCACAATCCCCAACCAAACAACTTTTTGACCTCGACGTCGTTGTGGTAGACTCGATAGAAGCTATGGACTCTCACCTCACTACGTCACTCTATAACAATGTCTACATCGTACATCCACCCACTCCATCTATCCCACCAAACTACCCCAACGCCATCAGCTACACCCAATCACCAATAATTCCCAACTCGAACCTGTACCTTCTTTCTCCGTCCAACGCTGGCCCCAATTCTCTCCCTGCATCTCCCTATCATAACAATGCCGCCTCCCCCGGGTTCAACCAACAACAACCACCCATCGGCCAAAGCTCCTTCTGGCCTGCCTCGCCTTCCTACCACCCACTCCCACTCTACCCCTCCATCCCATCTCCTCCCTTCCAAATCCATCGACACCTAGACGGCGAATACCCTCTCATCTTCGACCTATCCCTACCCACATCCTCGCCAATGGTGTGTGTGGGCCCAAACCACGCCATCATGCTCTCCGATGAAGTCCTCAACCAACCCGCCACTGACCCGCCCATCACGCATCTACAAATCATATGCGACCGCATCCCGCAATGGCCCATCCACCTAGGTCAAGGATACAACGCCCTAAGCCCAAACCTCGGCTCTCTGCCCCCTATTAGGGTGGGCGATATCCTGGGGGCGATATGGCAGAACTTGCATGTGCAGGTCTCGCTTGAAGATTGGGTCAAGTTGAATATTGCGGAGGGGACGGAGGTGGCGAGGGCATATACGACGAGGTGTAGGAATGCTGCGAGTTGCGGGATGATGGTTGACGCGGAGGGGGTGAAGAGGGTTGATTTTTTGTTGAAGGAGATTTGGTTTAAGGAGTTGGTGAGGATTGGGGAGTCGTATGACCAGATGCTGTTGGTTGTTGCCTAGATAGAGGTTTGACAGGAACGTTGGCCTTGATTCGAAGTGTTATCTTTATGACATATAGCTTGCTGTCCTAATTGTTTTTTGACGACCTGTAAAAGGACCTTCGGTAAATATAGATGGATTGTACTAGTAAAGGATTACGAGTATGCCCGTAGACCCCGTATGCTGCAGCTCGAGCAGGTCGCTTTAGTTGGCACCATTCTCCCGAGGGACCCGCATAGCAATAGAATTAATCTTACGCTGATGAATCCCGCGCCTTTCATGGACGCTAAAAAATGCCCTCATCCCGACTGTGGAGGGGGAAGAGAAACGTGGTAGGACGCTCATGTCGCCATTAACCAGTGAGATCAGAATTCTGTGGCCCATGAGAGGGGCAGGTGGCAGTGAAACATCTGAAATTGTAGGTGACTCTTGGGTGACTCAAATGAGGGAGTCGCACTGCGAATTCGATAAGAGGGCGGACGCCCGGGCGGTAGAGGACCACGTGGAGTGACTGGTACTGCTAACTTTGTGGAGGTGGTACGGCGGGACGTTTATGGGGCAGAGAGGGCCCGTCGGTGAGTCCCCTTGAAGGGAGGTGGTGGCGTGTTGTTATATGCCATTGATCCTAGAACTGACGGAGTGCTAAACATCAGTCTGAGAGTGAGAACAAAAATTGTAAGTCCTTGCTTACCTACTGGTTTCATGAACAAGAGAACCAGAGGTGCAGAGTAAGACCTTTGCATCGTTTGAGTGATCTTCTTGACAACCAATTGACAAAAATGGTCCCAAGGTTTCTTCAGTGCAACCTTTATAAAGGGAAGCGGCATCAAGCGCGTCGCACGGAAATCCAACACAACCACAGTAATCGGCCCTCCTGCGTTGTAGTACGCTTCGTGTCGTGTTGAAATCGGAAGGACAGAGGCACACGTGGGCGCGTCTGTCAGATTACGTAAACGGACACGACACCAGCTCAAAACTGCAAAGCTGAAGGGTTTCGTTGGTTTGAACAGAAATACGGAATCAAACTTGCTGACCATCATCGACAAAATAGTAACATTCCCTTGCGCCTGAATACCCTAGTACGGGAAGCTGGTATCGCTATAGGGTGTTGCTTCGCTCCACGACGACATGAATCTAGTGTCAGTGACTTTCTGGTCATCACACAGATGCAGCGCGGGGAGTGGATAAACGACGGGCCGGATAATTATGAGGAAGTTTATCAAGAAGATTTGAAATGTCATTCATCTGCGATTGAAGACGAAGCGAAACAGCGGTTGGAAAATGAGATGGGTTTGTGGGCACCCTTGTACGGTTTGCTGACTCCTCTCTCTGTAGGCATCAAGACATCTGGGTTCAAAAGCTATTTTACTTAATGGTCACACGGAGAAATGCTCGCCCAAACCGATGGGAAGCATAGGTGGAGCTTATGGATTTCATCAGGACGGAGATTCTGGTTGGTGGAGATCGAGGCGCAAACAGGGAGTGCATGACGATGGACGGAAGGGACAAGAATGTGAGAGGAGGCCGTTATGTTGACCGTGACGGACAAGGTTATACCATACAGATATCTTGCTTACTATCAAAAAGAAATAGAGGACTGAGCAGGCAATTTCCGAGGACGGGGAGCTGGCGAGCTGACATCGGTCGAGTCGTATACGCGGACAAATAACAACCCTCATGCTCATGAAGACGTTTCGCTTGTGCCGTTGCACCTCTTTGGTTGGATCGTCCATGCGAGCCGTTTTGCGCGCTCATCTTTTTCCACCCTCCATGTCCACTCCGTTGGCATTGCGGCGGTAGTGTCCGATGCCGTAGCTGGTCCGTTTACGTCACAATCTGCTTTCCACCAAAGCTCTTCGACACAGGTGCAGAACTCTAATCGCAGGTGCTCGGGTGATCTGATCACAAGGTTGATGATATATCAAGTCCAACGGATGAGGCAATTTGGTTCTTCTCGTACTCGCCCTAGCTCCACAATATTCAGTCCACCTTCCTCCTCTTCAGCACAACCATCTGCTCTCTTCTCCAATCTAGGCATGAACAGTGGTGGCCAGCGCGAGGACACCTTCGACCTTTGATTTCCCATCGCAATCATAGTCCTCTCTCCTCTTCGCATCTGTCCTCAGCTGTTCGGATCCACTTTTTTGGGCGGGTTCTTGATGATATCAGCGACATCATGCCTTCTCTGAGGAGTCCTATCTGCCACTGGGACCTTCGTTAGAGCCCTTTTCGGCGCTTACAGCATTATAAGTACGTTAACGCAATTCCACGACGTCGCAAATCGGCACCAATATCCTAAGGATGGGATGGCGTGATGGACATCCACTGGCAGTGTCTCATGACTCGGGCGAAGGTTGATAAGTACCCGTGAATCATTCTGCACTTCAGTTCATAACAAACTTGTATAGTAATTCAATCGGGTGTTCTATCCGATTCTTCGCTCTCAGAATTGCGACATCATACGCCTTGCAAACGACACTCGACTCCGAGGTTGACCAACTTTCTTACAGTATGCTTATCATTCAAGAATACACTTTGAACCCCAGATCCACTTGCAACATTTCTCTGATATGGCTTTCTAAACATATGAGTTACGAGGGAGGCATCCTTTTCGGATTTCCCACAACCTAACTCGATTGAGGGTAAGTATTGACCAAAGGTATATATAGTGTCAGAGTTTCCCCATGATTCTCCGTCCACTGCAGACGCCTTTTCAACAACAATGTCTATCCCTGCTGGCGTCTATCGTATTGCTCGCTGGGGGTCCCACGAACATGGTCAGGTTTTGACCCTCAAGGATGACCGCATCACCGTCCTTCCTCCTGGTGGGGCGCCTGAAAGGGCTCAGGAGGTGATTGTAGTTTTTTGACAAGCCCGTGGTCTGCCACTAACCAATGTTTATCCACAGTGGCGAGTCGAGACTGTAGGGGGCGGCGGAGTCGCCATCCAGATCCCCGCCAACATCTTTCCTTCCCGCTCCCTTTCTTATGAAGGGGAGGCAGAGAAGGGAAAGAGGATCATACCTGGGCCCCTTAATGACTTTCCGACTCGCAAATGGCTCATTGAACGTGCACCGCAGTTGCCATTGCCTGTACCTTACTTGTCAGTTCGCCACCCCGATGCTTCGATTCACTCATCATTAACCTTTTCGTTCATGAACTGGCAGTATTCGAGTCCCTGACAAAGATCTCATCATTGTTGTCTCCCCCGCTGATATTTTTCCACCTGAGGTATGCTATTCCCATTCTACCCTAGCTGCTTGGTCTGATTCTTCTGTAGCTCATACTCGGGGCTTCTAACCTCAGTCTTCAGAACGCGTGGACGTTCGAGCTCGTCCGTCATGAGTAAAGCGAATCAAGTTTTCTATTCAGCTTTCAAGTGCCAGTGGGCTCGGGTACTAGTAAATTGGAATCGTCATGGATAAATGTTTGGAATGTACAAATACTTACGAATCCTTTTTATACCACATTGAGTCGAGTAGCGAAAAGTGAACGCAAACTTCCAACAGTGCACCAGACAATGATCACAGTGCGGCGTCGATTCGTTCAGATTTTTACAACTTCTAGCACAGCCACACGGCACTAACCTCAATAGCGTTGCGTCGCGCTCTGCGTAGTACTCAGGCGACAACTCCTCTATAGAACTTATTTCGCATGCCCCGCCAGTACTGTCCCAAAATTCGGTTTCCTATCGACGAGACACGTGCGCGTAGTGATCAACAGGTCCAAGGTTCAGTAACTCTGAGTGAGTAATACTTCCTTTTGGCATCGTGCGGGAGGCTGAATGGCAAAGGGATTTGACCCGACTTGACCTTCTGTGCAACGTCCATTGTCCAAAAAGGCACCTTCCGCTCCAAGTTGTCCACGCTTGGCCCTAAAAGGATGTCCCATATTCAAAATGCTCTGTTGGTGGCCTGGAATGCTTAATGCGCAGTCCGGTGACGGGAAAACTAGGTAAATTTTGGTCTCTTTCGCAAGCAATTCGCTCATTGATTTGGTTTTAAGTGGAAGTGAGACCCGTGAACCAACTCCGCTCAACATGAGCTTTGGTTTGGGGTACGAAATAAAATTGAACGTGTGCAGTGCGCCACTACTAGAATAACTATTGCCCAGCTGACCTCTCGTTATCAGGTGGGATTCGATGACAGCTCTAAGGATCGCGCGATATGCCTCGCACACAGCACTGAATTGCTCAATCTGCTTCTTATCTTAGCAGTGTTTCCACTCTAGATCCATGGCCAAGGTGATGCGCGTGAACGTTCTCTGTACTGATTTTTCTGATATCATTCTCTAATCATTAGAGCTGTCGAGGTTGACTTCATTCCTACGATCTGGGAGTATCAAATCGGGACTTTCCAGGGCATGAACCAACCAGTCAGCGACAAACACCGGTACGAGCTGTGGAATGCAGTATATATAGAGTGGCCATCTCTGACGATTCTTCACCCACTTCGAACGCCTTTCAAACACGAACACAATGTCTCTTCCTCCCGGCACCTATCGTATCACCCAGTGGGGGTCCCATGCTCAGTCTCAGGTCTTGACCGTTGAAAACGGACTCGTCACCATCCTTGCTCCTGGTGCAGCGCCTGAAAAGAACCAGGAGGTAAGCCTCTCACTAACACCGCTCATGCATCCGTCACTTACGCTGCTTACAGTGGCGAGTTGAGGTTCTAGAGGATGGAAAAGTCGCCATCCAGAACCCTGCTAACCGCTTTCCTTCTAGTTCCCTTTCCTATGAAGGGGAAGCGGAGAGGGGCAAGAGGATCATTCCAGGGCCCGTTTCTGACTTTCCAACTCGTTTCTGGCGCGTTGAACCTGCACCGCAGCGGCCGTTGCCTGTACCTTACTTGTCAGTGTGCATTGTGCAACCGTTCTACCCTACTGATTGAATTGACCTTCGAAACTGACAGTATTCGAGCTCTTGACAAAGATCTCATTCTCGCAGTTTCCCCCATCCTGATTTTTCCACCCATAGTATGCTATTCCTACATATCTCTAACCGCATGAGTCTGATCTGCTTTCAGCTCGCACTTGAGCCCCCTAACCTCGATCTGAGGAATGCATGGGCGTTCGAACGCATCCGCGATTAAAGTGGTTTTTCGGTTGGGGAGGGGGTTAGGTTTCGACGCGTAGTAGCTTGAAGTCATCTCTCGCTTGTACCGACATTTCTGGATCCCTAACAAATCAAGACAAATGTATTTCGGCCCCGCACTCAAATGGAGTTTCAAACAATCAACGCATCTCACTATGGGTGTGCGCTTGCAGCAGTGAAGTCGACAACTCCGCGTAGCTTGGCCTTCTCTGTCCAACTGCCAATGACTCCGCATGCTCACACTCGTTTCGACTACTGAATCAATATGGGACATCAACTCCGCCGTCTCCTTCCGAAAACATACCTGGTCCACAGCCTAAGCGCTTTGAAAACCTTCAACACCTGAACATATGTAAATTGCTGTTGGATGATGATAATGTGTTGCGGGTTGAGGGTAGAGTCTTTCCGCCGTGGAAGTTTTGAGTATCTTAGGATGGAGTTTGCAGCACAGAAGGATGGAATTCCGGAGAGCTGGACGGATTCCGTGCAGTTCTTGTCGTGGGAGATTGAAGAGTGGATGAAAGGGATAGGTTATGATTATTCTGATTTACCGCGGTGATGCCCATGTAAATTATAGGGCTGATCACTCAAGAGTCAATGATAACGTTGCAAACAATTGCATAGGATCTTGAGTACCTACAGCGGGAGAAGGGACATGGGTAGATTCAGGAATTTCCAATGTTAAGAAAGTATTTTCGAGACTAGTCTCTCGTAGACAGACTTCGATATATGTGAAGTCGTACCTCGGTTCACGATATATCGAGACCTCCTTCGCAGAGTTCCTTCAGGGAAAAGTCCACCAAATCCTTTGCCCAAACGATCATCGCCATATGAACCGCCCCCTCGGGACAGCAACTTGGACCGAGGCACGTAGAATAGCAACAAGCGCCAACCATAAAGGTACCTGTGTAAGTTACGTGCCAGTAGGGTACACCAACAGTGTGTCATTCACCCTACGACTGACGCCCGATGGGAGTGCTGAACAGCAACGAAAATCAGTCCGAGGGTGAGAACAGAAATTGAAAAGTCTTGCTTACCAACTGGTCCAAAGCCGTACTGAATAAGAGGACCAGAGGCGGAGAGTAAGGCCAGTGCGTCATCCGACGGAGTATACGTGACCTTCATGGCAACCATTTGGGAAAAGATGTCCCAAGATTTCCTCAGTGCGACCTCGATGAAGGGTTGCGGCATGAAGCACGTCGCCGTGAAATCCAACGTAACCACTATTAATTGGCCATCCTCTGTAGTACGCTTCCTGAAGTTACCCTTGTTGAAATCGGAAGGACAAAGGAATCGACGGTGGCTGGATATATCGCCACGAAAATCGATGTGCAGGAGTTTAAAGATCTACCAACATAATTCGCCATGACACGTCGGCAAACACAAAACACTTACTTTATGAATATGATCATAAAAATCCTGATCGGATTTGTATTCGGCGTTAGGAAGCCAGTTGGGAAAGAAGGAGTGCACAATAGATCTCGTACCCCCACCAACGTGTCCGAGCGTTGTCTCTGCCATCTGGTGGTGCTTCGAGGCTAATCAACGTCTGGACAGCTTTCGCAGCCAGCTCGACGTCTTTCGAGTTGCAATCTACACCCTCGATGTATTCCATGGCGATTTACCCGATCGATTTTGGCTTGAAGGCATGGAACACGCGAGGGGCTTGTACGTCTGCGTCGCGGTCCCGGTCCCGGAGAGCCTTCGCGGCCCAACTTTCATGCGTGCGCGCCTCGTCTATGCTGACACAGTGGGGCCATATTTGATCCAGGCGATGACCTGCGTAGTGGAAGGATCGACGATGGTGGTTCTGTGGATGTCGAAGCCGAGATTTAAGCAGTGGGCTATGACGGCCTCGTCGGAGGGCATACGACGGTTGTATAGAAATCCGTATGGTGACTCGGAACACGACTCCATGGCAACTGGGAGGGAGAATTAAGCCATGAAGGACAAGGTGAAATGTTGAGAACATTACGACGTACTTACTTGAAAGACCAGCCGGAAGATTAGTTCGACGATGATGACTCGAGCACAGAGATTACAGAAGGGATCCAGCACTGGCAACGCGACGTTCGAGTCAGGAGGCCAAGACGTCGGCTGCTACTTATTACAAGCCCTAGAATTCCCCTTAGCTTGCCAGGAATCCATCGTGGCATGGACTTGATACTCAACATCTTCGCGCGGCATGGCCCAAACTGTCCGTGTGAGGGGAAAATGAGAGTCATATTAGCGAAACGTTTACTTTTTATTTGCGACTCGGACACCTTGGCTTGTTTCAAATTTATCGACACACGAGCATGCAAAAACCGCCCACAAACCTGATTTCGAAGCTTCAACTCGCCCTTCGAACTTGTTTCACCACAATACAATCATCGCATCGCATCACAAAACGTGTCAAAGTTACGCCAGTTGAAAACCAAAAGACCCAAATAATACACGATATACACTAAGTAGGTAGGTAGTTCATTAACGCTTGGAAGGGAAGGCGGAGGGGGGTATGTACAGTACAGGTATATGGGGATGGGGTATTTGTGTTACACAGAAGAAAAAAAAAGAAGAAAAAAAAAGTACATCCTGGGACGGGTTTTGGAAAAATGTACATCATCAGAGTCAGAGAGTCACCAGAGGAAATGAACCACGAGGTCTAGGCAACGCATCACCGTGAGCGAACATAAGGGCCCACCAGCTAGTCTACTGAAGCTGACACCGTGGCGACCGAGGCGGCGGCGTCCCGCTCACGAACGACTCCCAAGACGTAGACGCCGTGAGGCGGCCTGCCGCGCTTAGGCTTCCGTGCGGGTTCGAATTTGACGAGTTCGAGTTCGAGGATGATGGGGAGGGGGAGTGCGACGACGACGACGATGATGAAGAAGAGGAAGAGGAGGAGGAAGAAGAAGGTGAGGCCAACACCGGACGAGACCACTGTTGTTCTCTCCCCTGATACTGATGGATCCTCGACCCACACGCCGGCCTAGAATCGCTCGGCGTAGTAGGCGCCGAAGTATACCCCGACCCCGAGCGTGACGTGCTCGTACCCATGGTGGGGTTGTACTCCGAAGGGGAGTCGCACCCTAACCCCAACGGTAAATTACACGCCACACCAGCAGCGGGGGAACCCAAACCCGTGTTTATCATGTTCAACGCACCCAAATTTAGGGGCGAGGTCTGAAGCGGCGGTATCGTCTGCGCACGCGTCCTCACGATCGCCGTCCCATTCCTTATAAGCTCGCTTAGCCTAGCATGTTTCCTTGCTTGAGTGAAAAATATCCCCGTTCCCAATACTTGGGCACCCGTAGAAGAATCCCCCAACACGATGCGTTCCAAACTGGGGTTGGAGGAAACGCACAGGATGGCTTGGTTCCATAAACTAGGGAGGTGCGTTGAGAAGGTATGTAAGCGAGGGAGGGTGCTTAGTGTTTTTGTTAAGAGGGATATGGGCCCTGGACCGGATGTGGAGTGGGTGTCGTCTGAGATTCGGAATGCTAGTTCGACGTGTTCCTATACACCCCCCATAGCCAGTCAGTTTTGAAGAGAGAAGAGAGAAATCGGAAGGCTGAAGCGTACCAAAGTATCGTTCCCCTCCAAGGCCTCGGCAAGGTGTGTGAGTATGTACTTCGGCCTATGCTTCGTCAAATACACATTCGCAGATTTTCGTAACACGAGGTGGGTGATGCTCCCTCTTCGAAGAACGCTGCACAAATGACGTGTGAACTCTTCCGCGTCCAGGTCCCTATACCCAAACGATACCACCAAATTGGAAGAACACGCATCGACGGACATCTCGAGGTATCGCAGCGCCGTGCATAGACTTAACAGCTCCCCCGCCTCCGTAGATATCGTCCCGGGGGCCAAGATCACCTCGCGGGTGTGGGATACCAGTGTCGGGTTCGCTCGTAAGAGACGTTGGAGTTGAGGGATGGAGGAGATGTGGAGGGTGTGGTAGAATAGGGGTGTACAGATTCGGAGGAAGGTTTTGCACACTAGTAGAGGGGCGAGTCGGGTGCGTGTGGGTGAGGAAGAGGATGAGGAGGAAATGGGCGAGGGGGAGGAGCGGTGGTGCCATTGTGGGCGGGGTGTGGGTGTGGTGGGTGGGAGGGGTAAGAGGACGCATGGGGCGAGGATGCGTTCGAGGAGTTCTTCGGGGAAGGAGGAGAGTGTGGTCATAGTTGTGATGAGGAGGTGCCCGACCAGCAAGCTAACGGAGAGAGGAGGGGAGAGGAGGGGCAAGGTGGTCGTTTCAGATTTATAAAGTATAAATATACGCTGTGCTTCGTAGCAACGAGGACTGGGTCGATCGAGCACGATAACGGCAAGCTTAACCTTTGCGTCTCTAGGCTGCGGCCATCCAACACCGCAACACATTTACTTTTATGTATGTATACGACAGCAGCGGCTGACAGCTCGCAGGCGCAACAAACACTCCTCCGTTTCGGACTGTTTTCTTTCAATGTTATCTAGGCACTGTTACCTAGGCACATTCTCCATTATAGACAACTTGGCCCAAAACATCGGAGTGTTCAGTCACAAAACGGTGAGAAATTACCCAAAGCTCTTGTTGTTTCCCTCTTTTGTGGGGTATGTACAGCTCCCAGTACAGGATGGAGATAACGCGCGACTCGGACAGAAGATATCACAGCAGTTGCAAAATCAGCCGAGGCCGAAGTAATTCTGATCATGATCAATCACAGTGACTCGGTCTTTTTCTTTTTCATGTTTTTTTTTCTTCTTCTTTCTGATCATGACATGCAGGCTCTAATTCCTAAACATATCAAAAATCGAACTCTAAGCACACAGGGTGGTGAATAGCCCTTTTGCTCAAATTGTTTAGGCCTCATCACCATCATCAATGGGCGCAGAAAGACCGCCAGCTACTTTTGTCTCAGAATCACCACGAAAAAGGCCGCAATTGCTCACGGTGGGCTTAACCTAAGCATCTTTGGGCGTCTTCTATGTCTGGGAGGCTATCCGGTAAATTTTGGCAACATTTTCATCTTTGCGAGAGGCTGTCTGTCGGTAACACAAAGCCAACATGCATATGTATCGGTACCTTGGGCCCGCTACTTGGATGAGTGCAAGCAATCTGAATCCACCCATCCTTCAAGCTAATTCAGACCACTCCAAATTTACCACCCTCCTCCGATCACGCAGTCTCGGAGTCGTCTGGCAGGGTTCATGCATCCTGATCAGTGCAGCGCCGTCTAGTACTTGCACGTAACGTTTCGACCCCGGGGATCAAGTTCACGTTTCGACGAAGCTCTTCAAGCTGTTTCCCTCTTTTGTAGGGTTCAGGAATCAAGTAAATTTAGGAGGGAGATAACGAGCGCGACTCGGACAGAAGGTGGAAGAACCGGTCAGTTGCAAGATCGCAGAAGATTCTAATTCTGATCATGATCAATCACAATGATCATGACTTCTTTTCTTTTTCTTTTCAAGTTTTTTTCTTCTTTCTGATCATGACATGCAGGCTCTAATTCCTAAATACCAAAAATCGAACTCCAAGTACACAGGGTGGCGAATAGTCCTTTTGCTCAAATTTGTTTAGGCGTCATCACCGCCATCATGACATTTATGACATTGGGCGCAGAAAGACCGTCGGCCACTTTTGTTTCAGAACCACGAAAAAGGCCGCAATCCCTCACGCTGGGCTTAACCTAAGCATCTTTGGGCGTCTTCTACTTCTGGGAGGCTATCCGGTAAATTTTCCATTTTGCGAGCAGAGGCTGTTGATCAAGCACTCTGAGGCCAACATGCATATGTATTCGTACCTCGGGGCCCCCCTACTGCACTTGTGGCACCCGGACAAGCGCAAGCAGCTTGAATCCAACCATCCTCCAAGCTAAAATCAGACCACTTCAAAATTACGACCGTCTTCCGATCACGCAGTCTCGGACTCTTCGAGCCTGGCAGGGTATATGATTGATCATGATCAGTGCAGCGCCGTGTACTTACACAGAAGCACGTAACGTTTTGACTCCGGGGATCATTGGCTAGTAACGTTTCTTCTTTCATGGGAGTATGCACACAAGTATCGCTTCGTTGGGTTCTCCGGTACATTATCGGCGTCAGGATTCAGTCACACCCAACCATTACATCCTTTGAATTGGATCGAATCGATATCTCCTTGTGTGTCCACGGCTCCCCGAACGTCAAGTTTTTGTGGTGCTGCTGTCGCTCGACATTCCTTTCTGCGTTGCTGGGTGATTCTCAAGTCGCTGTCGTCCTGAGCCAGATGCGCTGTTATTTATACGATTCAAAGTGCTCCAAGTGGTTGACGACACAATAACCCCGACTCGGTGCAACAGATGCTGATGATGAGCCGCCAAAGTGCTCCCAGACGCATTCTTGAACCCACTGTTATAGGTCGAACGGGCTGGTCATAGTTTCGACGGAGAACCTCAAATTTTATGGATGTGTTACTCTGGACGTTTCGCGAGTCAACCAGCTCTGTCATCCTCTGCGATGACGATGATTCATCATTCCAGTGGCCTGGAATTAGGATTTACTACGAATGCCTGTGTACTGGTTTCCGGACGGACGATGCACACTCCGAAGCAAAATTTAACGCTAGACAATTACAGTCGCCTTGGCAGTGATCAACAGAGCTTGAAAACGATGACGGACGGACGGTAGCTTTTCATTTCGACTGCGACCTCCTGGCCGTTCCAAACTAAGTCTTGCAGGGAAAGCCTTTCATTATCAGGGACTGAACTACAACCCGGAACGATTTGAAACCTGAACGTGCCGCTCTGACTCCATTCAAAAGAAAAGCCAAAAAATAATAATCGGTTCTTGTGTCAATGGAGTTACTTATTGTGAGTCTCGCACATGGAAATGTTGAAACAGAAAGTTTATTATCATAGATCACTCAGTGCTTCGGGCGACAGATGTATGGAAGCGACCCCCCGTTTCGACAGCTCAGCCCCAGTGCTTAAAGCAACCTTTTCCTGATAGAAATCAACGTCTGTCTAGGCCGCTTAAAACTCGCAAGCGTTACCATTCCGCACCGACATCCGGAGCGCATTTTAAAAAAAAATCAGGTCGAGTTATTGTGAGTACGTTTCGCACAGGAACTTTCTTGGACAGGGAGGCACCGCAATGAGGGGTACATACGTCCGGCGCTCCTATGTACCTTGTAACTCCGTTCATTAACCTTCATTTACAGCGCCGTCGCATCCGAACGTTTGAGGGCGCTTGTTCACAATGACGGAGTCCAGGCCCAGCGCGCAGTGGGTTCCCGAAACTAACAATTGGAAAAGATGTGAGTGTTTGAAGACATCGGCTTTAGCCTATTTCCGCGTCCTACATATGTGTGTTTTCAGGCCTGACCAACGTGTCCTAACGGTTGGAATTTATGTAAATTATAGAATGATTTAGCTAAAACACTACCAAGGTGCACAACCAATGTATAGCATAATGCTCAAAATATGTACTTGCCTCCATGTAACAGTAACGTGCACAAGAAAGTCTGAATGTATACTTCTCTAGTATGAACTGTAGAGACGTTGAGCCGCCTCAGCGTACGTGACCGGCCGTCTTCCAAAGCCCCTCCGCCTGTCCACTCGAGTCCAACCATCTTCCAAGACACCTGCTTGAGGGGCTGGATTTGGTTGAAAGTTGGGGCGTGCGATGAAATCCTCGGTCCTGGTTTGGGGGTTGGTAAAGGATTGGGTTGGTTGGATTGCAGACACTGGTGTTGATTTCGTCTTAAGCGGAGGAGCTTTCGGTTTTAAGGGCGAGAATCTGTTTTGGTTTTGTCCCCAATATCTCGGAGCTCCTTGCTTATAATTAGGAACAATCAGTGGAGGGAAATCGATGGAGCTAAATCGGTCAGGCGTTGGTTTGACCTTTGGATACTGCGGCCGTTGTTGAGACACGGACGAGAAACCTGGAGATGTGCTCCACAAGGAGGGATAGCTCGAGTCTGTTTGCAAGGCCTCATCGACTGGATTACGAGTTGGTTGGGCCTCCGGATAATAATATTGCGGTCGTTTTGGGGCCACAGACGGGAAACCTGGAGCTGTGCTCCGTAAGGAGAGACGGCTCCAATCCGTTTGCGAAGCCTCAGCGGCTGCAGCGTACGTTGATTTGATAGGCGTCTCAATAGGGACAGAACGATTATTGGAGGGAGGAGGACACCGCCGAAATAGTGAGCTGACATCGAAGCCACCGGTAGGTCCTTTATATGAATGCGGAACATGAACCCTTGAAGACGGATTACTATACCCATTCACCGGTGGAGCCGCATATCGCTGTGCACGTGGTTTAGGTCCCGGGGAGCCTGGTAAATTTGCTGTGCCGTCCGCGACCAACTTCCAGTCTACCCAGACATCAGTCTGCCCTTCGTGATGTTGCTGCCAGTGTCGAGCGAGATCTCCGAGCAGTGTGTGCACTCCGCCTCTAGATTTGATAAACACCTTACTGGTCACGACCACGAGTCCAGCGCGGCAGCGGGTGAGCAAGACATTCATCCGGTTTATGGAAGATAGAAATCCTGGTTTGTCGGACCTGACCACGGACACGAGAACGTAGTCCGCCTCATTTCCTATCGAATGGCGGGTGTCAGTTAAACTTAGCCATTGATCGATGAGGTTGACAAACCTTGGAAACTATCAACGTTAAATACGCGATCCCAGGGAAGATTCTCGTCTTTTAAATTTTTCTCTATTGCTGCCCGTTGTGCATCATAGGGGGTTATAATGCAAAAGTTCTTGTGACGGTAGTAGTTCTTGACCAAATGCGTAATCGTCCTGATTTCGCCCATGTTCTAATTGCACAATAGTCAGTTTAATGTACTGATAAAATCAGGAAATTAGACAGGTTGCGCAGGGCCATAGAGCGACACCGATGGCTTTTGTGTCACTATGTGCTCCGAGCTTGAGTAGAGTCAGCAGTCAGCGTCTCTACCAAAATTCGCACAACACAACTAGTCATCAGGTAGCTCTGTGGCGCCTGAACAACCTGTCTAATATCTACCTTCCAACTGAACCCAGACTTAGTTTCTTCTCCGTGAGGAGGGCACACGTCAACAAAGGCAACACATGACGGGTCGGTAATTTTATGAGACGACGATAAACGGGAGCGATAAACTTTGTCCGAGATGAATTTGCCGATTGGTTGCGGCATTCGGTCTAGCGTATATGGGATAAAAGAGTAGAAGCCGCAGCCAAGAATGACGACGTACATTGCGTATCAAGAAAGAATGTGGTTTCCTTCCGCTGAAATTGGGGAAGATCGAAGATAGTTTTTAAAGACGGGACCCTATCTTGACCAAAAGGGGGCACTGTTGATCTTGCTTGAAGTAACGATACAACGCAGGCTAAAAGTTTGACCTACGTTGTTTTGGATCGCCAAAGAAACAAACCTTCTCCAAGTCTTGAAATTTTTCGAAGACGCTCTAGTGTAAGGTATCAGATTAGTTTGACGGGCAACAGGTTATTGGGCTTGGCTCACTATAAACTCGAAGATCTTAATTTGAGAGGCCTCATCAATCACCAGACGCTCGACCGGCACCAGATCAAAAGTTCCGTTTGCTTCCAGAGCCGGATTGGAGAGCATACTCAAAGTCGACAGGACGATACAGGAATCCCCGAGGGCTCTTCCCATTCCCATTACGTTATCGGGCAGCTCATCGGAACGCATGAGCTTTTCTTGAATTTGCACATAGAGGTGTTCATGCCTTGTAGATGACGCAGTCTCAGTCAGATCCATGTCAGTGAAGTGAAGTAAGGTGGCACCATTCGACATAGAACTCTTTCGAGACCAAGATCTTGAAGTCTACATTGCGTTTGAACAGAGTCTCGGCAATATTTTTGACCGCAACGTTCGAGTGTGCAATGATCCACACGGGGCAGTCATGTATATCCCATATCCTAGTGGCCGCAGCTATGGTCGTAGTTTTACCTGTGCCTGGAGGGCCTGTGCACGTAAAGTTAACGAAGGGAGGTCCAAAGAGCTTGATATATTCACCGTGGGCGATGACGATGGGAGGCCCAGAAACCATCGCAAGTCCGACTTCTTGTTGAGATGGATTCAAACCCATCTGTTGCGTCAGCGCCCGAGCTTCTGCTTGAGAAACGTCGGCAGATCCATCCCTATTTTTGAGTTGTTTCCAACGAGGAAACCATACGGAGCGAATGAATGGAGAATTGCGCAAAGTCTTTTGACCTTGGAGCAAGAGAAGGATAAGTTCGTCTCGCGCTTTCTCTGAGTTTGTCAGTTCTTGTCGTCCAATGACCTTTACACTCTGCAGACTTCCGGTCATTTTGCCCTCTTTGCACTGGATGTTTGTCGTCCTGCCTTTCACTCCCTTTGCGCTCCCAACATACTCCCGGCCATTAGAGTACGTCATGATGAGGGTCTACATTGAATGACACCCATAAGTAGTTGCCAATGGATGAGGACAATACCGACCTGTCCATAGCTGCGCCTCACTCTGCTCCTGAACCTTGAGTTCACGAGATCCACCCCACCATCGCGTCTCGTTTTCGCGCTGTCGAAGTCGGTCATTGTCTCGCGTGGTTTTGCGTTCTCCAGGATTTCTGATTGAATGATCAATTCTGAAAGACAGGAAAGTTCCTAAAGTCGGTTCGAGTCAGCAGCCTGGTTAAAAAAACATAGGAATCGGTTCCACATCTTTGTTTAGATGTCCGGTTTTGATCTTCAGGCTGTTTGTTACTTCAGAATGGGACCAAGCGCCAACGCTACGTCTTTATCTTCACATATGAACTGTGAGAAGAAAAAACTACGCACCAAGCTGATAGCCAGGCCCTCAAACAGACCTGCTCCATCCCGTCCTGCCCATTCCACAGTCCATGTATCTTTCCTGGTTCTACTTTTAGTGAGCTTCTGTAAGCGACAACTTTTGCTGGATTCCACGATTGCCTAGCATCTGGAGAAAAGAAAGTTGACAGGTCGACGCCTTGGACGTAGAAACTTGTTGCACTGTGAACGTGGACGGCCATGTGCGCCATTCCAAAGCCAACTAGATGAAGGTCGAAATCCTGGCATGAATTTCTAAACAAGTCTTCAAAAGGCTTGTCCATCGGGAAGTCGCCACGCTCGTCAAAAAATATTACACAAGCGGTCAAAGTCGTCGCAAGAACGACGGCCTCCACAGACCCTGTCGAAGATTGCTTAATCGCGATGCCAATGGGGAGATAGTTGCCATCATGAAGATTAGTAGGTCGGAGTAAAAGGCGAACGGCCTCTCCAGCGTGTCGTCGGGAAAATTCACGTATCTGGATTTGCTTGGTCTGATGACCAGGTAACAGGATTTGCTGGATGAAGTTCATCTAGCCACCACGTCGTGGGCAGTAAACGGGGAGGATGGGGTGGGAAAGAGGAATCATTCGTGTACCGCCATCTTATAAGCAACGGAATGCCTCGAGGCGGAAGAACGAAGATAAGCGCTGCGCCCACTGATGATTGGGAGTCTTGCCTCCCAATCTTGGATCGGAAGCCTGCACGGCAATAATGTCGGAAAACTCCAACAACCTAGCAGCGGACGCCCATTACTTATTTAGACTCAAGGACAGCAGATTCACCTCACAGCGCAATAGATGTTTTGCGTCAAGCTTGAGGTACAGGGGCCTGCTGGCAGATGAATGCTTGCAAAGTTGGTCCACGAAACCAGGCTGACGACTTTCTCCTCTTCACAAGGTCACCGCAGCTTCATCATTTAAATTAGCGTTTCAGAGTACTTTGGAAACAAGAAAATTTGGGTTAGAAGACGTAGCGGAGTCTGCGGGAAAAAACTCACGAAATGAAAGCTTGACATGGAATTCCCAAAGCAGTACATAGTCACCGTCCCGGTCCCGGTGAGTCGTGCACGTCTGCGGATATCTCTTGATCGCTCATCTAAGTCGTCTTCCCTTGCTGCGACCTTCGTCAAAGAACGGAACATGGGACAAAAATTTCCATGGTTTCTCTGCGCTTCGTAGCTCTTCCAGGGAGCCTTTGCCTTTCTCAAACCTTTCCCTTCTTCCGTTCCGATTACACGAGGTAGCACACCGCCGTCTCTCATCGGTCTCTCCCAAACCTTATTGCCATCCCACCTGTCGAATCTAATTAGTAGGCGATCTTGTGCTTGTGTCCTTCTCCCCAGGGAGTTTTTGTACAGCACGTTCTGGAAATAGTTGATTCTGAGCGGCCAACTTGCAATTGTCATTTTGTAGATTCAAATGACGACTTACTTATAGCGTGCAGGTTGTGCTAACGAGTGAAGTTCTTGAATTCAGGCGCCAAGACCATTGCTCGAAATTTGAAATTTGATGGCTTCAGTCAACTTTGACTTCAGCCTTCAAGTCAGCTTAAGTATCGACGGTCGTTGTTGATACGGTCGTCCGCCTCTGGTATCTTGTTCTCCTCGAAAATGCGACCTTCACGAAAACAATTGATTTGTCCTATGATCGGCAAACGAGGAAGCAAGCCATTGTTCTGTCAAGATTCAGGGCCGCTTATAAGTTATACGCAGCAATCAGTTTTTTTCGAATTCAACCGAGAAAGCCCCTCACGATTTTGTGGAGCCGTGCTCCCTTCTTTTTTTTTTACTTGACTTCTTGGCCTAGTGCCCTCTTCCAACTCCTTTTACTTTCCTTCGTCCACGACGCCAGTCATCATGGTCAATTTCACCATTCTCGCAGGAGGTTTCTCCACGTTCATTGCCACCTACATTTTTGACTCGGACGCCAACTCTTTGACGTTGTCAAAGCAGACAACGACAGGGAACAACCCATCCTGGATTGCGTCGCATCCTCAGAACTCTAGCATTCTTTAGTGAGTGGTATTGAACCTCGTTTTAACAACGTTGGCTGACGAGTGGTACAGCGCCGTTAATGAAATCCAACCTGTTGGAAACCTTCAATCGTTCATCGTTGGCTCGGACGGAGGGCTGACGTTAGTTGACACGGTTTCGACTGGAGGGAATGGACCGACTTTCACGAATCCCCTCAGTACCGGTGAAGTGACAGGCATGAACGTGAGTTCCCTTCGACACCTTTCTTGGAGTGGCACTGAAAGAAGGCAAAAAGTTTGGATCTCCCGACTGCGCCCTGGTCGCTACCGTCCCTGGAGACCCGCTTCATTTCCAGAAAATCTCGCCTGTCGTCGAGTTCCCTGTGAACGGTGGCCCGTCTAATCCTCATATGTCGCTCGAGTCCAACGGAGAGGTCTTCGTCTCTGATTTCGTGAGCAACTTTAATCTTCTGAGCCCAGTCTTTGTGCTCACCGACTTTACAGGGAGCCGACAAAATCTGGCGACTCGTCAAGGATGGCGCACCAGGCAATTTTAAGGTTCAAGGGCAAATTGATGTTGCTCCTGGTAATGGACCGAGGCACATAGCCATTCGAGGTTCGTAACATCTATCTTTCTCAATGCTACAAACCAACAATCTCTTTAGACAACGTCCTCTTCATCGTCAATGAAAAGACCTCCACCCTAACGGCCCAACAAATCCCACAGGCACCTAACGGAACCACCTTGCCCCTCATCGCGAACGTCTCCATCATCCCCACCGACGTCAACCTCAAGAGCACCTTCGCCGGCGCCGAACTCATCATCTCCGAACCCACCAAGCAATTCCCCGACTCCCTCATCTACGTGAGCAACCGGAACCTTGGGCCCGAGTTCGACCCGCGCGGCGACTCTATCGCCATCTTCCAGTTCAGCAACGGTTCCTCTACCTCCCCCACGACCCCAGTGACGACGTCGTCCGGCACATGTTCCAAGCACAAGCGGATGGTCAAGGTCCACGCGAGGCATCAGGCCAGACAAACCCAAGGCACTGTGTCTGGAAAGTTGACCCTCGTGAACCAGGTGTTCACAGGTTTGAAGCAGATCAGGAGCATGGCCATTGGGCCCCTGTCGATTGCGGGTGCGGAGGAATTTTTGATCGCAGGTGCGAATGTGGATGGTGGCGTTGTCATGTACCAGAGGACGAATGGGGGGAAGAACTTGACGGAGCTGGTGAGGAATACGGATGTTCAGAACCGAACGAGTTTCGTGTTCGTCTAGGTTAGCGCATTGGGTTGGTTACACTCCTTTATATTATACGAATATTATGTGTGTTGGAATGGAAAAAAAGAATTCAAGTATTGACGTTTGATCTCTCAGTTGTAATTTACATGGTCCAATTTCCAAACAACGGCTAAGAGCATCCTTAACTTACGCCACATCTAGAGCAATCCCAGTGGTCCGTGCCAATTCTCAATTCCCTGCAAAATTTGTAGATTAAAGGACCTGTGCAACATGAGCTAACGAAATACAATACCTCTTCCTTCCAAAGTTGGACCAACTGATCCTCCACGATCAACTCCGTTAATTTGGTCCTCAGGCTCCCGCGCTGGCTCTACATCATACACAATTTTCGCATTACTCCTAAAGTTGAACATGCCTGTCAGTTATGTTTTTGAACAAAAGTAAGGACTCCATTTGGCACCGTTTTTCAACTCCCTGAGTAATGAAGATTACTATACAGCAGATGGCATGGGATAGGATTGAAAAAGGTACCTTCTCCTTCCATATCAACTGGGCCTTCAACTCTGTTAATCCAAAGAGCAAGGCCACTTCGTAATCCAAATGGTAGAATTTCCCTTTAGGCCCTCGTTTCTTAATATCTTTTGTGTTTCGTGTGAGATGGGACAGGTCCACCTCAATGGTGCATACCAGCGAATACATTTCTGACGCCTTATAATCAATCAATATATCCGTGGTAATAAAAAAATCGACGTACCGATGTCGACGTCTCGCCATTTGGGTGTGGAAATACACCCTCTATAGCACCACAAAGTCGAAATCACGCGTGCGAAGTCGGACTTGGATTTGAACTCTTGAACCATGGGCCTTCGGAATTCTTGCGTTTGTGAAACTTGTGCACCCTGAATTTTGAAGACGATAAATTCAGTAGGGCTGAATGTAATTTGAAAGACGGGTTACCCGGGGCAATACGACGTGGAACGTGTCATTGATACGTCTTTCGCCACAAAGTGCCATATAGGTATCATCTCGCCGCTCCAGGTGTTCCGGATTGTTGGGGTTATACAGCATACTACCGAATGCCCCATAGGCCACTTTCGCTATGCGGGATTGCACAAATTGGTCGAGGTAAAAGGATATTGCTCTGTCGGCGACGGCCTTGCTCCTTTAAAATTATACACTGTCAGAAGACTGGTTGGTCCATGCCATTCAATGCCTACACATGATTTTCAGGCCGGACAATGCGGAACCCAGAAGGCTCGAGTAATGCCTGCAGTCGGTTATAGAGATAATCGCTCGATGCGAAACCCCCGACTAATAAAACGTGCTGGAGTGTGACGTTGTAGTGAGCAGAAACTAAAATCAATTTTGACGAGGACTGACAGAAATCTTCTGACGTGCGGAGTTGTGCTGTTCTTTTACTGAATCGACGATGCATGTGATGGAAGGCTCAAAGAAAGAAGCGACCTGCTGCCTATATTGTTAATGACAAAATGTCAACATTTAATAGCGGCGTACATGCATGTTGGTATCTTACCCCGTCAACCTCAGCTGGCCATAACGAATATTGAATTCTTCCTCGTTATCTCGGAATGACCCGAACTTGATGAATTGCGCCTCCTCAGTACCTCCAAAGGTGTGTTTGGTAGTTGTTTCAAAACACCTCAAGATATGATCAAGGTCATCCATGAATTTCGAACCCGAGAGAAAATCTGCAAAACGAAATAAATCGCCGATCATAGTAGCAGTATAAATTATCTCAGGACTTACTGGAGAGAAACTTCTTGGCTTCTAGAGTGATAAATACCGAGCCGCTGAGGTAACCTAAGGCACGTCAATTGTCGTTCAAGTAACCTTACATTGCACTCACACTGGGGTGCAGCAATTTCAACATACAAGTTAGACTGCCGTGCGTAAGCGCTGACATCAATCGTGCCGCCACCAGCATCGACAATGAGCACACCTTCCCCGTTCTTGCAAGAGTCATGGGACCGGACGTAAAGCGATTGTAATAAATACATACGTTCATATTGGTTGACGCAAAGCCGTTGTTTATTGCGAAGTGCAAGCTTGCTTCTCCCTCGGTGACGAAAGAGATCCGAGATTGACTTTCTGGCGTGCCTGAAATGAGCCCCGCGAGCACTGCAGCCTCCCGCATCTGCTGTTGCTGTGGACCTTCCCAACCGTTTGGATGGGAAAGAACGTAATCAATGCGTTGTCCGAGAGTGGCCAACAGAGTGGCTCCATTGTTATGAGTGTCTTTGATGTATGTGCATGTGCATTCAAAAAGATAGCGAAGATAATCTGCGAAGATTTGGGTAACAGTTTTCCCGTGCGGAAGCGGCGGTATATTGGCCATAATACGATCTGTAGATAGAGACTTGGGTCGAAGATGGAGCTTAAACCTGTGTGGGCCGAACCGACATCATTTCGGTTCTTAACAAAAGAGTTGCGACTGAAAAAAGTGTACGCACCATTCAACTTTAGTCCACCCCTCATCTGCTGCCGTTTCAAAATCCCATCCTTTGCTGCTTCAGCTCCGATTGCGCGGGAAGCACCTTGTTTGTCGTAATAGATGATCGTCGGAATTTTTGATGACCCGCTCACATGTTTTTGAGCGGGAAATCTGGAGGATAACAGAATAAACGAATCCAAAAGGTCAAACCAAAATATCGGACTGCCTACCTTGTTACACCCTTGATCTCGGGTACTTGTCCAGGATCTAAAATACTAAACACCAGAACGAGGTGATGCGAATTCTAAACTTAATGACATGCCATTCACTGTACCTATATGAAACACCACTAAAGGTGGTACCGACATCGAAGGCGATGACAAGCTTGCGGCGAGTCTCGCGGTAAGGTGGGCGGGGCATAGTCTTGTGGCGGTTTGACGGGAAAGGTACCTTCTCGTTCTCATCTATATTTATTAGTTTCTTATAAGTAACGTAACTCCGTGGAATCAGAAGAACCTAGAAGAACTTGCTGCAGTAAGGTCATCATGATCATGATTGCCTGCCGACACAGCTTGTACCTGGCTTGTACCAAGTATAGCTTACTACACCGCAAGTCTCCAGAATTCTTCCCTTCTCACGACGACGAGCAGATATCTCCTGAACACGGCCTAATCTCTAGTCATTATGAACCTAGTGAAGGATCCCAGGAGGAAGATCGCTTCGATATTTGGATCAAAGCCGCCGGGTAGTGGGTTCGGGACGCACCATGGCCCAGGGGGCGGCCAGGCATCTGCAGCTCAACCACCGAACGAGGCAGAGACGAATATACAGCCAGGTGCTTTTTCAAAGAACAGCAAAGCTCCACAACAGCGACATGGAGATGCCTTACACAACAGGGGAGTTGATGGTCAGATCAGAGACGAGGTCGCAATGGGGACAGAGGCCTCTCAACAACAACCAGACAGCTCTTCGCCACCACCCTGTGCCACAAAGAACGATGATGTGGGAGCCGGACGTAGTAGCAGGAAGGTGAAGAAGGGAGAATTGGATGAGAAATGGCTCCGCGAGAAACTCTCTGGAGTCGAGTCGCAATTTCAGCAAGAGAAGAATAGCTGGCTTAATGAACGCAAGCGACTGCGAGGTCAGATAGACCATCTCAACAGTGAAAATGAAAGCCTGAAACGCGAACTCAAGGCTGTTGGGTCGCTACTCGTGGATGCACAGAACCTATCTCAGGTCAGGGGGGAGGAGCTGAAGGGTGCACAGGTCTTCTTGACCAAAGCCGACATGATCTCCACCACAGACGTTGTCCAGAAGGTTACTACCTTAAACACTGAGATATCTCAGACGGCTTCCCGCTTCGTAGAGCTGCTGCACCTTACCAAGAGCCCTAACAAGACACAGAGAAAACCGACAACAATGGAGAAGAGGATGCTGGGAGAAAAATTAGCAAGTGACCTCCATGAATTGTCCAATCGCCACTCACAGGCGAGCGGCCGTACAGAACCCAATCCGCTACTTATCCAAGTCGTCTTGCAAATTGCCATCACGACGTGGTGCAGCTCCATGGTTTCTTCCTGGGAGCCCGATGATCGCCAGTTGGCAGACTCAATGTCGTCTATGTATTCCGGGATTCGAGAATTTGGTGAGTGATTGTCTAACACGGTTCAAAATGGCTATAGTCTGATTCACCTTGTATCAGAGGACCAGGCCGTCTCTGGGCGTTGGCGTTCAATCACTCGAGCACAGTTGCGCCGGTCTTCACCCAACGATGTAAACGGATTGCAGAGCTTCGTGAACGCAATAAAGGGGATTCTCGACGTCGCTGGGTGGTCAATCCGAGATGCAGACCAAGAACACCTTGAAAGGGTACTGTTGCCTCTCTCCAAAGCTGTACAAGGTCTGAGGAAAGCCGTCGGAGAAGACGTCACATCCCTAGACATGGAGGTGACCACCATTGACGCTGGCCAGATCTTTGATGCCGAGCACATGGATGATGGCTTTGGGGGCCCCGGGAAGTCCTCGTCGCCTAGCAGGTTGAAAATCGCATCAGCACCAGAGAAGGTTGTGGGGACAACGGGACTGGGATTGCGGACAAGAAAGGGCCAAACGGATGAAGAGGAAAGCATCCTTTTGCCGCAAGTTGCTCTTGAAGGGGTGCTGAAGGAAGCCATGAAGCCTGTGTCATTGAAGCTACAAAAGAGGACCGCAACCAGGCCGTAATGACACAAACCAGTAAATACCTATACCCCCCTTTTTTCAGCAATCGGGAGCTTGAGTTACAGCCTGGTTGTACATCTCAGTGTCGTGCTCATCCCTTCAAAAAGACACGGAGTTGGTAGTCCGGCTACAGGGGACTCCGAGTCCCCTTAGTAGCAGTGTCGGACGGACATTAGCTTTCCCCCACACATCTCATTTTTTGTTTTGTTTATGCGTACCTCTGTCGCGTTAATTGAAAACTCTGTCTTCAGCTGTGTTCCTCTGGGCCGCAATGTCGTCAGAGACGAGTCGAAAACGCGAGGTATTATGTAACCCATGCGCATTTGTTTGCCGGATCTGTTCTCACGAGTTTTCTTCAACTGCAATTCACGTCGTCTTGAAGCTCAAGCTCAAGACTTGTCCCGCTCATAGCTTCGATCCACCAAATTTGCACTGACAGTGCCCAAGGAAACGTTCTCTGACCTCGTAAGCCCATTTTGGGCGGTGTTGAAAGAGAGATGAAGCAGTGGAGAGCGACGGCCATGTACACAAAAGCGAAAGCGACGATGATTGCGTCAGGTTCCTAGTGGTTTCTCTAATTTGAGCTTCGAGGTGGGTCACTGCTTGTTCTCTGTTTCACGTTCCTCCTTACGACCCCGATCTACATGGTTTCTTTCCCTTTCGACTAAATATAGATGCCCTCCTCCTGTCTCCATGGTTCCTTCCCAAATCTACGTCAAGCGGACCCCATCGCATAACCCTTGGACATGTGCTCAATGGCACCTTGAACCCCATACTACGATCCAACCTTTTCTCAAGCTATCATACTTCCTTTTCTTGACCCTATCTCCCTCTTTTACAACATCATGTCCCATCTTTATCGGTCGAACTTGAAGTGAAGACGGCCAGGCTCACGCTCCCAAGTCCACATCGTTGGTTTACAATAAGCTGGCGCCGCTGAATCTGTGTCCACGGCTCTTCTATGGGTACAGGCAATGGATAGAGCTTTTTTGCCTACGACACGGCCCCATCAATGCTAGCAGGCGAAGAACTTGAAGAAAAAGAGGGAGGTACGAAACCTCCTCACGTTTGACGGAGGGGGGAAGTCCGCGCTGAAGTCATCGGCACACGGCAGGTCGCCCGTTCCGACTTGTCGTCGCTCAGCAAAAAATGGTTGTGGAAGCAAGAAAAATCAGGCTACGTGATAGTTTCTCATACCCCAAAGCGGACTTGAGATCGTGCGACATCTTGGTGCTCCAATGTGGGGTAGAGTTGCAAATCTCCAGGCCTATCTTCGGGCATTTAACCCTTCCTAGATTGATTTCAAGCGCAATTTTTGCCATCGAGTCTGGTGACTGGAGGCTAATAATAGAACTGACATGGTCAAGCGCTGGTCTATCTTTGGTCAGTATTCGAGCCAGAGCACTCCGCAAGCATCATGCCCTCGATAAAAGTCCAATGCATACGAAAATATATCTATTTCATACTATGTACTTCGAAAGTGGGGCCATATATACCGCGACATCGTCGACAAGGATTAAGAGATGAGCACATTCCTGATGGATTTTACCCACAACCCGTTCACGCAACTTGCCATCATCTGCTGACCCCCCAAAAATAGAACACAAGCTCAATACTTCCAACGATAAAAATAAGGCCGCCCAATTCCAGCGAGGGAATCTGTGTAGCATTCTAGGGTCCAGCGGCTTTTTCGATGGGTACCCTTCGAATTTGAGATACTTGACGGCATGTGAGCATTCCCGCTGCCCATCGCGGATGGCGTCATTGGTACTCTTGTCAAATGCCCGCTGCCATTCCGCCACCAGGCCGGTGAAAGCACCCACAGGCGCTTGGAAGCAAATATCAGTGATATTTTCCCGTAGCATGATCGCCTCGTAAAGTGCGGAATTTTTGGCTGCGTCACCAGCAGTGCTGTCGGAGTCGAGTTGAATAATGAGGGAGGAGAGGTTAGGGAGAGCGAATTTGAGGTTTAAGATGTGGTTGAGTAGCGTATCTGATCCTGCCAGTGTGGTGACCGTCAATCCCCACTCTGGCAAAATATCGAAATGCGTGGACAGATGTTCGTCAAACACTGAGCCGTAGAGGTCGATGGTGGTAAGCGCAGGATGACGCGCGAGGAATTTCGCCATATCCTCGTCGGTGGTGGTCTTCGCATGGGACAGCGTCAGATCGACCAAGGTCGACGAAAGCCGTAAATGCCTCAGAAGTGGTAAACGAATATCCCCTTGCATAAGGACGAGGCGCTTGAGCGGCATGCTGTTGATCCATTTGATAGACCAATAGAGGAAGGCTGGGTTCCGAAACAAGCTCGGATCGCTCAGTGCGAGGCTGGAGACTGCGTATCTAGGCTTTCGGTTGAATACTAGACTGGGGAAATGCCGTGTTGAGAAAGGTGTGTCGAGGAGCGGTGTCTCCAATCCCTGCGTCGCTGACTCGTCAGGCATTTGTATGGATCTCCCCTCCATTTTGCGATCGACGAACCCGCGATCCAAGCACAGAGGGGATGAGGGGCTCTGTAATATCTCCGAAACCATATTGTTGGTAATTTCCAAACATAGGGACTTTTGCGCGACAAGGTGTAGGAACCCAGTGCAAAGTTTAATCCACGGCCTCGCGCATTTTTGGTTCACAGCCTTAACATCCTGAGCAGTCCAACCGAAGTTGGTACCTCTGCTAAAATCGAGCTCAGTATGACCAATGCGGCACATCCGCGACATTATCCTTGTGATTTGTTTGACTTCGCTGACCCATGTGTCTCGCGAGGTCGCGTGCCATGTAAACTTTTCGGTCGAGTCGAGAAAGAGGGAATATCGAAGAGCAGGGAGGATGTGGATGTTAGAATGGTTTAGGTGAATTTCGGTCCGGACATCGGGAATTCCGGCGCGCCGAAAGACTGTGCAGAGAGAAATGTAGTGGAAGCGGTAGCATGTATTAGAGAGGTGATATAGCGAGGGGGTGTCCAGATGTTCAAGTATTTCGTGAAGGACGTCGTTCGGCAGATGAGAGAGCATCTGGGGGATGACGGGAAGAGGAGGACGGGAGTTTGAGAACCCTGGAAAGAGTAGTCCTTTTAAACACAAGGTCACGTTTCGCATGACGAGAAGCGAAGAAGATAAAAGTTTGACATTGAGGGGGCGGCAGATGACCGAGTCCCTATTTATATTTAGAATCTGAGAGACGAAAATGCGCGCGTGAGCGAAGCATCCTACACGCATCCATCAAGAACAATACAAAAGTCGAGGTAGCCACACTGAGTTGCGGAACAGTAAGAATGAAAGGCTCCTTCAAAGAAAAGGCATGAGGCAAAGCAGCGCCCAACAACTGAATTCATACCTGAAGCTGACCATTGATTGAGTCAGGTACTGGTTAATAGAAACGGAAACGGCAAAGAGCCGGTACACTTATTTGGCAATTGTACCATATTGCCTGACAGTAGGAAGGCTGCAACGTGAAGAATCGGTGCAGAACATCTAACGATGGTTGAGCGGAGGAGGAAAGGACAAGCGCTTGACAAAACAGCCCCAAATAATATTTCGGATTTGCCAGTGTGTCTCCTTTTCATTGCCTTTTCATCGTCTGCACATCTGAAGCTGCCACCAGACAAGGTCGATCTAGCTCAAGTCAAAACATACATTGCAGACTGTGGTCACTGGTGGGCCCGTGGTGGGCGTTCGATGGTCCATGCTTCAATCCAAGAAACAGCGCCCTCACGCTATTTTCCGGCCTCAAGGCCTCCACCTTCAGCGGAGTCAATCGGAAGATTTGGAACCCATCCACTTATTAGCAACATGCGCCATTCGAGAAGGCCACATCCTGGATGCATCAGACGCCAGGCAACAACACCTGACTGAACTACTACACCGGTACCAAAGCCTTCCGACACGCCAACTTTGTAAAAGATCTCCAGATGCACTGGCAGGCAGACTATTTGTTGGTGAGGGACTTCTTGACTGCAATTGAACTAGGGTCTGAAAGTCAATCGGATGATTAGATGAAGCTGTGTCAGTGATAGTAACCGTTCACCGAATTGTTGGCAACTTCAAGTCTTCAATGGACTTTGTTTTGCGTTTGAATGTGGCAGGTGCGTTGATACAATACCTCACGACTCATAGACTTATCAGTCACGCAGTCGCACCGGTACCGACTGCACCAGAGTCAAAGCACAGCAGTCAACGGGCACAGTCTCTATCCTTCGACATAAATAGCACCGCTACACAGGAAAGGAGCCAAGCCCTTCCCCTTATTGCCCCAAAGCTGTAAACCCGATTTACTTATCACCCCTCGAAAACTCTGCATCGACTTCCCTCACCAACCCCAAAGACCAATTCAAGATGTCAACAACTCAAGACGGCAGAAGCACCGCGGGCAAGTCAATGTGCGTTGTCACATCCAGCTCAATATTGCCATACTTGACGTCTTCTACTCCAGCGATATCGTCTTTCTCCAAGACGCGACGGGTAGCCAGGGACCTTACATCCAAGCTGCCAGACAAGCCATCCAGCAGATCTGCTTGAAAGTGTCTGCCTCTGCTGAGCTCTCAAAAGGAGCCATCCGGTTCGCGCTCATCGCGTTCCGTGATCACCCACCTCAAGACATGAGTTTTGTCACGAAGAATTTCGGGTTCACGGCGGAACAGTCTGTTATGAAGAAGAATTTGGATGGGCTCATTGCGTCTGGTGGAGGTGACGGACCAGAAGCGCAAACTGCTGCCCTTGCCGATGCGCTGAACTTGGAATGGGCTGAGGGCGCTGCGAAGATGGTGGTTCTGATTACTGATGCACCTCCACATGGAATTGGAGAAGATGGTGACGGCTTTACGGAATCTCCTGATCGTAAGTCCCTGTTCTGTGATAACGGCGACGATGTTCAGTTACCTACATGATTTCCAGAAAACGATCCTCTGCAGCTCGCGCGACAGATGGCAGAGCGTGGCATTACCCTCGTATGTTCTTCTGCTTCAAGGCAGTGACGTGAGCTGATATCGACTACTGTCTAGTTTGTGATCGCGTGCGAGCCAAGTCTAAGCAGATACAGGGTATTTCAAACATATTTCCGCTGTAGTTGCATCGTGGCTCACAATTGCGTGACAGAACGCGGTGGATTTCTACAAAGCCTTGGCAGACATCACCAGGTGAGTCGTGACTGATACATTCCGCCAACCACAACCTGAGGCCTTCCCAGCGGAAAAGTTTTCCCCCTTACATTGGCAGAAAAACTTGGCGACTACATTGTTGGAACCACCATTGAGACGATCGAGACTGAAAAGCTGATCGCCGAATTCGAAGAGGTTATCGTGGACGACATTTATGGCAGCGAGACTCCATTGGAACAAGTGACGGACAAGCTGCACAGCAAGTTGGCGGACACTGGCGTTCAAATCACCACATTGAACGTAGAAAACATCTATAACGAGTCACCGCAATCGACTTCGAATACCAACGTTTGGCTGAGTGCCCCAACGATCGCTGCTGCCCGCCCAAAGGTCGTCCAGGTGAGCAGTGTGTGTACCATTGAAGCAATGATTATCGACTGATGCAACTGACAAGGTTGAGGGCCCTCGCGTGAAGAGCGCATTTGTTGGGATGGGGGCAAGGGCACCAGAGGTAGCATTTATGCCGCAGGCAATCAGCATGTCACAGGTGTGTTGCCCGCCTTTAAAGGGTGGGATATCGTTGCTCAATTCTAGTTGATTTCTAGGCAACGCGTGTTGTGAAGCAGAGTGCTATGAGGCAGTCTGCTGTTGCTCCTGGTGGCGCTATGACGCCATCCGCCTCTTCAAAATATTACAGGGGATGAATGGACGTCAAGCTGAACTACGCCAGCTATGGATTTACCTCATGTACCCTTGTACTTGTACCCAACCCTTGAGCCATGTAATTATAACGCATAGTGAAGAATATTCTCGATTACTGGAACGCTAGTAAGTAGTATCTTCCCTCAACGTAAGAGAATTACCCAAGGTGCTTCGTTTTCTTACTTTTGGCGATTTTGAAGACGGAAACGGGTCTCCTTAAGATTGACTCTTTGGACATCTTGCTCATCTTGCTTGGGCTTACACGTTGTACACATCATATCTGGAATACCATTATTATTTACTTCAATGCCATCCCTGCAGACGACTCGGCGCATGGGTCGAGATCGTGAGTGAACTTGTGAGATCGGCATCTGTATTCCGCCTTGCCCTCCAAACTCCGACTCCTTCTCCTTGCCCCCATTGGATCGACGGTGGCACGGCAGAGCTCACGAATGGACTTGTGAGATTGGCATTTGCGGCCCGCCTTGAGCTTGACCTCCAAACCCCTACCCCCCGTCCGTATCGGGTTGACGGTGGCGGGGCAGCCCAGACAGTGCGAGTGTCAGAAGATTCACTGTCAATCTGAACCACCTCATCTCGGATCCGAGTCTCCCTTGGACTGGGCACAGCACCGGAAGCATTTTTTTCTTGTTGTTTGCGAGCTTCAGCCTCTCCCTCGCGCTGTTTTCGTAACTGTCGTGCCCTTTCCAAGGATTCCCGTAGTGCCCGCTCGCGTTGCTTGCTCTGTTCCACGGCAGCCTCAAGCTCGACCTGACGTTTCGCTTCCTCTGCACCAAGCCTCTGCAGCAGCTCAACATCTTCTATACCCTCCTCCGATACGGTTGCTGGACGATCGACGTGCAGCTTTACGATGCGACTAGCGACGAATGGCTTGCGGCAAAAGGGGCAACTTGACCCCATCGACATTAGACAGCTGTTATTGCATTAGAATGCGCGAAAACTACAGATTGTGGCCCTTGAGTTGGAGTGGGACCAACGTTTTACAGAAGATGTGGCCGCAGGGTATAGCGTGAGGCAGCTGGGTTGGGGTGTCCCAATCATAGGCATCCAGACAGATATCGCAAGAGCTTGAGGCGTGGACAATAAGCATGGATTTCAGTAGGATTTGGAGGGATCGTCAATCCACAAAAGACCGGGCTAGGGCACGAGGCACGAGATCAACAGCTTAGTTTATCGCCCTTTGACTAAGTATGTAAGGCGCTGAAGCGCTGAAGGATAAGAGCCTTTTAAACACCATTTGGGTCATGGTTGTTAATAAAAAGCGGTATTTTGGGCGATTTGTTGATGTTTCCCACCCTGCCACCCACGCATAACGAGAAACGTCAAAGGTGTTGAGTGGGTTCTGAACTCAGCATTTCTGGAGACGCAAATCACAGGGTCATTGAAGTAAAGAATATAGTAAGGGCATTCCACACATGATGTGAGCAAGCATAAGTAGAGGTCCAGACTTCAAAGAGTCAAATTCACGGATTAGAGGACGATGGTAGATAACCGGGGCCCGTCATGGTCACGAAGGAACGATATCCAAAGAGGGGGGTACTGTAGCCCAAACGGGGTTGCTTGAACCTAGGGAGAAACCCACCTTCAACTCAGAAAGACTCGTCTTCCGAACTTGCATCCGAATTAGAAGACGAACTGACTTGCCAACCGTTCCGCCATGCAGCTTCTGCCCCCCCACCTCCTCCAACTTCTCCCCGCCCAAATTGGGTCGACGATGGCGCAGCAGAGCTCCGGGGTGCCCACCTTGGGAACCTCGAATATCCCCCCCTCCGTTGGGTTGAAGATTCCCCGCGAAGCTGATCCACCTCATCGACCCGAGTCTCCCTTGGACTAGGTACAACACCAGAAGCAGTTTTTCCTGCCACAGTAGGGGGTTGTTGTTTGAGAGCTTCAACCTCTTCCTCGCGCTTTTTTTGCAACAGTTGCGCCCTTTCCAAAGATTCCCGTAGTGCCCGCTTGCGTTGCTTACTCTGTTCCATAGCAGATTCAAGCTCGGCCTGACGTTTCTCTTCCTCTGCATCAAGCCTTCGCAGCAGCTCAACATCTACTATAGCCTGCTCCGACGTTGGACGATCGATGTGCAGCTTTACGATGCGATTAGCGACGAATGGCTTGCGGCAAAAGGGGCAACTTGACCCCATCGACGTTAGGCAGCTGTTATTGCATAAGAATGCACGTAAACCAGGAACTGTAGCCCTTGGATTGGAGTAAGACCAACGTTTTACAGAAGATATGGCCACAGGGTATAGCGTGGGGCATCTGAGTCAGGGTGTCCCAGTCATAGGCATTCAGACAGATATCGCAAGAGCTTGAGAGGTGTACAATGAGCATTGATGCCAGTAGGATGTGAAGAGTTTGTCGTTGTCGGCGTGCTCAACGTGAGGTTTGAGCCTAATGGATATGTTTGTTGTTCTCGTGCACAAAAGGCCTGGTTCTAGAGCACGAGGCAGCTCGTTCCTTGAGCATCGTTGAGCGGCTCTAAATTGAGTCCCGTCTAAGTCACTGTGGCAAGAAATTCCATTTCATTTGCAATAAAAAAACATACGATCAAGATTCAACGTTAATGCATTAGAATGCGCGAAAACCACAAATTGTAGCGCTTGGATCGTAGTAAGACCAACGTACTACAGAAGATATGGCCGCAGGGTATAGCGTGAGGCATCTGTCCAAGGTGCTGAGGGGTGGGTTGCGCACTCAGCATGGCATTGAAGCAAATATGGATGGTATTCCAGATATGATGTGTACAACGTGTAAGCCCGAGCAAGATGAACAAGAGTGATTAGATGTCCAAAGAGTCCATCTCAGAGAAACCCGTTTCCGTCTCCAAAATCCCCAAGAGTAAAAGAAGTATGAGGCGCATCGGTCGAGTTCGCAAGTGAACTTGTGAGATCGGCATCTGTGTCCAGTGCAATCCAACCTCCCCCTGCTCTCCGCTCCCATCGGATTGCCGTTGGCGCGACTGTGTAAGAATCACTAAAAAACCGAAGACTTGGAGTCCGCGTTGGACTGGGTGCAGCACTGGCGGAAGCACTTTGTCCTACTACGGCGGGGGGTTGTTGTTTACGAGCTTCAGCCTCTTTCTCGCGCTGTTTGGGAGCTTTTGCCTCTTTCTTGCGCTGTTTGCGAGCTTCTGCCTCTTCCTTGCGCTGTTTGCGAGCTTCTGCCTCTTCCTTGCGCTGTTTGCGAGCTTCTGCCTCTTCCTCGCGCTGTTTGCGAGCTTCTGCCTCTTTTTCACGCTGTTTGCGAGCTTCTGCCTCTTTCTCGCGCTGTTTGCGAGCTTCGGCCTCTTCCTCACGCTGTTTTCGCAACCGTCGTGCCCTTTCCAGTGACCCCCGTAGTGCCCGCTCGCGTTGCTTGCTCTGTACCAGGGCAGCTTCAAGCTCGACCTGACGTTTCGCTTCCTCTGCACCAAGCCTCTGCAGCAGCTCAATATCTTCCACACCCTGCTCTAACGTTGCTGGACGATCGACGTGCAGCTTTACGATACGATTAGCGACGAATTGGTTGCGGCAAAAGGGGCAACTTGACCCCATCGACGTTAGGCAACTGTTATTGCATTAGAACGCGCGAAAACTACAGATTGTAGCCCTTGAATTGGACTAGGACCAACGTTTTACAGAAGATATGGCCGCAGGGTATAGCGTGAGGCATCTGTGTTGGGGTGTCCCAATCATAGGCATCCAGACAGATATCGCAAGAGCTTGAGGCGTGGACAATAAGCATGGATTTCAGTATCGTCGATGCACAAAAGACCGGGCTAGGGCACGAGGCATGAGATCAACAGCTTAGCTTATCGCCCTTTGACTGAGGCGCTGAAGCGCTGAAGGATATCGATAAGAGCCTTTTAAACACCATTTGGGTCAGTGTTGATGATAAAAAGCGGTATTTTGGGCCAAGTTTTGGGCGATTTGTTGGTGTTTCCCTGCCACCCACTAGTCTCCCGTAGTCAGCCCTATAAATATCACGTTTGTCTCTTTTAAGGGGAAGGGAGGTCGACAGTGATATATGGTCTGATTTCACGCGCGCCCATCAAACCGCGGTACCCACATTCAAATTCAAGGTTGTCGACTATTGCCTTATAAGGCGATATATCACAGCCACCGCGTGCCCACCCAACTTCAGTCTTGCTTATCACCACGAACGCGCTGCTCATGTTCACCACATTCAGGCTTGGATCGACTGTGCCAGCTACTCCAACACCATCCAATCACACCACCCCATCCATACTCCAATCTGTTCTCGAAACTCCATTGACACCATGCAATTCTCGACGCCGCACAACCAAGAAACGATCTCGAGAAGATCAAGACGAAAACTTGCCATCCGCATCATCAGGTCCATCGAAAAAGCGTTCAAGTGCAGCTTTGAATTCCACTCCAGATGCAACACCAGCCACGCCACGGCAATACACGCCCCGCCAAACAAAACACGACAAACTTAACAGTTTATTCGACGCATTGGATGCCACGCACTGGACTCTCGGAGAGTTCCTTTATTACACCTTTCGGACAAAAGACGAACACGGAGTCAACATACACCGCACGGTCCAACATTCCAAGTACTCGCAACACTTTCTCCAGGGAACACCAAAGCACACTCCAGCCACCATTCTCGACGCGTGGTTTCGGAGCCCGGACGGTCGCATTTCAGAAGGTTCACCCGACCTGGACCTGATGTACTCCATCGACACACCTTATGCCGAGATCAAACCTGTTCGGGCCAGATAGGGTTGGATACGGTCCAATGGGCAGATGTAGGCTCTGCTACGGTGTCGCAAGTAGCCGATGTAATACAGAAGCACCAGCCGTTGACATGGAATTATATGATGAATATTGCAATGCCAGAGTCTCGAGGTCAGCACGGTGCAGATAAGACTGTCGGAACGCGTCGTCCGACAAGTGTTGTAAGCTCCCTTTGTATTGACGAGCGCGTGTCCATCAGGTGTGTCATAGAGTGTTGGATCATTGTTGGCTTCAAGTTGGGCGTAGGCAGCAGGATTTGTGGAAGCCTGGAGAAATGGAGAGTCCGACATATTCAAATCACAGAATATGGAGGGTATAACGGATTGTGTAAAGGACAGATGAAAAATTAAGGCTGCAGACGCGTAAAAAAACTGCTAATTAGTTGACGCGAGCGTGCTATTTGGCATTGAGTGGTCGGCACGTGTGTCAACTGATACCGAATATCTGTACCACGGTTCGGACCCCACACGTGAACCTAGACTAGCCACCCACGCATAACGGCGAAGAGTGGGTTCTGAACTCAGCATTTCTGGAGATGCAAATCACAGGGTCATTGTAGTAAAGAATATAGTAAGGGCATTCCACACATGATGTGAGCAAGCATAAGTAGAGGTCCAGACTTCAAAGAGTCAAATTCACGGATTAAAGGACGGTAGATAACTGGGGCCCGACTGTAGCCCAAACGGGGTTGCTTGAACCTAGGGAGAAACCCACCTTCAACTCAGAAAGACTCATCTTCCGAACTTGCATCCGAATTAGAAGACGAACTAACTTGCCAACCGTTCCGCCATGCAGCTTCTGCCCCCCCACCTCCTCCAGCTTCTCCCCGCCCAAATTGGGTCGACGATGGCGCGGCAGAGCTCCGGGGTGCCCACCTCGAATATCCCCCCCTACATTGGGTTGAAGATTCCCCGCGAAGCTGATCCACCTCATCGACCCGAATCTCCCTTGGACTAGGTACAACACCAGAAGCAGTTTTTCCTGCCACAGTAGGGGGTTGTTGTTTGAGAGCTTCAACCTCTTCCTCGCGCTTTTTTTGCAACAGTTGCGGCCTTTCCAAAGATTCCCGTAGTGCCCGCTTGCGTTGCTTACTCTGTTCCATAGCAGATTCAAGCTCTGCCTGACGTTTCTCTTCCTCTGCATCAAGCCTTCGCAGCAGCTCAACATCTACTATACCCTGCTCCGACGTTGGACGATCGACGTGCAACTTTACGATGCGATTAGCGACGAATGGCTTGCGGCAAAAGGGGCAGCTTGGTGATCCCATCGACACTAGACAGCTGTTATTACATAAGAATGCGCGTAAACCAGGGACTGCAGCCCTTGGATTGGAGTAAGACCAACGTTTTACAGAAGATATGGCCGCAGGGTATTGCGTGAGGGATCTGTGTCGAGGTGTCCCAATCATAGGCAGTCAGACAGATATCGCAAGAGCTTGAGGGGTGGACAATGAGCATTGATTCCAGTAGGATGCGAAGAGGTTATCGTTGTCTTGCTCAACGACGTGAGGCTTGAGAATGGATATGTATGTTGTTCTCGTGTGCAAAACGCCAAATTATAGGGCACGAGGCAGTTCGTTCGTTCCTTGAGCGGCTCTATTGAATCCCGTCCAAGTGGCAAGAAAATCCATTTCTTTTGCAGCTCAGACAAAGTTCTGAAGAAAAACATACGATCACGTCCTGCAACCCCGGGCACCACTTGGATACCAACATCTCCACCAACGCCTCACTCTCCCCTCAACCCCAGATACCCTGAAAATCCTTCCTTGGCCTCATCGTGAGCCTCCAAAACCGTCGTACCAATTTCCTCGACGTGCCTGGAGCTCGTATCGGTGGTACCAAGGCGTGCTTGCCAATCTCCCTGGACTCCAAAGCAGCGTCAACTTGAGCTCCTTCCTGATGCTTGACGAAAGGATGGGCAGGGGGTCGCGGAGGTTTCGTGTACACCTCCATCGCTCTCGGATCAACCTGTGGTCGGGAAAGAGCAAACGCAATAAGGCGCTTCTGGTACGTCAGAATACGTTGGAGTCTAAGTACATTCCATCAGAACCAAGTCAGAAAAGACGAAAGCAGGGGAAAAGCTTACTGTCTATAATGACAATCCACTAAAAGATTATGCCACCTCACCAAAACCACAACACGACCTTCATCCACCCACCCACGCTACTCCAGAGTCCAAACTTCCCACTTGTTCACGAACCCAGCACTAGTGCCGCAGCTGCCATGACACTCAGCCTCCCTCTCACCAGATCTCACATAGAACTACACCCCTAACCGCTCAGCGAGTTGTTAGTAACTTCATCATTGCACTTTGTTCTGCCTTTGACTGTGGCAGGTGCGTGCATAGTATTCCACTTGCCACGCAGTCGCTTTGGTACCTGACTGCACCAGAGTCAAAACTTACATAAAGCACAGCAGTTACAGCTACTTACCTTCATATCGATAGACCCGTTTTAAAAATACAACGCTTTTGTTTAGTTATGGAGCACGTACAAACAAAACTGACCAAATTTGGTTAGACCCCGACGGTGAACTACCGTAGCGTCTGCTGTAAATCATTCCCTCACCCAACCCTCACTTGCCCACCTTGTAAATTTGACAAGGAATGGTCTCTTTGTATCTTGGTGAGTCCCGTCCTGCTCTTGTTTCTCGGCTGCCGAGTTTTGTTTGTAGGTGCTTCAAAAGCGCTGAGTGTTGTATTTTCAAAACGGGTTTAATGATATGAAGATAGCTGTAGCAGGCACAGTCTCAATCCCTCGGCTTAAATAGCACCGCTACACACAAGAAAGGAGCCAAGCGCTTCCTCTTATTGCCCCAAAGCTGTAAACCAGATTTACTTATCATCCCTCGAAAAGTCCGCATCGACTTCCCTCACCAACCTCAAAGAACCAATTAAAGATGTCAACCACTCAAAATGGCAAAATCACCGCGGCCAAGTCAATGTGCGTCGTCACATCTAGCTCAATATTGCCATACCTGACGTCTTCTACTCCAGAGATATCGCCTTTCTCCAAGATGCGACGGGTAGCCAGGGACCTTACATCCAAGCTGCCAGACAAGCCATCCAACAGATCTGCTCGAAAGTGTCTGCCTCTGCTGAACTCTCAAAAGGGGCCATTCGGTTTGGGCTCGTCGCGTTTCGTGATCACCCACCTCAAGACACGAGTTTTGTCACGAAGAATTTTGGGTTCACAGCCGAACAGTCTGTTATGAAGAAGAATTTGGATGGGCTCATCGCGTCTGGTGGAGGTGACGGGCCGGAAGCGCAAACTGCTGCCCTTGCCGATGCGCTGAACTTGGAATGGGCTGAGGGCGCTGCGAAAATGGTGGTCCTCATTACTGATGCACCCCCACATGGAATCGGAGAAGATGGTGACGGCTTTACGGAATCTCCTGATAGTAAGTCACTGTTCTGTGACAACGGCGTCGATGTTCAGCTGCTTACATGATTTCCAGAAAACGATCCTCTGCAGCTCGCGCGACAGATGGCAGAGCGTGGAATTACCCTCGTATGTTCTTCTGCTTCAATGTAGTGACGTGAGCTGAAATCAGGATTACTGTTTAGTTTGTGATCGCATGCGAGCCAAGTCTGAGCATGTACAGGGTATTTCGAACGTATTTCCGCTGTCGTTGTATCGTTGCTCACAATAGCATGACAGAACGCGGTCGATTTCTACAAAGCCTTGGCAGACATTACCAGGTGAGTCGTGAAGGATACGTTCCGCCAACCACAATCTGAGGCCTTCCCAGCGGAAAAGTTTTTCCCCTTACATTTGCAGAAAAACTTGGGGACTATATTGTTGGAACCACCATTGAGACGATCGAGACTGAAAGGCTGATCGCCGAATTCGAAGAGGTTATCGTGGACGACATTTACGGCAGCAAGACTCCAATGGAACAAGTGACGGATAAGCTTCACAGAAAGTTGGTGGATACTGGCGTTCAAATCAACACATTGAACGTAGAGAACATTTATAACGAGTCGCCCCAATCGACTTCGAATACCACCGTTTGGCTGAATGCCCCAACGACCCCTGCTGCCCGATCAAAGCTCGTTCGGGTGAGTAGTGTGTGCCCCAATCAATACAAATAACTATCCGCTGATGCAATTGACAAGGTTGAGGGCCCTCGCGTGAAGAGCGAATTTGTTGGGAGGGGAGCAAGGGCGCCAAAGGTAACATTTATGCCGCAGGCAATCAACATGTCACAGGTGTGTTGAGCACCTTTAGAGGTTGGGATATCGTTCCTCAATTGTACTTGATTTCTAGGCAAAGCGTGTTGTGATGCAGAGTGCTATGAGGCAGTCTGATGTTGCTCCTGGTGGTGCTATGAAGCCATCCGCCTCCTCAAAATATTACAGGGGGATGAACGGGGGCAAGATTGAGTTTGTTGATGAAGCTCATAAGGTTGAGGAGTTTGAGTTTGCTGGTGCTGAAGAACTTTATGAGGAAGTGGTGGTCGAAGAGAGCCTGCAGGAGCCAGTGGCCGAGAAGAGCCTGGAGGAACTGGTGGTCGAAGAGAGCCTGGAGGAGCTGGTGGTCGAAGAGAGCCCGCAGGAGCTGGTGGTCGAAGAGAGCCTGGAGGAGCTGGCGGTCGAAGAGAGCCCGCAGGAGCTGGTGGTCGAAGAGAGCCCGCAGAACCTGGTGGTCGAAGAGAGCCCGCAGGAACTGGTGGTTGAAGAGAGCCCGCAGGAACTGGTGGTTGAAGAGAGCCCGCAGGAACTGGTGGTCGAAGAGAGCCCGCAGGAGCTGGCGGTCGAAGAGAGCCTGGAGGAGCTGGTGGTCGAAGAGAGCCCGCAGGAGCTGGTGGTCGAAGAGAGCCTGGAGGAGCTGGCGGTCGAAGAGAGCCCGCAGGAGCTGGTGGTCGAAGAGAGCCTGGAGGAGCTGGCGGTCGAAGAGAGCCCGCAGGAGCTGGTGGGTGAAGAGAGCCTGGAGGAGCTGGTGGTCGAAGAGAGCCCGCAGGAACTGGTGGTCGAAGAGAGCCCGCAGGAGCTGGTGGTTGAAGTCGAAGAGAGCCTGGAGGAGCTGGCGGTCGAAGAGAGCCCGCAGGAGCTGGTAGTCGAAGAGAGCCTGGAGGAGCTGGTGGTCGAAGGGAGCCTGGAGGAGCTTTAGACTGCAAGTGAAGGGGAACTTGAGCTTTCACTTGTATGAAATTTTAACGTTGACGAGATTTCCTGAGATTTCCCAAGCTAGCAGTGCTGCTGTTTCTGTATATATCAGCTACAGAGTTACCTTGTGTACCTTGTACTGTACTCAGCGATGTAATGTGTAGCGAAGAATATCTTGAAAAATCGTTGCATCTTCCTTGAAGCCCTTCGGGAGCATCAAAGATTCAAAGATGACCAGCGGGTTTCGTAACCAGTCATCGAGACGCAAATCATTGAAGTAAACAATATAATGGTATATGAGATATGATGTGTACAACGTGTGAGCCCTGTTAAGTAGATTAGTAGAGTCGAAGGCATGGATTAAAGGATGATGATAAGTAGTGCCTAAGGCCCGTGAAGGATTGCGCATACTGATAGTCGTGAAGGGGAGTACCGGTGCCCAAGCGGAATTGCCTAAAATCTAGAGAGGAGCCTACCTCCATCTCAGGGAGACCCGTTTCCGTCTTCAGAATCGCTCACAAAAGTAAAAGGCGTAGCATGCAGAGGCGCATAGGTCGAGCTCGCGAATGAGCTTGTGTAACCGGTATTTGTGTTCCTCCTTGCTGACCTTGGGATCCAACCTCCTCCTTCTCCCCGTCGGATCGACGGTGGCGCGGCAGTGCTCTCAAGTGAATTTGTGGCAGCGTCCCGCCTTTCCCCCCAACTTCCTCCTTCCCCTCGCCGCCAGCGGGTTAAGGGTGGCGCCGCAGACTCGACAGTGCGAGTGACGGAAAGTTCACTGAAAAGGCCAAAAAGCTCCTCGATACGAACATCCCTTGGACTGGGCACAGCACCAAAAGCACTTTTTCCTGCCACAGTAGGCGATTGTCGTTTTCGAGCTTCAGCCTCTTCCTCGCGCTGTTCTTGCAGCCGATGCGCCCTTTCCAAAGATTCTCGTAGTGCCCGCTTGCGTTGCTTACTCTGTTCCACAGCAGCTTCAAGCTCGGCCTGACGTTTCGCTTCCTCTGCATCAAGTCTCCGCAGTAGCTCAACATCCTCTACACCCTGCTCCGACGATGCTGGACGGTCGACGTGCAGCTTTACGATGCGACTACCGACGAACGGCTTGCGGCAAAAGGGGCAACTTGGTGATGTCATCGACATTAGACAGCTGTTATTGCATTAGAATGCGCGAAAACCACAGATTGTAGCCCTTAGATTGGAGTAGTAAGACCAACGTTTTACAGAAGATATGGCCGCAGGGTATAGCGTGAGGCATCTGTGTCGGGATGTCCCAATCATAGGCATCCAGACAGATATCGCAAGAGCTTGAAGGGTGGACAATGAGCATTGGTTTCAGTAGGATTTGGATAGGAGGTCGTCGTTGTCGTGCTTAACGACGTGAGGTTTGAGAGTGGGTATATGTTGTTCTCGTCCATGCGCCAAACGCCAGGCTAGGGCACGAGGCATGAGATCTAATAAGCGCTGAAGGATCTCCGCATATTATCCTCCTAGTGATAAGAGCCCTTCTAACACCTGACTTTCTTGCAACATCATAGAAAGAAAGGGCGTTGGATGTGGTGCGGAGCCACACTATTTTGACGACATGTCTGAAACTCCAAGGTAGCGCTGGTATGTTGTCGCTCGACCAGACAACGTGGTCCTAACTGAGCCAGGGAAGAGCGACTCTGGAAGCCATGAAAAAGTTGTGGTGCGTCATGTGTTGCAGTCCACACGATGAAAGCCATTTGCTGTAATAGTTGTGGTGGGCGTGCGGCCGGAGACAAGGGTTTAGAAGGTTGGTTATGGATGGGAAGGGTTCGTTGGGCAGATATCGGTGTCGTAAAGACTCTGCTGAGTCTTTCCTTTCTGATGGCGCGAGGCGGTCAATCCTTCGTTCTTTCGAGCATTCTAGGTTGCTCCATTAAAGCCCATATAGGTGACAAGAAAAACATGCGTTTGGAATGGCAAGCAGTCCTTCAAAAACATTCAAGTCTCAGACCATGGAACTTTCAATTCTAAAGTGGCACTAACCGTAAATACATAGCGACCGCCCTCTCATCACCTCTCATCCCATCCCCACGTCTTACAACACCACCGCCCCCTTACCCACCAACAACTCCACCAACGCCTCACCCTCCGCCTCCCCGGTCCCCTCCCTCAAATACCCCGAAAGCGCTTCCTGGGCCTCATCTCGAGCGTCCAAAAGCCGTCGTACCAATTCCCTCGACGTTCCTGGAGCTCGTATCGGGACAACCTCCAAAGCAACAGCAGTGTCACCTTGAGGAGGTCCTTTGACGAAAGGGTTGGCAGGTGGTCGTGGAGGCTTCATGTACACCTCCATCTGCCCCGGATCGAGCTTCAATCGTGGAAGCGTAAACGCCATGAGGAGTTTATGATACGTCAATATCCGTTGCAGTCTACATAAACCCCGTTAGTTTCAGAACACGACAACTCAAGCAAGTGGGGAAGAAGGGGGAAAAAAAAAGGGGGGGGGAAAGGACTCACTGTCTATAATTACAATCCACCAAAACATTATGCCACTTCACCATACCCACAACCCCCAACAAAACCTTCACCCACCCACCAAGGGTACTACTCCAAACGTCCCACCTGTTCACGAACCCCAGGACAAGCGCAAAAGTCGTCATCACTCCCAACCCCCCACCAACAGCTTTAAACTGCGCCTGCGTCTCTTCTTCTTCGGTTGATGCGAGCCAACGCGCGGAGAGACGGCCGAGGATGTATCCCGGTGTGAAGAAGAGGAGGGGCGGGAGGAAGAGGGCGAGGCGGATGAGGGCGACGGGCAGGGAGGTTAGTAGGGAGATGGTTGGTTGGACTAGGGGGTGTGATGGCGGAGAAGAAGAGGATGTGGGAGAGGAAGGGGAGAGGGAGGCGAGGATGGAGTGTTTGATCCCTGTGAAATGGAGGAGGGCAAAGTATTTTGTTAGTGCTGATTTTAGGTGGGTGGTTGGTGATAGGGTGTTGTCGAATATGGTTACTAGTCTTTTGAGAAAGTGAGTATGGTTTTATATGGATGAAGTGATGTAGTTACTTACCTTTGGGAGACGCCAACCCAGTCTGCGAGCTTGATGTTGCGTTCGTCGGTCCAGAGGAAGTGTCGAGCTGAGCGCACGGCGCACAAGGTGTCCCTATCATCATGACTTGAGCCAAGAGTATGCTATGATATGTGAAAGTCTTACCAGTCCGGCGCGTTGATCGTGTTCTCCATCATCTGCTTCTCCACCTGAACCATGATCTTCTTCACGACGCTGCGCGAAGCAGCATCAGGATCAGCCGTTTCCTCAAACAACTCCTCCGCATAATCATCGACATGAATAGGCGGGCAATACCTAACTCCAAACGTCAGCGCACATCCTATTCCACTTCATTCAGGCGTACTTTACCAATATCTAAAAAGACCGATGAGAAACTCAAGAACACCACAAAGAAAGAAAGAAAGAAACGCACCCTACTCCTATACCTCGCCTTATCAGTATAAACAACCGCCACCGGAACAAGCTTCAACCCCGTCTTCACCCCTCTCTGCTGGGACCTAAGAAACTCAACAGCAGCCCACGCAGCGCCAGGCAACACCTGCAATATACGATACGACGTATAACTCGTACCCTCCGGGAACACACCAATAACTTGGCCTGCAGCGAGTGCAGCAGAGGATTCTCGGAATAAAGTCGATCGCGAGGGGTCGCCGTTGTTCGTCTTTGCGGAGGAGCCAGAGCCGTTGTTGGGGTTCCGCCGTACGGGAATGGCGCCGGAAGATTCGAGGATGGCGCGTGTGATTGGATTGGCGAACATGGTTGATTTGGCCCAGAAGGAGACATGGCGGCGGTAGGGGATTGTCGCAGCTACAAGTTGAGGTGAGTGAGTGAGTAAAGGGGGTAGGATGAAGAGACATACTGAGTGCAGCGATATCGATGAGCTCGTTATGGTGCGTTGAGGCTCTAGTAGTATATGGTTAATCAAGTCGTGGATAATCGACGTTGGCGACGTACATGATAAGAGGACCTGTTTCAGGGACGTTCTCGCCACCTTCGACGACGCAATCCGAGTAATAGCCTGTGACTGTCCAATCTGATACTTTTCTTAGGGCGCGGTAGACTAGTTTGAGCTCCATGGTCTAGGTTCAAGTGTAAGGGCGGGTATGGTCGTCCGATCGGAACCTTTTATGGTCATCTCGGAGGGGTCTCATCGCCCGGGTGACGTTGTGGTGACGAATCAAAAGGTCTCAAAAATCAAGAAATTAGGAATCAGTATGGCATCTACATAACTGCGGGAATCTGAGGATAGGAAACGCCAACACAATTTGGAGTGGACGACCACGGGTCAGGTTCACGTTAATGAGCCCTGATGCGCGTCGAGCGGCGACATTTAGCATTGAGCATCGACAATGTAATACAAGCAATTTTTTTACACCACCCATTCCCAACACAAGAAATCCAATCAGAGACGACGACCACGACGACCACCCTAAAAAAGCAATCAGCATCAACCCACACCAACAACAACAAAAAAAGAAAGTCAAAACGCACCTTACGCCTCGTAGAATCAGTAGGCACAGGCGTCACATCCTCAATCCTCCCAATCCTCATCCCAGCACGCGCAAGTGCCCTAAGTGCGCTCTGAGCACCTGGACCAGGGGTTTTAGTCCCAGTGCCTCCAGTAGCGCGGAGTTTGATATGGAGGGCCGTCACGCCGACTTCACGGCATCGAGTAGCAACGTCCTGCGCGGCAAGCATGGCTGCGTATGGGGACGACTCGTCTCTGTCTGCTTTGACTTTCATTCCGCCTTTCAATTTCCTTCTTATTAGCATGATGTAACGAGGAAGAAGGGATGGATTGCGCACCGGTGACGCGAGAGATGGTTTCCTTGCCTGAGAGATCGGTAACGTGGACAAAGGTATCATTGAACGAAGCGTAGATGTGGGCAACGCCAAAGACAAGCTCGCCGTCTGCGACTTGTGGACCGAGCGAGACGGTGTTTTCTTCCTTGGGTGCCTTGACTTTTTTGGGGGGCTAGATTAGAGGAAGCATCATCCAAAAGTCAGCTCTGCGATCCATCGTTTCTCCGCCAATCCAGCACGATAAAAGAGACATATGTGCTTTTGAAACGGCGGTTGGGACGATTGGGAAGAGATTTGGACGTACCATGTTGACGGTCTTGTAGTGAAAAGCTTGAGGACGACTTGATGACTGGTGAGCTCAGGACAAAACTTGCGTTGGTTGCAATGCCAACGGAATGAAACAAGTGCAAATACAGCTCCAATCCCTTTCTTTTCGGCCCCCTATCCTTGACGACTGCGCCTCGCGGAAGAAAAGAACTTAGGCGCGAAATATGTCTAACGATAAGCCTATCCGCTACACGTCCAGCCAAGCGAAACACCACCAGCGTCATAAATGTACGATGAATGAACTCCAGTGACATTCATCTTACATTCCAATCCAAACAACACACCCCACCCCTCGGGCCTCGGCGCATTATGAACACAGAAGCATGCATCCCGTCCTTCTCTTAAAAACATCGGACAATTGGTTGCTACCCTTACAATCAACCCCCCCGCTGCGGAGCGCTCCCATCCCCCATCATCGCAACAGTTATTCTAATACCCACAATACAAGACAGGCGTTATAGTCTCACTCAGTTCTGCTTCCGATCGCGCGCGTAGTTCCCATTCCAACTAATTCCGCTCGTCTTCTTCTTCCTCCTCCTAATATTTGAACCCTTCCACGACTCAATTCCACGTCCCCTATCCTCCTCCCCCGCGCGACCAAGACTACTGAGGATGGACATGCAACTATTCGTCGGCAGTGGTGTATTCGTCTTCGGCATTTGGGCACTCAAGACGATCATTAGTATCCGAGACGTTTCTGAAAACGAGCGATGCGATTTGGAGTTCTGCGAGGACGTGGTGAGCTTGGGTTTTATGAGTGCTTCTTGGTGACTAACCAACTTATTTGGTTTTTGAAGTGACTTCTGTCTGTGGATAGGAATGTTATTGGGGTTGACACGTCGTGAAACGCAAACGGCGCGCGGGACGAGGTCATTTTTGGGTCGTTTGCCGAGGAACATGGGCCGCCTAGCCCCTATTTTACACCGCGTTTCCTTCACGAAGATGCGACGACGCTTTGAAGAAGACAGACCTCCGTCGGCGAGCGGTGTTGGGCTCAATAGGGGCCACCGCGTTGAAATGGCCTGGGTTTCACCAGAGAGTCACGAAATTCGCACTCGCAACACATTTGAAACGGTCACACTATAACTTTCTGGCTCAGACACGCCTTTCGGAAACGGAATTCAGGAAGTCTGGGATGGCTATCCGATGAAATTTGTCGGAAGAGAAAGGTATTGTAAATGTGGTTTTGAAAGTCTCCCCTAGTTGAGAATTTGCTTTTCAGTTCACAAGCTCCATTCATATGGACATGTGAATTTTACTTGGTTCCATGCCGTTTGGTGGTTGTTAATATATGTACAGGCTACGCGTCCGAAGTCCGTTCTTCACGTATAAATTATTTCACAAGATATTGTCTCCAGAAATGATATACATCGGGGCCACAGCCAAAGTACGCAACCCTTACGGTTAACCACCTCACCGCCTAAAGAAGCGTCAGCTTCAGAACGCAATCATCGCGCATTCAATCCCCTATTTTTCAGTTCGTTGCATCATAAGCTTAGCGCCGTGTGCGCAGACGAAATCACTCTTGGATCGTTAGAGGACCTGCACAGAAAATATGGGCCGCCAGTCCGCGTGTCTCATCGTGAAACCTTGCGTTTCCCTCACGAAGATGCGACAACAATATGAAGAAAAACAAGATATCAAGGCCTCTTTTGCTGCATTCTACAGGGGCCACCGCGTTTATAATGGCCTCGCTTGACCTGTGAAAAGTTTACGAAGTTCGCGTTGACGCACTCGCAACAGAGGATGTTCTCAGTTTGAAACGGTCACACTATCCTTTCTATCTCAGACATGTTTTGCGGAGACGGCGTTCATGTCTGGCATGGCTATCTGATGAAATGTGTAGGAAGAGAAAGGTACGTAAATGTGGTTTTGAAAGTCTCCCCGTAGGAGAGAATTATTTTTCTTCTCAGTTCACAACCTCCATTTCAATTTTTTTTACTTGTTTCATGTCGCTTGATGGTTATCAATATACAGGCTACGCCTACGAGTCCGTTCTTAACATAAGTATTATTTCACAAGATATTGTTCCCAGAAAGATATACATGGCGGCCACAGCCAAAGTACGCAACCCTTACGGTTAATCACCTCATGTTGGCCTCACAACGTTACCATCGTACCTCCAGGAATTTTAATTCCCTATTTTTCAACACAAACTCTAAGCGTCGACCTTAGCGCTGTGGGCGTCTATCAAAGTTCTAAAAGGCACACCCTACAGTGGACAAGCGCCCTAGGTGGGAATCAACGCGTGGTAAAAACCGCCTTGCGTTAGCCTCCATCGACCACTTATCAGCGTCGACACCCACTCCATCCTCAACATCCAAACCCGGAACCACTTAAGTTGTACCATAAATGAACGCCGACGCCTACGAAAAGCTTCAGCCGGCGCTTGGCGGCAACAGATTTGGAAGGAAAAGGATTAGGCTCAGAAAGCGCCCAAGCAGTTCTTCTGCTAAGCAAGTTGAGCTTGAAGTCAACACCAAGGCTGAACGCGGCCGCCGTCACTTTCTAAATCGACCACAACGCTCACGCTCTCGCCATAACGCGTCGCCCAGCCCGCTTCCCTCACGAAAATCAAGGAAAGGTTCTCGTAGGCGCGTTAGGTCGTTGAGCCCACGAAAGCGACGGTCTATAATCAAGCAAATCGATGAAATCCAGGACGCGCTACGCAGGATGAGCGACGAGTCCGGGTTGAAGGTGACATTGAACTTTTTCTCTCAGCGTGTCCCTTTTTGTTGACGTTTTTGGGAAGATACTCGAGCATGACGATTTATCAATCCCCCTACCATTGGGCCGCTCACTGGCAGGCCGTTCCGACTCGCTACCACGATATTTCTCTTTCCCAATCCAACGCTCGCCATCCCCATATTACACTTCTCCGTCAGTCCCCCGGACGCGCTCTCCAACTCCGAGTCTTCCGCCTCCCACTGCGGTACCCGGTTTGCCTCCGATTCCTTCTTGGTCTTTGCACTTGATCAAGACTCCGCGCGCTAGCCGTTCGCCCTCTGCTGATCTGTGCTCCTATACTCAGCGGACGCTCTCACTGGACAGGACTCTGTCCCTGTCTTCTCAGAATATCTTGGATGGACGAACTATGAAAGGACGTGATGACTCCGAGGATGCAGCGAATATTTTTGAGGATCAGGACGCGGGAATTTTGCTTCCCTATGGGTCTCCAGAGGTGACAAGCGCTGATACACTGGATGACCTTGAAGAATTAACTATGGATGGTATCTACCTCATCATCATACTCCAGCAGACAGAATAAACATTCACGCGTTTGTTATTTTTATTTTTTATTTTAGCGCTCAAGCGTCGGCTCGCGGAAGCGCTGACAGATCTAGAAATTGAGAGGACGCATCGACTAGAAGTAGACCAAATTTTACGCGACGTCGAGCGTGAATGTCGTCAGCCGTGTGTCGTGCCGTCACTGATTCTGGCGGTGAAGGATTTTCCTTCATTTCGGGAACTACTTCAATGAGCTGTTTTTTTTTTTTTGGCGCTTTCGGAATTTTGGATTTATGTACAAGTTATGATGAGAAGATTGTAATAACACGGTAGTGTAGATGTGACTTGTATTATTTTTTTTTACAGTGCGTTCGCGATTGACTTGTCAAGTGAATAAATAAAAATAAAGTAACAAAAGATCTTTGAAGCGACTTAGATTTTGTCGCCGGATTGGTAATTCAAGACTGAGAAGGCCTTCCTGCGGGTTTCATGATGCAACGGATACTTCTTCCTCGGCTTGGAGTGGATTAATCCTTTTGTATCCGCTTTTATCGAGTTCAAATTTCGTTGTAATGAGGCTTTGAACCCCTGATAAAACTTTCCTGGGATCTTGCGAGAGGCCAACAGAAGATTCCACGTCTGGTCGGAGGTGCAGAAGCTCGAGGGTCGATGGGAGATGGATGTGCTCGCCGCTCATGGCGAGTTCCAACAAATCACTAATAGTACGCATGAGGGAATGGACTGTGTCGAAGCCATCGCAGGTCTTCCAGTTCTTTATTGCGTGTGGCGATACGCCAGCAAAGGCCCAAATTATACCGCCTGCAAAATCAAGCAACTCTTCCAGGTCTTGGCTATCCCTAAAAGCTAACTTTCCCATCCATTGTTCGAGCTGTTCGCAGACTGCGAACAATGCAGCGTGCGAACCAGGATTCGAAAGGGGCCGCGAAGCTAGGTGGTAGACGGCATTGGTCAAGAGGTGTAAGCTAGAATATGTGGATACACAGTGGGTGTCGTCAGCGCCGAACCATTCTGCGGATTTCAGTCGGAAGAATTTTTTCGCAGAACATAGATGTAGTAGTTGGGTCAAAATTTCGTCAGAAACTGTTTCAAAGAGGTCAGTTCGGGATGTCAAGATTAATTGACATTCCGTACCTTCAAACTGCTCTTCGGGTCGGAAAGCGCTTATTATACTTCCGAAGCACGAAGTTAGAGAAAGTGGATCTCCACAGATGTATCGGTCGTCCAGCGCGTTCAGGATGCGGATCCTAGCTTCAATAGCAAGGTTCCGACAGACGAGAGCCACATTTGGTTCATCCAAACGAGGTGTGTATTGTAGGCTGGCAATCAGCATAACATCCTCGGCTATGGGGGTGAGATTGAAGTTGGGAACTCGTCCTGAGAAATGAGGATGCCGTTCTGCATAAGGATGTTTCTGAAGTTCGAGTATGAGGCAAAGAAAGCTAGATTTACGAAGTCCTGGCTCTTCCAATTTGGAAAGTGTAGAAACACGTTTCCAGATCGGAGCGGTTCGCATTCGATGCAAGAGCGATTGAAGAATAGAAAATTTCACTTGGGCTGCCCGTGGGCCGAAGGGAAGGTTGCGCCAAAGCTCTTGAAGCCCGTTTAAAGAGTCAGTTTCAACCTCCTCTGCGTAGCCGCTGGAGACGTAAGCGTCTCGTTCACGTAACCACCGAAGGTCGTAGGCTGTCCAGTCATAAATATGAAGAGATTTAACTGCACGGTCGCCTGGAACCCTATTAAAATTTCAGCATCTATGATCTGTAACGAGAAATGATGCCAGTATGTGGTACCTGCGGAACTTCCTAATCAAGCGGCCAACAAATCCAGACAATACAACGCGATTAAGCCGGACCGTTTTATCGATGACGAATGTCAAGCCTCTCATCAACAAGGCCAGCAATTTGTAAAACGCCCAAGACTGGGGTGATTTGTATGGGCATTGGGGAACAAGTAAAGTCCGCCTGAAGATGAATTGCCAACCGGGAATGATAGTAGTCGCAAACACCAAAAGAAGGACGGAGCCCACAAGTACTGTGAGTATTGTAGCCACGATGCAGTTCAAGCTCCACAGAAAATCAAGGAGACCCATCAAAAAAAGAAGCAAACCGAGCTGGAGAAAAAGGGGAAGTGCGGCCATGATTGTCGGGATGTACCAAGCTTCAAGTCCCTCATAGCGCATTTGACGAAGGGAAAAACTGTCCATATTTCCAAGATGAGCGTCCCTTTGGTACTCCCGCATCCATTGTATACAGAGAATGCCTATCAGTGCCGTTGAAAGTGCCAGAGAGAGGCTGAGAAACCATAAACAGTTGATGCGGATAACGGACGCTGAAATGGTTCGGGGGATTGGCACCGTAAGTATTGGAGGATATTTCGCTTTGCTCTGGTTCACGAGGTTATTTAAGTGTGCAGACATCTGCGACATCTGAGCCAGAAGCTGCTCAGACATGTCTTGGGGATTCGGTTGCAACCACTTATACGATTCGATGGAGAACGCGGTGACGACCGCAGAAAAGAGACCGGCCTAGAAAATGGAGCAGTTCAATGAATTGTAGCCGAAATCCATAGATGACACACCAAGACCAGAAGCTTGTCTATTTCGTCCCTCCACGCATCGCACATGCCCTTATCAATCCTTTGAGTGGCTTCGTGACAAGCTTGGCTGGGATCGCCGAAGTTCGGCAACTGATAGTGAAAATGTCTGTCGCCAGAAGTCCATCGTTTTCCTTCTTCACCTTTCAAATCGTTCTGTCATGGGAGCAAGCTCAGCAAGCCTGAAGTACCAAAATAGACATGATATCCAACCTCATTGAATGAATGGCTACGTCTGAAGACATGTCGGAGTTGCCGGTTCAACTCTTCGGGAGACAAGTGTTGTGACTTTCTCAACGAGGGGTCATGATCTGAAGGGGGGGAAGCACATGATTTCTCCGTCCCTAAACCACTTCCAACGTTTCGATAATGTGCAACAGGCGGGAATTCACCCAGGGTGAAATCTTGATCGTCTTGAACGTGAAGCTTCGAACGAAAGTTAGTCGAAAGAAGGGCCGGGAGAGATAAACCCTACCGTAGAATCAGACTCCATGGGTTACAATGTTGAGTTAATACAAAGGATGGAACGTCCATTAAGTATCTCCAGAATAAATGAGTTCATTACGTCAAGATTGTGTTTTTCACAGCTTTTGGACCCTTCAAGAGAGACGTGGGATAGACTGATTAGCGCCGGCGAGAGTAGGTGACAGTGGGTCCTTGCGTTCAGGGTCCAATCATCTGTAAAAATTCAAATGGCTGAACGCGATTGGATTCGTTAACTTAATCAAGGCCTACCGTGAGCGGACCGCTTGAACAGGTACTTTTTGTGCCGCAATTGCTCAAATATTCCTTGAGAGCGTCGTCAAGGTTGATGGGGCGAGTTCTAGGAACCCGAACATGCCTGTCGCTTCGCAACCAGGACCATCCGTAAACAATAACCTTATCTAGTCGGCGCTTTCCTCCAGGAGCAGCATATCGACCTCTGCAAAGAGCGGTGCTGAATGCCGATATGTGATGGGTCCTTAGGAACTAATTACCTATATCTCCGCTCATTTTTCCAGAGGTCCCGAAGCGCAGCAAAACGAGCGTCGCGGTTTTGAAGCCAAGAATTGAACCAGTCTTTTCTCCGAGTGATAAAATACAGAGCCTTGTGAGAATAAAAGTGGTGAGGCTATGCGCGTACCATATACACGCGATGAAGATACCCAAATGTCAATACTGCGGAAACGAGCGCCTTTTCAACTGAAACGAGAAAAGGTGCTGAGAAAAACAGGGTTCAGCTCCATTCCAATTTTCGTACGTCGAATGACATACCATCAACTAATCAAGCCAAATGGCATGGCTACCTCCAAGCATTGTTTCTCCCTGAGAAGCATCGTTCCGAGGAGGCCACTCGGCCACTACGCTTACATTTCCCTTTCCCCACCCGTCCCATTCCAGCACACGCACCCCACCTCCCGCTCCAGTAGCAGCTTGGTCGTCATCATCCGTAAGCAATATCCACATTCCCCCGTCAATGTCTTCCTTGGCTCGAACATCAAGGGCATTCGCCTTCCCGCCCGACGTAGGAGTTTCAAATCGCACAAAATCATCCAGAAACTCGCCTGATGGGCCCAAGCGGAAGATGCTCAGCCATCCCCTGACGTTGCCGGTTGATCCGCGCGTGGTGGCAAGCAATGCGCAAGGTGCGGGATTTTGTGAGGTGGAGGGTGATAGCATGAGGGTGTCACCACGGAAATGCGATCGGGTGTGAGGATCGGAGGGGGATGTCGTTGACGGAGTTGCGCTGAGAGTTGAGGGGAGGAGGGGGCGTGAAGATATATAGGCGAGAGATGTCTCATGAATGTGGTATGCATCCACAAAGTTGGCTTGACAAAAGACTGAATTTCGAGGTTTAAGAAAGAGACCGAGAGAACTTACTGTGCTCAGTGACGCAGTATAGTATCTTGCCATTCGGATGCACCTTTACATGTCGTGGACCGTCTCCACGGCCCCTTGGCGAGGCATTGGAAGAAAGATGCCTCAAGTGGCCCGTTGCTGGATCTCGGGCGTACATCTCAATCGAATCCGTGCCGAGGACGGGAATGAACGCATGCCCCTGGGTGGAAAATTCGATTCCATGAGATCCGTAACGCTGTAGACATGTCAGTCCGGGCGACCCGAGACGAAACACGTCTCCTACCAGAGCAACGCGCGTCTTGTCAGCGGATTCAAGCTCGCTTTCCGGAACAAAAAGGAACTGTTGTACTTTCTCGCCAAAGCCACCCGTCTCGCTGTCAACTAGATGAACTTCACCAGTGGGTCCACCAGTAGAATAGATATGGGTGAAAGGGGGCGGCAGGGTTATGTACGATGATGTCGCAGCTACGATGAACGCGCCATGTAAATCACCAATACTTGATCAGAAAAGAGCTTAGGAGCTCGCACTAATTGGCACGTTGTTGATGTGGTTCACCCTCCATGGTACATTTGGATGGTCGCTCGTCTCCACCTGCCAGCTTGAGAGCAGACGAGGTAAAGCCCAACTGGTGGAATATACAAAACCTTTTCCTTTGTCCGAGAAGAGATACTGATGAGGTCCGAATGCTGGGATCGTCTGAACATGAGATAGTGACCGATTGAGAGGAGAAAAGACGAGCAGGAAGAGAGAAAGAGAGCGGAAAGAGCCGGAAATAATATGGTACGTATTCCCCACGTTTGATGGATGTGCTTCGTTGAAGATTATCTGGGAGGAGGAATTCATGTTCACCCGGTGTTACTTAGAGGCTTGTGGTCGCACCGTGAGAATCCTTCAAGTTGTACCATCGCCAAGCAGTGCTCTCAGACACTAAATTTCTGATCTCTTCCGGTCGTGAGCCAACCTTCTAACAGGATGCAGCTTTTGATAGGCTCAATCTCCAAGAAAAATGCAGGAGCCGAGCTATGCAGGAGAATGGACCAAGTAGCCTACTCATTGCAACTCTGTTCCTAGACGTCCCATCCAGGAAGCCTCAACGTACGACCTTTATGCGACGAATATGTACTTAGGTTGGCCTATCTAAATTTGACGGTTCGGAAGATTCCAATGCGAAATTTGTGAAGGGAGCAGAAACCGGTTGGTGCGGATGAGGGAGGTGAAACTTCGTTGATGCTTAATCTAATCCAAGGTCATGGGGATAAATGTCGGAATCACCTCCTAAACCAAGTCCGTTGCGTGTAACGTCTTCGCACCATAATCATCGTAATCACCATAGCCATCGCCATTCCAACTGCATACCATCCAGCAGCCTTCATTACATACCGTGGACCGGGGGACGGCTCAGACGCACTCGGATCCAACACCGCAATGGCAGCGCTGACAAGGATGAGACCGGCAAGCACATGTGCAGCTGATACGATGGTAAGGATGCGGACAGTCCATCGGACCTGGATATACTTCGTCATGAATGATTCATCCGTTTCCACGAGCAAGCTTGCTGAAGCTGCGGCAGCGCAGCCCACGATGAATACGCTCGCTGCCCAGGATATAATCTCAAGGTTCCCCCGTGTTCCTGAGAATAGGGTGGACCACGCTACTGAGGCACCGAAGAACGCGATGGCGAGCAATGCTGCAAGGTTAGTCCTATTTTTTTTTTGAAAAGAAAAAAGTAGGAAATCAATGATTGCCAGGTACACAGATGAATGTTAACGTCACTTGCCTGTGAGACGATACAGCACTGAGTCCCGCTGTTTGTCCGTCAATTGCAGCTGGACGTCCTTCAGCCTCTATGGGCCCATAGTCATCGACCGCGGTGTAGTTTGATGGGCCGGATAATTCTAGTTCTACAAGATTTCCGGCGCTTCGTGAGGTTGTAGAGCTGATTGAACCTGGCCCGGACACGCGAGCGCGCCTAGACTCCGAATTACCTGTGAAATTTGAGTCTTTCTGTGTACTTGTGTGTTTCAATGCAGACTGAGATCCTAAACCATGAGACATTGCAAAATAATTTAGCTTGTAATTATTCACCTTCATCGAACGAAGTGCCGAGAAATTTCGGAGGGACACAACTTTGTCTAAACTTTGCGTCAGAAACGCATACGCTCGCTCGACATTCCGCAGCTGCTAACAGCTTCAGTCTTTTGAACGAGAATTACGGTATACAATTACCTCCTTCTTAGATGTATCTAGGACTTGATCGTCCTTTGCAAACAAGTCAGTAATTAGAAAGATACTCGAACAGAGAGCCGCACTGAATTTGAACTTTCTAGCTAATATCACAATACTTCAGTGAATAATGGAACTCGAAAACGTTGAATGTTGAAGACCCACTGAATCCAGATGACGAAGACATGGACTTATGTCATGTGTGAGGGTGCCCATGAACATCATACCAGTGTATATCTCCAAGTTGTCCTGTAAGATAAGGTTTCTTTAGATGCGCTGCCCAGACTTTACTATACGAGATGCTCACATTTGGAACCTCCATCGTCGTTAACGTATCTTGAATCCTCTTCAGTTCATTCTCCTAAAGCAAGCCATGAGCCACGCACCCAAGCAGGAATAATGCACTCATTACTCACCAACCACACCGCCCTGGCCTTTATATCAGCCACGCTCATCCGCTCTATTGGTGCCAAAATATCTTCAAGAAAGCATTGTTGATAATAATTCCATTTTGTTTGCCACATATTTGAGTAGGCAGTAGTGTGATCTGCATCAAAAGACCAGGCTACAGGCGTTGAAGAAGGACCAAGGAACCATTTGCTCAATGTACTCTTTTTGTGAGTGGAGGAAGATGACTGAAGATCGTAGTAGGTGGTTCAGTGATGGCATGACAGGAGGATATAAAAAATATACGTTTACTGGCGATGGTAATTCTGGTAGGAGTAGCGGTTTCGCACCCTAACATGAGAGAGATGTTAGGGAGAAACTACCATGCACATTAGCGCTCACAGGGTTTGGGAGGTAGTAGATTGTGTCGTCTAGTATGTCCATCGTACTGGAAGCTGTGATACGGGCGGTCAAGCCTAGAGGTGGTAGATCTAAGCTTGAAGCTCCGAGTCTACAGGGTTCTTGTAACTTGTCCAAGTCGGTAGTGAAGGATCGTGAGAATCGGCATTATCCTTGAAGTAAACGCCTGATAAACGCCAAAGTAATTAGTATCAACCAATGTCAGCAGCTGGGGGTTTAAGTTAAAATTCAATACACCTTGTTCCCGGAGTTTTTGCGGCAAACGAGTGATTCTGTCCTTCAAGCGTTTCCTTGAGTTGAGAAGGAAGGGACGGCGGAGGCGCGCCGGCGGCCGCAGCTAGTCAGAGCTAGTCTCTCCTAGACAGCTTCGATATGACGGAAAGCTTGCACGTAGTATTTCGAAAAAGTGATACCTTATTCTCTGTCCAACTTGATACTTGCCGGTGTGTATTAGCATCGAGCTCAGCCAAGTGATGTTTATAGTAATGTATGGTGGATACTGACTGTTGGCTCAGATGTATGGAATGGACGGTGGCTATTTACCGTGCGTGAAATTTCAAGAAATCCATTGCTGTATCACATTTTGGATACAACGGTGGATATTTACAGTGTACTGAAAATTTGTGCGTAAAGGTGAATACCCACCGTACCCTCCCATTTTTTCAGTGGACAGTGGATATTTACTTGTCCAGTCCTTGTGCCTGACAGTGGGTAACCACCGTACCTACTGTACTTTTTCTTCTTTTGGGTAGACAGTGGATATACACTGTCCAGTTCGAATTTGCGTGTGACGGTGGATAATTACCATCCAGTCCAAATGTGCCATGACGGTGGGTGCCCACTGTACCTGCCTATTTTTTAAGTGGACGGTGGATATACACTGCCAACTGCCAATTTGTGCATGACGGTGGATACCCACTGTACCCTCCTATATTTTCAGTGGACGGTGGATATACACTCCCAACTGCCAATTTGTGCATGACGGTGGATACCCACTGTACCCTCCTATATTTTCGGAATTATGGTATCACTTTTACAGTATACTACATGCAAGGTACCCCCGATATGATGTGAAGTCGTACCTTGGTTCACGATCATATGAAGGCCGCAGTCTATTTATGGCGCCGCGTGACACGGACGGCTCTTCGAATGTTCAACGACAACATCATAAAATGGTCCCCGGATCTCCTTTGAGCTTCTCTTCATCCTCATGTTGGGCCTCTCTACCATTATCTTCGCATTTCTGAACCTACTCGCCGTCGCACACAAGGAACCCAAGTCACCCCATGAGATAGAGGTACAGCGAGCGCTACAAGCGGCAGCATACCACGTAAGCCCCTAGTTCTCTCTTACAAACGACGGTGGCTAACATGGGGACTTACTTCGAATGACACAGTGTGCTCCTGCCATCGAATCCTTCACCGCTGCGCGGAAACGAGAATTCGCTCGTAAGGTTCTTGGTGGACAACCCAACGTGCCGGGATACCAACAACTGTTTGCTTCGGAGACTTACGAAGACCTCAGGCCCCCTACGCCATATCTTGACGAGGCAAAGCAAGATGGTGAAACGTTGATGGGGTGCACGCCCATCTCGGAGACCCATATTCAGAACAATACATGCGTGCTCGCTCCCGAAGTTACAGAGGGACCATATTACCACACGGAAGGACATCCAATTAGGCAGAACATTGCGGAGCTTCAGGATGGACTGCTCCTGGTAAGATAAGGCGTGCTCATATTCTCCCCGGTTACTGACGCCAACGTAGCTGCTCGATATCGGTGTTATCGACGTAGAAACGTGCCAGCCTCTTCCGAACGTTTTGGTTGATATATGGCAAAGTAATGCAACAGGCATATATTCAGGTTTTTCTGACTTTGTAGTGGTGAAAGGCAGAGTTCTCACACATCTGCACAGGTCACCCTTCTCCACATCCGCATCTGGCCAAGGAGGAGCCTCAGATAGGGGGCAAACGATCAGGGTTACTATCTCCTTACGCTCGTACTCTATCTGAGGAGACCTGGCTACGAGGAGCGTGGCCTACGGACAAAAATGGCGTTGCACAGTTCACTAGTACGTCGTGCTGGCGCTCCTTTCTCAAGACTAAAGCTAAAGCTTTTGTACAGCCATCTTCCCGGGATACTACATGGGCCGAGCAACCCACATCCACACCAAGGTGTTCCCCGAATGGGTACCACAGCCAAACGGAACGTTCGCAGCGGGGCGGCTCTCGCATGTCGGGCAGTTCTTTTTCGAGGATGAGATCAACTTGGTGATCGACAAGGTCTGCATCTGCATCTTGCTTCTTTGGCATGTCAATCATCTAAAGGTTGTTCTTTCCCCTTCTTTCATTCAATACAAATAGATGTGGCCATACGTCACCAACCCCATCCGGGAGACGCGTGGTCGGACCCGAAACTGGCGCGATTCGCTCAATATCTTCGAGGACGCTCACGGTCCGGAGGGAAAATATAATCCGGTTTTCAAGCTTCATTTCATTGGAGGTGTGATAAGTCAAGGTCTGGTGGGATATATCACTATGGTATGGTCATCATTTTGAGATTCTTTCGTTACATTGATCGTATGCCTCTTCAGGGAGTCAATGCTAGTTCATCATACGACAATTTCTTGAAGGCCTAAACCCGCATTATTGCAACATGGGAGGTTCTTTGGTTGGCAGATGGCGTAGGTCATGATCACACAGGAGGGATTATACCAAACGGCGCTGTACAACACCAATACGAAGGTTTCTGTAGAACTATGGTGGTTACCTCACATGCTGAGGGACGTGCTCATTGTAATATTATGATTCAACGAGAATGGCGTCCGAATCCCATTGAGAGCAACGGCGGGCTGCTTCGTAACCCTCCCGGCTACAGCACGCTTCGCCCACATTCCTGCTCTCTTGCAAAGGCAGCAAACACACCCGTGTCTGACAACCTGCAACTTCCGAGCCCTTAATTATCCCTCTGCCATCTGTGCTGTAAGCTGCAAGCTGCAAGGGTCGTTTGCTGGACAATACGCATCCAGTAATCGTCGCCGTCCTTTCCAACTCTAAGTTTGTGGGTGCATTGGTGGTTAGGACCACCATTTTCGCAGTGCCCTCAGATCACTTTAAGTTCCTAGGGCAGCAGTTTGCGCTTCCGGCCCATCACCTCCACAAGACGCGACGAGCCCGTCCAAATTCCCCTTCATGACCGGCTGGTCGGCGGTACTCTTCGTCACGAATCTCTTGGGCGTCACTGGGTGATCGCGGTAAGCGATGAGACCGAGTCTGATGGTCCCTCTTCTCTTGAGCTCGGCAGAAGCGGAAATTCTCAAGGTCCGTTGAATGCCTGCAAGATCTCTTGAACGCTGAAAGTAAGTGCTGGGGGCAAGGCGAGGGCTGGCTGCAAGACTTCGGTTGGAAAAAGGAATGCTATGTTCGGAGATCGATCCAAGGCGACCTTGACCATCCAATCCCTCAGGACGATGGGAGTGTCAGTGGGGGGCATTCTCTGTTCATATCAGCTCGACAATACATGTTTGGGACCCATTCTGACGTACTTTGGCGGGGAGTTATTATTTGGGCTGTTCCGTTGCAGGAAATAGATGTGACGGTTGGAGATCGATCTAAGATGGCCTCGACCATCCAACTCTTTAGGTTCATAGGAATGGGAGGGGTTTCGTAGTTTGTCCTAAGTTCAATACACAACTCTTTTAGCTTAGAGAACAGTGTCAATACTCCCAAAATGACTCGGAATGTGTCGGGACTGTCTAATAGGGCTGTTAGGCCATTCAAAGACAAAGTTGTCAACCTGGAAAATTCCTTCTTCCATATATGGCAGATTGGTCGAATTCCGGCGCAAAGAGATTCCTCCACCGTTTCGACGTGGAACAACGGGAGAAGCTTCACGCTGGGCCGGACAAATTCACGAAGTCGGGCGATGGAGGTGGCGGTAGTCGTAATATCAAACAACAACCCATGCCTTTTGAGTTCGAAAGTCAAAAATATAGTTCTAAGCCTCGGAACAATCAAAGACCTAGAAAACATGTAGAAAACCAAGTCTGCGGGGGCAGAGATCGTTTCCATAGTCAGGAAGACGGGAAAAGATGTGATAGTCAATCCCTCGCCGGAAGGGCTTGCTTTCCATGTCAAAGGTAGAACGCTAAACGTCTGAAGGAGTGGTAATTGGGCGATGAAACCAAGAGCGTCGAAAAGGTACGTTACGCCCTTGAGGAACAAAGACTTAAGTGAAGCCTGGAGGGCTTCTGCTAATCGATAGAGTATGAGGGAGCGTTCGGCTTGTGAATATATTGACCTAGGCCACGTCAAGTTGAGCGTGAGCGATGTGATTCGAGATTGCTTCAGCACGGTGAACGTCCAGCTGGAGCAGGGTGGAGTGAAAAGGCTCAAGGCATCAATTTCCATGCTGCTAAGTGCAATTTGCTGCAAAGCCGCAGGAGAGCAAGTAAGGAATGGTCGAGTTCCCTCACTGCCGTTCCTCCTATACTGCCAATCTGGCGAATCATTGCGATAGGCGTGTCCCTGGAGTCCTTGAGTGATACTGAAACCACTAGTATCCAGCGGACTGAATAAGTAACTGTTTCCAAAAAAAGAGTCTGCATTCATGAGGCGAAGGATTTTGCACTTTGTGATTGCTGTGTTGAGCAGGTTCTGTAGGACAATAACCCCAGATTCTAGGTACATGTCGCGAGCACCATCCAACCCGGTCATACTGAAAAAAAGGACAACTTCATCAATCGAGGCCAATCGTAGCATCAGGTGATGCAGCCGACGTATAAGTTCGGCAACGGGCCAACCCCACTGAGGATGATGCCCTGAAAGTTGGAAGTTGCATCGAAGGAACTTCATCTGCTGGATATGAAGACCGGCTTGTAAGGCAGACAAGGCATCAGACTGGCCCTCTATGGCGTAGAGATCGAAAGTGCAGTTGGTAGGATCTCGGATTCCGCAATGTTCAAGAAGCGCCGAGGTGGACAGATAGTTGAGCAAGCGACATGTCAAAGATAGAGTAAAAAGGGAGTTTGGAGGTACGCGATCCACTATCGCCAGGATAATTTCTGTTGGTAGGTCCAGTAGCCCGTTCATGCCTGCAAATCTTCTAGTCAGTCCATGGATGATGGTAGAAGGTATACGCCCAGTGTATCACCTCTGTGAAGAAAGAGAAATCGAAAGTGAGCAATGTAGCAGTGCGCCAAGCAGACTTTACTTTGAAGAAATAATTGACTTGAAGTTGAACGTTGAGGAATCGGACGTTGGGCGCAAGTTGGGCGTTCAGCCTCAGCTGAGCCTCTTTAAAGATTTGTCACGTGTCCACAACTCTTCTTGGTTGAAATCGAATTTTTATCATCCGCGCCAATATCTTCCTTGGCCCTTGCGTTGAGCGATGTGCCTTTAGCAAACCTCTTATTTACATAATAGCTGTCGGCTAAATTTCTTAACCTTCAAGGAGGCTCTGAGCCGAAACCGCTCCTTGGGCCGCAGGTTTCTAGCTGGCAAACGTGTAGGGCCCGGGGGGAGTGGCGCTCTAATCTGATAAGGTCTGCATCTGCATCTTGCTTCTTTGGCATCATGTCAATCATCTATAGGTTGTTCTTCCCTTCAAGTTCTTTCAATAAATAGATGTGGCCCATACTTCACCAACCCCATCCGGGAGATGCGTGGTCGGACCCGAAACTGGCGCGATTCGCTCAATATCTGTGAAGACGCTCTTGGTCTGGAGGGGAAATATAATCCGGTATCAAGCTCCACTTCATTGGAGGCTTAATAAGTCGAGATTTCTTAATTCTATGAATCATCTGCCACTACAGGGAGTAGATGCTAGTGCGTCATTACGACAACTTTTTGAAGGACTAAACAGTTCACACCAACGGCGACGTACAACACCAATGCGAAGGTTTCAGTAGAACTATGGTGGTTACCCCACGCTCGTAGAGACGTGCTCTAGTAGCCAGAACCATTGTAATATTATGATTTAGCGAGAACAGCGTCCGAACGCCATTAAGAGCAACGACAGGCTGCTTCACTGGCATGACCCTCCTGGCTACAAGAAGCTTCGCCCACATATACATAAAGGGCAGGTGAGCGATCATGCTCTCCTGTGAAGGCAGTAAACACACCCCTGCAATTTCCTGCGACGTGTCGTGACAACCTACAACTCGATTCTCTCTCGGCCATCTGTGTTGCAAGCCCAGAGGGTCGTTTTCTGGGGCCAAGGCGAGGGTCGGGCGCAAGATTTCGGTTGGAAAAGGAAGGGCGTGTTCGGAGATCGATCCAAGGTGAACATGACTTATCCAATCCCTCAGGATGATGGGGGCGAGACGCACTCTTTTGTTTGGATTAGCTTAACAAGACATGATTGCGACCCATTCTGACGTACTTTGGCGGGGAATTATTCTTTGGGCTGTTCCATTGCAGGAAATAGATGTGACGTTTGGAGATCGATCTAAGATGGCCTCGACCATCCAAGTCTTTAGGTTGATAGGAATGGGAGGGCCCGTTTCGTAATTTGTCCTAAGTTCAATACGCAATTCCTCTAGCTTAGAGAACAGTGTCAATACTCCCAAAATGACTCGGAATGTGTCGGGACTGTCTAATAGGGCTGTTAGGCCATTCAAAGACAAAGTTGTGAACCTGGAAAATTCCTGTTCCCATATAGGGCAAACTGGTCGAATTCCGTCGCAAAGAGATTCCTCTAATGATGGAACACTGCCGAGGTGGAATAACATGAGAAGCTTCACGCTGGGCCCAACAGATTCACGAAGTCGAGCGATGGAGGTGGCTGTAGTTGTAATATCCTCCAACCCCCCAACCTTCTTGATTGAGAAGGCCAAAAAAATGATCCTTAGCCTCGGTACGATCAAAGGCCTAGAAAACATGTAGAAAACTAAGTCTGCGGGGGCAGAAATCGTTTCCATCGATAGAACGAGGGGAAAAGATGTGATAGTCGAACCCTCATCAATGCTCGCTTTCCACGTCCAAGGAAGAACGCCAAACGTCTCAAGAAGTGGTAATTGGGCTATAAAGCTAAGAGCATCGAGGAGGTGTGTTACGCCCTTGAGAAACAAAAACTTAAGCGAAGGCTGAAGGGCCTCTGCTAGTCGAGAGAATATGAGGGATCGTTCGGCTTGCGTAGATCTTGACGTAGGCCATTTCAAGTTGACGGTGAGCGATGTGATCTGAGATTGCCTTAGCACGGTGAAGGTCCAGCTGGAGCAGGGCGGAGTGAAAAGGCTCAAGGCATCAATTTCCATCCTGCTGAGCGCAATCTGTTGCAAAGCCGCAGGAGGGCAAGTAAGGAATGGACGAGTTCCTGTACTAATGTTCCTCGTATACTGCCAATCTGGCGAATCATTGCGGTTGACGAATCGCTGGAGTCTTTGAGTGATACTGGAACCACTATCCGGTTGATTGAATAAGTAACTGTTTCCAAAAAAAGAGCCTGCACTCATGAGGCGAAGGATCTTGCACTTCGTGATAACTGTGTTGAGCAACTCCTGTAGGATAATAACCCCAGATCTTAGGTGTATGTCGTGAGGGACAATCATCCCCCTCATATTGAAAGAGAGGACAACCTCATCAATTGAGGCCAATCTTAGCATGAGGCGATGTAGTCGACGTATAAGTTTGGCAGCGGGCCATTCCCACTGAGGATAATATCCTGTAGGCCGGAGGTTGCATCGAAGGAACTTCATCTGTTGGATATGAAGACCGGCTTGTAAGGCAGACAGGGCATCGGCCTGGCCCTCTACAGTGGTGTAGATATCAAAAGTGCAGTTGGTAGGATCTCGGATTCCGCAATGTTCGAGAAGCGCCGATGTGGAAAGATAGTTGAGCAAGCGACATGTCAAAGATAGAGTAAAAAGGGAGTTTGGAGGTACGCGATCCACTATCGCCAGGATGATTTCTACTGGTAGGTCCAGTAGCCCGTTCATGCCTGCATATCTCCTGGTCAGCAGTGGGGTCCATGATAGAAGGTATACGCCCAGTGTATCACCTCTGTGGAGGAAGAAAAATAGGAGCAATGTAGCAATGCCCCAAGCAGGCCTGAAGTATAATGATTGAAGGGAATTGAGAGATTGACTTCAAGTGGAGGAATCGGACGTTGGTTGTGGCCAAGTTTAAGTTGACGCAGCACAATAGTTTCGTCACGTGTCCACAACCTCTTCTTGAATTTCCATCATCTCCGCCCTTCGAGCTGATCTCCCTGGGCCCTTGCGTTGAGCATGCGCCTCTAATAAACCCCCTATTCAACAGCTGTCAGCCAAATTTTTAGAACTTGAAATTTCTTACCCTTCAAGGATTGGAGGCTCTGAGCCGGAACCGCTCCTTCGGCCGCAGGTTTCTAGGCCTGGCAAGGCATGCAGGGGAGTGGCGCTCTAATCGACCCGAACCGCTAGGAAGGAAAGCTGTTGTGAGTCGTTCTGCTAGCATCCATATAGTGGCGGAAAGTCATGCCTCATGCATGCAAACCCGTCAGGATGGTCCACCAGTTGGCAGTCGATCATCTGATGACCAGATGCCGAAGGTCTGAGGGGAGCTAGGAAGAAGACAACCTCATGTTTTAGGAGACAAAGAAAATGCTCTTGGAACATCGAAGCAAGTGCCTTCAAAAAGCTCGCTGCTCGGATCGCTGCCGTCGAACGTCTGGATATCAAAGAAGAGTGAGTTTCGCTTTCCTTTGGTTATTTTATATGATTGCTGATGCGTCTGCACACTCCTTTTAGGCGGGTGGCTGAATTGTAGCAGGGTTGGAATGCTTGTGGAGAAAGCTCATACGGAATCTGATTGACCAAAGCAGGGGGATGGTAAAGGGGTAAATTGTTCATGTACGTCATTATACCCTGCCTGGGCGACAATTTGATTCTGAGTCTTCATAGCTTTGACTGTGATTGCTTGTCAGTCGAGTGGAAGAACGAATCACCTCCAACGCGAACCAGAACCACGCCTTTTTACAACCCTTTCATGGCTTTCACTTGCTCTCGGCTGCGAAGTGGTGCGCTCGCCTGCCACTTTGTTCATCCAAGCGAGAGGACTTCTTGAACCGGCGCTACTTTAGAGTTTCAGACATTTGGCGGCAGATGCGGCCTTGGCACTATGTTTGACACACGTCAATTGATGTTGCAAGGAGGTGGGAGGTTACTGTTGAACGGGGGGATCTTCGGAAATGCTTCAGCAGCATGAGGCATGAGATCAGCATGTTGGTCCCTGGCCTTTCGTGCGTGGATGAGCATAATATATGTCCACCGACGAACCATTCGTCGTTAGAAACGACAACTTTCCCATCGAACTATCTTACTGGAAGCTATGCTTCTTATTCACCCTTCCAGCTGTTGCGATGTCTGTCTGGAATCCTATAACTGGGACATCACGACGCAGATGCCTCATGTAATACCCTGTGGCCATATTTTCTGTAAAATGTTGGTCTGTTCGTCCTACTCCTGTTTAACGCTCATTCTAACCCATCAACAGTTGTCTGGAGTCGATGACATCCCCGAATTGCCCGTTATGCCGCAAGGCCTTCTCCCACAATGGCATAGTGAAGCTTCACATCGATCGTCCGCTAACGTCAGGTCAGTGTCTACAAGAGGTTGAGCTACTGCAGAGGCTTTCCGCAGAAGAAGAAAAGCGTCAGGCAGATTTCGAAGCAGCTGCGGAACAGAGCAAGCAACGCAAGCGGGAGCTACAAGAAGCTTTGGAAAGGGCATGGCTTCGACAACAGAGTGAGGAAGAGACGGAGGTCCAGAGACAACAGCCAGCAGGTGCTGCTGCTCCCCCGGCCGTCCGCGCAGAAATGTCCGCTAGGCGACTACTCTTGGAAGACTTTCCCCTTCCTCCCATCAGCGGTGCTGTCGGTGCCGCAGCCATACAACCATTTATCTTTAGGCCAGCTACACGATCTAGCCAGGGACCAAGGCAGGATCCAGGTCTTGCTAGTCTAGCATATAATGCTAGAGCACCATCGAGACCATCAGGATTAGCCTTACTTCGGCCAAGATCTCCTTATCCCAGGTCGCTAACCCTTGTCGATGATAGCCCCCCTATCATCCGTCGGATTGGTGAGCGAAATCTCAGCAGTATTCAGCAGCCACTAATGGGCGTTCCAAAGATCTCGTGAACAGGGCAAGAACTAGTGCGACAGCCGTTGAGGCATGAGCTCACTCTAAGCAGGCTCAGAGCGATTTAGAGAGGTCCGCGAGTGTGGTATCAGTATAGCCGGCGAATAATCCCACATCTTTGAACGGAACAAATAATGATTGGTATCGCTGAAATTGAAGGACGGTTTGGATGTCAAACCTCCAGTTCCAACAAGTAAGACCGACAAAGTCTTGTTCCCTCGTCCTATAGTAAGGAGCAATTATCTTTAATTGCCAACAACCAGTTGAAGTTCAGACTCTTGTAACCACGGAAAACACGTTTTTCAGGATTCAATCAAGGTTTTCCAAAATCTCAATCAAGCCGAATGGATTCCGTCAACGCGTGGTCACACCAGAAGGCCGGGAACTTCTCAAGCGCTAGTTTTCCTCCAACTCGTTCCCAGCTAAGTGTTGGCTAAGGGTGCTATGCTCGCCCGTCAAAACATCCGGACAAGGGTTACCTCTGCTGGTGCTGCCTTAAAGTCTCAGACCATTGGTGCGCAAAGAGGCGTCGGCACTCGGTGCGATGTCCTTGCTTTTTGATGTTGCAAGAAGGCGAGAACGTTCTTGTTGAATCAGGGCGAATACTCGCGTGCTAGAGGGCACAAGGCGTGGGGTGAGCATGTTGATTTGTTGTACATGGCCTGGCCTTTCGTGCATGGACGTGCACAGCATATAATCACTGGCAACCCGCAGGCCGTTGCGAAGGACAACGACAACCACGACTTTGAATCTCACCAGAATTCATGCTCATCGTACACCCTTCGAGTTGTTGCGATGTTTGCTTGGACCCGTACTCCTGGGACCTCTCGCCCCATTCCATTCCCTGCGGCCATATTTTTTGTAAAACGTTGGTCCTACTCTAACCAAAGGCCATCTATGGTTTTCCCGAGCTCTAATGCCATAACAGTTGTCTGGTGTCGATCGCACCCTCAAAATGCCCCTTATGCCGCAAGTCATTCTTTTTCGATGGCATAGTGAAGCTGCACATCGGTCGCGCCGCAGCGTCCCAGGGCTCCCAGGAGTTCGAGCTGCTGCAGAGACTTGTTGTAGAGGGATCAAATTGTCAAAGTGATCTGGAAACAGCTGTAAAACGGAGCAAGCAGAATCAGCAGGAAGTAAAAGAAGCCCTGGAAAGAGTGTTGCGAGAACAGAGCAAAGAAGAGACAGAAGCCCGCAGAGACAATCAACCTACGGCGGAAGTAGGTCCAAGTGTACCCACAGCCATTTATACAGTCTCCCTTCGGGACGGAGACAGGAGTTCGCCTCGTCCAATCATTCGTGGTGCGGCAGAAAACTGGACTCGGAGGGCAAGGCGGGAAGCGAGATACGCTGACAGTGGACTCAGTTTACAGTCCTCTCCTCCCGAGACTGTAGTTCCCAGCTCGCCACATCCTTTCGACAGAGGCGTTCCAAGCTCACCACTTCTTCCGTTTGAGAGAGCAGTTTCCACCTCGCCGCCGTCCCGATTGGAGAGTGAAATTCCAAGCGTCCGCACCCAGCAGGAAGCGAGGAGTCATTTTTCTCCACTTTCATCTTATCAAGTCATTGATAGGTATCCTCGGCCCAACTCTCCGTTTCTCGAAATCGAGACACTTCCCGACGTCCCGCAGGGAGCAAGAAACCATTTTTCTTCACCTTCAAGTCTGTAAGTCGTTGATAGAACTCCTCGAAACATTCCGCCTCTTACATTTGGTACTCTACATCCCAGCGTTCGGCAAGATGCAAGAAATCGTTTTGCTCCACTCTCAAGAAGTCGCGAAGCTAATGATAGGAGTTCTCAACCCAACTCGCCGCATATGGAATTCGAGACACTTCCCAGCGCCCTTCAGGAATCAAGAAATCCAAGCCGTTCGACTAGTGCAGTGTCCCCGCAAGTCGAAGTTAATAACCGTGCTCCTGTGGAGAAGTTAGTATCCGGCCGGAAGCGTCGCGTGCGCTGAGCTGGACAGAAACCGCTTTCTTTTCTTCCCCTTCATAGCCAGCAAAATCTCACGAACTCCAGCGGTCGCGTGTTAATGGGAAACCCGAAAATACAAGGAAGGAGACTCAACAAGGCAAGGACTGGTGCAAATGGTTTTGTGGTATAAGCTGGCACCAAGCAGGTTGGGCGAGTTCAAGCAGGGGCCCGCGAGCGGGATACCAGTAGTTTTTTTTTCTGGTGTTGGTATATTAATGTTCTTCTCAAGTTTGAGGCTGCCTCATAAGGCCCGAGGCGCTCCTGCTCTTAAATGCCATTGTTGCATGACGTCCTCGTGTACCGGGTAAGACTACGCATGGCAGGGAGGTACTAGTCGTGGAATAAGCACTGGATAAGTATTCAGGATGGCGGAGAGAAATCGGAAAGGAACGCTGAGGAAATCTCGCCAAAAAACTCACGTGATCGTGTATCGTCACTTGACGTGACCCAGAGTTCGCTGCAGCCCAACGAAACCCCCCATCATATCGGCGTTTTCTGCAGCCCAATGAAACTCCCCAGCGTCATATCGGTGCTTGCTGCAGCCCAACGAGACCTAACGTCACATCGACGTTTGCTACAGCCCAATGAAACCCAGCCAGTCTTGAGCTAATCCTAACACTTCGAAAAATAGCATCGTCGCAAATTGCCTTTCTTTGGTATCCCTGCCAAAGATTTATACTCAAGTCACTGATGTTTTCAGTATGCTGGACTCAAAGAAAATGCCCCTATACCCTTGAACTTTCAGGCGCGCCACTCCTGATGTCAACTCGGAATCTTCGTGAGTTTCTCCATGCCGATAGTACCAGAAAGTGTACCACATCACGGATTTACCGGAAACAAGAAGGCGTACTCTGATTAACACTTCATTCTTAGGTCTGATTTTCTGAACCCCGGGATATGTGTCGACCATATTTAACTAAACCGACATGATGAACCCCAGGTGAGGCCACTGCTACATTCACAGTGCGACTATCATGTTCGACATACTCGCTTCAGGCTTTTCCAACACTGCAGTCTCGGGTGCGATGGAGACGATCCAGTTTTATTCATACCTCACTGTGGCAGGCTTGCTGTTCGGTCTCTGGGGCTTGAAGCATATCGGAGTGAAGAAGCCAAACCCTAACCGCCTTCCCCGTCCTCCAGGTCCAAAGGGACTCCCCATTCTGGGTGCCATGTTAGAAATGCCATCACTAGGCGATAAACCGTGGCTGGCTTACGATAAATTGTTCAAGAAATATGGTGCGCCCCGCGTTAACATTTGGGGCTTGTGACTAATCTACTTACAAGGCGACATGGTGTACTTTGAGGTTCTCGGCCAACCATTTCTAGTTCTGGGATCCTTGAAAAGAACAAATGATATATTAGACAAGAAATCGTCAAATTACTCAGACAGGTTGATCGTGCCTATGCTGAGGCTGTACGTTCCCTTCAGCCCAGATGTTTTCTTTCAAGCAGGCTAAATTGCTACATAGAATGGGCTGGGGTTACGATATACCAAACATGCCTTATGGTACAATGTGGCGAAGGCACCGCCGTGCATTTCACGAGCATTTTCATACGAACGCCGTGCATAAATATCTACCGACCCAGGCGAAAGAATCTCAAGCCTTACTCTGTCGACTTCTCACGACACCGCAAAATTTTATGCACCACATCCGACAGTAAGTCGCAATCATTCGTATTTGGTAGCCTGACCAACGTCTTTCCAGTACTTTCGCATCGAGTATTATGAGTGTATCTTACGGCCTACCAGTCTTGGAATTCGACGACCCCTACATCGCGTTGGCTGAGGAGACTGTGCGGGGCGCTGCCGAAGCTGGCATTCCGGGGACTTTCTTGGTGGACCTGCTCCCAGTCTTAAAATATGTGCCAAGCTGGTTTCCTGGTGCTGGTTTCAAGCGGAAGGCTGCTCACTATGCCGCCATAAATGCTGAAGTTGTGGATCGACCCTTTAAATCTATACAGAAAAAAATGGTAAGCTCTTAGTTCCATACTCCTGCCAGCTAATCAGACAAGACAAACACCGTACCTAGGCTGAGGGAACGGCAATACCTTGCGTCCTGACCTCCTTGTTGGAGGAATTTCCCGGAAATGAAGAACTAAGCCGAGCGGAGAAAGAGCTTGTCTCTCGAAATACCGCTGCGGTAGCATACATTGGTGAGCAATCATATTTTTGGATTTAAATCCACATTGTCAATCATTTGGAGGGCAGCTGGAGCCGATACCGTTCGTCATATCTTCTCCGAATTTTCTTTGATGCGACTCACTCTTAATTAGACGGTTTCAACCACTCAAAGTTTTTTTTTGGCCATGGCGATGTATCCGGAAGTCTTGCGAAACGCACAGGCGGAAATCGATGCAGTCGTTGGAATACATCGCCTTCCAGACTTCAACGACCGCCCCTACCTGCCGTACGTAAACGCATTGATTAAGGAAACGATGCGTTGGCAATTGGTCCTTCCCCTTGGTAAGAGGTTCTTCAATGTCCTCCTCCAGCTGTTAATCATACATGGCAGGTGTTCCACACATGGCTACTGAGGATGATGAATATGATGGATACTTTATTCCGAAAGGTACTATTGTCATCGGAGCCGCTTGGTACGTTTTTTGTCTACGCGAAAAAGTTTTTAGTATTAAAAAGTTGTGTATAGGTCAATTTTGCACGATCCCGAAGTATTCGAGGCCCCCGAAGAATTCAAGCCGGAGCGCTATCTCAAAGACGGTCAAATTGACCCAAGCGTTAGAGATCCAGTCGTTGCGGCTTTCGGGTTTGGCAGGAGGTGAGTGAGAAGATGGCGTCGAAATGTGTCATTCATAGCCGCGTTTTAGGATGTGTCCTGGCAGGTACCTGAGCGATAATTCTCTATATTCCATCGTCTCGTCTGTCTTGGCGGTATATAATATCAATGCGCCAGTTGATGAATCCGGACAGCCTAAACAGCTTGAGGCGAATTATACAAGCGGGCTTCTTTCGTATGTGTTGGTTTCCTACAGAGTCCACGAGTATCCGTTCATTCCCTTACAGATATCCCCTACCTTTCAACTGCACAATCGAGCCACGCTCCAAAGCTGCTGATTTCTGATTCGAGGCCTCAGTGCCAATGATTGAGTAAGGTACTCTCAAAATATGTTGCTCTTTTTTCGCTGGTCGGGTTCGTGATGACGGCAGTCTTCGCGATCCATACAATTTTGGTTAGAGTCAAAACTGTACCATAACAATGCATAACGAAATAGTCGGCCTCTTGTCAATGATTTACCAGTACACAGTGTGAAATGTTGGCTGTAAGGGTGTCTTCATGTGCACGACGAAGCCGTTAGCTGAGGACCCAGAGAAAAAAGCACTATGACAAACCGTAAATACCTTCAAAACTATAGCCCGCCTTTTACTGGAACAGCTGCTAGTCATCACCTTGTGCTACTTGCGTTAGCTTGCTTCTTTTCTTCGCATCTTTCTTCGAAATCTCAAAATCTTGGTAAGCTGGAGAGAACGAAAGAATTTTTGTAAGGTGAGCTGTGCAAAGTGTACGTTTCCGTGATCGACTGACCGACGAGATTGAGAAATGGAATTTTACCAGCCTGATAGGAGAGAAGTTTTGTGACCTTTTCTAGAGGTACTCCACCCCTATCAGAGTTTCCTTTAACTAAATTGGTACCGTCAAAGATCTGTGGGAAGCACTGTAACCATGAAATTACATTGGGTATGCACAAAACGTACCCCGAAGTGCTCGCAATGATAGTCTTCAAAGGGGGAAGGGAGGTCGAGAAGTAAAAGCTGATCGTAGATGGTGTGCTTCACTCTCCAGACACGATGTATATCTTTGAATTCTGCGTAGTCACCAAATGGATCCGTCATCCGTCTCAAATAAAATCTGACTCAAGAAGCATAAGAATGAAACATGAACTCGTGCATCTAACTCACGTTATGGGCAGTAGGGGCTCCTCTCGGTAACCCAGCACTTTCAATTGTTGAGTCGGAACAGTAATTTCAGGAGTCGACGTGGAATGGTAGGTGAAGCTTAACTGGTTCATCAGCTTACAATCTGGCAGGCCCCAAGACCCGTAGTCTCCCCGTATGCGCATATCAAATATTCGATGATCGAAATATGATTGGTGATATTCAAGGACTCTCGGCCATTCGTAAACATTGATAAGATCCCGCAGGTGGTTGAGGTAACGGAAGAAAACAAGAGTGATCGCAGAATGGTTGAGATATTCACTCATTATGGCAAAGTAGACGTGAAGGGGGTGAAGAACCGCGCCAGAGTTCTTGTACAATGAGGCTTCTCTCAGTTCTTCTTCCGATGTGTTCTGCGGTTGCAGTTTGTGCAAGTCCCGGGCCAAGAGTTGATGGGTAATTATGGATTCGATGAGACTTTGATCTATCTTGAGGAAGGTTGCACATAAAACGGGCAGCGCCTCCGCTGGAGGGTATGGAGTTGCCATGATGGATCTGGAGAAGGACTGCGAGAGGTGAGACGCGACAAGTCACATGATGAGAGTCAGATGCGACCACATCCCAAAATCTTTCTTCACTCGTCTCTTCTTCCAACATACCCCTTCAATTGTTTTGGTATCTGCCTTCAGCACGAATGGGAAGGCCTCTTCGAACGATTCGGTCACTTACCTGATGAGATTTCCTTAGGTAATGACAGATCCTGCTTGGATCCTGCACAGGAAACTGTATCTGTTCTGTGGGTCCGCTCCTAAGTTATCAAAGTTGTATACTTCGGTAAATCCTGTTGAGTGCACGTACTATTTTTTGCGGAGAAGTTTTGTGATGAGTGGATGAGCTGTATTAGTCTGCTTCAAATATTTGAATTTGTGCTTGTTTTTCGAGCCCCATATCATTTTCAAGTCGGCTGCACTTAGATTCTCCTAGACTCGTGACCAGTCCTTATATGAGGAAACCCTCGATATAAGGACTGGAAAACCGGGTATTGCCGGCTCGTGTCGCGCGCTATGATCGAAAGTGGGGCCTTCGCACATCACCGAAGTTCCGTGTATAGTAAAAGATCTCAAATAGGAAGGTGTATTTTGGTAGAGGACTTTCGACGCGACATCCATTTTGTAGTATTCATTTGGGTGGACAAGGCTCTCGAGATGAGAAGAAAACAAACTGAGCAGGGCCTCGGCTGCGTCAGATTCATGCTGTGTAGGAGCCTTCAGTGGGATTCGAGACAGTGAAATGGGAGAACAGAGAGTGTATTACGGGGCTGGACCGGCTGGTGTTCTAACCACATATAAGAATAACGATATATGTCTGGGGGTATAATTACAACGGAAAAGGTTATCCCAAGCAGCATATCCTCCCCTATCCATGTGCGCCTCAGTCTCCATTGTGACATCCATGTCCGGCAGACTCAACGGCGTCTGGGGGGTTGGTATCCCATAAGCAACGGTCGTCGAACTCTGACTTGGCTGAGCGCTAGTGGCTGGCATGTTGAGGTCCCATTTGAAAAGGTGGGCCTTTCGAACGTGCAAGCCGTTGGAGCTGGACCCTTGTTGCGATTTCCGCTGAAACTTTCGTTCTGCCAAGGTGGGGGCTGAATCGTGGTTGGTGGGGCTTTTTCGTGGGTGGTGCGTGTCGTCGTGGGCGGTGGGTGTCGTTTGTGGTTTCTGGACGTCATTTGGGGGTGGCGGGTCGTTGTTCGCGGATGCGGGGTGGCTCTCGTGTCGTGGGTCACGTCGTAGGGTGGGGAAAAGCAACGACGACGTCATTCGTCGTCTGGTTGCCACATCGCAGTCAGCGATGTTTGTGTCAGAAGGGGAGCTGGGAGGGGTTGTCGTGCTTACCTGGGAACCGTCGTCGCCTCCCATCCATCTGGTGCGCTCGCCGTGTGACGTCGCATTGCCATGTCGTTCTTGTGGTGCCAGGGTGGTTGTGGGTGGTCAGTAACGACGTTGTGTATCGTCGTGCGTCGTCAGCGTCGTCGTTGTCGTTGTAGCGGGCGGTCGCGGTTTGAGACGGGCGGTGGTGGATGGTGGTGGTAGTGGTGCCGGGTAAGGCGAAGCTCGTGGTCGTCGGTGGTTGCAGAGGCACATTTTCTTGTTGTCGTGGAGGAAGCGTTGCTCGGAAAGATCCCTTTGGGGCATTTTATGAGACCAGCGATGGGAGGAGGAGCGAAAGAGTAGCGGTTGTCGACATTCTCTGTTGTGGTCCCTGCCAAAATCCACCTTCCTTTTTGAGGTCTTTTACTGTTTACGGAACTACGGTGATGTCCGAAGGCCCACTTTCGATCATAGCGCGCGACACGAGCCGGCAATACCCGCTTTACAGGTCCTAGAATCGTGAGTTTACGAACATGATAGGGCCTGTCACAGGTCTAAGATTCTCCCTCTTCTCCCAACATCTAACAGCAGAATCATCAGGTTCAAATTGTGGTATCAGAAGCGCCGTACACAACCATGTTGTGCAAGCTGTAGCCGGCAGGCTGTGGATGTCAGCTTACTCCTATCGCGGGAAAGGGTATTTGGCATAGACGCCATGTCCATCGTGCAAGCGGTGCTTCAACTTGAAGGAGTGTTTCATTCAGAAGGACGAGGGACGGGCGCTACAGTTCACGCATAAGACGACCTTTGTGTACAGCCCTACCTTCATCGACTATGCTCGTTCTCCACTCTGAAAGCGTTTGCGATATATGCATGGATGATTATGTGTCGGACGACCCAGATAAGGGTCCCCACGCCGTACCTTGTGGCCACATATTTTGTAAAGGGTGTGTGCGACCTCAATCTTATCCGACTTTTCGCTAACGCTGGTGGTATCTAGCTGTATTGGGGCATTCGAACCTCCAAACTGCCCCAATTGCCGCAGCCCGTTAGACCCCGATCGCGCAGTGAAGCTGCACATCGATCGCATCACAGCGTCAAATGATGCTGATCAGTCTCAGCAGGCGACCTCACCGAGGACACTAGATGACGACGAGTTGATCTTTGAGGCGATGCAAGACCAACAACTACAAATCGTGTTTGAGAGGGAGACTTCGCAGGCCATTGAAGCTGAGCTGACTGAGAAGTGCAATGCACTTGAGAAGTAAGTTTCTGATTTTCATTCTCTAAATAGTCGCTAATTGGTCTATGTACGTCATCTAGGAAGGTAGCTGATCATGAAGCCGAGCTTGAACGCCTTCGGACAGCACAGGCACGATGGATGGCAGGAAATGACCAGGACTATCAGCTGCAAATCGTGTTTGAGAGGGAGACTGCGCAAGCCATTGAAGCTGAACTTTTCGGAAAATGCAAGTTGCTTGAAGAGTACGTTTTTTGGGGTTTGCTATGTGATCATGGCAGCTGACGGGCTTGTTCAATCGCAGAAAAGTTGGTGAACTCGAAGCTGACGTTGATCGCTGGCGTAGGAAAATGCTTCGGGAAAGGGCACAAAAAGAACAGTTGGCGAGAGGTATTGAGGATGGTCAGCGACAGATGGCTTTTGAGAAAGAGACTGCGCAGGCTGTCGAGGCTGCACTTCACAAAAAGTCCAAGGATCTTGAAGAGTATGTTGCGATTTCTCCCTGGTTCACTGCGCTAATGATCCCTTGCCCGTTTAGAGAGGTTGCTGAATATGAAGCAGTTGTTGAACGAATGCGGACGGAGCTTGACCTGTATAAGGATCGAAATCGCCGTAGTGTTCTACATCAACTGTCGGATGAAAGGAGGAGAGATTCTTCATGTAAGCAATCTTTATCTTTCTGTTTTCAGTTCTCTCACTGTTCTGAAGTTATTACGCTTTTGGCTGGAACTCCCGTCAAGACGCTGGGTGCTGCTGCTGCGTCCTCATTTGCAACGAGGACGCCCAACAGATCAACGTCCACCAGTCCAAGCAATGATGAGGAGGATGACTCCTCACCTGGCAGGGAAGAGAAAAAGCTGAACAAAATTCCTTCTCAAAGCAATAGGTAAATTTCAGGCATCTTAAGCATGTAGCTTTTCTCACCTTCGATTTCAGTCTTGCGTATTATCAGCAGAACATCGGTTCGGAGCCTTACTTTGGCACGGGATCCACACAACGATATCAAGCAAATCCCCAGCCGTCTGGTACTTGGACCTTCCAACAAACACAACCCGGCTTCTCGCAACAATCACAGCAGACCAGTTTTCTTGCGCAACCGCAGGGGACGTCACAACGACAATCTCATGGAGGGAGTCTCTATCTTCAACATACGTCCCCACACGCAGGAGATCAAGGTTACATCCCTCCATTTGCGATGGGATCGAATACCGGGACGCCATCGGCATACCCGGGGTCCCCTTCGCCTGCTGGGCCTTCAACGTTTAGATTGACACCATCTCCGATGCCAGGATCCTCTGTGGAGTCACCAAAGAGTACCGGTGACCAGAACGGCGCTTATGATTTTCGGATTCAGCAACAACAACCCCTGTCGTCACTCCAATCGCAGCCGACTGGCGCTCCGAATAGTTCGACTCTTAATTATGGAGCTTCGAGTCCAGGACCCGCAGTCACCTGGGGTGCCTGGCCATCCTTCACATCCGCCAGGAAACCGACTTCTAGCTCTGACGAGCAAGATCCTAGATCAAGTGCTACAATGACGAGATCTTCGCCTCCAGTTACTCCCTCGCCCCCAGGGAATTCTTCTCATATGAGGAGAATGGCAAGTCTGAAGGCTTTCAAGCCGTTGTCGGATTTCGGTGCTTCACTCCTAGCATCCCTACCTTCCATATCTAGTTCCCAATCCCAGTCGCCGGTCGATCAAAATGACTCTTCAGCACATCATCACATAGCTTCGGAGCGATAGGGTGTCAACCGACAGGCTCGACGGGAGGTTTTGGTGGGAGAAGCCCGAGATCTTAAATTCAATTCATCTGTCCGCCTAACACGTTAATGGAAGGCAGTGGGTTGATTCTCAGGGAATTTTCATTTGGCTGACTCAAGGGGTTACTGCATGCCCCAATGCACCTGAGCACGACAGTGTGGATTCCCAGCAGGGACCCGATTTTGCCGAAACGGGCCGTTTCAAGAGGACCATTGGACAGCTTTTATCTGAGGACGCTTTGTCTGGATATTGTGGATTTATTGGACTATTGAGCGAGACATTGGCACGAGTAGGGGATCATGTATGACGGACAGTACATCTTATCTGACAAAATGAAAGACTATTGTACTTTTAATATTTGCGGACTCTTCGGCGCTAGAAGGGGGCACGAGGCGCAAGTGCTGTTTACCGCGATCAGTATTTTTGTCTCGAGGTTCGCCCTTGTTCCCTTTGGATTGTCCTTGCATGCACGATACTGCATAATACTCTAACGGACCCCGCGTCGTTGAGGTCTCTTACGAACGACGACGACAACCAAGAATCTCATTGAAGCCTACAGCAATTTATGCTCGTTCTCCATCCTTCCAGTCGTTGCGATGTTTGCTTGGATGCCTATACCTGGGAAACCCCGCAACAAACCCCCCATGCTATACCCTGTGGCCATATATTCTGTAAAACGTGCGTCTCATTTGAGCGCTCTCGTCGTGTTGTCGTCGTCGTACTGATTGATTCAACAACACAATAGCTGTCTGATGGCGGTCACACCACCCAACTGCCCCCTATGTCGCAAAGCATTCGTCCCGGATCGTTTGAAGAAGCTGCATGTGGATCGCCCGTCGGGCCTTGAGCATGATCTGCAAGAGGTCGAGCTGTTGCAGAGGCTGGCGCTGGTGTGGGACTCACCAGGGGATCAGTTGGATGACATGATAGATGAGGTGACTGGTTGGTTGGAAGATCGGCAAGCAGACACGGTGAGTTTTGGGTTTGGTTGTCTGGGGTTGTGCTGTCCGACACACTGCGTTCATGTTGGGTGCTATGGTGCAGTTCTTATTGGTCTATAGGAAGGACATGGGTTGTGGTTCTCGTTGGAGTGGCTATAGGTGGGGGTAGACTGCTTGGCCTTGGCGCTCTATGAGCCCGACCTCTACACCTTGACCAGGGCCTCAATTTTGTTATTTATGTTTGGGTTTACAGTCACTAATTTATTGCACAGAGTATACCCTTAAGAAAGGCCTTTGACGCCATGATCAAATACCAGGGGCTTAAAACGGAAAAACGGGACAATTTAGAGACTATCAGCACCTTGAAGACAGATGTGGAGGAATACAAGAGGCAAATGCGATTCGCACAGACCACTGCACAAGCCATTGAGGATGGACTTTTGCATAAAGCCCAAGCACTTGAGGAGTACGTCCGACTTTCATACGTGGTTACAGCCGCTGATGGAATTTTTAGCAAAGTAGCTGAATATGAAGCTGCAGTCGAACGCCTGCAGGCTGAAATCCGCATGTATAATCAACCCCACATGCGGAATCCTCTGCCTCCGCCACCTGAACCTGTCCCTCTCGATCGGTTCCCACCGTTTTTGCAAGCAGCGGCCGCTGGACCAGGACCCTATTACCACAATGGGCCGCACTCAGCACCAGCGCAGGCTTACCCTTCCAATGAAGTGGAGGCTGATGATGAACGCGAACCCAGGCGGTCACGCGAGTCCAAAAAGGATAGGAAGGGGAAGAGCAAGGCAAAGGAAGGCCCTTTCTACGACATATACCGTGCCATCTCGCCCTCCATTCAACAGCAAAAAAATGGCATTGTTCCAGGAGCTACACCAAACCACAGGTACATACCTCCTGGGGAGCCGACTGCGCCACCGCTGCTAACACCACAACCTCGACGGCCTGGAGAGTTAGACAATGCTGACCCATATTCGTTGATGTCCAACTGGGTGTCGGAGTATGCTGTGGGCTATGGGGAGGGGTACCAAGTGGCTATGAACAACGGGAATGGGCCCACGAGTAACGGGAACCATGCGCCATATTCGGGACCTCCCACCAATCTGGACAGCATGACGATACACAACTTGGGACTGGACAGGTCTGATCAGCACCAAGAGGCCAGTGGGGCTTGGCCTCAACAAGAGCGATCCAGAGAGCATCGGCGTCACCGAGAACGGGAAAGAGAGAGGGAGACGCTTTCTCAACAACTTTCGAGCTTGAGCTCCAGTGCAGGTCGCACGAGGACTTCCTCTGATGATACGAACCCCAGTTCGCGATCCCGACAACGTCGACATCGAACATCGGATGATCACCATGTAAATCATGTAAATCATCCGGTATTGTCGAACCTTCTGTCGGACAATACGACAGCAAGCAGGACACATCGTGGGGGTCGTCGTGTGGATCAAATCATCGCAGAGGAGCCAATACCCGCTCCACCGCAACCGCATGTGCCCGATACACCAGCGTCCAATCGCACACATCGCACGCGGAACAGCGTCTCTTCTTGGGGAACGGTGGTCACAATAGACAATGGGACTAGCCCCAGTGGTGAGAGCTTAGCTCATCTCCAGTTGAGAGGTTTCGGACGCGCTGCTTTCCCTATTACGGTCGGCTCGGATTCTCTTTCATCGCCTTCGTTCCCCTTCCAAGAAACCGAGTCTGAACAGGAAGGACCGAGCACACTTCTTGGTGTGCGGATCACTCCACCTCCTCCAGCCACTGGCGCAAAACCCACCTACCAACACGCATCAACGTCCAACGCTCGAGATGGGCAGCAATCTCGGCACGTGTCATACCCCTCAACGCCTGCCATGCAAGTTCTAGCAGCCCCACAAGGCTCTAGACATACTCAAACTATCACAGTCGAGACATACGGCCGGAACGAAGTAGATCCTCCTCCACGACCAGCTACGAACACCACACACCGAGACGCTAACCGCTCTTCCGCGAGACACACTAGCAGCCGTCATCGACGTCGGCGTGGATCGTCGTCTGCAGCTGTTGCTACTGGTGCCCTTGCACAGGAACCCCTCACGGCCCCGGCGGATGTCTGGACGGACGCAGAGTACTACACGGACGCGCCGTCGTCTGCTTTTGCAGGCAATGCTCTTGGTCTGGCTTTGAATGAACCTGTTAGTGCTGGTCCTCCGGCTATCACGGCTCCTACGCCTGTGGTATCCAGTCGTGGATTTTTACGCTCGTTCAGTTATGACAACTTTATGTAGATCTTTTCAATTCTCTTTTTTCTCCTTTGGTCTCTACTAGTACTAGTGTGCTTTTGCTAGTCCCTGCTTTTGTTCATGAACTCATACCTTAATGGTTTTTCTTCTTTTTCGTAGTATATGAACGGACTTTCGAATGCTCTCTGATAATTCGCTATCGCTATTCTTTTTTTCTCTCCTGTAGATGTAAGCTAAGTAGGTAACAATATAAGGAAATGGGTAATAGGTAGCATGACAGCTCTGTCCCTCGAACCACGATAACCTTTTGTTCAGCCATGACCACTGTACCCCGACTGTACCCTTCGGCGAACAAGATTTTTGGGCAAAAAGGGGACGTTCTTATGCACCAAGCTGGGCTCAGGTGTGACCCTGATTCGTTGGTCTACAAGTGGTGCGTACTCGAGAGCTCTTACGAACTCGCCTCTAGGCTCTCGCCCACCCACCCAGGCTCACCCTTCGCCTGCATTGACAGGTACTTAACCCCCTTCATCCGAAATCTGAAAAGAGTCGTGCCCCAGAGCCGGTCCGACGCAGCTTGAACAATCAAAATGACAACCAAAAGTGAATGCCTCGCGTCACTCGGCTCACAGCTTACTGCGACATCTTCATGCGGCTCTCTCCCGAAATTTATGGGAAATTGAAGCCCGGAATTACCTTTGTCGAACAAAGCCAAGCCGATCTCGACACCCTGATCGGTGCTGCACGAAAGATCATCAATGAGAAGTTCGTGCCCGACCCCCTGCACTGGTACCTTTACATGCAGAAAAGGTTCTGGAGCAATATCCGTGGATCTCGGTGCCGTCGTGGCTGCCATGCTCGCATGTGGACAAGGGTGGGGAGGCGAAAGTGGAAAACGCGACGTCGCGTCTGCCATCCTGGCCTGTGGTCAGAAAGGAGGCCCTGGAGACATGGTCGAGGCACTTGCGGCCCTTGGCACTACCTGGTTAACTCATCTTCTATTCGTTTGTCGGTGGTACTATTTTGTGATGAATGACTCGCTCTGATCTTTTCGCAGTTTATACGAGCGGGAGACAGCCATATGAAGCTCATCGCCAAGTGGCTACTCTGGAAACAACGACACCCCATGTTTGGGGATGGTCAGGCCGCAGGCGGGTCCTATGTCAAGAGGATGTAAGTGGATGCTTCGCGGAGTGGCTATCACTTCATTGACCCTCACCCAGATGATCTTTGGAGATGAATATGAATGTATTCTAACGGGAATTCAAGTCTGGACGCACCCTGCACTGGATGACGACGGTTTCCGTGTCGAGCTGAGGGCGTGTCATATACTTTATAGATTCATCGGTACATCCGAGCAGGAACAGAGATCGGACTCTGTGAGTTACTTGTTTGTTCAAAGCGCTACTTTCCATTTACCTCCTTCCCTTTCACGCCAGCTGAAGTCTGCTCAAACAACATTTGACCTACTCGTAGAATTTCTCTGCCTTCCGGCTAGGTATATTGAACAAGCCTAAAGAAGATAATCTCGTCGCTTTCGGTGACTATAGTGGCACCCCGGCTCTGCTCGTATGAGGGACCCGCAAACTGTTGGACAAATACGAGGATGACGAAGAAGCGTTCACCTTGCGATATTGGCCAGAGCTGGAAAAGGAATGGTGGAAGAGGCGTCGAGAGAATCTCTCTGTGTATTAACTTCGTAAACGTTCGCTGCTGTCACGGGGGATCTTCTGAACAACTCGTTTCCTAATCTCATTCTTCAGAATACCAAACGATCCAACGATCCATAGTGTTGAGCTGCCTAACAACGAATTCTAAGACAAATAAACTCAACCCAGTTCTACGTAACTACGCGGGCTTTTGTGTTATGTGAAAAATTCATCAACTCTTCAGCACCTCGTAGAGCAACCTGCGGTAGGAGGACCATTTCAAGATGAAGCACATGACCCTTTCGTGCCCGCAGACCCAGTCCAGTTGTTCCAATCACCTCCTCCGAGTCTGAAATGCGCTCCTCCCGGCGTTCTAAAAATAGTGACGACATCCAATGCGGTTCCATATATTCGGTGTCGAAGGTGGTGCCAGCTTCAATGGTGGCTACCTCAAGGTCGATGGATGTGATGTCTTCCCTGATGACCTTCCGCAAATCCTTCACGGCTTCGAAAAGACGTGGGAGTCTCATTTCAAGTTGATGTCGATCTGCCTCTTGGATTGACCATCCAGCAACATCGAGGATGCTATCCAATCCTTGCATAAAACCTTCCGACCAGCGCAAGTCGTCAGATGAAGACCGCCATAGCTGTGCCCGTGTAATCGATCGCCAACACCCGCGGATAGCAGGAACCTCTGGACAATTGTTACCAAACTGATGAAATTCATTTTATTTGACAGTCACTTACCAAATTGACGAAATCCCAGAATAAAGAATCTTCATAAAGTCCACCATTGTGTGATGACTGGGTATCCATGAAGAGATCATGAATCTGCACCACCTCGTGATGGCAATCTGGAGGACCACATCAGCGAGCAATGGGTCTGGCACTGTGCAGGCAGCTGCGCGCTGAACCAACAAATTGGCGCTTAGGAAACTCGCCAGCTGCTTTCCAAGCATCCAGCTAGCATTATCTAGCGTTTCTGTCACTGGTCCCTGAGTGGTGACAGGGATCTCAACGTTCTGGAGCAGCTTTCTGAAATGAGTAGCCATTTCACGTATCTGACAGTTCAGGTCAGTAACCTGCCGGATGACATCTGCGGTGGAAATTGCGTCGGTATTAGCAACAAAGACTCGCGCCTCCTCGGACTCCCCATCTCTGACTTCCGACAGCAGTGTCTTGACAGCCTCGAGCTCACGGGATAAATTGTGATTTTCGTCATCGAGGTACTTCGTTCGAACCTGTAGTTCCTTGTAGCTGGGAACGATGAGGTCCCTAAACGAGGCCAAGGGAGATGCCAACCATTCTTCAGTCCAAAGGTCTTTCGTTAGTGACAGGACACTGTCTGAGTCAGCTGACCATGTTTACATGAAGATTGGATGCTGCTAAAAAAAAAAGCTTGATACTAACTGATTTCAGCGCGCAAGGATTCTACCTCAGCTGCTTTCTGAGCAACATGGCTACAAGTACCATGAGGATTTGTAGTACACTTAAACACACAACGCCACTCGTACCGGTTTATGTCGCCCTTCAGACATTCTACCTCGGCTCTGTGTTGAGCAACCTGGCTAAAATACCATGAGCATATGTGATCACACTCAGGCGTACAAAACCAATCATACCGATGTATTTCGGCCTCCAGGTATTCTGCTTTTGCTTTCAGAAATTCCACCTCGGCTTTCGGATATTCCACCTCGGCTGACAGACATTCCAATTCGGCTTTTAAACATTCCACTTTCGCTGCGTGTAGAGCTACCCTGCTACGAATGCCGTTAGAAGCCAGACAACCAGAAGATCGTGAATTCAATCATACTGGTCGTTTTCAGTTCGCAAGTTGACTTCGCACTGAGCTAACCTGCCATAAGTAGCATCAACATCTTTTAATAAGCAAGAAGGAACAATTCCAAGCATACCGATTGTTTTCAGCCTGCAAGCCTTCCATTTCGTCTTCGTGTTTAGCTATCATACTGTAAGTAGCATTAGCTGTTATGAATGAGCGAGGAAGCACATGGTAAGTGTACCGGCTGTTTTCGGTCTGCAAGCCCTCTAGCTCGGCTTCGCATTGAGCTACCCTGCTGTAAGTAGCATTAGTCGCTATGAATGAGCACAGAAGTACAGTGGTAGAAATACCGGTTGTTTTCAGTCCGCAAGGCTTCTATCTCGGCTTCGCATCGAGCTACCCTGCTATAAGAGGCATTAGCATCTGAGAATGAGAATGAGAGTCGAGCATACCGGCTGTTTTCAGTCCGCAAGCCTTGCATCTCGGCTTCATATTGAGTTACCCTACTATGAGTAACCTTAGCCGTCATGAATGAGCGAGAAATTACGGCGCTTAACATACCGGCTGTTCTCTGTCCGCAAGTGTTCTATGTCTGCTTCGCGTTGCGCTAACTCTCTAGGAATATCATCAGCGGTAATCACACACAAAGGCGCGACATACTCCCCGATTTTCCCGACTTTTTTCAAAAGATAAAGCTCGGCGGCCAGCGCATTGTCCATTGGTGTGTAGTCCTGAACCTCCCTCTTCAACTCCCTAATGGTCCTTTCATCTTGTTCCTTGCTCCTCAGGAGCTGTTGGCATTTGGCCGCCACCTCACGGGCCTTTATGAGGGCCGTACCCTGCATAGGAGAATAATCTGACCCCATGGATACGGAAACGCAAGGACTCGTTATTTCTGCCTCTCGGTCGCCCAACCACACATCTATTTCCTCCAACACTTTTACTTGCTGATCGTTTGGCAGACCCCATGACAGCGCCAGCCTCCGTAGAAGTTCAAGCTCCTGCTGCTCCGATGTTTCAAGGTGATCGACGCGCAGCTTCTTTATGGTACTGCGATCGAATGAATTGCGGCACAAAGGGCAGTTTGGCGGAGTGATAGCTGTCAAGCACCTAATTCGTCGTCATGATGATCAGATGAGACTGAGATGAACGAGATTGAATACCCACGTTTCACAGAATATATGGCCACAGGGTATAGCATAGGGCAGTTGGGCTGGGTCATCCCATGTATACTTTTCCAGGCAAACATCGCAGCAACTGGAAGGGTGAACAATGAGCATAACTTGTCGCAGTATTCGTTTGAGGGAGTTATTGTCGTTCGTTTACACCTCAAATACGCGCTCGTCAGTGGGTAGGTTGCGAAGCGCCCCGAATGCAGAAATAGGTGTCCGCAGGCAACAGCAATGACGCCCATTCTATTGCTGAACACCATGGCGGTCTAACCAAGCTTAGAAGTTAGATAAGCCCCTCTTATACAATGAGCAACTCACCTACAAGAAAGATGGAAATGTAGTGAAAGGAAAATGAACTTCGAGTCGCCGATGTGCAGTGATTGATTATTTTTATTACATAGATATCACGTGATATCAAAGTAAACGAAAGGCCTTTACAGCCAAATGCAAAACCCTAGACACCTCCCGAAAACTTCTGGTCTCCGCCTCGCTTTGTGCAAACAACTGCACTTGGCACAAGTCCGTATCATTATAACCTCGAGTGGAGTGTGGAGCACTCCATATACCTGAGTTGGTGGAGGATTTGCGTCATTGATGCCCGCTTCCTTCCTCAAATGGTTGTTTACACAAAGCGAGGCGGAGTCAAGAAATTTCTGCGAGGTGTCTAGGGTTTTGCATTCAGCTATAAGGCGACCCATCAGCAAACCTACACTTTACTTGTCAGCTTTTCACGACTTTTTGTGACTGACAGCTTGTTGCCAAGTCACAAGTTGACACAAGCTCACAAGCTGACGAGGTGCCTGACCATGAGGGGACTTAGCGAAAAAAGTGGTTCGCGAACTTGCTTATGTAACAGTTGGTAACCACGTCCGTTCTGTAATTTCCCTCTCATCTTAACCACACCATCATCCACAGTGACCACCCACCTCTGCTGCGTCACCACCGCCACCACCAACCATTACCTCCCGGAACCATCGTTTGACCTCCCACAACCACAATAGCTCACACCGACGACACCAGCCCCGACAAAACGACGTGGTGACGCCACGTCACCAGCCTCAACCACGAGCACCAGTCAGCCCAATGCCGCCACGCCACGCCAGCAGCGACAGCAACCAGGCAAGCACCAGCTGACTCAATGCCACGTCGCGGTGACGACGTGGCTTGTCAACGGTACGTTACATCTTTGGCTCTTCGGTCTCTCCTAGATTTCTCGTCCACCCATCTCTCCAATTCACTCTTTTTAGGCTGGAGCCTGGTTTTGTTAAATTAGAGAACGAAGTCATACAGAAGCCATCGCATCTGCCATTTCGTTCTTTTTAGCCCGCTGCTATGTGCCCAAGAACTTTCCAAGCCGAACCTTTCTGACGTGCCACGAAGTCCACAGCAGCAACCACGACGACGACAAATGATCGTGGAGGAACGAGTGCTGCCAAAAGGTCAGCAACCCCCGATATCCCCCCCCTTTGACTGACAAGTCCCCAGCCAGCCGCCGTTGCCCACACCGCACACCAACCATCGCCACGTCACTCCGCCGCGCACGCCGTTTCGACGACATATGTACCAGTATGCACTTGCAGGGGCAGGAAGGGGGTTTGAGAAGGGGGTATACAGAGCTTGTGGAAGGGACCCAATGGGGGAGGGATGTGTCCCTCCTGGCGTCGCTGGTGTGGATGGCAAAGGATTCTTTAATAGTGTACTGTCATATTCTCACTGTATTGTGCTAGTACCATACAATGATCAGTTATACCTAATTTTTTGCTATGAAATACCAAAAATAAGATTACCACTTTTCTGAGCTTGTCAGCTTGTTAGAGCTCGTTGAGCAATCTCACAACTCAACTTGCGAGATTTTTGGATCTACTTGTCAACTTGCGACTTGTGGCTCGTTTCGACTCGTTTGGGCTCGTACGAGTCGAAAAAAGCCCAAACAAGTCGTGACAAGCGGAGTGTAGAAATACTGATGCCCTCATAATCTACCAATGCCATATCTACAATTAATCAACGTCCTTGAGAAGAAGGAAATTATTGAAGATATCTCAGTGTCACGAACCATCTCAGCCGCTATGCCAGCCTTATCCTATCTCCATTACATGCCAATCCCTACGACGGCTCAAATTTTGAGCCGTCGTAGGGATCGCTCAGTCTACATCATACATGAGCCCTCACCGCTCAGCACCCCCTCAAGAATGACGTTCGGCAAAAAGGCCATCTCAAAATGGTGGAGGGGACCTTTTTTTGCCCACAGTCCAAATCCAGTTGTCCCAATAACCGTCTCAGGCGCACCCTCCTGCTGGCTACTTATAAAGGGCGACGACATCGGATCTGCGTTCATGAAGGCGGAGTTGAAGACAGTGCCGGCCTCGATGGTAGCCACCTCCAAGTCAATGGACTTTATGCCTTCCCTGAGAGCGATGCGCAAATTCTTCACGGCCGCAAAAAGAAGTGAGAGTCTTATTTCAAACAGACATGGATCTGGCTCTCGAATTGACCACCCAGCGACATCGAGGACGTCGCACAATCCCTGTAATAAGCCCTCCGACCAGTTCAAATCGTCGAATGAAGACCGCCGAAAATGGGCCCGGGTGTTCGACCGCCAATGCCCACAGACAGTTGGATCATCTAAACAATGGATATCAACCCGGTAGAATTCTATTTTACTGAATAGTCACTCACCAAATTGACGAATATCGAGAAATTCCCCGGAGTCCGCTAGCAACTGATCGCTGGCTTTCCAGGAAGTAATCATGATCTGGCACCATCTCGTAATGGCAATCCGGAAGACTATCACAACAAGTAGTACATCGGGCCCTGACCAACCAGATTCGCGCCTGTTCAACAATTTGGTGCTCAGGAAACTTGCCAATCGCTTGTCTAGCATCCAACTAGTAGTCTCCTTCACCTCCGCCGTCTCCGTCGTCTGGACCAACTCTCCGAGAAGAGTAGCCATTCGCATTATCTCGTGGTTCAGGGCAGTAACTTTCCGAATAACGGCAGGGGGCGCCGTCTTTAGCTCCTCATCCTTGACCTCCAGTAGAGATTGTGTATCTGTAAGCAATGACTTGACGTCTTGCAGCTCACGGAATAAAGCACGATTTTCATCATCGAGGCAGTCAGTGCGGACCTGTAGTTTCTTGTAGCTGGGAACGATGAAATCCCTGAACGAAGCCATGCTATAAAGTACTGGTCAAGAATTAGGCATCCGCAAAATCACAATCGTGACTATACCGGTCGTTTTCAGTCCGTAAGCTCTCCATTTCAATCCGCAGGCAATGCATCTCGGCGTTGCATTGAGCTAGCTTTCTATGAAAATGCCATCAGCAATACTAATCACGCACAGAATGGTCACCGAAACCTACTCCTCAAATATTTTAGATTTGTTAGTTTGGGCGACCAGTGCAGCGTCCCCGTCATGGTCAAGCGGCATTCGCTTCCGATGGTCCTTGATCTCTCTCTTCAACTGCTTGATGGTCGTCTTGTCTTGTTCCCTGCCCCTAACGGCTGCTTGGCACTTGTCCACCGCCTCGCGGGCTATTCTTAGGGGTATGCTCTGCAGAAAAATAAAATTTAGTTACCCCACGCAGATACCCAGGCGCAAGAACTTGCCGTCTCCGACGGCCGGTCCCTCAACCATGCATCTACTTCCTTCAGCACTTGTACTTGCCGACTGTCTGCCGACGTCGACCATGACAGCGACAGCCTCCGAAGCAACTCGAGCTCCCCCACATCCTGCTTCGATGGCGCAGGGCGGTCAACATGCAGCTTCTTTGCAGTAGTAGGAACGAATGTTTTGCGGCACAAAGGGCATTTTGGCGGAGTGACTGATGTTAGGCAGCTAAGTCGTCGACATGGTAATTAGATGAGAATGAGATGAATGAAGCTGAATATCCACGTTTTACAAAATACATGGCCACAGGGTATAGCATGGGGCAATTGTGCTGTGTTACCCCAGTTGTAAACCTCCAGACAGACATCGCAGCAGCTCGAAGGGTGGAGAATGAGCATAGATTACCGCAATATTGGTTCGGAGGGATTGTTGGTACTCGTTTACACCTCAAGGACGCACTCGTCGGTGGGAACGTTGCGAAGCGCCGTGCACAGAAGGATTGCCTCGAAATAGATGTGGGAACGAAATAGTAGTACCCCACCTTAAAGCACTCGCGCCTCGTGCTCATTCTAGCGCTGAACATCATTTGGTGGCCTATCCTATCTCCCAAGGTTAGATAATTCCCTCTGATAAAATAAGCACCCACTAGCATCTGTGAAATAGGAAATGAAAAGACAGGAAAAGAACCTGAAAAGAACAAGAATTGAAGAACTTTTCCGTGAATCGTGTGAACACGTGATGTGCACAAATCAGAAATGGACTCGGAGGAACTTGAGCGTAAGGCGAACTTCTATCGCGTTCTTCTCGAAATATAAACGCAGTACGTACAAGTCCGGCTGCAAGGTCATACGTCACCAGTTTAGAAAGTGCACCCCAAATGCCATAGTTTCTGTTCCTACTAGAATTACTTCCTTAACCCGAATATGTGATGCATATGCCAGTGAGGGGCAAATGGAAGGATTTAAATATCTGAATCTGTAAACCGAATGCGGCAGCCATGCAATAGCAATCTCAATCTTCACGTTCGCAAAGTCCAGGCGGGCAATTGAGCCGCCTTGGGCAGTGGATGTGTTCATGGTGCACGTGATTGACCAACGTGTTTCAGACACTTGAAGGATTGCAAACTCTCCAAGCCCTCTCAAGGCCTTCTCAATTTGTTGCACAGCGAACGTTATATCAGCTCTGAAATGGGCATCTCCATCCATCTAAAAAATTAACCTATCACGAAGTGTAGACGTCAGCAAGGATTGAACGTGATAATTCTTAGCGTACGCGAGACGTACAGTGATATTCTTCGGAGGGCAGTTGCAAGAGCAGCTGTTTTGAAAAGTCGGTTGACACCTTGAGACCACCACCCTGCCGCGGCTGGTAACTGGAAGTAACATTATCCGGAGTCATCACCCACATCTACGGCAAAGAGGGTTGCTTTTAGTAACTGGCTATCTCAAACCCGAATTCTCGTTGAGTGTTGGAGCTCCTCATTCGAGACCGTGGTAGGTGAAGCATAGGTCTAACACAACGTGGTTGAATGGAGGTTTCTTCGGCCTGTATCGTGGACGTCGCGATTTTCGAAGACCCTCGCAAGCACAACCACGATGCTGAGAACACCTTATCCCTAGCGACCTTCCTCACTTCAGGTGGATATAAAGTTTCCTTATCCAGGATCCTGTCTTGGCGGGGCATGAGCCTTTACCGGTTCGGGGGCGGAAGAAAAAATAGACACTTGCTCGATATGACAATGGTGATTTACGCACCCTCATCCCATCCGCGTAGTAATCGATAAGGCTTGACAGGAAGGACAAGTCCTTTCGAGTTGTTAACTTTTGCATGCCATATCAGATAACTGGGTCCAGTCGTGGACCGACGGCGAGCATACGAAAACCCGAAAAAGTGGCGTTGATTGCCAGTGGTTAAGCTTCTACCAAAATGATCATGACCCTCGAAGTTTTATAGTTGGTCGAGATCATCATTTCGGAGAGAATGCAATGTCAATGCCGAGTTGCTGGCGCCGGCGAACCGGCGGTGCGCCACTTGTAAATGAGGGAGATGGGATGTATGAGGCTTTGATGATCGCGAATGGCCTAGAAGTCGTGGAAGTATGGAGGCCGACGGGAAACATGAAGCATACTACGCGCCCCCGTCGCCTGATTCTCGAAATTTGAAGCGTTGGCTCCATGCCCATTAAGACCAGAAAGAAAAACTTGAGCTGTCCAGGTAACCAGCGCGTTATATCCAGAGCTTCCCGCTGGTAGGCTAGCGGCTTCCCGCGCTCATCGCCATCGTTGCTGGCACTTTCAGTGGATGCCATAGTACGTTGGTAAATGACTGAGCAATTGCCAGTGAAGACAATAAATTCTCCACAATGGGGTGACAAAAATGCCTCTAGAAGAGTTTTGAAATGCGCCAGAGCCGAAATAACCAAGAAAGAACGCCTCAACAAACTTGAAGAATGTAGAAAACGTCCTGGAAAGCGTCGAACAGGGTCACGATATTACATTGACAGTGTGGGAATCATGAGGTAACACACTTTACCTCAAGCCGCCTCGAGCTTGTTCACCAATCAGTGGTCGCTTGCATTTCTCCTCAACGGGCTTGCCATGTCACTGGTGAATAGATCGAGGATACAGAGAAGTGATGACTGAAGGAGTTATAGATTCATGCTCTTGTGGCCAAAGGGACCACTGTTCTTGCGGAACACAAAGCGGGCGGTCGGGATTTCTCACAAGGTGGATGAGATCAACGTCCTCGGCCTTTCTGGCGCCTAACTACCTTACAGCTACGCAAACTATATTGTCCAAGATTCCGCCAAACAACAGGTATGCAACGTTTCCGCTCATGCCCGGCGTCTAAACAAATTCCAATAGCAAACTCACATATGCTTGGGAACAATACCAATTTCACTACATCTCTGAAGATGGATACACTTACCTCGTCATGGCAGACGACTCTGTAGGGCGGTGAGACGCATTGTGTTGCTCCGAAGACCAGTTCTGACCTGACCCTCAGGAGAACATCATTTGCCTTCTTGGCTGACCTTCAACGCAAGGTATCGTAGCGCGCTTCTGCCTCAATGTGTATCACCTGCCAGTACTGATGCTCCACAGTTTACGGCTGCTCCGTCGTCGTCGTCGTCATCATCTCAAGATGAGATACCCGCGTACAGCCTTCAAGGGAGCTTCGGACCAACGATCTCGGCTTTGCTCCAGACCTACAACACTGCGCCTCCCTCGGACGAACTCGCGCGTGCACAAAATGAATTGAATCAAGTAAAAGACATTATGGTTCAAAACGTGGAGCAGATTCTCAGCAGGGGTGAGCGTATTGAGCTGTTAGTGGATAAGACGGATGTCATGGCAGGTCAGGCGACGGCTTTTCGCAGAGGCGCTCGGAGCGTCAGGAGGCAGATGTGGTGGAAGAACAGCAAGATGATCGCTCTTTCGGTCGTCGTAGCGCTTGTGAGTTGCTCCTCAGGCAATCATAGAGCGAATTGCTAATCTATTGCGGCAGTTTTTGTTATGGCTTTTGATGGCTCAATTTTGCGGTGCTGGGTTGAATCATTGTTCGTCCCAAACTTAGGACACTCTCCTTTTATCTCGGACGTTCGAATCTGCCCTATCTACTCGGCCTGGATGATTCTTGATTTCCTCTTCTACAGTATTATTGTCTAACATGTACAGAATTTCTTGTTTTTATAGCAACGATGCCGGAAATGCATCAATTCATGCTTATAGACCTTCGCCACATAATCGAAATGGTCCGCGACATCGCCCGCGAATGTCAATGAGATCCGACGTAACTCCAACACTTGAAAGTTTATTGCCGCCTTTCATCTTCCTCTATCGATGAATTGCTTCTCTGTTTGGATAATCGCCCTGCGAGGATCGGAGCATCAACCCACCCATAGACAACTGAGCAAATCATCCATTCAGCATGGAGCAGCTCACGTTCGTCGCCCTCTTTTGGGGCTCTCACATTGTCAGCCCAAACGGGTGGAACGGAGTACCAAGGGCCTCGGCTGAACACTACCGTTCAGGTTCCTGTTGAACTTTTGCGGTGGCGAGACTTCCGGTCGATAGAAGGTCTCGGACCTTGCTGCGCGTCTGGGCAAAGGCATAGATACTGGATGACGACAGTCTACCTTTGAGTGCTATTTTCCATTGGCCGTTGATAGCTCGCTAATTTGAATTCGTTATCGATCACATCTAGTATGTCCCATGACCATCCTTGTGAAGTGGCTCTTGCGATCTGTCGCCCACCTCGGCGAAAGTGAACCAAGATCGGAAATAAGCTACAATGACTGCATGGACTTCATTTGTCCTCCTGACGCTACACAGTTAACGTGCACTTACTTCAGCTTAAGCCTCGACATAATCTTCAAATGAATATAAAATGCAAGTTCATTTGTTGATTTGTTACGGATAATTACAGCTACAGGCTGACATCGTGAATGCAATGCAACATATCTATGAGATAGATAATATAAGTGGGGGTGGTTGAAATGCAAGTTGCTCTTCGAGAACAATATAATCATACATGAAAAAGATGACGTGAACCAGTTGCCAGTCGACTGTCCGCGGCAACACTTAAGGCCAGTCTATGATGCGAATAGCAAAGCAGAAGGCTGAACGAGCAAAGAGAGTGAAGAAGAGTTCATATGTTAGTCTGGGATCATGAATATATACCCGGGATGCTGAAAGCCGTCGAGCCTGAGGAAAGACCTTTGCTTAACCCTGCACTTGGGTACCGAGGCTGATGGGATGCTGCCGACGTATAACTTTGACCGGATCCCCATGAGGCCGGTCCATTGCTGCTGCTCGAACGTGGTAGCGGTGGGAGCGAGGCACCAGAGCTGGAGGATCCTCGAGAGTTCTCAGAGCTGGAGGAGGCTCGAGAGTTGCCAGAGCTAAAGCTGGAAGTCGAACTCCAAGGCGCATTGGCGCTACTCGATGCCCGTTCTCGTGCTCGCGGGTGGCTGGTTTCGGGAGTGGCATTAGTCCGTGACCGGTCAGAATCCCGATCTACCTTGCTGCGCTCCTTCTCTGCCCTTCTACGCTCCCTCTCTTGCTCTTTCTTGGCCTTCTCTAGAGCCTTAGCTGCTGCGCTAGCGCTGCTGCTGCCATTGCTGGTGAGTGGGCGAGGATTAGGAACTGGAACATGAGACATTGAGGGATGCGATGAGTGGTCTACAAACGGAGGACCTGGAGAAGGACCAGCTTGAGTAATTTGTTTCTCCGACAAAGTGCGACGTGGAGCGTATCCTTCATCATGATGCGAATCGCGGTGGGTAAGGGATGCAGGGAAGTGATTGGGCGTCATGTTGGGAAGGGAAGAGGATAGGCTTGGGTCATGCAAGAGGTCGTGGAGGCGCGTCCTTAACTGATCGTTGTCGCCACTGGGCATGCTGACATGTCCTCTAGATGATTCGCCATCGTGAGCTGAACCTAGGTATGGTGATTGTGGTTTAGGAGACGAGAGAGCCCGAGGTACATCAGCAGACGATGACGTGGCAGTGCTGGAGGGGCGACTTGAGGATGACGAAGGTCGAGAGCGGCGTCGTTCCTTGGCGGGAGCAGTGCGTGAAAGATCACTGTTGGGAGAGTTGGTGAAGTAATCCTCGCCAGGCGGCGGAATTGGGGAGCTTGGCGATCCTGTTGAACTTGGAAAGAAACGGCGGTACCCATAATCAAATTCATGACTGGGAGATTCGCTTCGACCAGGGTGGGTTTTGTTTGCAAGGCCGTACTTCAGGTGCTCCGAAGGATCAGCATTTTCCTCAACCTCATCGTCATCGTCATCGCCATCCTCCCCGTCGTCTTCCTCAAGCTCAGGCAGAGGCATAAAGAGACTCATACCAGTATTCAGTGCTCCGGTAAATTGAGGTAGAGGAGAAACGGTATACGAGTTCGGATTCTGTACGGCAGCACCTTTGAGACCAGGTAGAGATTTCTTATGCGCAGGTTTTGAGTCCGCTTCCCCGCGGAGGCGTCGAACTTCCGCGTCCAGCGAAGCGTACTCTTGGGCAACGACGTTATACTGTGAAGGAAAGTATGTTCATACAGAAGAACTAAGACGCCAGAACGTCAAGTCACTCACTTGTCTGTATAACCAATGAGTAAAGGGAAAACGAATGACCAGGGAAGTACATACCCTACCATAGCTTCATACGCGGCGTGCGCCTTTGTGCAATGCCCTCTAAGGCTCACTTCCACAGCTATCGCAGTTTCGCTATCCACCTGACGCAATACGGTCAGGTCTTCCACTTGCTTGGCAAGATCTGCCTTCTGCTCCGCCAACTCTGCGACTTGCTTTGTAAGAGTATCCACCACCACATTCTGGGATCTTAGGGTCGACTTGACTTCGCAAAGGTACGTTATCATTTGGTGTGCCGTTCGCAAGTCTCTGTACTACAAGGGGGTGAACGATTGTCGACTCATATCAGTGGATTGCCACTCACCAATGTCCGAGGCTGTTGTCGAAGGAACGACCTTCCATCTTCAATCAGTTGTCGTAAATTCAACTCTGTCGAACCCGTCTCGGCTATCCCCGCAATGGCTTCATGAAGTCTTCGTGCCTCCTGCTCAGCACTAACAGAGGTAGTGGAAAGGGGAGCGGGAGTGGGAGAAGGCCGGGTGGTGTCCAGTTCGATATGAAGCTTAACGGTCAGGTTTGGGTTGAACCCGTGGCGGCACAAAGGACAGGCGGGACGCGTCAAGTTATGAAGGCATCTAGATGGACAAAAAAGAACGAAGGTGCGTGTAAGGTGCAATCATAACAAAGGGTTCCACGAGACGTACTCGGCGCAGAATACGTGACCACAAACTATCGAGCAAGGACATTTTTCGTCGGCACCAAATGGTTCGAGACATACGTCACACGATGAACCAGCTCCCACAGTCAGCATGATTGTCGGATAATGAGCGACAGGTAGGGAGAGTAGTGTAGAATCAAGGGTATCGAGATGGGTGGCTCAGAGAGAGGCTCGCCCTGGGTATAAGAAGGCGAGGGCGACCAAGCCAATTCACAAAACACGTGTGGTGGTGGAGACGAGAATAAGACGAGAACGCTCGAAGGACAATAGTCCTGCCAGAAAACAAGCATGAAAACTGGCGATGTTATTATATGCAATCAGCGCACACGAGGCCAAGTGGCGAAGAATGCAACTTACATCTTAAGGCAGGGGGATCAACCATTCCGAATTGAACTGTGTCACTGGGTCCCTCATCACAGTCCCTCGATTCCAAATTTGAATTGATGGAATTTTCGCAAATGCATCCGCTTTTTGTTCCACAGATACCTATCGGTCCCTTAGAACCATCTTGGAAGCGGAGAAGAAACAAGATGCAACCTACACAAACCTCAACAGCTCAACCGGGGTAGGTCCGCGGTGGGTCCATCCCTCCCGATCCGGCGTCGTATGGACAACCTCTTTGAACCGGGCTGCACGATCAAATGAGCGACAAGTACGGCATGAAGTAGCCAGGTGATTGGCGAGAGTCGGCAGCCGGATCGGGCCGCCTGATGTGAGGGTAAGCGCTTCAGCTATGCGCAAAGCTATCACTTTAGTAGCGTGCATTAGTTGTAACGAATCTTGATAGGTGCATGCGTGTCTTTGTGTCTTGCTTATCGCTTTTCTCAGATTTTTGGTATGGCAAGGTGTTGTTACTTTGAAAATTGTTAGCTTTAACTCCACTGTGGAGACTAGGTAGAAACTCACGCCTGCTCGCCCCATCAACAGTCAATGATTTCCACTCTGTTTTCATCGGAAACCCGCTGCGAGGTGTACCGTGGTCCGTGTCGTGGCTGTAATACGCCGAAATATGATCTGCGGCTATCATAAATATCATTACTGTCTTAACATGCGATGCATGCACTTTACCTGTAGCCAGAGCCGTGTAGTAACCTTAGGTCATTTCTCGATCAACGTCGGTGAAAATGTCGTGAAGACCAACGCCCCTCGTATAAGCGAAGAAGATCGTGTGCCATTCTTTGTCAACATTAGTGGGAGAGGTATGCAAAATCTGACTGAGATTTGACTGAGATTTTGCTTTCAACGTGAAGCTGGTCGCGCCATACTACAAGCGTGGTCACCGAAAGATTTTTCGATGACAGTTGCATCACGTGAATGCCACCCCTCATGTCGATGAAGAGAAAGCCGACAGCCTATCCATACGACCATAATATGGTGCTCCGTCAAAACGTTTCAGTATTGACCTGTTCATGTCGCTGAAGTTAAGTAACCGAGATCGATCAGAACATCCAAAGAAAGTCGGAAAGGCCAGTCGGACATCTGGAGGCTGACTTTTCGGCCGTCGTAGTAGCCACTAACCACAAGGGCCTTAACACTAAAAAGTCCTTCAAACAATTAGTAAAATTCCGATGTTCCAGTAACCCACACCGCGCATGATGCACGGGCGCACTACCATCGTGAGTGGCGAGCGGTGAACAGCGGTGAGCTGTAGACTCATTTATATTTCCTTTGCAAGTCAAATACATTACCATGAATTATCCTAAAACGTAATTCACTGGGGCTACTGCGACTACACTGACAAGGCGTTATGAGAAGACAAATTCACATAAAGGTATCTGCGATCCTCGTTGGCATGATAGACATGATAAGACGGCTGATGTATACGATTTAATCCAATGAATAGCATCAGAATCATCAGGTCCATGTCCACGTCCACGTCCGAAAGAGTCCTCGTAGGTGCAAGAACCAAGACTCTAAGCTCACGATCATTGCGGGAGCGCCTCTCCCGCCCCGTGACTCGTTCATGTGGTCGCTGATTGAGACCCTTGCTGGATTGCGATAATTATGTATTTTCTTATCGCGCCCCAATCGTTATCGATGAGGGAGCCGAGAACATATGGTGTTCTGTAGCACTGCACATTGCATATTCGACATTGATCTAGTGGGAATGTCTCTGAGAAGATCAGTGGTGGCGTTGAGTTCCTGTACCATGTCGTCGGAGATGTAGCCAGCGACGCGTGGTATTCTCCAAAGCTCTAACCTCACATGTGTGATACAAGCTCCAAAGGCTCATTACTTCACAAGTGACGATGTTTGATCCAATTGCAAGGAGCCAACAAATGTATTGTGGGATCCTGACCATGTCAAGGATAGTGCAAGGGTAAAACATAAGAAATAACCACGCACCCTAGATGAGGCGATAGAGAGTCAGAATGATGACGGAAGATCTGCGTCGAAGGAAGTCGAATGTAGATGAGACGTGGAAGACATGAAGATCGACAGCGTGAGTTCATTGTCTCTATACTTGGCGTCTTTCAAGTCGCGGGGAAAATAATAGTTACTTTGCTCATCTCCGCGAATTAAAGCGCTGTCGATCCCGAGACGGAGATCTAGAAAACCCAGCGAGGAGTGCGAAAACAGAAGGGAAATTGGAAACCATCTCCCGATAGACTTCTTATTATAGTCTGCAGCGATGTCGTAGATTTTGACGATGGGTACAGCTATGATGGATTTATCGTTCCAAAGCGCACTCTTCAGGTAGAAAAGAACTCACTTCATGAACCCCGGCAATCTTCAAATAGTTGTGACTCTGATTTTGATCAGATGACGATATGTAAAAATTAGATGGCGTACAGCTCATCATATGTAGTTTTAGGGTCCAAATTTCTCTACCTGTGTGGCTTATATCTTCCGGAAGTCAGCCGAGGGGAGATGCTACTAGAGGAGGATTATTGATGGCTGTTTGATTCAAAGGTCATCAGGTCACGTGTGATTAGAATATTCTCCCACGATTATCTAGCTACGTTGCACCAATTCTTGCTTCGTCACTGCCAGCAAACCCGTAAAACATATTCGTTCCTCCATCCGGCACCCTCATTTGCGATGGTGAGTGGAAAGGTAGTATCCTTGTACTCGATACTTACTGATACTTCTACAGTCTGATTCCGATTCTCCACGTTCAAGCGGTCGCCCTTCTTCGTCAGCGGTAGCAAAGCCACCTGGGGCTCAGATTCGGTGCGTATCCTCAAGGCTTCATTTATGAAGGTTTAATTTGACTTGAAAGTGAATAGGCGACGCGCGGCGGGCTCGCAGGTGTCACGACCAAACTCATCGCGTGCTGCAGGTGCAGGTGGTTCGTCAAACACCATGCTGAAACTTTACACGGACGATTCTCCTGGCTTGCGAGTGTACGTTTCAATTATCTTTTGTCTCTTTCCGTCTTTTAATACCATTTACTTCGAACAACAGTGATCCCTTCATTGTGCTCGTCTTGTCCCTCTCCTTCATCGGCTCCATTTTCTTCCTCCATATTTCCGCGAAAGTGATTCGTGCATTCACAAAATGATCGGTGTTGTCAATATTTTGCGTGGAGAGTGTGAGGAAGATAACTTATTTGGGCGTTGAACTCGAGATCTGCAACTCAGTATTGGCGTACGTTACTACTGTTTCCGTGTTTGTACCAAAATCATCGCTCTGGAGGGGCGGCTATTCTTATCTTATACCACTCCTTTGCTCTTGCTAGTGTTCAGACTGTTCAAGATTGAAGATGGGTATGCAGTTCAAAAACATCAAATCTCAGAACGGATATTTCGGTGGCTATTCTCTAACTGACGCCAATCGCATTTTGGCTATGGCCCGCAAGCCGCGTCTGTCATGGACCATGGGGCTAACGTACTTGGTCTTCAACGACATCTCCTCGCAGACCCTTTTAGTTGAGCTGGTTCGCAGAGCTCCCCCCCGTACTCACCTTCAGGGCTCTCTACAACATCACGCGGATCCATCCCCCCGGAAACATGCTCAAACCACGTTGCCGCGCCGAAGGTAAACGCTTCACTCAGTTTAAGCTTATGAATGGTCTCAACCGAAATGAAGCACTAGTATCCTTCCGGTGATCGGGCACCAGGGCGATGTTATCATCGTTTATCTAGACTGGATCGCATTCAATTCTTGTACTACTTCTTTCCGTGAGTACTCCCCCGGTCCCTCTCCGCCGCCCTATCCAACTATGGGGGATCACGAGTGTCTGGCCCATGGGCGGCGACGACACAGGAAACGTTGGCAACGCGTGTTGTTGCAGGGAAGACAGATTCTGACAACATCGGTACAGCTACTCCGGGGGCGGGGATACATACATAACTTTCTCCATCACGCCGGAGATCTGATAAATATCCGGGCTGTCCTTCCGTGCAAGGTGTAAGTCCTAGAATCGGTCAATAGTGAGTCACCTCTTGCACCTGTGTTCAACGCTGTGCCCTTGACAACATCTCACAACACTCTTGTTCTCCAGCGGAACAATCTAAAGGTGAAATAATTCATGATATCGCTTCTCACTTCGTCACTAACAGATTCGTTCGAGTTTAGGATGAACAATTAACCGCCACAACTAAGATTCACTACCACTAAGAGAACATACACCCCACCACGTTTCTTACCTTCTTCAACGAGACACAAAGTCGGCCATGCCCGACACATTTAATATCGTGGCGGACTTGGTGCCTAGCGCTTTTACAACGGTCGAGTCTTGCCAACCTCAACTGGGAAAGGTACGTTATCGAATAACGTTAACTGCGTGTGGGGTTCTACCGGAAGATCTACCCCACAGTCTTGGTTCGATAGACGCGCATTTCGCCTCTCGTGACGCTGTATCAGTCGACCACTTAAGCGCAGAATCGCGGGAAAAGCGCCTCGCGCGGTGGCAACGTTTTCAAGGTATGACTCCCATTCACTGATAAAGGCACTTAGCACCACTCATGACTTCAAGGGGATGGGTTTAGGGTCGTAAAACCGTAACTGCACAGGTTTATCATCTCGAAGAACAACACCCAACAGCGCTGTGGCAACAAGCGGTATTTTGGCCCGCTGTCGCTATCGCATTTGCTTCTAAGTTCTGTCGCCAACATTCTGTGTTCCCAACACCTTTGGATGCATTACAAACCCCCTTGCGGATATGCAACGTTGCCGGTGCGTGCTCAGTAAGTATTTTTGGCTCCCAGCTCTTGTGTGGATATTTATCTTGATGAAGGAAGAAGAACGATTGTTTCTTGTGAAGGAAGAGGATTGACGGGGTCTGACGATCATCTGGTTCCTCCCATACCTGTGGACCAGGTGTGGTTGTCTGGTGTTCCACTTGGCAATCTACGCGCTCGTGACAGTGACCTAGTCAGATTCACAACAGTTGGTCGAGGGGCTATACATTGCTCCCGAAGCAGTAAACGCCCAAGGACGCCTCGGCGATTATCAGCTCTCCTCCTCGAGAGTCTCGAAAGAGGCACACACAACTAAGATTCGTTTTTTGGATCGCAAACTTGTACGGGAAGGACCACTCTCCAAGAGGTGTGTTGTGTTATAGCGCTCTCCTTTCTCTTTTGTGTCTTGTATTATTCTCGACGACGGCTTGAACTTCTTCAAGTCGGACACCCCCTGCAATTCACACCTTATCTCTTTCAGGTTTTGACCCAACCTTGTTAAACTCCGTCTCTAAATTTTAATCTCTATTCAATCTCTAATACAAAGGTCTATTTCAACGTTTGATTCTCTGGCGCACCTGGCGCACTGACATACAAAGAACCAATCATTTTCCAATGCGGTCTTCCGATTTATTACGCTTGCCCCCGGGCAAACATCAACGTAACTGATACACAGCTCCTCGTCAGCGTTGACGTCATGGGTGGTATAAAAGTTGATTCCCCGTTTATGTCGACGTTTCTTGAGGTTGGGACTGCAATCTACAGGTGAGGTCAGCCGGCATTTGTGTCATGTTATAAGATATAGAAGTACCGTGATTAAAATACGATCCAGAGACGTACAATCCCCATCCGAGCATCTCGCTTTCCTCATCGTCAGGCGCCGTGTCCCAAATCCCAAACACGTTCCCGTGGTCCCGCGCAAGTATCGCACGTACCGTTTCCGGGGTAGAGACAAGCCTCCAGAGTACTTGGAATGCTGATTCGTAATCAACTCCAGCCGCCTGCGTTTTCCACTCGGATCGTGCAAGTTGCACGAATCGCTTGATGAACCCGTAAATACGGATCCGCGAAGCAAGGATATAGGGTTTGGAACGGATGAGAGCATATTCGTTATCCTGAAGTGACAGTAGATCGTCCCATACTCCGGCGGTGGCAGCGGAAGAGGTGGAAGGCGAAATTTCTTGGATGGCTCGGGTGATAAGACCGTTCAAAACGAAACGAACGGTGTCCATTTCAAATTCACTCATCACTTCCACACCCCAAGAACCCGCAACGGATTTTGCCTCCTCAAAGAAAACCTTTTCAGCGACTTTCCAACCGTGGCTAATTGCTTCTGGTGTGACATCTCCCTCCTTGAGGTTGTCCAGGTGTTCCAACATGGGAGAAGCACCAGAATTGGAGCTCGGTTTTCGGTCACAGCTCACTTTCCGCTTGTTAGCTTGCGTGACGATTTTCTCCAACGCCGCATTGACGGTCATCCACCACCCCAGGTCATTGTCCTGCCCAAAATGATAGCTCCGGACCCACGATTCACGGCACTCGTCCATGCAGAACCACGTCCCCCCACCTCCGTCCCCATTTCCTCCACAACCTTTTTTCCGAGGGTCGTCTAGACGAATACTCCATTTGTTTTTCCCGCTTTCGAATGAGTACGCAAAACACCAGCCGCACACCTCTCGTTTGAACTTTCGGAAGACAACGCTGGCGTAAGGAGCAGCACAGGCTAGAACAAGGGTATCTTTTGGGATCGGACGAAGTGCAAAAACACCGCGACCACCATATCGGGTGGCTCGTATTTCGTATTGCGGTGGGACGACATCGTCTATGTGTTCCACAGCGCCCATCTTGAGGGTTTCTAAAGTGGTATAAGGAATTCCTGATGTCGGTATTATGGCAATAAACCTGCGGTTCAGTGAGTCACCTACACTTTAACACAACACATTTACTCACCAAAACTCTAAAATAAGGAAGTCGAAGATCTTGTGGTGAAGAAATCTATAGGTAAGATAAAATCATGATGAAGGAAAATGTCATGTTCAATGCAAGAACGGATTGATTGGATTAGGAAAAAAGCTGATCAAAATGCGGAAGTAAATCGGCCCGACCTACTTCCGCATTCGTTACATCTTTGACCCGCTTAGGCCAGGCCTGGACGATCCCACCTTTCCACTTGCTTTCCACTCTGTCCTCTGCTGCGTTGTTCAAACGAAAGAGATCACGAGGTGATAGCGGCGACAAGGGGTCGGGAATTGTACAGAGCGAACCTCTTCTCATCTGGCATCTCGCAACTGAATCAATTTGGAATCAATTGCGGGCTCGCCGATTGCGATGGTGAAGACATTGCCGGTCCCTTGACCATTGCGCACCCTCTTATAGTATGTACATTTCTTTTTTCTATTCTTTTGGTAATCTAATTCCTCATATTGCAACCCTCAACTTGTCAAGATACTCAAGTTCGAGCGTTCCATATTTTATATGTGACAGCTAAGTGAAAAACCCTAGACACCTCTGCGAATTCCACCTCGCTTTGTACAAACAGGCCCCCTCAAGTCGCTGGTGAGTACGATTGAACATTTCTGTCATCACTCTATAAAGTACCTCCAGACGCGACGGTTGTATTCGTCAAGCAACACGTCATTCTTTGCAAGAATTTACAAAGAATTTACATGAAGATATCAACTTGAAAAACATCAAATCTCCGTTTTTCGCATGTCATTCGACTCGGACGTTGCAGAGAAAAACAATTAAACAGTGGTGGTACACTAGGCAATGGTTTTTTTTTTACTTCAGTTCCACAGCCAGTTTCAGTCGTCATTCTACGTTATCAAGAGACTGCAAACGGATTTTGGAGAAGCCTTGCCGTGAAAAAAAGATAGTGTGATAAAGGAGGATCGATTTCACCTACCCAGAGTACTCGAATCGAGGACAGGGGAGGGGTAATATAAATATATATGGGTGCGTTTGGTCAGAGGCTTCGTCTGAGGGTCCTCTAACGTTGAATCAAATCGATTAGATCAGCTGATTATTGATCGTTACTCTCGACGGTCACTGGCCACTTCCCTCCCCGGCAGTATAAATACCACAGCTCTTGTATTCACCCATCACCAATCGCCTTATCTATAACAACCATCACACACGACTTAGACACCATGGCACCAAACCCGCAATGCGCTGCGCTCGCCGCTGCCCAAGCAAGGACAGGTGCGTCGACGATCACAACGGGCTTTCTTTAGCAATCATCCCCTAACTATCAAATAGGAATTTCCTACGCACAGATAGCTGCTAGCATCGGGTCCACTGAGCAGCAGGTCATTGCCAGTGAGCTGCGATTTCAGGGTTGCATTTGATCGTTGATTCGCTTACCACTGGGTTGGCAGTCTGCACAGGGACCCAAAGGCCCACGGAAGCCGAGTTCAAAGCCATCACAAGGGCCTTGGGGATCTCAGACAACGTGAGCACTTTGAAGGGCGACGATTCGACGCTCACACTCGGTTCACAGGTCTCCCACAGCGGTGTTCATGCTACCGTTTAGAGCCGTCAGGTTGTGCCCTCCACCTCTCGTGGAATCAATGATCAGCATGTTGTATAATCAGTGTAGGCGTTATACTGTAGTATGCGTCGAACTTTGGGGAGCATACTTATGTCTTTGACTTCTTGAACGTGCAGTTCACGACAGGGGCGCATCTTATCAGATAATAAAATATGCTTCCATCAGAAGATCAGACGCCCTTCCTATTTGAGAGTAGCTTCCATCTTATCTCCCACCATATATGTCGCTCAGTAAGTTGATCCTCTTTCCCCCACCTTTCTCTCGAACGTCAAACAACAAAAAATCGTCGGCCTACGGATTCTCCCTCCCAGTTCGCGGCCTTTGCGAGTCATCTTTCTCGAGCTCCGAATCCCACCACAATTTGGCTCGACCCGTGACCGGTTGACCGCCTATCTTCCCACTGCTGTCCACTGTCCCCAGGTATGCGATGCGGGGATTCGGGCAGACATTCTAGCGTCAGGAAGCGGACGGACCTACAGTACTTCTGGGAATCATGGCTACTTTCAACGGAACTTAACCCTCCGCGGTGGAGATTCTCATATCCAGGCATTTGGGGTGGTAACTGCTGCGATGCTGTATCGGTTTCCCCGGAATGAAACGGGCACATAACTCCGCCATTAAATTCCTAGACTGCGCTTCCACAATTCGCTAACCGGTGGTCCCACGACGATGGGAAATTCTCCTTGTATGTTCTACCGGGCTGAACTCTTGTTCAATGTCGGTGGTGATCGGAGGTGAGTTTACCGCGTGACTAAGTACTTGGTAGTGGCCAGCGTGCGGCGGCGGCGCAAGCGCAGTGAGTAGTAGGTGAGGCGCGCTGCCACTACGCCGACCGCTAGTACTAGGAGAACGCGAAGGAGCGAATTAACTGGTAAAGCGGAAACATGGCTGCGTGCCTTATGATGCCCTGCCATGCGAGGTAAAGGATCTGCTTCCCTAGCACCTACACGCCGAATGGATATGTTGAACTTCGTCCCATGACGCTGATGACGCTGCTGCGCGTTGCAAAAACGTGGTCTGGGGTTAGCTTTACAAGATCGTCATCAAGGTTGAGGTCATGAGATGCGATCGAAACTCTTATTTTGCTTCGTTCAAAATCAGTAGGACGCTTCCATTCCTCTGGCGACGCACATTTCGAGCTCTAAACTGGTGATCGCGATACCCCCCTCGACGTCCATGGGCTCGGGGTTTCGTCACATGCATCCTCCTCGCCCCACGCTAATTCAATTGACTTAACATGGCTCGTGGACATCTTGCGCAGTCCACATTTTTACTCTTGCATCAGGTGGACGCCGTCTTTTGGGCTGCGTATAATCAGTCTCAACCTCCCGTTCATGCTCCACTCCGATCGGTCCTCGATAACATTCATATGTAGGGTTGACCTCTGCGATCGAGTTTGTTTTCCGCTCTCCCTCGTTCGATCGCTTTTGCCTTGCGTCCTCCATATGGAAACAAGGTACACCGGGGCCGTTTGAATTCACTCCTTAGATTGCGTTTTGGATCCGCGAGATATACATCCATAAACCCTTGACGGGGACTAGTTTCTTGGCGCGGGGTCATATGTGTGTTTTCAATGGGCTGGAAGTCGCAAGTAGTGTAGTTTCACACTTTCCCTGAATCGGACATCATGTGAGAGCTACAGAGCGTATCCTAGGGGTAGGTGGACGCCTCTCCGCTTCACAGAAGTGAAGGTAAGACAGAACTATAATACAAGCACCTACTTTTGGGCATAATATAAGTAGTATATGTAATCTGCGTAATCACATACTCATCATCAAGCTTAAATGAAGGAGTCCACCTTGAGCCCACCTTCTGGAAACGTCTGAATCACAGCGAAACTATTAACATTGATATAACTACCTATAAGTACGAATGCCATATGCATACTAAATTTTTTGCATATAGGCATGAACGTCTCCAAAAAAAGGAAAAACAATGCTACATATGAAGAGAGATGAGAGCGGCTCTAACCGCCGTCTACGTACGATGCTAACTAAGTAATACTAGAGAGGAAAACAGTGGAGTTAACCAAGAAAACACGAGATAGGACTAGAGCAGGGGAAAAATGGGGAAAAAAGGTAAACGGGACAGCAAAGAGGGAAGAGAGAAAAAACGCAAGAAGAGCAGCCGCTCTCCATAAAGAGATTGTAAAGGCTAAAAAAGGTACTACGATTAAAAAGTGGGTGTAAAAGGGCCGAACTAGCCATCTATCGATGGAAGTGGCAGAGGAAGGTCGAAAGGCGATTGGGAATGATGGGTGAGTAAAAGGTGGCGGAATCCAGCTCAGCGATAAATAGAAGACGTGGATCCACACAGGTAACTACGGGGGACGAGAACGGTTGCGATAAGGCGGTGGTATATGCAGACGGGGGAAGGGGAATTGGGAGCAAGGGGAATATGGGAGCAAGGGGAATATGGGAGCAAGGGGAATTTGGGAGTAAGGGGAATATGGAGACGAGGAAAGGGATATCCAAGCAGACGGGTGGGTAACTAATGGGAAGCAAATAAGATACATGCACGCAATAGAATCAATTCTAGAATAGAATTATGTCCGAGGGTGAAAGCGTTCATGTCGGGGAATAGACATGCATTTCTCTGTAGCGTGCGGCAGCAGAGGCAGAGATGCTAGGGGTGGCCATACGGGATGGTGGCCTGACGGGCTTGTATTTGTTCGAGTAATCGAACGAGTCAGGGTCTGCGGAAGGGGGTATCCAGCGCTCATGGGCATCTGCTTTTTCTTCAGAGGCTGAACGCATCATTTTGGGGGGTGAGGGTGTCGAGAGGCGGCGGGGTTTGGGCGGGACTAGAGGAGCCGGAGTGTGTGACCTCATCGACATCGGGGTTGGTGTTGAGTACCTTGGCATCGGCGGTACGGGTGGGGCCGGAGTGTAAGACCGCATTGGTGTATGTGACCGAATAGAAGGTGTCTGCGGCCTGAGAGAAGGCGTGTGTGACCGTGGCGGGGGAGCGGCGGGGGTATGGGATCGGGCGGGTGGAGTGGGCGTAGAAGGTCGTGACGACATGGAGGCGGATCTCACATGCGTGGAATTGAATCGTGAAAGAGGTGATTGTGATGATGAGCTATAGGGAGGCACCGGTGAAGTTGACGGTGGTGTCGGCGACTGTGGTGGCGGGGGCGGCATATCGTGGGATGGCACCCCTAAAGTGGTAGCCAACGCCTTCAACTGGTTAACCTCAGTTCGCAATTGTTGGCATTCTTGTGATTTTTGTGTATATTGTTGTCGCTAAGAAAGGGGAGGTCAGCTTCAAGAAGGACAGGCACGGAAACAATAAACTCACTGTTCTGAAGGGGAAACGGTAGTTCGGGTGCTAGTTAGAAAATTTTAAGGGCGCCAAGGCACGGATGACTCACCGTCGTAACTCAGATTCTAGCGTTCCGTTAGTAGTTTCAAGGGCGTCGAGTTTCACCTTGAGGTTCGCCTCGACTGTTTTTGCATTTTTACTGGCCTCAGAATGGGATAAATGATTCATGAGGATGGCCCGCAGCAGAGCTGCGCTGAGTAAAAGAGATGAAGTCTGATAAAGAAAATTGTCAGAATGATTCGGCATGACTAGGAGTCGAAAGCACTTGGTCATCCTTCTCAGACAAGAGCCAACCCTCGAGTTCTTTGTGAAGAGCAGAGACCTCCTCAACAGAACATTTTTTTGCGGCGACTTTGGCCACCTTGTCTTCCAGCCGTCGGGCCTCGGGTCGGATCCTCGAGTTACCTTCTGGGGACAAGAGTCGTTCAGTCCTCCTCGCCAAAAACTCACTGGTGAGATCACTATATTGCGACTCAACAGTGGGTAAGCGTCTAGGCGTACTCCAACCACTCGTTGTGAAATCCATCCGAATGAGCCGGATGTCATCGCCGTTGAAGTTTACGCGGCAAAAAGGACAGACAGGTGAAAGCCGGGGGGAAGTTTTTTCAACTATGGTCGTGCAACAACTCGCGCACAGGACGTGGCCTGTTCGCCACCGAAAAAAAGTGAGAAAAAAAAAACTTTCTCACAGAAAAAAAAACTTACCACAGGGAATGGAATGGGGCAGACGTTGCGCGCCATATTCCTCAGCGCAGACGTCGCAGGAAGATCCGTGGATTAGAGTGAGCATTAGACCAGCCAGTTGAAAGCACCCCTAGGGTGGAGGAAGAGAAAAAGTAATAGGGCGAAGGGGAAAAATTCTCGCTTCACCTAAAGGATGATGATAAATAGGACAAAGGACGTAAGCCTAAAATGGAAGACACTGCCTATAATATAACTTGCTTACGTATCTGATCGCAAACCGTCACTAAGCTGTCACCAGGCGTCACTCCAGACTTGGTCCAGTCTAATTTCCTATCCCGTCATCTCCATGTATACATGTGCTTTTCATCCCTCCACTGACCCTTGCAAAAAGCACTTCTGCAACGAGGCCAATCCAGAAATCCAAATCTCCAACCGAACTTTGGCGCGTGTAGTAGGGTTAGGGCTTTTCTTTTACTCAGGGTTCTCGGCAACACACCTCGTGTTTCATCGAGCGCGAGTCACACGAATATCACCTGGCGTTGATATCGGGGCCCACCTCATCGCCATGCGCGGTTGATGCTGCTTGATGCCACCATTGTTGAAACGTTTTGTGTCCGCGAGCCGTGGGAGATTATTTTCTCCCACTCCCCGAGCATCCGATCAGGAGCATTCATCTCCACCCATCCCCTCTGCCCATCTTCTCGATACGCTCACGCGCAGGCCGCGACTGGGGATTTTCCGGAGTTCTACAACATTTCAAATTTTTACATCGGGTTTTTCTGGTTTTACTACAAGCAAATTGAAAGAAGCAGAACCCTTTGCCCTCCATGTGCTTCAGCGCCCGATTTCTTCAAGATCTCTCATATTTCTCTGAATTTATCGAAGCTGAAGAATTTCTTTAATTTTCTTGCAGAGGATTCACTGCGCACGCACCACTTCTCTATCGATGTCCCCACGTCCCGCGTCATCTCCGCGACAACGTCCTGCGCGGTGAATGTGCTCCTGGAAAGTGACGCTCCCGTTAAGAGGAGAAACGATCGCCTATCTATGATCTCGGATGGCACTGATGGTCAATTCACTCCGAGTGGCCGTTCAGTCCGTCCTATTGACCTACCCATAGCGGATGTGATGAATGATCTGCTTTTTTATGGGTCATTCTCCCATCGCATTCCAGATTCAAATTGATGATCGCTTGTAATCGTGGACACATTTGAACGGAAACGGTACGATAAGACATCAAAGGGCGAAGAGGGAGGGGCCGACGCCCCGCGTCTAGGCAACAAGTCTCTAACCGTATTTTCGCGCCGACTCCTCAAGTTCCTCCTTCTCCCGCCTCACCAATAATTCAACGACCTATTACAAGGGTCGCTCTATTTTTGACGTTCCGTAGATCTTGAGATCGCAGTGTTCCTAGAAGTCTTGGGTGTCGATGACGATTTCAGTATCGATCGTGGTCGGCACGTTTTGACGCTTCGAAGATGCGCTTCCCGCACCAACCCGTACCTCGCTGCAGATCTACAGATTAAATCCAACCCTCTCACACCGAAGCTTCAACCTGAGCTTGTTTCGCTACAACCCATCCGTGAGCCATGAATTGGCCAGGACAACATTTCCCTGATTCCCTGTCATAAACGAGGCTCAACATAAAAGATAACGTCTATCATATCAATCAGCCGACTCTGAGCCGAGTTGGGTTCTATCAAGGCCTTACACCGCACTGTACTACATGAAAAGCGGGATGCGGGTCCTATCTTCCGATCATCATGCCTCGAGGCAAGTAGACTTATTGTCTGGCTCTGTTGCAAAGCGTCAAGGAATCCCGAGCCCTCCTAGGGTTTATTTAAATGCCTGCTGATGGCCGTTGGTTTTTTTCACTAACACGCCTTGCACACGCGTTACGAGGACCCCTTTGCCGAGCGGTAAAAGGCAACTGCGACCAGATGGATGTCTATGATATCACCAAGCACCACATGCGCCCCCCTCTCGACACATGATATGGGAAGGACACGCCACAGCGCTTGAGCCTCGTTTACTGTGACAAACATTCCCCAGGCTTGCTGGAAGACAGATTAGAGTACACCATTATCTCGAATTGTGAGCTTGATGTTCGTCCTCTGGTTATTATTAACGCGATAACGATTTGGACAGTTGAGTTGGTCAATCAATGCGAAGTTTACTCTCAGACTTTGAGGTACTTTAACGACTAACACCCCCCCCCCCCCGATAGAGGCCCTCTCTTCATCTCCGCCATATTCTTGCGGGACTCGTTGAATCGGATTGTCGAAGCGCGGGGAATGAACCCATTAGCTTTCTGTGAACAAGGTACCATCGATCCAGAGGTTAAGTTATCAAGCGATGATCTTCGTTCAACGTAAATGTCAGTCATCCTTTGAATCACATCTACATATTCATGAAGTACTTCTAGACCCCATCTCCTTATCGACGCGAAAAAACGTGTTTTATGTGCGAGGTCTCTCATCTCAGCTACTTTGCACGTTTGACAACTTATTGGTTCATGTGATGCGTATAAAGACCCTTTGCACATCTGGCGCAAAGTTTCCTTCTGGAAACGACATGCGCGATATTAAAAACATGCACCTTGATGAGATGACCTTGAAATCACGAGTGGTCCAGATATAGAAATTGTCGATGAGATGAAATTGGGCGGCAGGGACGAGACTATGTCTTGTCAATTGCATGCTTCTAGGCAAGCTTATTTGAGCCGTGAGCGTTATGAAAACATGGGAATAGCCGTATTGAGATTTAGGTGAGAAACCTTAGAGTTGATTTCCCAGTTCTAGGAAGCTACAAAATCAAGACTCTTATTTCGGCGGAGAGAGAAATGGGGGAACGAGGCTGAGAGATGCACTCAAATATTTGGGAGTCTTCTCGAGATACAATTCTGTAGATACAAGTGCTTTGTTTCATAATAAAGTTTTATGTCGTCGCTTGAGCGGAATCCCCCTGGTCCTCGTCCTTATCTCTGGCGCTTGTTGATTCGTTATGCTCTTGCCCAACCAAGGTGTCAGGAGACGCACTTCGAACGCGGGAATTCGATGGAGCAAAGATATTGAACGCATGTGGAAAAAGACTTTTGAACGCAGAAACTCGAGCTGAGCGGCGTTGATATTTTTCTGCCTCAAGACGGGCTTTTCGAGCCCACGCTGTTGCCTCTTCGTATTCACGGCGCGCTGACCTCGAAGCGTAAGATTTAAATGGACCATTGAAATAAATCATTATTCACTGGTCAGAGTTAAGAATGGGTATTCGCCGCCCTCATAGGAGAACGCTTTCGCGAGATCTTCCACGTATAACGTAGAATTTGGCTTTCGCGGTTCCATGATTTTACCGTCGTGGAGTGCCTAAAGCACTTCAGAAGGGGGAATGCGATAGGAAAGAACGGAGACATACTACAAGTTGTCCATGATGCTTAGAAGATTCTCGTTCCATTGCAAAAGATTCCCAAATTCCGCTATGCTTGGTGTGCATCTGGAATTTGAGATCCTTAGCCAAAGGATTGCCCGTCGTTCGTCGTGTCACAATACTGGGGAAAGGGAGTTCAGGTCAAGTATTCAACAGAAATTCTACTCACGTTATTGGAGTAACGGGGTAGTGATAGTAATCCCCCCAGCAGCCGTCCTGACGAATTAATCTACGACTCTCAAGCTGCAGAGTAGGAATTGTTTTGGACGGAGAAAGCGGGTCTTCAGGTTTAAGACAGCTCATCAACACATAGCGTGGAGCACCCCAACCGGAGTAACAGTTATTTTTCATCTCTCGCACACGTTCGTTGAAGAAAAGTGTGTGATACGCCAGGACGCCTTCCCATTGGTACTCGTCGACAAGGTGCTGCAGGTGATCCAGATACCAAAAAAGTTGAAGGGGTACGTCGGGAGAAGAGACGAACGAAGAAAGAATCGCAAAGTAGACCTGGAGGGGCACCACGACGGCATTGGGTGTTTTGTACGGCTCGGCTTTCAGTTCCTCCGCTTGTTTCGGGACAGCTGGCAAACACAACTTGTAGAGGTCGCCTGCATTGAAATTATGCGTAATGATGGATGTCATACATTTTTTTGGGACTGAAGCAAAGGCGGAAGTCATGGGGAATTCCATCCAAAAGTTGAGGTGACGGGAAAAAGTCGTGTGTCATCGTGTGAACTTCGAAAAGTCTCACACTTCCATCTCCTGACCTCATGGCAACTCCTTTGCCTCCAGCGAAAGCGCTATCCGTTTTACGTGCAACCTTCGTCAATGTCGAGGAAAAGCTAATTGAATGCAATCAACCATCAACTCTTGGCGCGGGACCTGTACAAACTGCGACCACAGTCTATGTCGAAAGAGGATCTGAGAGAAGCCTCATTGTACAAGAACCCTGGGCCGTTCTACACCCCCTTCACGTCTACTTTGCCATCTTGAGTGAATATCTCACCTATTCGGCAATCAACCTCGTCTTCTTTCGATACCTCAACCACCTGCGGGATCTTATTAACGTCTACGAATGGCCGACGGTCCTTGAATATCACCAATCATATTTTGATCATCGAGTATTTGATATGCGCACATGGGGAGACTACGGGTCTTGGGGCCTGCCAGATTGTAAGCTAATGAACCAGTTAGACTTCACCCACCATTGCACGTCGACTCCTGAAATTACTGTTCCCACTCAGCAATTGAAAGTTGTGGGGTTACCGAGAGGAGCTCCTACTTCCCATAACGTGAGGCCCTCAGACTCATCAGTTCATGTTTTACTCTCAATGCTTATCGAGTCAGATTTATCGTGAGGCGGATAATGGATCCATTTGGTGATAGACATGCTATCCCAGGATGGACAAAGGAGCTTGCCATCTATGAGCAATTTTCACTTTTCAACGACCTCCCTTCCCCCTTTAGAGAAAACTATTTTTACCTGCACTTCGGGGTACGTTTTGTGCATTTTCAATGTAGATGCGCTTCATGGTTACATTGCTTCCCGCAGATCTTTGACGGTACCAATTTAATTAAAGAAAAATCTGAGAGGGGCGAATTCCCTGTAGAAGAGGTCATAAAACTTCTCTCTTATGAGGCTGGTAAAATTCCATTTCTCAATATCGTTGGTCAGTCAGTACACTTTGCATAGCTGACCTCACAATAATTCTTTCGTTATCTCTCAGCTAAGCAAGATTTTGAGAGTTCGAAGAAAGATGCGAAGAAAAGAATCAGGGTTCATGGTAAAGCTAAGTAGCACAAGGTGATGATTAGCAGCTGTCCTAAAAAAAGGCGGGGCATAATTTCAAACGTACTCGCCGTCTGGCGTAAGTTCTCTATGCCCTCAGCTACGGCTCCGTCGTCGACCTTATGGCGAACAGTTGTACATGTACTGGCAAAATATGGACAAGAAGCCGACTAGTTCGTAATGTTACAGTTCTTACTCAGTCAAAATGGCGTGGTCACGGCTTTATATAAGAGAATCACTGAGGCCTCGAATCAGAGATTCAGCAGCTTCGGAGCGTGGCTTGATTGTGCAGTTGAAAGGTAGGGGATATCTATCGGGGAATGAACACATACTTGTGGACTCTATAGAAAGATCACATACGACAGAAGCCCGCTTGTGTAATTCACGTCAATCTGTTCAGGCTTTCCGGATCCATCAAGTGGCGCATTAATATTATACACCGCCAAGACAGACGAGACGATAGAATATAGAGAATTATCGCTCAGGTACCTGCCAGGACACATCCTAGTAGAACCCGGCTATGAATGAATCATTTCAATGCCATTCTTTCACTCACCTTCTGCCGAACCCGAAAGCGGCGACGACTGGATCCCTAACGCTTGGGTCTATTTGACCGTCTTTGAGGTAGCGCTCCGGCCAGAATTCTTCGGGGGCTTCAAATACTTCGGGATCGTGCAAAATTGACCTATACACAACTTTTCAATACTAAAAGATTTTTCACATAGGCGAAAAATGCACCATGCAGCTCCGATGACAACAGTACCTTTCGGAATAAAGTACCCATCATATTCATCATCCTCAGTAGACATGTGTGCAAAACCTGCCACGATGAACAACTGGAGGAGGACTTGAGGACATTGAAAAACCTCTTACCGAGGGGAAGAACCAATTTCCAACGCATCGTTTCCTTGATTATTGCATTTACGTACGGCAAGTAAGGGCGGTCGTTAAAGTCTGGAAGGCGATTTGCTCCGACGACTGCATCGATTTCCGCCTGTGCCTTTCGCAAGGCTTCCGGATACATCGCCATGGCCAAAAAAAAAGTTTGTGTGGTTGATACCGTCTGATTCAGAGTGAGCCGCGTCAAAAGAAATTTCGAAAAAAAATAGGACAAACAGTATCGGCTCCAGCTATTCTCCAAGTGATTGACAATGTGAAGTCAGATCCAAAATTATGATTGCTCACCAATGTATGCTATTGCAGCGGTATTTCGAGAGATAAGCTCCTTCTCCACTTGGCCTAGTTCTTCATTTCCGGGAAATTCCTCCAACAAAGAGGTCAGAACGCAAGGTATCGCCGTTCCCTCCGCCTGAAGATACGATGTTTAGCCTGTTCGATTTGTAGCCGGTGATGTGGAACTAAGGGCTTACCACTTTTTTTTGCACGATTTTTAAAGGTTGATTCACAACTTCAGCATTTATGGCGGCATAGTGAGCAGCCTTCCGCTTGAAATCAGCACCAGGAAACCAGCCTGGCACATATTTCAAGAACGGGAGCAGGTCCACCAAGAAAGTCCCCGGAATTCCAGCCTCGGCAACACCTCGCAGGGCCTCCTCAGCCAAAGTGATATATGGGTCGTTGGATTCCAAGACTGGTAGGCCGTAGGAGATACTCATAATAGTCGATGCAAAAGTGCTGGGAAAACATTGGCCAGGCTATTGACTACGAATGATCATGGCTTACTGTCGGATGTGATGCATAAAATTTTGCGGTGTCGTGAGAAGCCGACAGAGTAAGGCTTGAGATTCTTTCGCCTGGGTCGGTAGATATTTATGCACGGCGTTCGCATGAAAATGCTCGTGAAATGCACGGCGGTGCCTTCGCCACATAGTCCCGTAAGGCATGTTTGGTATATCGTAGCCCCAACCCATTCTATGTAGCAATTCAGATTGCTGCAAAAAAAAGACTTGGACTCAGGGGAACGTACAGCCTCAACATAGGCATGCTCAGCCTGTCTGAGTAATTTGACGATTTCTTGTCTAATATATCATTTACTCTTTGCAAAGATCCCAAAACTAGAAATGGTTGGCCGACAACCTCAAAGTATATGATGTCGCCTGGTAAAAGCATTATGCACGAGCACCAGATCTTAACGCAGAGCGCACCATATTTCTTCAACAATTTATCGTAACCCAGCCATGGTTTATCACCCATTGACGGCACTTCCAACACGGCACCCAGAATGGGGAGTCCCTTGGGACCTGGAGGACGGGGAAGGCGCTTAGCATTTGGCTTCTTCACTCCGATATGCTTCAAGCCCCATAGACCAAACAGCAAGCCTGCGGCAGTGAGGAATGGATAAAACTGGATCGTCTCCATCACACCCAATACTGCAGTGCCGGGAAAGCCTGAAGCAGGTATGTCGTACATGATGGTTGCACTGTAAATGCAGCAAGGGGGTAGTGATTGCCTCACCTGGAGCTCCGAGTGGTCATGTCGATTTAGTTAAATATGATGACACATATCCCAGGATTCAGAAAACCAGGCCCATGACTAAGGTGCTGGTCAGAATATTCCTTATCGCTTCCGATAAATCCGTCTGGAAGACGATACACCTGCGGAGCCTCCGAGTCGACGTCAGGACTGGCGCGCGTGGAAGTACAACGGGATCGGGGCATTTGCCAGTGCTTTGGTTCAGCAAAACTCAGACCTTTGGCAGGGATACCAAATTCAAGGAAATGCCATTTTTCGGAGTGTTGGGACTGGCTGGGTTTCGCTGGGCTGGGGCAAACGGCGACATGACGCTGGGCCAAGTCACGTCAAATCTTCTTGTACTGTGGGAGTGGGAGTTTACTTACTTTAATAGGACTAGTACACAAACGTTCATTGTAAGCTGTCGACCAACTAGAATTCATGTTGGGCGTTCAGATCATGTCCTGTCAGTGTCGAAATCATCTACTTGTGAGAGATTTTGAATGAGGCGGCTCAATCAGAGCCCACGAATAAGTGACTCAGCGACCTTAGAGGTGCAAGATATCACTATTTGTTTCCCGGTTTGCCGAGATTAAAACACGTACGACAAGACTTGCTGCTAATATAATCTGCCTTCGCTTTCGTCTGGATAGTCCAAGTTCATCCACCGGCGCTTAGATAGACGGGGCCACCTTGTGGCACAGCAGAGCCCATATGCGTCTGTCAATGACAATCTCATGCCTCAGGTCAAAACACTCACCTCCGGCTGCCGATCCTATTCCCAACCGCTGGATCGAGTCTGACACCTGTGTCTATTCTATAATCCTCGAGATAGCACGCTGTTGGATGCGATGCATACTAAAAATGTCGAGCGTTACGCAGAAGCATGCTTGCGTTTCTTTCTTTCGCTTGGGTAGGTGGACGAAGGCGCTCTGGTTAACTGCTTGGCGTTGTCCCCCATACAATGCCATAAGGCAGCAGCGCCTATCAGCGAGCTGCCAGTAAAGAATCGGGTCAATCGTGAGCCGCAAACGTTTAGTCCACAGCAGAAATCGCCATGTTTTTTGAAACCATTTGTCGTACACTAACCAAGGATTGTCGCTTCGTGCGGGCGTCCAACATAGCTCCCAAGGTGAGGAGGCCCCTTGGACCCGAGAGATGGGCAAGCCACTTGAGATCTCGTTTCCTCGTCACAAAGTTCTTCAGATGCCATCAACAAAACAGCAAGCCTGCGACAGCGAAGTATGCACGAAACTGGGTGGTCAACGTCTCCATAGCGAGTAAGTATATGACCTACAACTTCAAATTGACATGGAAGCTTGGTTAAATGGGGATAACATCTCTGAGCTTAGAAAGATCAGACCAGTAGGTGTTCGTCAAGGCAGTCACCGTCGTCTTCCGATACATATCGATGGCATCCGCTTCGGCTGCCTGGATTCTGTGGGTTCAAACATAGATCTTTTGGCAAGAAACTGAAAGCGATTTTAGAGTGCCGACAGTGACAGACAAAACGTTTCCGTTGAACTAGCGGAGGCTCGCCATGATCATGAGTGAGGTCGGTTGACCGGTGTGGGAATTTCCAGACAGCAGGTGGTCTTGAAACCCACAGCGGACTTGTGATGGGCTCAGGAACCGCCGACGAAGGAAGTAAAAAGAAAATTTACAAACAACCAGGATTCGCAACAACAAACTCCGAATGTTGCTGGTGGCTGGCAATAAGCAGGATCATCGCAAAAAGAATGAGTCGACCCAGGCTCGAACTGAGGACCTTCTGTGTGGACGATATCCAAGTCGTGTTAGACAGATGCGATAACCAACTACGCCATCGACCCGCTGGATGTAAGTGTAATAGATGCGATCTAGAAGACAAAGGCTCCAAATAATAGTAAAGAAGGCAATTGGACTCCTGGTAGAAGGGATGCTTTACAAACTCAATAAATCTCAAGTCGACAGTTTTCGAGAGGGTAGCCATGATGTATACGGCAAAGAGGAAATGCACGCCCCATTTTGCGTGATTCTCCCATGAACAACACCATAAGCCAAGCATTATTACTCAAAGAACGCTACCTGTTCCTCCTTCCCCAACCCTGTGCGTCCCCTCCAATGATTTCTAAGCAAAGGAGGGTCTGAAGGCGTAAAAGGCCTCCTGGGGCTCGCAAGGACGGCGGTGAGTAAGTCGGGGACAGTCTCTGGTGTTACCCGTCCCAACCTGTAAGTAAATATGAAAGTCAGACACTGAAACAAAGAAAAGTAACATGCGGACGTGCCATTCGCCGTGCGGAAAAACTAAAACGTTCGCAGCGTATCTGCACAAACGAAACCCTCGAGATCAGAGAACGGAAGAATGAGGAGAAGGAATATTTAATACGCACTGGTGCCCACCAACATGCCCCACCTCCCCAATCCTAACCCTGTCCGCGCTTAACCCCCTCTCCATCACTTCCTTCTTCAAAGCACTAACAACCTTCTGACCCATGTCGCCGCACCTACAATCCCGCTCACCGTGCGTACACACGTACAGATGGATCTCCGTGTCTTCACGAGGGTGACTGGGATGCAGACCCTCGGCGTGTTCCCTCAACACGGCATCCACACTGTCCACGTCCTCCAACACAAGGTTTTGGAGGTCCAAACGCCCACCCAAGGCCGAGAACACAGTGGCACCCTGCGGCGCGTCCACACTATCATCTCCTCCTTCGGACCACGAAAAATTGACGATCCCGCCCCACTTCGACGCGCGTAGTTGTAAAGCGCGCTGCAGAGTCGTCGTCATTCTCGAGGGGAACTTGGTAGGTGGTATTGGAGAGTGTAGGAAGATGTAGCTACGATGTGAGGCAACCGTGCCGTAGAGGGGCTTCTCCTCTGTCGATAGATCCTGCTCGGATGATACCGCTGGCGCGGTTGTTCCCATTGAACGCATGAGCAGCGTACGCGGAAAGTTTTGGAGACAGCGGCAAAGGCTCCTCATCGCTGTCGTTCGTAGCGAGTGCGGTGGGTGCAAGGTTGGCGTTGGAGTTGCATGTTCAAGTGGTCCGGGGATGGTAGATCATTTCGCCGACCGACGCGTCGGCTTAGCGCCGACGATGATCTCCCACGTGCTCTTGGACCAACGCCCCCAATGCCACGCAGTAACGCACCTTTGGCCATCGTGTTGGTGCAAAAATTCAAGCAAGGAGCCCTTCAACGATGAGCCCATCCAAAGCATCTTTTCGCTTGAGCGGCACCTAGGCTCGGTGCACTGGTATTTGCCTAGTCTCTCTGACACTGACACTCATGTATGGATGACTTTTTCTAGACGAAATAAACATGGGTGGCATGAATGGCTTGTACCTATAGGTATACGCAAGGTATACGCGAAACAAGAGTCTCCTTTTTGGCAACTAATTGCACGTCAATGTCCAATCCGGTCTGACTCGTTGCAAGGGCCAGGAGTGAAGGTGGTCGTTCTCTGCGGATAATCAAGATCAATTTTCAGGCCTCTTGGCTGTAGCTTACACTGGCTGATCGGAAAGGCTAGAACTATTGACTCACCCAAAACGGAATCGACCGACCTCGGGCATCGGGCAAACACCAAATACTTCGATGGTCTTTTACTAAGAATATACTTACCAACGCTTCCTACGTTAAAGTATCCCCGGCCGAATGATTCAATCGGTGCTTTTGGCCAGCGCTATGTCTTCGTCAGCTGCGACACCGTTTTGGCTTTATAAACCCTCCAATCCAACCCCTTCAACATCCAACACATCCGATTACAGCCCAACAAATCTCCAATTACAACATGCCTTCCTGGTTAATCACCGGTGCAAGCAGGGGTATTGGCCTCAGCATTGTTTGCCATCTCGTACGTCCTAACCACCGCTGAACGTGCGCTTCTCCCCGGACTAACATATTATTTCTAGTTGAAAGAGGAGGGTAACTTCGTCATCGCCACTGCGCGCGATCTCAGCGGCAAAGGCCTCCAAGACCTCGCCTCGAAATACCCTAAGACCCGCCTCGCTCTCGTTGAGCTCAACGTCATCGACGTCGCGAGCATCAAGAAAGCCGCGGAGAAAGTTGGAACGCTCCTTCCCAACGGTCTCGACTACTTGATCAACAACGCGGGCATCATGCCACAGCCCATGACTTCCTTCGAGGACCTGTGCGTTCCCCTCTACTGAATATTTATATGGTCAACGCTTATGCTACACAAATTTAGTGACCTGAAGCTATTCGCAGACGAACTCAGCTTCAGCACCATCGCCGTTATTCAAGTGACTTCCGCGTTCTTGCCCTTGGTGAAGAAATCCGCTGTGAAGAAGATCATCTTCTTGACATCTGTCCTTGGCTCACTCGAACTTGGCGGATCGTGGCCATTTATCACCAACTCCTACTCTATCTCCAAGGCGGCCTTGAACATGTCAGCATCCCGGTATTCTCTATGGTCTACTGATATTGTCTGACGTTTCTGTTCAATAGGCTGGCTCGAAAGTGGGGTGCAGTTCTCAAGCACGAAGGCGTTACAGTTGCTCTCATTCACCCAGGTTGGGTACAGACCGACTTGGGTGATGAGATCAAGGAGTGGATGGAGACGTACGCTAAGAACGTTCCCCAGATCACTACCGCTCAGTCGTCTGCGGGAGTTGTCGCTGTAGCGAAGAGCGTAACTATTGATTCTACGGCTACCTTCTATAACTACGATGGTAGCAAACTTCCTTTCTAAGCGCACTTGACCTGTACTCTGATTTCGGACAATGATATGTGTGAACTGCCCCCATTGATCAACTAAGATTATCGGCACTCGGACTCGAAACTCGATCGTGAACTAGGTATGATGAGTTATGGAAAGTTCAAGGCCGTCGCGTCTAAGGCTGTCCAGTTCCTCTTGTATATCCGGACTGATAACAAAGTGAGAGAAACTTGTCACATTCACCGATTGGATCTGAGATACTGTCATTTGTTCAGAGTCCAGTCCGACCAGTCGCAAATCGCACTGTAGAAATCTGTACACAAGGACATCTCGGAACAAATGCATGTGTTGAGTGAGAGAAGTGGGGCCACAATACGTGAAGTGTTGCAGATTGGGGAGGAGAATATCCCCATGAGGAGAGTAGAGCCGCTGTAGGAGTTCTTCATTGAAAAACTCGTCACCTGAAGACCCGTTGCAGAAGTCGAGGGATAAGTTTTTGACCGATGGGATGTTTTCGAGAACTTGAGTCAAAACGCGGTTGTCTGAGGGCTGATCTGTGTTATAATAGAAAGTGAAACTTTCCAACAGTTTCGAGGAACGAAATGGTTTCACGATTTGGAAAAGGAAGGCCTCTTCAGACGTGGACCCAAACGGACCGGCGAGGGAGACCTCACGCAAAGAGGGAAGTTTGACTTGCTCTAAAATCCAACTCACTTCGGAGTGTATGGCATAAAAGTTGAGCGCGAGATATTCCAGACGTTCCAGCACGGAAACTTGCTGACGGAATAATTCTATATCCAACGGATCCTCGGAGAAATCTGGATCAATTCCTTCGAAGGTGCAGCGGATTATCGGAGGGGCATTGGAAAATTTTGACGCATCTCGTCCGTGGAACAGCTGTCTATTAACAACTCCTGCATTTGATGCCATGGGGCTAGTATATCAGACAGGCCGAAGTTGTATAGATGAAGGACTGAGAGTTGTGGGGCCATTGATAGATCCAATTGTTGCTCAACTGTCAAATGGACAGTAGCAGCGGTAAGAAGGGGTAGAGATTTTTTGACACTGGGAATGGCGTCGAAACATCGACACGCGGTGTCGGGGAACATGAATCGTACTTCTTTCCATCGCGCCGAGAATGACGCAAGTAAAGTTAGAATTTCTACCGGATGACGAGAGACCCATAGCATTAGATCGTCGGTTGCGTCAAGAGAAAAGGAGATGGGATAATTCGCAGCCCTAGATAGCCAATTACGAAGAAGATCGGTTTGAGCTTTGTAGCGAGCTTTTCTTAGCCAGAGGCGGATAATAGTCCAAAGAATGGGGTCGACCAAACGAAAGATCTGAGACTCTGGCATATTTTGCCTAGAAAGAGGGGAGTTTTGCCCGCCTCCTCAGTTAAGTTGCCGCCTGTTACCGGGCCCAAGGTTCTGTAGAATATCTCCGTCTTTATCTCTGCTGGGAGTTGATTGATCGGGGATAGAGAGTTTAATTGTGAGCGTAATCGTCGACGCTCCTCTTGTTGTTTTAGAAGAACGGCCTGCGTTTGCGCTATTTCCGAATCTAAAGCGCCTGTTTGTAGGAGTCAACCGTCCTTTGTCCTGGCATCCCCGGAATGATCAAGACGTTCTGGCATGTTTCTGGTAAGTATATCCTGGTCAATGTTAGATCCCCTTCGTTAACCCGAGAGAAGAATATTCTCACCTCGCAATGTGCAACGGCTGCAAGGCAATGAGTTTTAGTGAACGACGATATGGTCGAAAACAGTCTTTTTGTCAGAACGTGCGTGGGAAACGTCATGATATCACCTGAGGTCGACGCCATGCACCTCCTTATACACACGTTGACTGGGAAGACCTTCACGCTCGAGGTCGAGAGCTGTGACTATGTGGGGAATGTTAAAGCTAAAATACAGGACACAGAGAAGTTCGTTTATATGTATCCACACTGGTGATGCCACTAATACTGATGCATTGTTCACTCCCAGCATCCCTGTCGATCAACAACGTTTACATGCTTTAAAATGCTCATGTTAATATCCGCATTGACTACATTCTCAGGCCTCATTTTCAGGAATCGTCAACTTGACGATACTCTCATGATCGCGGACTACCTCATCGAGAAAGAATCCACGGTTCAGCTCCGTAAGCAATACTCTGTTATTTCTTTGCCGCTCTGATTTCCAATGCAGTTTTTCGTCTCTCCGGTGGAGGCTATCCGCAATGTATATTGACGAAGGCCGGAGAGCTTAACAACGACCGGGAGACCGTCGAGTCCAAGTTCTACCCTCTCTATGACAAGATTTTGAATTACTGGTTCCCTCCCGCTGACGGCTATGATGTCTGCCCTCAGTGGACTCTCCCAGACATCCGAAAATCGGTCGATTTTACCATTACGTTTGTCATTGAGCTTCACCAGCGACCGTTACTTCTGGTCGAGATCAGGCCCCCATCGGACTTTCACGTAGACTCGGGACGAGAAGCAGCTATCATTCAAATTAGACAGCGTCTAGATGAAATTGGCCCGACTAACCAGCATCTGGATCGACTATATGCAATTTCGGCAATTGGGAAGAAGTGGAGAGCATGTTATGTTTCGAAGGGCGACGATAGCAGGGGTGGACAACCCGTACGTGGTGTTGCTAATGCGGTCTCGTTGAGGTCTGCAGACATCGATTGTTGGAATCCTGACATTACATCCGACGAGTCTTTCACTGCGCTCCAAGAAATAGTGACGACAATTAAAGGTTATGCCTAGTCCTTTCTTACCGATTCATCCTTTGCTGCCCAACACAGCTGAACTGTCCACTCTCCATGGGTTTCCATCCGCTCAGTGCATAGATGGATATAGATGCCTAGTTGTTCGGTCGTTTGCCTCGATCCGGAAGCCCCTAACTAAGCAAGGTCGATGAGCGGAGCGTTTTTGGATTCGATTCCTCGATAAGTGGCTGTGCCAACTCATCTCCAAAGTAAACTGGGCGTTGGCCCCACTGCACCATGTGGACGACCCCTCCCAATGACTTCCTAGCCAATGCATCCAAGTAACTTGTGTCTACTAAGGAGTCCAACCGCTGCTTCTTTTTCGTCAGCTGCATCATGCGGCGTCTGGCCGGTGGCCCTATAAGCCCCACCAACTAAAAACCAACTCATCACTCCACATCTCGACAACTCTAGAAATTCGAACATCATGCCCTCCTGGTTAATCACTGGTACTAGCAAGGGTATCGGTCTCGGCATTGTATGCCATCTGGTACGTTTCTACTACTGCCAGTGCTTTCGTTACTTTTACCAATGAGCTATCGTAAGTTGAAAGAGGAGAAGAACTTTGTCATTGGCACGGCTCGCGACCTCAGCGCCAAGGCGCTGCAAGAGCTCGCTGCAATATACCCCAAGAATCGTCTTGCTCTCATTGAGCTCGACATTACGGACGTCACGAGCGTCAAGAAAGCCGCAGAGGAAGCCGCTGCCCTTCTTCCTAACGGGCTCGACTACTTGATCAACAACGCGGGCATCAGCCTACAGATTATGACTCCCTTTGAGGACCTGTGCGTTTTCCATCTCGGACCTTGCCCCATTCCTTGCTGAGGCTAGCTCTGTTGAACGCTAGTGACATGAAGCTGTTCGCAGAAGAACTTAACTTCTACACCGTCTCCGTCATCCAAGTGACGACCGCGTTCCTTCCCTTAATCAGGAAGTCCGCTGTGAAGAAGATCATATTCATCACATCTATCCTTGGTTCGCTTGAGACAAGCGGGTCATGGCCTTTGATTGGCAACTCGTACTCTATCTCCAAAGCGGCCTTGAACATGTATGTCCCTTTTCCGTCATTCTTCCTCCCTGCATTAACGTTTTTGCTGACTAGGCTTGCCTGCAAGTGGGGCGCGGCCCTCAAAAATGATGGGATTATTGTTGCTCTTGTTCACCCAGGTTGGGTACAGACCAATATGGGGGATCCGTGCAAGGAGTGGGCGGAGACGTACGCTCCAAATATTCCCCAGATTACCGTTGCCCAATCATCTGCGGGCATTGTGGAAGTCGCGAAGAGCATCACTATCGAAGCTGCGGTTCCTTTCTACCAGTATGATGGCAGCAGACTTCCCTTCTGAGTGTATTATTGGTACGCATAGTTGACGTTTCCTGGCGGTAGTATGTACTATGTATTCCCGAACTGCTCGTGATTGCTCCGATTTATATACATGACAGTCGTGATACAATCTTCAAAACGCCAAGTCAAATCTACTACGATGACCTCAATTGCCACATTATGGTATCTGGGATATAAATATACTATAAAGCCATTCAAAGATCAGTGTACGGCAACTCTATGCCTCATCCAGGGCCTTCCCTTCCTCTCTAGGTTCCACCACCCCGTTTTCGGCGCGTATCCTGACAATATCTGCCCTCTGCAAATTCGCCTCTTCGCACAAGGAACGGAAGATAGAGGTTTCTTCATCGAAAAGGTTCAATACTGTGTCGAATTCAGCGACCTTGCCTCCATCCATCACGAGAACGCGGTCGTAGTAAGCTAAAGGCAGCAACGTTAGTAGGTAGGAATCAAGCGGAAGGCAGACATACCAATGGTATTCAAACGATGAGCGATACAAAGTAAAGTGGACGACGCGAATTCAGTCTGGATCGTCCGCTGGAGCTTGGCGTCTGTCTCGACATCTACACTGCTCGTAGCTTCGTCCTGAATGGTGGGAAAGTAAGTATCCAATCAGCGCGAAGATCGTGGAGGAACAACGCACAAGGACGATGATACGACTGTTCTTTACCAAGGCGCGACACAACGCCAGAAGTTGTTTCTCCCCAGCGCTGTAGTTTGACCCTACACAGTCGAGTTTGATTAGTTACTACTAAGTCAAAGTTCAATTGTTGAGACAATACACACCCTCATCACCCACAGTCGCGTTCAAGCTAAACTTTGCATCTGCCACAGGATCTGTAGGCGCTCCTTCACGGGGGAGCAACCATGCCCTCTGCAAGACGGAGATGAGTTCGGCGTCGGTGCATAGGCCTTGCGGGTCTCTGGACATAGCAGGTCAGTCCGTAGTGATCAGAAAGATAGTGGGACAGGAAGAACACACAGATTTTCACGTAACGTCCCCAGGAAGAGTGTGCTATCCTGTGGAACGAGGGCTAATCGCCAACGGAGGGTGTCCAAACCCACGGTTTGAATGTCAACGCCGTCAATGTCGATTGTTCCACGCTGCAGTTCTACGGTGCTATAAAAATATGGCTCTGGTAAGCAAAGGCAGAGGTAGGAAGCAAAGGTAGCACAGACCGAAAGAGGGCTTGAAGCAGCGAAGATTTACCAGCTCCCGTGCGTCCGACAATGCCAACCTATGCGAGAGCGTATTTGTGAGACGAAACTCATATGATAACAGTATCAAGAACAACAAACCTTTTCTCCAGGCTTCACTTGGAAGCTGATGCCCTTCAACACCAACGGAAGGCCTGGTCGATAAGCCATTTCCACATCCGAGAACGTAACCATCCCCTTTGATGGCCAGCTTGGCGGAGGGTCATCAGGTTTCACGAATTCGCCCTCAGCTGGCAGTTCAGAGTAATGTAACACCCTCTCTACGGCGTTCATGTTCTGCTCGTTCTCTGCGAATTGTGATACCATGTCCGCTGTAAATGGTCAGTTAGTTGCCAAATGGAGGCGAAGAATAAGACATACAGAAGATCTGGGTAACTACACTCTAGTTAGTCTTTTTCAAATGTTAAACTTGAAGGAAGGGAGAAACGCACTGCTCAATGTGTACGACAAAACGACTCCAATCTTTGCAGGGTTGACTGTATGTCGGAACCCAGCAGCAAACAACCCAATCCCGAAGATGAGGACGTTTCCAAAGAGGTCAAGCCGGACTGCCAGCCAGCGCTGGATGGAGATGGTCATGTAGTACGCGCGATTCTCCATGTCTAGTCCTTTTTCGGCGTCTTTGACTGCTCGGTTCTACAGATTCACAAGATGAATAAACCAAAACTGCGAGTAGAAACAGAGTTGGACTGACCTGTTCTCTATACGCTCGGATCGTGGAAAGACCAGTCAATGTTTCTGTATCACGCACATCAGCGAATGGCTCAGTTGAGTGTGAGATGGAAGGACATACCGGAATATGACGCATATAATGCAGACCTCATGAGTGAATCAAGTCGTTTGGTTTCTACAGAGGATCTTCTATAGAACATGGATACCAGCCAGTACAAGACCGCCATGGGTGCGAAGATGATACCCAAGTACGGGAACGTGTAGAATACAAGGCCTACTGTGCCCAAGACAGAGCTAAACGTGTTGAGGAACTGAAAATTCTAGTCAAGGAAAAGATTGTCAAGGATATGCGGGGTACTTACCTGGAACAGAGTCATTGACAGCTGCGTGTCAAGGGTATCTTGGTCCTTTGACAATCTAGATAAAATGCGCCCTGATAACGAAGTCCCAATGAGTGTTTCGATGGAAATGAGACTGAAAGAAGCAAACCCATGGGAGTGGTATCAAAGAAAGATGCAGGAGAGCGCAAAACACCATTGAGTGCTGCTTTGAAAAGATTCAAGCCAGCGATCAAACTTGCAAGCCTATATCAACGAAGGGGAGTCAAAAAAAAGGGGGGGCCAACAGATACTGATAGGTTACTGACGCAAATGCAGCGCTGACAAGAAAGGTAAATATAGCTTGAGCCACACCTATGACACACTTAAGAAGAGGAAGGGATAAGAGGGCATAGAGACTCACCAAGCGAAGCATATACGGCCATGTAGTCAGCTTGTCTAAAGCCAGGTATGCTATTGGCTGTCCAGAACCCAAGAAAAAGATTGTTCGCAACTGTAAGGGAAAAGTCATCAGCTCTCCACATACGTCAAAGGCAACGATGACCAACCTTGAGCCCCCTGAGTCACAGTCAACAGCAGCAGAATAGTGGGCGCCCACACGACCCCCCCAGCGAACCTGAGGTACTTGCGGTACACCTCCCACGTCACGGACCCCGTGTTCCTCTCCTCCATCTGCATCAACGCATTCTGAGCCCTTTTGGATGCAAAAACACCATCCTCCGCGCTCTCATCTGCTGCAAATCCCTTGGTCTTGCGCGATCGTTTGCCAGCAAGGGAGGCTTCATCCAAGTCCTCTTCAAGTTCCATGCTACCATATTCCTCGATGAGGCGCGAAAACACAACACTGTTCGCTGTGAGGTCCTGCAAAACGGTTAGGGCTGCGTTGACGCACAACAGATATTGAACTCACTTCATATGTTCCTTGTTCAATGATGACCCCGCCATCCATGACGTAGATGTAATCCGTTTTATCAAGAACGTGCAGAGCGTGTGTAACGAGGATTCGTGTCCGATTCGCCAGGGGACCTTTGAGGAGACAGTTCTCGAGAATGGCCCTGCCGACGTAGGCGTCCACTGCGGACAAGGGATCGTCGAGTAGTACGATGTCCGACTGGGAATATGCTGCTCGGGCTAATGAAACGCGGGCCTGCAAAGAATGTGTTAGAGACGCGTTTGTCATAGGCAACACGCACCATACCTTTTGACCACCACTCAAGTTAATCCCCTTCTCCCCGATCTCAGTGTCTTCACCGTGAGGAAGAACCTCGAGATCGTGATCCAAACTACAAGCGCTGATAACTTCACGGAATCTGTAAGGAGTGTTAGTCCACTACATCTTAGTGATCAAAAAAAAACCTAACCTCTCCTCGTTGTGTTCCTGTCCAAAGAGCACATTTTCACGAAGAGTCGAATTTCGAATCCAAGGTGTTTGAGGTGCGTAGGCAACTGAACCGCCAAACGTAATCTGCAACGGCAACGAGAGTCAAGGTACGTTCGCCAAAGGGAGCAGAGGCACTGACCTCTCCCCTCGTTCGCCTCATCTCTCCGATCAACGCCTGAAGCAAAGAGCTCTGCGGAGCTTGTCAGTGAATGAAGAAGAGACAACGAGAATTATAAAGCGAACCTTTCCTGACCCAACACGTCCCACAATCCCCACAAACGCGCCGTTGGGGACCCTGAACTGCAAATTATTCAATTCAAACGGCTTTTTCTCCTCCTCGTCCTTCTCCTTTTCCTTTTCCTTGGTCTTTTCATCTCCAGGCTTCACATCCGCAGTAGTAGCCGGCAACAAGTTGGACTTGCGCTTACTCCACCGATTCGTTGTTGCGCCTCCCTTCCCAGCACCAAGAGCAGCAAACTTGGATTCCGCACCCTTACCCGTGACGCTCAACACCGTCTCCCACGCGAAATCACCGTCGACCTCGACTGCCAATTTGACGTCGTCTTTGATCTTGTATGGCTCGTCCAGCTCTTCGGCTGTTAGGAATGTGCCGATGCGCCCGAGGGCGACCATTGCGTCTGTTAGGGAAACGAGCACGATGGGAAAGAAGATTAGAGGCATTCGGATGATCTGCGAGTATGAGCGTTAACGACTTGCTTGTAGATGAAATGGAAGTCGGGGCTTACGTTGAATAGTTGAAGAGAGCTGAATATGACGGCAACGTTGAGGTCATGTCCGCTTAAGCTGTAAGTAATCTTTGAAAAAAGATATTAGATTATGGAGAACTCGAACGTTTTCGAACAACTTACGAATGACAGGACTGAAGCTAAGATAGGGATGAACGTCATCAGCGCTATAATCGTCGACCGTGCAACACTTGAAATCAAGACAAATAAGAATACAAAGCAAAGTTAAACCAATAACCAACCACTCACGCCGATTTCCGAATAGTAGAAACCTCCTTGCTCCTAAGATTCCCAATCTGTTGCGTATAAAAGTCTTCCCACCCATAGAGCTTGATAAGGCGAATGCCTTGAAGAACCTCAGTGGTCAACCTCACTCGCTTATCAGTCAACTTGACGCCCTTTTTCCGCTGGTTGAACATGACTCTGACGAGCATGATCTGGAGTGGGAATCCGAGGATGAGGACGCCCAGACCGACGAGTGCTGAGTACCCAAGCTGTGAAACATATATGTAAGTACCAATACATATATAGGGGAAGGGAGGAACTAACGTTTCCGATGAGCAATCCGATGCCAATGGCGAGTTGTATCGGGGACACCCAAAGGTTATGTCCGAATGCTGAAAACCGATCTAGCCTTGCAGAATCCGTTGAGATCATTGTGGTGATCTGTCCGACGCTGTGATTGACGCGTCCTCGCCCTGAGAGGCGCAGAGATTTTCGGAAGACGCTGCCTATGATCTTTGAGAGACGTCAGTACGAGAGGAGGAATGGAGAGGCAGAAGCACGGACCCCCGTACGGACAGACAAGCCTACGGCCATGCTAGCTGTGAGAAAGAGTGTTCAGCAAAAGACGTCAAAGAGACAGAAAGATTGGTGATTACTTTGCATATAATGGTTCGTCATCTGTAGAAAAGTAAATCAGTTCTCAAACGTTCCTCCTACGCCTTCGTAACTTACCAAACTCGCGACCTCTGTAGAAATCTAACATCAGTTCACAATCTCCACGCAAAGTCGCTCTCACTCACCCTGCATTGCGAAAAGCGCTACAGCCAATCCTATCCCATAGCCAATACCTTTAGGCTTCTTGAAACCCTGTGCAGCAGCAGCCGACAGTTCACCATCGGAAAGTCGGGAGTAGATATACGACTCGGTCAACCACGTCAAGATAACCTTGTTCAACAAGGGCGTGGTGGTTTTAAGGGTATCTTCACGAAAATAACTTGATCAACAGATGGTCAAAGTAACAACACATCATGAATAACGCACCAGAAATAAGCTTCAAAATTCCACTGAACCAGATCTGATAGAAAAAAGTTGCGTGAATGGCTTTGAATAACGATCCGTCGTATTTCGGTTTCTTTCGTCCTGACTTCTTACTTCGGCGAAACCAAGAAGATCCTTTCTTCTCGGTATTCGAAAGATTTTCAGGATCTATTTTCGTTTCATCCGTCTTTGCGTCGGCAGCTTTTTCGTCTATATCTTCTCCGACAACAGCACCCTCTTCTTTGATGGCTTCCCTCATAAAGCGCGGTCGTTTTTCTGGAGGACATCGATTATAGAACCTCGTGGTGAGGTCATCGGTAATAGTGGATGTTAGTCGCGCGTTCGGAAGTTGCCATAGATCTGTAAGTTTGCTTTACTTAGCATGATCGAGTGGCATTCAACAGGCAAGGCAACGCACCCTCTTTCTCTAGTGGTCTGGAAAACCCAACTTCAAGGAAAGGATTCAACCAATAGAACACGAGTTTCGACAACAAACTGGAGCGCGTCATTAGAAGGCAATCAGCGCTCAAAATAAGGTGATCTCGTACGACGCGGAGCCCTGTGGAAGAGTGTGGCCTTCTCCGAATGATGGAGGTGCGGGGGTAGGTTTGAAAGGATTATTCCAAGGGATCTTCATCATAAAACGGTATATTCTTGGATACCAGATGGTGAGATGCCAAACTGGCCCCCCACGTCCACTTGTTCACGGTTTTGAAGACGGCGGAACGTAGGAATAGATGGCGACCAAGATCAGCTGTTTGATATGAGGCAAGGGTGGCTGCTGAAGATGAAGTTATAGGCTCGGTTAGACATCCGTTGGGTGCGTATGTTGCACGAGTCATTACGCGTACGAATCCAAGCGGCAACGATAAAAGGTCGCAGTCAAGGCACAACAGAGGCACGCCAAGAGAATTGCTATTTTCGTCATCCAATCACAAAATGATATTCCACTCAAATTCCACTCTATTCCACTTCAGCAATTCTCGAGACTCGAGATCTAGAGCAAAAAAACAAACGAGGAGAGCATGTATGTTCAATATACGTCCTGAATAACAATGCGTAACCCTATACTTGCTATCCATGTATTGAGGCTCTCTGATTGATGCATCTTTTGAGCTAGACTCGACTCCAGTCTCTATGGAATCAAAACCCGAGGCAATAGATGTGTTTTTTAGGTCAGTCCGGATTAGGAGGGTTGTGCACGGGTAATTGATTCCATAGAGACTGGTAGGGTTTAACCGTGATCGAGTAGATGAACTTTTTATTGCGTCCGAGTGAGCTAAAAAGGAAATACACAATGCACGTGCACGACCAAATCAGCGCGACGCGACTTCCGCTATCATGTCGCAGCGCAAACGCGTCTTCGCCAACGAGAACTCGCCTCCTCATACGCCAGCCCCCCTCCAAAGACGCTCTTCCACCTTCATCAACACTTTCGGCACTCCTCTTACCAACACCACACCGTCACAAACACCATCTCGGACAAACTCTTTTGAGTTTGTCGACGCATTCACGCCCGTTCCGAAAAGAAGGAAACTGCGAAAGGCTCCGTCGGGAGATATAGAAAGCTGTGGGTTACGTCACGATGAAGCAGCAGCAGAGAGTAGGAAAGAGGAGGAAAGGAAAGGGGCAGAGGAGCAGGAAAAGAAGCGGTGGGAAGCGCAGGAAAAGCAGGAGGAGGATCGCCTCAACGAGGCCCTCAGGCTCATCGAGGGTGTCGGCTACCCGACCCTACACACTTTCCTTAAATCCCTCCTCACCACGAAGGATCAACATCGATCCTCACAAGTGTCTCGAATGCTTGTGCAGCACGGCCATTCCCTCTTGGACAACATTCGCCAACGTCAGCCCGAGGTCGCTAACGATTGGGCAATCTCCACAGTTCGTCAACTGGTTGCTGCTGAGGGTGAACGCCTTGCCCAACGATTCAAACCCGAGCAGAAACAGCCGGTTTCGGAGATTTTGAAGAAGTTCTCAATGTCAGAATTTCTCGCGCAGGCGGAGCTTCTGGCCCCCTCAACTTGTCAGGTACTGCGACAGATTGGGTTTCCCCAGTCCCCGGCCAAGGAGAAGAGTAAGAGCAGAGAACTCGTGCGTATTTCCTGTACTATGTCTAATCTATCTTCTGACATTCTTGCAGGTTCTTGCAACGACGATTTGTATGCTTGCTAAGTCTCGAAACGAACATGCTACCGAGTTCCAAACATCGATGGGCATGTACTTTCTTGCATGCGGCTCATCTCGCTCCCTATTCGACGTCCTCAATCACGCCGGCATTACACTATCATACACGCAAGCTATTAGTAAACTCAAGCAACTCAGTGAGGAACGACTCAAGGAGACACAGAGGATCGCGAAAACGAAGGCTTTCATGCTCATTTGGGATAACCTCAACATTGCCTTCAAGGTTAGCGAGCAGCGGCATGACTCCAAGGACCACTTCGACAACGGAACAACGGCAACTCTCGTTCCGCTATACGGTGTTGAATGCGGAGAGCTTCCTCTGAAGCCGAAGCGTACTCATCGTCGCCCGATTCTCAAGTTTGGACCTGAGGATCTCCTTCCGAGTCGTGAGGAAGCACAGCGCGTTCAAGCCAGCCAACTCTGGCACATCAAAGACATTCTATACGACGCATTCCCTGCCCTTCGCAAGCGCCTCAAGTCATCTATTGTACCACCCCCGAGCGTTCACCAAATTCCTGTCCATAAGACTGAGCAGTACCCTCTCCCTGCGATGCACATCGACGAGTCAAGCCTGGAGGGAACCTTGGGTGTTATGAACACCATTTTTCAGAGCACCTTGAAGCTCTCTGAGGAGGACGTGAAGAAGCATGGTCTCGTTATTTGTGCAGGAGATCAACTAAGCCTAGCTTTACTTGACAAGGTCCGTTTTTTATTATGTGTTCATCTATTAGCTCACTTATTTGTCAAGATTTCGGCCATTCGACGCGATGACGACAATTTTATGGATAATGTTGGTCTTTACACGGAGGGGCAGGATGGCGTCCTTCACATTAAATTTTCTCATACTCGCATGGTAGCAAACGAGTCTTGGGGCACTCCGAACTCAAAATCTCCCTGGTCCCTTTGGAAAATCAACACTCTCCTGGGTCGCAAGGCCATCACAGCTGGCTGGAAGGCAAAATCGCTTCCACCGTTCCGTCCGATTTATGAGCTCATGCTCAATCTTACGCTACCTGCAAATATTCTCGATGGATTTCGAATATACGCACCAAAGGATAAATTAGAGGAGTGGGTGGATACAATCCAGACTGTAGAGGAGGTCAACGAAGTTGCAATGAAGGTTTTAAATGAGCTCTGTTCTGGCCGTCGCGTGGCTAAGCTCCGGCGTGAGCGGCCGTCAAAACGCGATGTCCCTCTCGAAAACATTTGCCTCTTCAACCGAGACTGCCTCTACCTTCGACAACTCAAGTACGCCATCAAACGGGGTGATGTTGGGGCCATTCTGGATATTATAACCCATTCCATGCTGGCCTTCCGTGGTACGGGAAAGACCCCAAAATACGCAGATGCGCTCTTCAGTATGGTCATTCGTTTGAAGAGGATGGAACCAAAAGTTCGGTATGTTCTTTTCTAGTTCCTTTTCAATAAGTTGATTCATGTCCTTTAGAAATGCGTGGCTAATAAACTGGCTTGCTAATCTCTCGGGCCTGGAAGAAGCATTCAAAGAAATGGACCTCCTTCAAGAACATCAAAATTTTTGGGATAAGGTTAGTGATCTCTCATTTACATCGCAAATTTTATTAAGAACCTTAGATCATCTATAACGCCAAGGGCTCCAACCGTACGTGGGCTTGGCTAGCCATGGTCTCAGTTTGTATATTTGCCTTGCGCGACGTCATTCGAAAAATGCAGAAAGAATTCGTGACACCTTTCAACAGCATCTCACACACTAGTCCCTCCACAGAGACTGACATCAAAACAATCCGCAATTACCTTGAAACCCAGCGCCTCCAAACGTACCACCCAGAACGCGAAAACAATTCGAGCGCAACAGAGAGCCGAGATCTCATTGAAGCTGGTTCCGAGTATGCTAATACACCATCAGCCTTTCGAAACTTTACCCACACGGGATACAGCTACCACAACCATGGGGTGCCAGAAGCTGCTCCATCATTGGAGACCAACGACGATGAGGATATGGGTGATGATGGAAATGATTACTGTGAGTTGGATGGCGATGAGGCGGTTGATTTTGAAGATCTTTTACTTGATGAAGAAGAGTTTCCGCTGGGATCAGACGTAGGTGATTATCTTGCAATGGTGCATGAGGTCATCGATGAGCTTGGACGTTATGAATAAAGTGTGTAATTTATTCATAATCTGCCGCTGTCTTGATTACAAAATCCAGTTCAGTTTTTGTGTTATACCTTGCCCGTTCTTCCTCCTCCTCCAGCCCATAATCTGTGGCTGTCTTGATTACAAAATCCAGTTCAGTATTTGCTTTATACCTTGCCCGTTCTTCCTCCTCCTCCAGCCCGTCCAATGCCTTGTATATATCCTTGAGTATTTCCATGAGCATCTGTCCCCACTCTGTTGGTGTGTTGGCCGTTTGGTCATACCCAACTGCCCATCGCACATGCCGTCGTACCTGTGAGTAGTTTACCAGCTGCTCACCACAACTTGCCAATTTTTCAATAACGTCATCGCCAATGATTGTGGCCCCAGAAAAACTTGTCAAGGTGCCATAGTAAGCATTCACGAGAGTCTCGTCACGCCAGTTCTTCAGTCCATTGCGAATATAACCCTCTTGTTTGGGCGAAACAGCTTTCTTTTTGCCACGTTTCAACCCTGGGACCACAGCTTTGACAGTGACTTTCTCGACTGGAAAGAGTCGTGGTGTACAGTTGTCGCAGCACCGCATACCTTCAATTGATTTGAATGTGGTATTAACTCCATATTCCAGTTGCACTATTTGGGCAATCAATCAGTACATCAGGGAAGTCCAAAGGTAAAATGTGCATACGCTTCTTGTTGTTCCCAAAGAACTTATCCCAAATGTGTCGTCGGCAACCTTTCGTTGTCACATATTGCGTAAGAGCATGAGACTCTCGTATATTTGTATCTTTCCCAAATTTTTTGGTGCGTTTGGCCTTTTCACTTGTGAGTTGCTCGTCTGTTGAATCTTCGTCATCTGCTAAGCGGATGCCCTGTTCGTCGAGTACCTGAACAACAGTCTCGGTCAGTTCTACATCTTCCACTTCACGGTTGAGGGCCTCTGCCCCTGTGGTGGAGTCGATTACCAACTCGACTGCATCATCTGTCGTGATACCATCTTTTGCCGTGCTCTTGGATACAATAAGAATAGCTTCTCCAAGTGTTGAAAGATCCCGGCCTGCCCTGCCAGCCCGTTGAACAAAGGCACAAAATGTTGGAGGAAGGCCCCAGAGGACAACACGAACAACATTCCGAAGATCGCACCCCTGGTAATGGTGAGACATTCAACTTTCAGTATATAAAATTGACTCACCATGCCAAGTGCCTCTGTGCAGGGTAAAATTCGGATATTACCTGCGCGCAACTCATCCTCAATCTTACGCTTCCGCTCCTGGCCAATCAAAGCATGATAGAAAGCAATGCAGCTAGTTGGAAGGCCATGTTCTTCTGCCCACTCCTTGGCTCGATCAGCGCAATCCTCTGTTGTTGACCTTTGGTTACAGTAAACCAGAGTTATGGGAACATCCATTGGCTGTTTCGCATTGGGCGGGATTAGGAATCGCAAGTCACCCTTGGAATCATCAGAGTGTTCCATGACTCGGACAGAAAGTGCAATGTTGGGACGTGCATTTGTAAGTCGAATCATTTCAACATCTTTGGAAAGCTTCAATTTGCCACAGATGTCATCCAGGACATGTTCAGGCAAAGTCGCAGATGCGACAAGGAATGGAACATTGCCTGGGAAACGGCCACGCAGAAGTCCAAGGGCTGCATAATCAGGCCGGAAGCTACCCCCCCAAACATTCATGCAGTGTGCTTCATCAATATTGACTGCCCGCAAATTACGGATAAACAGGTCCTTCAAAAGAACAGCCTTTTGGAATTCTGCAGAGATGGCGATCTCTGGAGAAACAAGTACTTGGCGAAATTTACCATCGACAATATCCTATTTTTTTATCAGGTGAAGTACTTGTCATTTTTGAGAAAGAACTGACATTGTAAAGTTGATCAGGACCTGCACGAGATAAGGTCTCCTGGCAGACAGCAACAGTCTTCAATGCTGCACTATCAGACTTGAATATTCATGAGTATTTTCACATTCTAGTTGAGAGATCGAGTGAATTGACCTGGTCTACCATGAGGGCCGTGAGAGGTGAGATAGTGAGGGCCATATCCCTGTCATTCAGAAGCAAGGGAAGTGAGAAGCATAGTGTCTTCCCACTGCCAGTTCCGACATCCAGGACAACATCTTTACCGCTTAGTGTAGCCAATGCACATTCTAACTGCCATCGGAAGGGCCTTTTTCCTAACTTCTCGAAGGCTTTATCAGAAATGAGGGCGAGGTCAAGCTCATCAGCTGTATATTGCTTGACTTTGGACTGAACAGGCATGGTATTTTATTGGAAGATTCACGCTACCCCAAATTTTGCTCTACATGTCTCACCGACGCGTCTTGAATGCGCTTGTCGCAAATAGGTGACGCATCATGTGCACGTGGATTGCTTACCTTTTTGGGTCACTCGGACTTTGAAAAAGTTCATCACTTCAATCACGGTCAATCCCTCCCAGCCGTTATGGTAAGTATTCTGATCCGAAATCAGTATCTGACCATAACGGCTGGTGACGAGCCTACTTTTGAGCGCTCAGCACGGAGTTCAGTAATATGTGGTAGCCATCACACAGATAAATGGAGTTTGAGAGGTAGAGGTAGAGGTATATTCCGGAGCGGTCCCAATAAGGAACAACCGGTTCCCGATACAAAGTTGGAGCGTCTAAATACAACTATGCTACGGAGCACACCACACTGTCACCGTTGCGATCAGCCGACTGACCAGCCAAGAACTACCCCCGACCAGACACGGTAGGGAACACGACTAAAACCTCCCTGGAGGGGTCACTGGCAGGTTCTCTCATCTGGAAGACATGGCACACTTCAGACACAGGGTGCGAAAGCAGACGACTGCATCGAGATGTGATAACATCCTCCAAGTTTCCCCGTTCAAAATGTATAAACAATCAAAGTCAAGCATTGAAAATTGAACAAGTAGACTAATATAGCTACAATCCAAATGTACCTTGCTATCCATGGGCTCGAATGAACCATAGACGAGAAGCTGCACGAAGCAGAGGGTTCCAAAAATTTCGAAGAACAATCCATTTGCTGAAATCCACTGCTTCATCAAGTGATGTGCAGTTGAAGTTCCAGCAAAGAGAGAGCCCAAAAAAAGGGAGGATCCCCCGACGACACAAGCCAGTAGTGCAGCAGCAAGGTCATCGCGTCCAAGGGGTGCAAGCAGAGCCCAAAGAACTGGGGCGGCAAAAATTAGATAACCAAGAATGGAGGCGGTGCCTCCATAATAGTGGTTAAACTATTAAGAACAGATACTACACTTGATCTAAGCCAAAAGGCCAGAGTGGTAAGGAAACGAACATGTCGGAGCAAGCCTTTTATAGGGCTTCAGAATGCGCACGGACCATCTAATGATGGGACTTTTGAAATCGAACTCCGATGCACGAGTCATGGTAACTTGCTCCGCACGCGCTCCTCGATAAACCTGTAAAGACTCAAGATAAAATTGTTGCGTGGAATATGGAGCTGGGAAGCACGCCGGAAAATTGACCCCTTCCGTTCCACTAATTCGCCCCCACCCCTATGTATCTAAAACTTTGCCTCCTCCGTGCTGTCGCACATATGTGCGTTAACCACTCGCCCTAGGAGAGAAAACTGCGGCTTCAGCTTCAGAGGTTGGCTAGTGCGTGCGTTGGTCACTAACATGGACCTCCTTTTCCCTCATGATCAACTTCAAAGTGGCGGTCCAATCGCACAGAGGACAAATTCGTCAATGTAGGACTTTAGCCAGCACCAGACACTTTTTTGTTTACAGTGCTTTGCATTGCCGTTTGCACAACGAGTTTTGGAAATCGTGTTTGTGTGTGTTGTACCGTGACCCTCAAATCAGGAAGTAAGAGACCGCTTACGGACGCAACATCCAACAAGGCCTGCAATCTCCTGCGGTGAACGCTGTTGCTCATCATGGCAAACAATGCTTCGCGCGCGCATCTCATCCGATACCTGAGGCGCAACAAAAGTTGGGTTTGAGAAATTCAAAATTCTCAAAGTCGTCCTGATGTGTGACAATCTGTGACGAACATACAAAACCAAACACAATTTTCGCAAATTCGGTGTGCAGACGGCAATGCAAAGCACTGTACAAGTCCCCTGGCATTTGACCAAAAATTCGTCGTCGTTGCAGGTCGCGTCCAAGCCTGGTATTTGAAAGAAGTGAGAGTGAAAGCAGCGCTCTTTCGCTAAATACCTTGTGCTTGTTTGGTGCTTGTTGAACCATTCTACGTAAATACATTGCGGATTTAGACATCTTCGCGTTGTTGACGCGTTGTTTTGCCGGTCGATCATCGATCAATTCCTTGATTGGGAAACGGAAGAGATCGGATTTCAAATCCTTATCCACCTCGGTCTTCCTCCTCCGACCGTTCACCACTACCTGAGCCTAACAGTAAGCTACGATTCCATCTTCCATTCGATATAATTCACTAACAGACATTCCAGCATCTACCAAGCCAAACGATCACAATGACCCGTCAATTCTTCGTCGGAGGGAACTTCAAGCTGAACCCCATCACCCTGGAGTCGAAGAAGTCTCTGATTTCAGGACTCAACAAGGCTGAGCTCGATCCCTCGACCGGTGCGTATAACGCAACACCCTTCTTCTTGATACATGATGATGATAAAATCGTCAGAGGTCGTTATCGCACCACCCTCGATCTACCTGATCTCGGTCAAGGATATCGTTCGCAAAGATGTTAAAGTGGCCGCGCAGAACTGTTACTTCAAGGAATCTGGAGCGTTCACTGGAGAGATCAGGTGTGTTACTATGTATTCGTTTTGATGTTACACTTTTGACTTTATCCATCTAGCCCCAAGCAGCTTGTAGACGCCGGGATCCCATACGTTATCCTCGGTACGTTGGTGTCATATAACACTGACCATGAATCTCACCAAAATACAGGTCACTCTGAGCGCCGCACAATCTTCAAAGAAACCTCCGAGCTCATCGCAACCAAGACCCGCGCAGCCCTCGACGCAGGCCTCAAAGTCATCCTCTGCATCGGAGAAACCCTCCAGGAGCGCGAAGCAGGAAAGACTGCAGAAGTCTGCGAAGAGCAGCTGAAAGCCGTCGTTGAGGTTCTCAAGGAGGCCGACTGGAGGTACGCGGCATTGACTTTAACGTTTGTTTCTTTGATCTAACAGACAGAAAGCAACGTCGTGATTGCATACGAACCCGTGTGGGCTATCGGCACCGGTAAGGTCGCCACATCCGCGCAAGCGCAAGAGGCGCACGTCGACGTGCGCGCCTACCTCGCCAAGGCCATCTCAGCGGCCGTAGCGAACGACACTCGTATTATTTACGGAGGAAGCGTCACTGCGGTCAACTGCAAGGAACTTGGTACGTTTAGCGCGATTTTGTTCTATTGACTGAGTAGATCTGAACATTGACTTTTTTTTTTTCAGCAACTCAACAAGACGTTGATGGATTTTTGGTTGGAGGGGCCTCGCTCAAACCGGAATTCGCAGATATCGTAAATGCCAAGAAAGCGTAGAGCCCCTGGAAGGGTTTTTGAGAGGGAAAGTTGTACTTTATAGGATTCCATCGCTTTTGTAAATCAAAATCAAAGAGACGCTAGATGAGACGATTACTGGTTGAGATACATTAATCAAACCGTTCGACTTCGCGTCAGAGTCAAGCAAATATCCAAACGCAACGCATAGAAACACCAAAAAAACCATTGCGACCCCTTATCAAAATTTACCCTGAATCAACGCCAACGCAACACTCGACCGAGGTTCAATCACACATTTAAAAGGCACCATGAACCTGGTCATACAAATTCCGTCAGTCAAAAATATCCAAACGCAACGCACGAGTATGTAGCACAGAAATACAAAAAAAAAACATTGCGACCCTTTATCAAACGCCCTGAATCAACGCCAACGCAGCGCTCGACCGAGGTTCAATTACACATTTAAAAGGCACCATGAACCTGGTCATACAAATTCCGTCAGTCAAAAAGCTCCGAGCTTGACCTCAAATAAAGGAAATCGACTGACGATAACATCCCACCTATAACCTCCTCCCTAAGCTTCACCTCATTCCCCGCATCATCGGTGGGTGGCTTGATATTGTAAACTGCCAGGACGTTGGATACAGCTACGTAGAGGGATGCATCAAGGAAGTGTCTCCCTGGACATATTCTGTATTCCCCCCCAAAATCAAAATTAAACCAAAGAAAGGCGATGAAGTTCCTTGAGCGAGACATCGACAACGACAGTTAACTCACCGACGCCCAAACCCAAAAACAGCAGCTTCAGGACTCCGAACTGTAGTTTCCAAATGGACATTGGCATCTTTGAGGTTGAGGTATCGTTCAGGTTTGTATTTGAATGGATCCACGAAGGCGTCTGGATCGTGCATGAGGGCCCTAATAGTAAGCAATGGTAAACTAGGATTTGCGAGAACAAGCGTAAGGGACGTACCATATGTTTCCTATAACAAGGGTGCCCTTCGGAATGAAATAGCCATCATATTCGTCGTCTTCCGTAGACATATGGGGTATACCTAACATTTCAACCTGGTGAGTTACCAGTAATATTCATGGGTTAACAGCTGACCAAATCATAAGCACTCACCCAGGGGGGTAATAAAATGCCACCGCAGAGTTTCCTTAACAATAGCATTCACATAGGGCAGCTTCGCTCGGTCACCAAAATCCGGAAGCCGATCTTGACCAACAACAGCGTCGATCTCCGCTTGCACTTTGCGCTGTACGTCTGGATGCATTGCCATCGCCAAAAAGAATGCTTGAACGGCAGCGACGCTCTTTGATAAGTAAAAAATAAGTGCGAGTATTTTTGGATGGAAGCGTTATGCAATTATTGCGTGCTCACCGTATCCGAGCCACCTTTTCCAGTTGCAACACGTTGATTTCAGAAAGCAAAGGTGAAAAAAAAAAATGCGTGACTTACCAGCGTATGCCACTGCTGTTACGGCTTTCGCCTGCGCCTCTGCTTCTGCCCGCCTTGGATCGCTTTCGTCGGGTAAGTTTGATATCATAGATTGAAGTATAGATGGTCGAGCATTTCCTGCTTCCTTTATTATAAAAAAAAAATCAACCTCTACGGAGATTGTTATTACATACCAATTCCCTTTTAACCCTGTCATACGGCCTCTCCAACGTTTCAGAAATTAACGCTCTCCACCTAGCTGCCTTTCTCTTAAATCCAGCACCAGGGAACCAACTGGGGATGTATTTCAACACGGGAAGTAGGTCGACCAAGAAGGCTCCTGGAACTCCGGCTTCAGAGACACCTTCAACGGCTTTCTTAGCGACCGATACGTAGGGATCGTTGTGTTCTAGAATGGCCATTCCGTAGGAGATTTCCATGATGCTACCTGCAAAGTAGCTTTTCCATTGTTAGTTGCGGGATATGGGGGTGTATGGCAAGGCAGCGTACTGTCGGATGTGGTCCATGAAATCGTCAGGTGAAGCTAAGAGTCGACGGAGGAAAGTGTTGGCTGATTTGGCTTGGATGGGTTGGTATTTGGGTACGATGTTGGGGTGGAAGTGTTCGTGGAATGCCTTGCGGTATCTCCGCCAAGTTGCTCCATACGGCATGAATACGAGTGCCCATCCAGTTCCCATTCTTAGAAAGATTTAATTTTATCGTAATAAATGAAGGCTTGAGTATTGGCTCAGATGCGCAGGTAACTCACAAATCGAGAAGCATGAGAAGCTTTTGGGTCCTGCTGGAATAATTGGATGATCTCTTTTCGAATAGATCGTTTGTCCTCTTTAACGACCCCAAGATGAGAATTGGCTGGCCGAGGATTTCAAAGTAAACCATGTCCTGTTACGTCTCAGTACTATTTCGGATTATATATAAGAGCCCCACCGTATGATTGATGCCACCGCTTGTAAAGTAACCACGCTTTCTCCTTAGGCATATCAAACAGGTTGCCTACAACTGGGTATCCCTTGGGTCCCGGAGGAAGAGGAAGTCGATTCGGATTCGATGGGGATTTCCGCGCGGATGTTGCCCAAAAACCCAACAGGGTCACGCCAGCCAAGAGGTAGAGTTGCGATGTAGTCAGATCCATGGGGGATCAGTGATGCGCAGAGTGGTTACTTAGACATTCATCTGGTGTAACCTCTGTACTTATAATTAGTACGTGGGAACAATGAAACCGCAGTGCAACTTGAAGGGAGGGGCGTCCTCAAGGCGGCCTAACTCCATTCGAGATTCCGAGTCAGGTTCAGGGAATACGTCGTAAAGCCATTCGAGGTTCCGAGTCGGGTGAATGTGATTTGTCCTACCAAAAGAGAAAAGTCGGTTCGAATTTCCCGGCAAAAGTTTGAAAGGAGGACTGGAGGCGGTGAGTCGCCTCTGCGGTGCAGTCCACGCGGCGTCGCGTGTTAGCGTTGACAAAGCGTTGAACGTTGAGCTCTATATCTGACAACGCAAGGTCAATAATTAACGTCGGAAGCAGTTGGAGAAATGTGCCAACGTCGAGTTCAAACAATATTGATAGATCTGTGATAGAGTAGCTTGATATGTAGTGTCGATGGCAAAAGCTTCGAAACTTAAAGCATTCACGGCGAGGCCAGTACCGTGGGAACGCGGATGAATGAAAAAAATTGAAGGTATCATTCTACTCGAGCTCATTCTCACCGACTCGAAGCAACTCTCACAGAGATCAACGCTATTTGACTCAAACATCCCCTACAGGCTACACAGTAACAAAAAGAAAGAAAGAAAAAATTGTGTCCCCTTAGTATCAAACACCCCGAATCAACGCCAACGCAACGCTTGACCGAGGTTCAATCACACATTTGAAAGGCACCATATACCTAAAATTCCATCTGTCAGGAAGCAACGTCGACGCTGACCTCAAAGAAGTAAATCAACTGACGATAAAACCCCATTTGTAACCTCCTCCCTAAGCTTTACCTCGTTCCCCTCATCGTCGGTTGGTGGCTTGATATTGTAGACTGCCAGGACGTTGGATACGGCCGCGTAGAGGGATGTTTCAGCCAGGTGTCTGCCTGGACATACTCTAGATTCCACCCCACAAATAAAAATAAAGTTTTAAAAAAGGCGATGAGGTTCCGGAACCAAATTCTGACAACGACAACTACAACTCACCGACGCCCAAACCCAAAAGCAGCAGCTCCAGGACTCCGAATCGTATCGTCCAAACGGCCATTGGCATCCTTGATGTTGAGGTATCGTTCAGGTTCGTATTTGAGTGGATCCGGGAAGGCGTTTGGATCGTGCAGTATTGTCCTAATCGTAAGTGATGGTGGAGCTAGGATTTGCGGGAACAGCGTAAGGTACCTACCATACGTTTCCCATGACAATTGTACCCTTCGGGATGAAATAACCGTCGTATTCATCGTCTTCCGTAGACATATGGGGCACACCTAAGTATTTGGAATATTTCCACCGGGTTTCTGGTAATATTCAAGGATCAAATCACAGGTACTCACCCTTGGGAAAAATAGGATGCCAACGCAGAGTTTCCTGAACAACAGCATTAACATAAGGCAACTTCGCTTGGTCACTGAAATTCGGAAGGCGATCTTGACCAACAACAGCGTCGATCTCCGCCTGCGCCTTGCGCTGTATGTCTGGATGCATGGCCATCGCCAAGAAGAATGCTTGAACGACGGCGATGATCTTGAATAAATGAGTAAGTATGAAGCATTATGCAATTAATGGGCGCTGACCGTATCCGAGCCACCTTTCCCATTCGCAACACCTCAATTTCGGCAAGTGAAGAAACCAGAAAAAAAGGGGTAACTTACCACCGTATGCCGCGGCTGTTACGGCTTTTGCCATCTTCTCTGCTTCTCCCCGCTTTGGATCGCTTTCGTCTGGTAAATTTGATATCATCGATTGAAGTATGGATGGTCGTGCATTTCCCGATTCCTAATTGTAAATAAACCCATGCATTAACAAAGTGCTTCTACGGAGAAGAAAAGAGAAGGTATCGATAGATACTCACCAATTCCCATTTAACCCTGGGATACGGCCTCTCTAGCATTTCACAAAGACACGCCCTCCACCTAGCTGCCTTTCTCTTAAATTCAGCACCGGGGAACCATCTGGGGACGTATTTCAATACGGGAAGTAGGTCGACCAAGAAGGCTCCTGGACCGGCTTCAGCGATACCTTCCATGGCTTCCTTGGCGATTGATATGTAGGGATCATTGTCTTCTAGAACGGTGATTCCGTAGCAGATTTCCATGATGCTGCCTGCAAAGTAGCTTTCCCGTTGTTAGTTGCGGGATATGGGTGTATGGGAAGTCAGCGTACTGTCGGATATGGTCCATGAAATCGTCAGGTGAAGCTAAGAGTCGACGGAGGAACATTTTGGCTGCTTCGGCTTGGATGGGTTGGTATTTGGGAACAACATTGGGATGGAAGTGTTCGTGGAATGCCTTGCGGTGTCTCCTCCAAGTTGCTCCGTACGGCATGAATGCAAATGACCATCCAGCTCCCATTCTTTCAATTTTAAATTTTGTCGTCATAAATGAAGGCTTGAGTAATGGCTCGGATGCACAGGTTACTTACAAATCGAGAAGCATGGGAAGCTTTTGAACCCTGCTGGAATAATTGGATGATCGTTTCTCAAATAGATCGTTCGTCCTCTTTAACGACCCCAAGATGAGAATTGGCTGGCCGAGGACTTCATAGTAGACCATGTCCCCTGTTACGTTTCAGTCATTATCTGGAATTATATGTAGGAGCCCTCACCATATGATTGAAACCACTGGTCATGAAGTAACCACATTTTCTCCTTAGGCATGTCGAACAGGTTACCTACAACTGGATATCCCTTAGGTCCAGGAGGCAGTGGAAGTCGATTTGGGTTCGATCGCGATTTCCGCGCAGAGGTTGCCCAGAGACCCAAGAGGGTCGCGCCAGCCAAGAGGAGGAGTTGCGATGTAGTCACATCCATGGGAGATCAGTGAACCGCAGGGCGGTTAGATGTTCATCTTGTTATATAAACCAGTAATACGTGGGAAGGGTGAACCGCCAATGCCCTCGTTTCGTCATCACCACTATCCTCGGGCAAGGCAATGATAGCCCGCACATTTCTACGACCGCCTCTGACGTTCAATTGTTATTATTATTACTATGAACTCGCAACTTCAGAAATAGGGCTCACCTCTACACGATGGACTCCATCTCAAAGTTAAACGCCTCCAGTCCCCCTCCCAAACTTTCGCCTGGGAAAGCCGGAAATAATATTAACATCATTGAGCCGACCTTTCTCTTCTGGTAGGACAGATTACGTTCCCCCGACTCGGAATCTCGAATGGATTTAGGGTGTCCCAGCTCTGAGTTGGCTCTAGTTAAGTTGTCAGCTGTACTCGCCGGTGTGGCGAGGCGGCTGGCGTGAGAGCCTGGCGAATGGTGGCAAGACTGGCGAGACAAAAAAGCCGGATATTTCAGTAACTAGGTTGTTCACAACAAAAAGAAACAGTATCATAAGCTCTGGTTGACCTGTAAAAATTGAATTAACCCATGTTTCAAGAAATTTCAAGAGAGCTTCACAAACCTAGCATCAAGAATGAATACCGGACAGTGCGACACCCCCCGAGTGCAACTCAGAACCTCACAGACGAAGCTTTCATCAATTGGAACGCCGAGAACTGTGAGCCATGGTGAGGCGAGATGGCGAAGTTTCGCCGACAACCGTGACCGTGACACTAATACAGCGCCAAATGCCTCCGAAGAAAATATGTACCCACAAACACAAAAACTCTAATCGCTTACGACCAACTAAAAAATCGTTGAGGACGGTAATCAACAGCGAACTCCTATAAAAAGTTTTTTATTTCTCTCATACCAAAGCCTATCACCAGTCTATGCCCTCCAAAAATAATATATGTAACATCAAATCAAATTTGAGTCCATAATCCAACCATAATCTCAAAGTGAAATAGATGAGCATGGCAAATCCAAACGCAACGCATAAGTAGCACAGAAATGCCAAAAAAAAAACCATTGCGTCCCCCTATCAAACACCTTGAATCAACGCCAACGCTACACTCGACCGAGGTTCAATCACACATTTGAAAGGAACCATAAACCTGTTCATACAAAATTTTGTTAGTCAAAAAGCAACTCCAGGTCTGATCTCAAATAAAACAAATCAACTGACGATAACAGCCCGCCCGTAACCTCCTCCCTTAGTTTTACCTCATTCCCCTCATCGTCGGTTGGTGGCTTGATATTGTAGACTGCCAGGACGTTGGAAACAGCTACGTAGAGGGACGCATCAACGAGGTGTCTCCCTGGACATATGCTGCATTCCCCAAAAAAAACAAAAACAAAAACAAAGAAAAGCGATGAGATTCCTTCTTTATGAGACAACGACAACGACCACTCACCGACGCCCAAACCCAAAAACAGCAGCTCTAGGACTCAGAACTGTATCATCCAAACGCCCATCCGCATCTTTGAGGTATCGTTCAGGTTCGTATTTAAATGGATCCACGAAGGCGTTTGGATCGTGCATTAGGGTCCTAAATGTCAATAATGGTAAAACTAGGATTTGCGGGAACAAGTGTAAGGGACTTACCATACGTTTCCTACAACAAGCGTACCCTTCGGAATGAAATAACCATCATATTCGTCGTCTTCCGTAGACATATGGGGTATACCTAAATAAGCATTTAGAAAGTGACTCGTTGCCGGTGATTTCAAGGATCACTAAAAGCTGGCAAAATCAAAAGCACTCACCCAGGGGAGAAATAGAATGCCATCGCAGAGTTTCTTTAACGATAGCATTAACATAAGGCAACTTCTCCCGGTCACTAAAATCCGGAAGCCGATCTTGACCAACAACAGCGTCAATCTCTGTTTGCGCCTTGCGCTGTACGTCTGGATGCGTGGCCATCGCTAAGAAGAATGCTTGAAGGGCAGCGAGGGTCTTGAATAAATAACAGTAAGTGGGGAAGCGTTATGCGATTATCAAGCGCTCACCGTATCCGAGCCGCCTTTCCCAATCGCAACATGTTGATTTCAGAAGGCGAAAGAGAAGAGAAAAATGGCGTGAATTACCACCGTACGCCGCTGCTGTTACAGCTTTCGCCATCATCTCTGCTTCAGCCCGCATTGGATGGCTTTCGTCTGGTAAGTTCGATATCATCGATTGAAGCATGGATGGTCGTGCAATTCCTGCTTTCTTAATTTCATGCATGAGCAAAGTGCCTCTACGGAGAAGAAGAGGACTTAGATACTCACCAAATCCCTTTGAACCCTGCGATACGGCCTCTCCAGCATTTCATAAATAAACGCCCTCCACCTAGCCGCCTTTTTCTTAAATCCAGCACCGGGGAACCAACTGGGGACGTATTTCAATACGGGAAAGAGGTCGACCAAGAAGGCTCCTGGGATTCCGGCTTCAGAGACACCTTCAACGGCGTCCTTGGCGATTGATACGTAGGGATCGTTATGTTCCAGAACGGCGATTCCGTAGCAAATTTCCATGATGCTGGCTGCAAAGTAGCTTTTCGGTTGTTAGTCGCGGAATATGGTATATGACAAAGTAGCATACTGTCGCATATGTTCCATGAAATCGTCGGGTGAAGCTAAGAGTCGACGGAGGAACGTTTTGGCTGCTTCGGCTTGGATAGGTTGGTATTTGGATACGATGTTGGAATGGAAGTGTTCGTGGAATGCTTTGCGGTGACTCCTCCAAGTTGCTCCGTACGGCAAGAATGCGAGCGCCCATCCAGCTCCCATTCTGAATTTATCGTAATAATTGAAGGCTTGAGTATCGGCTCGGATGCATGGGTAACTTACAAATCGAGAAGCATAGGAAGCCTTTGGGTCCTGCTGGAATAATTGGATGATCGTTTTTCAAATAGATCGTTTGTCCTCTTCAACGACCCCAATATGAGAATTGGCTGGCCGAGGATTTCATAGTAGACCATGTCCCCTGCTACGTCTCAGTCACTGTTTGATATCATATGTAGGAGCCTTTACCGTATGATTGATGCCACCGGTCATAAAGTAACCACCATTTCTCCTTAGGCATATCAAACAAGTTGCCTACAACTGGGTATCCCTTGGGTCCCGGAGGCAGTGGAAGTCCATTCGGGTTCGATCGCGATTTCCGCGCAGATGTTGTCCAGAGACCCAAGAGAGTCACGCCAGCCAAGAGGTAGAGTTGCGGTGTAGTCAGATCCATGGGAGATCAGTGAAGCGCACGGCGATCAGACATTCATCTGGTGAACCTCTGTACTTATAATTAGTACGTGGGAACGGTGAAACCGCAATGCAGCTTGACAACGTGAAGGGAGGGGCGTCCTAAATCCATTCGAGATTCCGAGTCCGGGAAATTTTACCAGAAGAGAAAGGCCAGCTCGAGAATGTTAATATTACTTTTGGAGACTTTCCCAGGCGAAACTTAAAGTTTGGGGAGAGGACTGGAGGACGTTCTCCCTTGCAAGTCCATCGAGCTCCGATGCGAAGTCAAAATGATAATAATTGACAGCTAACTGCAAGCTACTGCATAACTGTAAACCGTTGTCAAAGTTTCCTGTCCGCATAATAGATACAGAAATCCCACCTTTATGTCATAGTGGGGCACGCCTTGGAGCAGCTTCCCCATGAATTTGCTATCTATGTAAGTTCGCGAGCAATGCCTGTGGAGCTAGCAATCAAAAGCAGCTTTTGCCACCCAGAGCCTTCTAGGCTGAAAGTCGCTGTTTAGGGTTCAAACAAGGGCACTCCAAAGAAATTTCGGAGTGGTTTGGGAGTGGTCTACGATTGTTCAGTTACCTGTCCCATGCGAACGTTTGTGAGGGGGACTGGAAGCCGTTCACCTTTGCGAGTCCATCGTGGAGCTGCCAGTGTTGAGCTGTATTTCTGAAGGTGTGAGGTCAAAATAATCGTTCACAGCTAACTGCACCACTGTAGACCGTTATCAGAATTTCCTTTGTACGCACAATGGATAGAGAAATTCCACCTCTATTTCATATTACGACGTAGTGCGACGTGTCTTGGAGCAGCTTCCCCGACATGTGAGTTCAATGTGGTTTCAACTTTATGATGTGATTCGCTCGGACTCGTGCGAGCAACCCGTGTGGAGTGATCAATATCAACTTTTTTGCCACTCGAAGCCTTCTACGCCTAAAATGGATGTTTATGGTCCAAAAATGGGCGCCCAAAAGAGATTTCGGAGTGGTCGAACGTCGAGGTGTGGTCGGAGAAATCTGAGATGGTTTGCAAATGCCTCCGAAGAAACAATCACAAACACAAAAAAACTCTGACCGTCGACCTTCAAGTCGCCTTGCTCAACGCAACGACAAAAAATGTCGACAGCGCTAGGAAAGTGACCTCAGATTCTTCTCCCCTCTGGGATTGGTGCGAGAGACGAGCTAGAGGCCCCCGGAATTCCTGTCGCTGTTGAGAACCAGTCCGTAGGAAAGAACCTCTCCGATCGCGTTCTCGTTCCCAACCTCTTCTGTGTAAAGGATGGTGAGAGTCTAGACGCGCTTTTCCGGGATCCCACTTTGTTCTAGACGAATGGATGGAGACTAAACGGGGTGTCCTTGCGAGCAGCATCTCGAATCACATGGGATTTCAGGCTTTCATCGACGTCGAGGATCTTCTCCACCACGTCTGATCCCGCCTCGGAACTGCAAGAGTCGATGTGAAGCAGTTCACAAACTGCAGAAGCACGGTGGCGGTTGTTGCAGTAAGGCCTCCGTAGATGTTTACCAATAAGACAGGAAACACATCACTCAGAAAGTATTGGTCCCGGCATCATATTTACACGATCTATACGTCCTCATCACTACTAATCTCACTCTTTTCACATTGGGGATGCACAAAATGTAACCCGTAGTAGCAAGGATAGTTTTTATAGGGGGAAGGGTGAGGTCGCGAGCCATGCCTATGACGAAGTTAATTGGCTCAAAAGTAGATGTAGTACTTGATGATTATAGTGCTTCCCGCAGATCTTTCACGGTACCAATCTAATGAAAGGAAATTCTGATACGGGCGAAGTCCAGTGTGGGGCTCGTAAAATTGCATTTCTCCATCTCGTCGGTCAGTCAAACATGGAAACTGGTAAAACATCGACAAGAAGTCGACTAGTTTGTTATGTTATGTTACAGTTTAAATAAACCCGAACCAAAATTACATGGATTGCGAACGCTACCGTCACAGCAAGCGTGAAGTCATTGGACAGCAGTCATGAGAAAGGAACTCGACTGGCGAAAAGTGAACAGCGTATTTATTCAAGAGCGTCTTAGTCAATCACTGAGGCCTCGAATCAGAAATTCAGCAGCTTTGGAGCGTGGCTCGATTGTGCAGTTGAAAGGCAGAGGATATCTGTAAGGGAATGGACGAGTACTCGTAGACTCTCATAGAAAGAACACATACGACAGAAACCCGCTTGTGTAATTCGCCTCAAGTTGTTTAGGTTTTCCGAGTTCATCCACTGGCGCATTGACATTGTATACCGCCAAGACAGACGAGACGATAGAATATAGAGAATTGTCGCTCAAGTACCTGCCAGGACACATCCTAGAGCCCCGCTGTTAATGACTCATTTCGATGCCATTTTCTCACTCACCTCCTGCCGAATCCGGAGGCCGCGACTACTGGATCCCTAACGCCAGGGTCTATTTGGCCATCTTTAAGGTAGCGCTCCGGCCTGAATTCTTCGGGGGCCTCGAATACTTCAGGATCGTGCAAAATTGACCTATACACAACTTTTCTATACTCAAAGTTTTTTCACATATGCGAAAAACGTACCATGCAGCTCCAATGACGGCAGTACCTTTTGTTATAAAGTATCCATCATACTCATCATCCTCAGTAGCCATGTGCGCAAAACCTGCCATGTTAAACAGCCGAAGAAGGACATTGAAAAACCTCTTACCGAGGGGAAGAACTAATTGCCACCGCATCGTTTCCTTAATTATTGCGTTTACGTATTGCAGATAAGGGCGGTCGTTAAAGTCTGGAAGGCGATTTATTCCGACGACTGCATCGATTTCCGCCTGTGCCTTTTGCAAGGCTTCCGGATACATTGCCATGGCCAAATAAAAAAGTTTGAGTGGTTGAAACCGTCTAATCAAGAGTGAGTCGCGTCAAAAGAAATTTTGGAGAAAATAAGATGAACAGTATCGGCTCCAGCTATCGTCCAAGCGATTGACAAAATCAGTTCGGATACAAGAATATGATTGCTCACCACTGAGGTATGCTATCGCAGCGGTATTTCGGGAGATAATCTCTTCCTCCGCTCGGCCCAGTTCTTCATTTCCGGGAAATTCCCCCAACAAAGACGTCAGAACGCAAGGTACTATCGCCGTTCCCTCCGCCTAAAAATACGATGTTTGACTTGTCCGATTAGCCAGTGATGTGGAACTAAGAGTTTATCATTTTTGTCTATACAATTTTAAAGGGTTGATTGGCCACTTTGGCATGTATGGCGGCATAGTGAGCAGCCTTCCGCTTGAAACCAGCACCAGGAAACCAGCTTGGCACATATTTCAAGAATGGGAGAAGATCCACCAAGAAAGTCCCCGGAATGCCAGCCTCAACAGCGCCTTGCAGGGCCTCCTCAGCCAAAGTGATATAGGGGTCGTCAGATTCGGAGACTGGTAGGCCATAAGTGACACTCATAATAGTCGATGCAAAAGTGCTCGGATGTGATGCATAAAATTTTGCGGTGTCGTGAGAAGCCGACGGAGTAAGGCTTGAGTTTCTTTCACCTGGATTGGTAGGTATTTATGGACAACGTTCGCGTTAAAATGTTCGTGAAAGGCACGGCGGTGCCTTCGCCACATAGTCCCGTAAGGCATGTGTGGTATAGCGTAACCCCAACCCATTCTGAGCAGCAATTTAGCTTGCTCGGAAAATAACATTTGGGCTGAGGAGAACATACAACGACAACATAGGCATGATCAATCTGCCCGAGTAATTTGACGATCTCTTGTCTACTATATCGTTTATTCTTTTCAAGGATCCCAAAACTAAAAATGGTTGGCCGAGAACCTCGAAGTATACCATATCGCCTGGTAATTAAAGTTGTCAGAAGCCTCAAATATTAACCGAGGGCGCACCGTATTTCTTGAACATTTTATCGTAAGCCAGCCACGGTTTATCGCTCATTGACGGCACTTCCAACATGGCCCCCAGAATGGGGAGTCCCTTGGGACCTGGAGGACGGGGAAGGCGGTTGGGATTGGGCTTCTTCACGCCGATGTGCTTCAAGCCCCATATACCCAACAGCAAGCCTGCGACAGTGAGGTATGGATGAAACTGGAGCGTCTCCATCACAACCGAGACTGCAGTGGTGGGAAAGCCTGAAGCGAGTATGTCGTACATGATGGTCGGACTGCGGATGTATTAGCAAAGGGCGATTGCCTCACTGGCACTCGTCATGTCGCTTTCATAAAATATGTTTCGACACATATCCTGGAGTTCAGAGAAGCAGACCCAAGCTGGTCAGGGTGCTTCTTATCGTTTCCGGTAAATCCGTTTTGTCGTCATCGGCGGCATGGAGCTTCGAGTTGACATTCAGGACAGGCGCGCGTGGAAGTTCAACGGAATAGAGGGTTGAGCATACTGGAACTATTAGAGAGTTGAGTTATAAACGTTTGGCAGGGATATCAAAGGAAGGTAATTTTAAAGTGGTGCTATTTTTCGGAGTGTTGGGACCGGCTGGGTTTCGTTGGGCTGCAGCAAACGCCACATGACTCTGGGACAAGTGACGTGAAGTACTGTTGTACTATGGGAGTGGGAGTTACAGCTAACTGCATAGATGTAGACTGTTGTCAAAATTTCCTTTGTACGCATAATAGATGCAGGCCCGGGAACCCCACCTTTAAGTTTGGGGCGCCTTAAGGCACGGCGGCTTTACATGTAAGTTCGCGAGCAATGCCTGTGGAGCAATAAATAGGGTTCAAACAAGGGCCCTCGAAAGAATGTTCGGGGTGGTCTACGATTATGCAGTTAGCTGGAACGTAAGAGGCGGTCGGAGAGATGTTCGGGCTATTGAGTTTGCTCCTCCAAAGAAAACACCCGCAAACACAAAAAACTCTGACCATCGTCTCGCTCAACGCAACGACGACAAAAAAATGTCGACAGCGCTAGGAAAGCGAAAAGAAAGGGACGAAGATGGTCCAAAACATGGTTTACACGGGTACTTTTATTTCCTTTCACTTCTCTTCACTTCTCACCAACTAACCCTCTACTAGATCAACGCTCTTCGTCTCCAACCTCCCCTACACAGCGACCTCGACAGACCTCCAAACCCTCTTCTCGGACATAGCACCCGTCCGATCCGCATTCGTCGTCACAGAGCCAGGATCAGGTGTATCCAAAGGCGTCGGATACGTCTCCTTCGCCATCAAAGAGGATGCGGAGAGTTCATTCGCCAAGATCGCTGAGGAGGGTATTAGCTTGGTTGGGCGGAAACTGCGCGTACAGTGGGCAGATTCAAAGGTCTTGTTTTGTTTTATTTCTTATAGTAATACTACTACTTATCACACATTCATACAGCCCAAAGAACCTCGAGAAAAGGGTGACGCTGCCGCAACAGTGAAGAAAGAACCAAAACCAAGACCACCTCCTCGAGCACACGTCCCACACGACCCTTTAGCCATCCGCACCATCATCATCTCCGGCCTCCCACCCACAATCGACTCCAAAGTCCTATGGAAGAAAATCCGCAAATACGAAGGTGCCGAAAAGGTAGATTGGCCGTTGAAAAATAATGAAACTGGGGAAGAAGACCCGACTACAGGTACTTCCCTTCCTTCCCCTTCCCTTTTTGTTTTGTTGAGAAAACGTCTGAACACCCGTGACACAGCCCACGTCCTATTCACAACCCCCTCCTCAGCCCTCGACGCAATCCACAAACTACACGCACACGTCTACAAAGGCTGCCTTCTCTCCGTAACACTCAAAAAACGCCTCGACACACTATCCAAACCATCCTCTGCTCCCTCCAAAAAAGACGCCACAGCAGCACCAAGCCACGCAAGCCGTCTGATAGTGCGCAACATACCCTTCAACGCAACAGAACAAGATCTACGCGCCGTGTTCCTCCCTTACGGACCAATACACTCCGTGCATATACCCACTAGCCAGAAGGTGGAGGCGGAGGAAAGCGAAAATGCACCTGGAAAACCCCGAACGAAGGGCTTTGCGTTCGTCTGGATGTTGAGCAGGAAAGACGCGGAAAAGGCTATGGAGGGGTGTAATGGCATAACGGTGCGCGCTGGGACGGCGGAGACGTTGGTTTTGGATAAACAAAAGAGGAAGAAGCAGAGGAGGATTGAGTTGAAGATGAAGGCGGCGGGCAATGAAGAAGAGGACGAAGAGATGACAGATGCAGAGGGGGAGAAGGAGGAGGAGGAAGAAGTAATTGACGACAAACGCGCGACCGAACGTGTTATCGCGGTTGATTGGGCGTTGAGTAAGGATAAATGGAAGGAGGAGAAGGCTAAGATGACGGAAGATGTTGATATGGACGACGAAGACGACGAGGGCAGCAGCAGCAGTGATGAGGACAGCGACAGCGACGAGGGTATCGAACCAGATGACTCCGACGAAAACAGCAACAGCGACTCCTCCCACTCCCATCCCGCGAGCGACACCGACTCCAACGAAGAAAAACCAACCAAACCCACCTTGCCACCCCCAGAAGCAGGAACAACCCTCTTCATCCGCAACCTCCCCTTCTCCGCAACAGACGAAGACCTCCGCGCGCTCTTTCGGACCTTTGGTCCACTCCGGTACGCACGTGTAGCCATCGACGCGTCGAGCGGTCGGTCCCGTGGTACGGGGTTCGCGTGTTTCTGGAACGTGGAGGATGCGGATAGGGTTGTTGGTCTTTGTGAGGAGGTGCGGGCCCAGACCGGTGTTGCTGGTACCTCCTCCACAATAACGCAGAAGAAGAAAAACCCGTTTGTGTTACCCTCGATATTGACGCCTGACCCCAGCTCGAGTCTCGCGAGGAGTCTTGTGTTGCATGGGCGGACGTTGGATGTTGTTAGGGCTGTTACTAGGGATGTGGCTGGCAAGTTGAAGGAGGAGGGAGAGAGGATGAGGGAGAAGGCTGATAAGCGGAATATGTACCTTCTTCGTGAAGGAGGTGAGCGCCCCTTCCTTTTTCCTATATATGTGACTGCACATGCTGACTTTTGTTTTTGTTTTTGTTGGCGTAAAGTGATAATGCCAAACACACCCTCAGCCCAATACCTCACTCCCGCCGAAGTAGAGAAAAGGACGAGTTCATTCAATGCCCGTCGCGCACTGCTTAAATCCAACCCTTCCCTATTCATATCCAAAACACGCCTGAGTATCCGTCAGATACCTATCTTCGTAACGGAACGAATGCTCAAGAAGCTCGCTTTACATGCTATAAAAGCGTTCGAAGAGGAAGTTGGGAAGGGCGCCAGGGTGGGGTTGACAGGCGATGAACTTGTTTCTGAGGAACCTGCTCTTGACGACGACGATCAACAGGACGCCTCGGAGGAGAAAAAGAAAGAGAAAAAGAAAAAGGGGAAATTCACATCCCGCAACACACCCATAAAACAAACCAAAATCGTCCGTCAACTCGAACGTGTCGACCCCGTCACGGGAAAAGGCCGGAGTAAAGGATACGGATTCGTCGAGATGAACAAACACGCCGACGCACTTCGCCTGTTGAGGTGGGCGAACAATAACCCCGAGGTGGGGAAGTTGTTTGAGGAGTGGTGGGGGGACGAGTTGGAGGTGTTGTTGAAGCTCGAGTCGAAGCAGCCAGCGGAGGGCGGGAGGGACGAAGCTAGGATAAAACGCATCAAAGACGAGATTGATGGCGTCAAGAGTGGGGAGGGTGGGGGGAAGAAGAGGAAGGCAAAGGGGACGTTGATTGTTGAGTTTTCGATTGAGAATGTGCAGGTTGTGCAGAGGAGGAAGGCGGCGTTGGAGAGGTCTTTGCAGGTGTGTGTGTTTTCTTTCCTATCTTACCTTTCTTTCTTGATGTCCTGATTCACTGAAATATAGACACCTGAATCGAAAACCCTGCATAAAAAGAACGAAAAGCCCTCAACGGCGGCAGTGGAGAAGGAGGAGGACAAGGAGGAGGAAGACGAAATTGACGAGCCCTCCCCGAAGAAACGAAAGTTGTCAGAAGGGGACGATCAAAAGAAGAAGAGGGGAAAACAAAACAAAGAGGCGAAAGAAACGATTTCGAAACCTGTGAAGGATGAATCAGTGAAACCGGTGAACAAGCTCGGTTCTATCATTGGTAGGAAACGGAGGGAGAGGAAGGGGAAGAAGGGATCGAAATGAAATTTCTGTCGTTCAATGTTCTTGGAATAAAATACATGCTGATGCTGAAGGAACATGCCTAAACTTTATATCATACACCTCCTCAGGAACGAACGTCAGAACAAGTCAATACCCAAGTATCCACAGACTCCCAGCGCAGCTCCACCCGCCAAAGCAACCAAAGCAAGTCGGCGCATAAACGCAAAGGCATGGTTCTGCTTGAGGCCTTTCGCGCCTGCCTCGTCGATTCTGGCAATATCGTCGGGTGTAAGAACTGCAGAGTGAAAAGATCCATCAGCTCTCGTTTGAGAACAAAAGAAGTGGACGAACGCAGATCCCCTGCAGCGAGATATCCCTCTAGCCTATACTTCTTCGTGCTCATCCTAGTAGTTGATTGATCATGCGTCTGAGGCAGACTGTGTAATGTGCAAAAGTTCCTTACGTGACGACGACCGCCCCCTTTGCTTTAGCCCAAGCTAGGAGAACTTGATCCGCACTTGCACCAAGCCTGTCAGCTATTGAGTTGACAGGCGCGTCAACTGGACCACCAGGCTGGCTTGTAACGGGGCTAGAAGGACAATCAGCATATTGGAGATATAGTACGAGGGGGTTTCAAACACGTACATAAGCACGCTGTACGCTTCGACAACGATGTTGTGTGCCGCGCAATATTCAAGGAGAGGAGCCTGCCTGGCGTTGACGTATGGATGGAGCAAAATCTACACAGGTGTTATACATGAATAGAATGAAAACATATTCTTCTCACCTGGTTAGCAGCTGGCTTGATCTTGGCAGAGGCAAGCAATATTTCTAGATGATATACTTCAAAATTGCTGACGCCGATACTCCTGCAAATCTTTCGTATTGAGGTTCTGAGGAAATATAGAGCACGTACTTGACCAAGCCCTGGTCCTTGAGCGCTTCCATCTTCTTCCAAGTGGTTGGAATATCAGGAAGAGCGAGGTAGGGTTGATGGATAAGATACAAATCGATGTAACTTAGGCCGAGCTACAACGGAAAGTGTTGAGCAACAAGTACGCCCACGATAAGCATGTATGTATCACCTTCTTCAAACTGTTCTGAACGGAAGTCTCGATATCCAACCCGCCAACCCCCGAATACTTGGTCGTCACGAAGATGTCGCTTCGCGCCAACCCACTTTCACGTATGGCGATGCCGGCTTGTTCTTCGTTTGCGTAGAACTGAGCGGTGTCTAAAAGCCTGAAAGTTAGAAACAAACTGAAAAGCTAGAGCAAAACCTTACTGACCGATATGACTGAATCCCACGGACAAAGCTTGATCAACTTGGTCCACTGAACTTTGTCCATTGCCGAGTTTCCACGTTCCGAACCTATCTCGAGAGTTGTGTTAAGAACTACCCTGGGACTGAAGGGGGGTTTTTGGCATACGCGATGCCTGGAATCGAATGACCTACGAAAATAATAATCAGGTTGTAGTGGTGGATGCAATGAGTTAGAGTCCCTTACCGTCATTCAGTCGTACGGGATCCCAAGGCATGTGGAATGCAAGTCAGTGATGTGTTAGAAACGCTTGCAACGACGAGCGACGCGAGGTTGAGAAACACGAAGTGCAAATGGCACGATGATGGTTGAGAGGAACGTGGAAGAATATTAATAGAATGGGAACCCTTCACACCCCGTGATCGTGATGTAAGGCGCTTCTGAGATGCGCATTTTCAGCGCAATACAAGGGGGTGGCGGAACGTGGATCCCGTACACTGGCTGGGGGGGTCAGGCCCAGGACGGACAAGAAGAGACACCCAACACACCTAGGCACATGACGATGTGTCGTTGATCTCCCATCAAATTTGATATTTTTGACACTCCGAAGTACATGCCGAATAGCTGCCGTTAGTGTTAGGGCTTAGTGTTAGGGTTTGGTTAGGGTTAGTGTTTTTTCGCGCGGTAGCGCGCTCTTACTTCGGTCTCCCCGCGCGGTAGCGCGTTCTCGGTAGGGTTAGGAGGTTAGGGTAAGGTTAGGAGGTTAGGGTTAATGGTTAGGTTTAGGGATATATTCTCTCCGCGCGGTAGCGCGTTCTCGGTTAGATTAGAAGGTTAGGTGAGTGGTTAGGGGGATTAAAACTCCGGCTGCCCAAATCGGGAATGTGTCGTTGTTGCTACGTGTGTATGTGTCGTCTCTTGTATATCCTCGGTCAGGCCGAACAGTGTTGTCATGACCCGGGTCTGACGAGGTCAGACCCTGACCCGGCGTCGAGTGACCTGACTTTGATTCCTGGTGAAAATCAACTCTGATCAGGCCGAGTCACAGCGACTATGGTCGATTTGCGTGGCTTGTGTGAGCATCAATCGAGTTAGATATATTTCAGGCGATTTGCAAGGCTGACCCACACTAAAAACCGTGCTGCTTACATGGCTTACATAGTGTAATATCGAATTGGATCGAACTCAAATCTATTTGTATAGAACAAGCTTTAGACCCGCACCTACGGCGCGGCACTCGCTAACGCTCGGCCATGCCTTTGGTGCTTGGTCACAGCTTGCTGGGGGCAAGCCCCCTAGACCCCCCGGTACACATGTTTAATCCCAGTTCTTATACTTCAGGTAGGGGTGCACATTGGATCCGTCTTTGACAGATCAATAGGGCCATTAGATAGGTTCTAAAGTGGCCTCTTGAGTCTTGACTATTTATGTACTTACAGCAAAATGGCTGAGCAAATTCATGTGTTAACCGATAAACATTTGAGGGGACGGACAAAGGCTACAGGAGTCTGGCATTGTCAAAGTGCCTATAACCTAAGCTGCAGAACTTTCACAAACACAATTTACCTAAGTATCCCATGCTGCTAAGTTCATCCTCAGAATTCCTTATGACATTCAACTTTAAACAGGTAAAATTGAAGTGTATTTGATAATTACATAGGAAGTATTCTACTACATTAAATGTTTAAGGAAAGGGGGATGTTAAAAAGAAGGGGGATGGACAGGCAGTGGTGAGCCTTATCATCATTCATGGTCGTGGTGCCAGGCACTCATCACCCATCCAGGGTAGTGGTGCTGGTCCCTTGTCCGTTGTCGTACCACATTGGCATCACGTCGTCGTCGTTGCTGTTGTTGTCACGTCGTCGGCCCCTCTGCGTCATGTTGTGCCCTGGTCCCTCGTTGGCCCTTGTCCTGGTCATGTTGTTATTGTCTTCATCGTCCTGTGCCCTCGTCGCGTCATTGGGTTGTGTTCTCGTCGCGTCATTGTCCTGTGTCCTCCTCGTTACGTCATCGTCATCCCATGTGGCCGGTCCGTCGTCGTCCTGTGTCTCAGCGAGGTGGGTAGGGATGAACGTGGGACGGGGGGTATTCACCGTGTTTTCGTAGTGTTGTTGTCCCGTGTCCTTGTCTTCTGTCGTTCTCATCGCGACATTGGGTTCCTTCATTGTCCTGTGTCTCAGTGAGGTGGGTTCAGATGAACATGGGATGGGGGTTACTCACCGTGGTGTCCTAGAGTAAACAATGACGAACGACGTTCATCGTTTGGTTGCCACGTCGCTGTCGGTGACGTGGCACCTGGATTGCATATTAGTAAAATGAGGGGTGGCAGGGAGCTTCCTCACCTGGGCTCCTTGTCGCCTTTGTCCGTTCGTGGGTGGTTGACCATCGCTCGTAAGCCATGGTGGATGATGGTGGTTGGGATTGGCTGGTGCTCATTCATCTTCGTTTGTAGGTGGTCGTTTTTGTTTTTTGAGTGCGACATGGCCCTTGCTTCTCATGTGAAAAAGGGAGAGGGAGAGGCGAGCCATGTTGCTCACCATGATTGATGTGGATGCATCGTCACCGTCTTCGTGTTTGTTGCCAACGGCGATGTGACCCCTGTTTCTCATGTGAAAAAAGGAGAGGGGGGAGAGAAGCCATGTTGCTCACCTGCAATGATGGGGACAGTGACGACGACTTGCATCATCACCGTCTAGACGACGTGGCACGTCCGTTGACGTGCCAGGTCCTCGGGGTTGTCCGTTGTTCGTCATTGTCGTTCGTCGCCGCCTGTGTGTGCTGTCCGTCGTTCATGAGCCATTTGGGATGGTGGTGGTCCGTTTTGGCTGGTCTTCGTTTGTGGGCGGTCATCTTCTTGGCGTTGGGCGTCGTGTTGTGGTTGTGGCCGTGGTGTGACATGGCGTTGCCACGTTGTTGTTGTTGTTGCGCAGTTGTGGTTGAGTCGTGACTGAAGCGAAAGGTTTGTTTGTGCATGACTTGTTCATGACTCATGTGAGTTTCCAGCAAACGCCGCTCACGCGGCTCAGTATTGCAGCACGGTTGCTTACATGATCTATTATGTAATAACTGTCAACCTTCCTCTCTTTATATATTAGACAAGCTTTAGACCCGCACCTACGGCGCGGCACTCGCTAACGCTCGGCCGTGCCTCCGGTGCTGGTCACAGCTTGCCAGGGGCATGCCCCCTGGACCCCCTGGTACACATGTTTAATCTCAGTTTTGGTACACATTTTTTATCCCAGTTCATGTTTAATCCCACTTCTGGTACACATATTTAATCCCACTTTCAGTACACATAGTTAGACTTAAACCTGAACTTATACTACAGCACTCACTTTGCTCAGTCATGCCTTGCCAGAGGCAAGCTGTTTCCCCAGCACACATGTTTGTTTCCAGTTCTGGTACCCATCTCTAATCCCTGTTTTGTTACTTACACTTTATTTCACTTCATTTGAATTTTCAAAGATACACTTTAACCTACAGTGGCACTCATTGCACTTGGCCAGCTTGCCAGAGGCAAGCCCTTGGACTATCTGATACAATAGTGGAATGCAGAGTTGATGTCACAGCCACTAAAATGGGTCACGACAACTTGTCCGCTAAATCCCACAATACAGAAAATCTGTGAAAGTTGGACTTTGTATCGCTTTCTGTCTTGAGGGCCTAACCAATCAGGCAGACTTGGGGCAGACTTCAAATTGAGACATACTTTCCTGTTAAATTACCTCTATATGTGATGCCATACCTAATTTCTACATAACAAAGATACCATTCAGTAAGAAAGAGATTGAAATTTTCACACATTTTGGGAATTTTACAGTGTTCCTCAATGTAAAAGATCTGGTATGTACAGAGCATGCCATGTGGCCATCAGGGATTTGAAACTCAGTCAAAGCTGTAGCAGGTGTGTCAATGGTCAGTTGTAGTGAGGGCATTTACCTGTTGGAGTTGATTCACTAAGGAAAGTTGTTGCGTGGTGAAAAAAAGCATAGTGTTGTGGCCACCACGTCAACTCTGCATTCCACTAATATAACAGTTGTGGTGTACATGTTGCTCAAAGTTACAGTTTCTGCACCTATGGTGTGGACCCCCAGTACACATGTTTAATTCCAGTTTTGGTACACATCTTTTATCCCAGTTCCAGTGCACATGTTTAATCCCACTTCTGGTACACATATTCAATCTCCATTCTGATACATATTCTTTATTCCAGATCTAGTGTATATCTTTCATCTGAATCATCAATGTTAGGCTTAGACCTGGATACAGCAATCACTTCACTTGGCCATGCCTGAGGCAAGCTGTCCCCCCCAGTACATATGTTTATTCCAGTTCTGGTGCACATTTTCAATCTCTCTCTTTTTTTTTTTGGTGAAGCTATGTAGCATACAACAGTTAACAGTGTTATCCTTGTACGCAAGCATCAAGGACAGGGGATTGCACCCTGTTGGAAGAATGTCAACTCACCCCAAGGAATTGTGGCTAGGCAGGCTCACACTGGAGCAGTGTGGGACTCAGAGCAGCCACATTGTGTAAAGCTAGCAGTTGCAGCCTGGAGGCCACCCTACTCTCATACCCACTAAAACCCCAGCTTCTGGTACTTTCATCTTATTAAATTTGAAAATTTAAAATTATGCTCTGACCTGCACCTATGGTTTGGCACTCACTGCAGTTGGCCAGCTTGCCAAAGGGAAGTCCCTTGGACTATCTCATAAAAATCTGATAGCTGTGGTGTACATGTTTCTCAAAGTTATACTAATCCCTGTTTTGGTACTTACACTTTATTTGAAATTTTCAAAAATACACTTTAACCTGCAGCAGCCCTGGCTGCACTTGGCCAGCTTGTCAGGGCAAGCCCCCTGGACCTCCCAGTGCATATGTTCAATCCCAGTTCATTTTATCTTAATCATCAAAGTTAACCTGCCCTCATTCAAATTTTTATTCTAATCCAAATCATCAAAGTTACATTTAGATCCACACTTATATAGTCCTGCATTTGGTACTGTAACTGCAGTCAGCAGTACAAAGCTGGCCATAATTTTTGATTTTTCAACACTATACCATACACCATAAATTACAGTTCAGTAGGCCACTGATGAAAATCTGTAGAGCAACTAAAATCCACCTGAAATTTAATCAGCATAGATCTCAAAGTAGGAGAAATATACACTAACAATGAAGTGGGGGGTAAAAAATAGTACAGAAAAAGCGAAATTGAGGCTGCTCAGAGAGGTGTGACCACAAAAACACTCACAAAAAATTAATGCAGGATCTTACTATTACAGAATGAGGTTGGGAGCTACCAATACAAAATGTTCTGTGGTTGTGGTCACACCGTGTGACATTCCCGGGAAACGCCGCTGACGCGGCTCAGTAAAAGACAAAGAGGCTGCTTACATGATCTATTACGTAATAACTGTCAACCGTCCTCTCTTTATATATTAGATTCCGTCGATAAAACGACACCTTACATCACTTCAATTCTAGGCAATCAGATCTACCTCGGAACAACCCGAGTCATTTTTGACTGGGTTTGATTGACGGGGTCATGATCGGTCAAGGGTTCTGTGAGAACTTGTGTACTACAGTCATGCACGTGTCAATGACACACCCAAATCGTAGAAATCATGCGATGAAAGGAATAAATAGAATTTCACAAACAAAAAGGTACAACAGTATCAACGTGTATCCCAGCTACAATATGAGAGTGATTTTAAAAGAAATGAGCAAGATTTGAGAGCCGGGCGAAGGAATTGGAGGTGGCTGAGGTGAAACCAGAATTATGGGTCAATGGTACAAGGCCCGGCCCGCCTAGCCCATTCAGTCATTGTCGTCGTTGTCGTTGTCTCCATCGCTGCCACTCACACTTGCACTTCCCCCCCCCTCGTCAGCGTCGTCACCACTGCTCTCGGGTTCTTGATCCTCGGCTACGGTACCCAGAAAGTCCTTCAACTTCGGCTTTGGGGTGGCTTTCGGGGCTGGATCCCCCTTTGGTTTGATTAAGGTGAAGCGCGTTCCCTTCGCCTTTGCAGCGTCCCATTTCTTCTCCCATGCTTTGACGGCCTTCTTGAGATTGGCAGTGGTGACGGCCTTGGCATCCTTTCGCTCCTGTTCAACAACCTCCCATTCCTCAACAGCTGCCTTGTACAACGCTCTGCCATCCTTCTTCCTCTCCTTCTCCCTTGCAACCTCACACATCTCCTTCTCTTTCTGCTGCGCTAGCTCATAGAACTCGTCCCCACTCAGAAGCCAAGCCAGACCATCACCGACCAGCTTTATGGTCTTCTTCTTATTGCGCTTCTCTTCTCGTGCCGCCAGTTTTGCGCAGAGCCGCTTTGCGTAGGCTTCGTTGAGGATGTTGGATGCCTGGAGCTCAAATGCGTGGACCTCAGTGCGAAGGTTCTGGCTTTGTGATTCCCGAAGTGCTGCCAGGAGAAGCAGCTCGTTTGCTGTAGTGGGCACGATAGCCAATGCCGCTGCTGCGTTATTGATGGGAACGGAATTTTGCTGGACAGTACGGGTGGTAGTGGTAGGCATGGGATCAGCAGCAGTAGTGGGAGTGGGAGTGGCAAGGAAGGCAAGGTTGGTCTTTTTGAGGGCGGCAACAGCTCCTTCGAGGATTTCGAGGTGAGTGGTGGTTCTGGTTGAATGGCGTGTGCATGTGGAATTTACTGTTGTTTCATTTCGTGTGGGTGACGGCCCGGCCCGCTGACTCCCTGAGATAACATCAGCATCGGTATCTGGAGTATCTCCCACAATTTGAAGGTCCCTCAACATGGTGGCAAGAATCTGGACAGGCTGAGAGGAAGTAGGGACAGGAAGGTGGCTCTGGATGGATGTCTCCTTGCTTGGCGCAAGCATATCAGCAGTAATGACATTGGGATTGAATGGCCAGATGCCGGTCTTGCGGAAAGCAGTCTTGATGAGTTCTGGGGTCAGAGTGGTAATGTAGGCCTTAGATATGACCTGGAGAAATTTTCCTTTGTCGATCGCATTCCCAGTTGTACAAAGCAGTGCATCGCGCTCCACGCCGAGATAGTGTTTCAGCACAGCAAACACGACCACATCAAGACCTTGATAGACGTGTGTCCCATGCACAACATAGCAGATGACTATGACCATGTGGAGGCGAGCAAGAAGGAGAAAGGCGACCGTGTAGTGTGAGTTGTGTCCGTCCACAATTAGTAAGCGGTACTTGCCATTTGCCTTTTCTCGCGTTGCTTTCTCAAATAACTTCATCCAGGATGCGCCGATTTCACCATCTGTCCAGCCCTTCTGCTGGTATCCGATCCTAGCAGAAGATTTATTTACAGACATGAAGATAGTGAATAGAATGACATACGATGCATTAAGGGGATTATTTTCCCCCCATTTGACCTGGTAGGCACTCCCCTTGAAGATAACAGCAGGAGGTGTGCTTGTGCCATCTGCACAGATCGTAACGATGGTGGTAATATTTTCATGCGTTCCAGAGTGCTGCTGGTAGGGTGCGGCTTTTGTACGAGGGCCGAAAACATACTCACGCTCACCACCTCCCTGGGCCTGTATTCCAACTTCATCTGTTGCGTATGTGTTCTCCTCTTTGATCTTGTATTTTGTGATGGTCTCCCCAAGAAGTTTCCACCATGCCTCGTTGTTGTGTGGATTTGTTGCGTGTCCTCGTTTGTCTTCTAGTGGTCGGGAACGTGAGATCTTGATCCGTTCGGAGTACTTTTTGGAAAAGCGGTAAGTCCAATTCTCTCCGACACCTTTGATGGGAAAGGAAGCGCCAAGGCGCGCACTGCATATGTCATCGACATGCTCCTTCAGCCGTGCATGACTGAGAGGGAACCCACGATGCGCCATCTCGTTGATGAAATCGATGACGATGTCGACCTCGGAATCAGTAAGCCAGGATCGATCCGCACTTGCTCGTTCACGCGACATTCCACCTGCAACATGTCGTTTCAAGGTTGTATAACTGAGTTTGATAT